TCTTTTATTTATATGTACAGTTAGATGATAATGTGGATAACTCATTATTCTTAGACGAACCATTTCACAGTCGTCTTGTTGACGGATGGATTGGCTAGTGTGGTATTACTTTCTTATTAGCGTATCATTTGTCACAGTGATTGCTGATGCTGGTCATGTGAAAGCAATTTATGGTCAGCAAGATGAACGTATTCGACTCGAATGTATAGTGTCATCGAGATTAGATGCCGAAGAGGTATGTGTCGAAAAATATTTCATTCGCTCAAATGCTTTCACTTCGACCAGAGGTGAAACAACCTTCCTAGACACTTTTATTCATACTGATTATCAATGCTCGAATGAATTGGTGTCCTTTCAATCTATCTTTGCGCATTGTTTCTTCTTTCTAGGCCATGTGGATGCGCATTCGTCAACCACACAATCCTGATATTTTAACTTATCGAGATAGTGTTGTCTACGCACCAGATCGAATCCAGCTTGAACAGCGTCGTCTCAGTTCAAGTATTAATGCAAATGGCGCATTAGTTGACACATATTTTTTAACCTTAACACTTTTACGCTCGAATATTGATGACGAAGGACGATATGTTTGTTCAAGAGGAAAAAATGTTTTTGCTGAGTACGATCTTTCCATTATTGGTAAATATTGCAAATCAACCGATCGTTGATGCACGAATGTGTTGCTTTTCTTCATCTAGTTCCTAGTCAATTCGTCGAAGATGATAATTTTAATCAACAACGGACTATTCGCGAAGGATCGACTCTCCAGCTTTTCTGTTCAGCTACAGGTCGACCACAACCTTCAATAACATGGTCTTATCGTGCGACGGATGGGAAACATATTTCATGTAAATATATGTTTGAAATGAAGTCGAGGTGTAAATCGAAAAGGACTAGTTGTCTTATCTTTATTTCCGTTATGGCAGAGTAGAAGAGAAAACATGACATGTCAATGTCGTCATTTTGCCAATGCCTTCAAACATTTCCCGCGTTCAAGTTGACCGATCCATTCTTCTTTTCTCTCGTTTACGTAATCTTCAACTGATTTAAGAAAAAAAAAAGAGAAGAACTAAACGGAACAAGTGCGTGTGTGTTTTGCACATATTGTACTCACACGTAAATGGGATCGTTATTGATTTAGTTTTGTCAGATAAAGATTGATTAAAACTATCTAATGACATAAAGAAAGAAGCTTGTCTTGTCTTTTTTCTCTTTTCTAGTGGCCGATGGTCTGGCCTGTAATGACACCGTCTGTGAATTACGTCTAGAAAATTATACACGCAATGATCCAAACATAATTGAATGTGTTGCTGATAATGAGAAGTCAACAAGAATATCGAAAATATTTAACGTCGATGTCCATTGTAAGTTCTCGTTGACTTTCTACGAACATCGATGATTCACATTGGAATTTAGATCCACCAAAACTTACTACAAATACTCAAACATATACACGTGCGAAAAGAATCGATATCATTATCCAATGTTCTTCCATAGCGAATCCGCCCGCGTCGATTTTATGGCTTGATGATACGAAACGAGAATTGAATCATTCGCATATTTATGACATAAAAACAATCAATCATACGTCAACATTGTCTTTTTCTGTAGTATGTTATTTCGATCAATCAATTGATTGACATTTATTTTTTTAAAAATGCATCTTCTTTCAGTTTCCTTATGAACATTCGCTGGTTATGTTCTACTGTCATGCAAATAATTCAATTGGAAGCGACGAGAAGTCAATTAATATCTCAGGTATTTCATGACTCATTTCATATTTGAAAGTAATGTCCCTGCTTAGATTTTATTCAATTCGATTCGATAATGATTCGTGAGACAACGACTGTTTCATCGGAAACAACGACAATTGATTCTGATAAATTATTTTCAAAGAAGCAAAAAACTCGTAAGTGCACATTTCATTTCATTTTGATTCATTTTCATCTTCTCTCGTAGTGCGACCAACTCGTGCTCGATCTCGTGTATCTACAAGTCCCATTCCTTTGACGTCTCCTATGCAGTCACTATCATCCTCATCGAACAGTTTCATTTATTCTTTTGCAAGCCATTTTCTTAATTTCATTTTGATTTTCTTTGTCAGTTGTTTTGTATAGAAACTTCTTTTCCTTTGTTTTTTTTTTGTAATCTTCATATTTAATGCATATTTTATAACTCTTACAATAATTGAATTCGATATAAAAAATAAAGAACAAACTAAATACAACTAGAAAAAGAACTTCTTCGTTCGTATCAAAAGAAAAGAAACACAACAAGTCCTATTGCACTGTGGATGTTCTTCGTTTCATAATTTGACTATTGGATTAAACCAGAGAGTATTGTTCTTGTTCATGGTATCGATAGGAGGAAGACTTCGATGGTTCTATACTCGAACGAGCCGGTGTTGTACCACTAGACAAAGAGAAGATGTTTTGTCTGCTTAGAAAGAAGAAATGAGAAAGAGTACCTTAGAAATGTAAAATGATGATCGTAAGTGGCATACAAGTGTTTCTCTTGATCATCATTGGCATCTGCTGACGATGGACGATCATATGAAAATCCATGGGTATGACATCTAAAGGTAAGTTTAATTCAATGATGAATCCGAATGAGAATGAATGACGAACTTTCGATATGAATGTTTGGTAATTGGACTTTGAGTATAAGATGAATGAACACCGGAGTCAGCAGATGATGAACTTTGATCAGCTAGGATATGATTATTATTCGAGTATTTTTTTGTATTTAATGTTGTTTGTTTTGATGAGGGAACAAGTGTAAATGCAGAAAAAAGTTCACCCTGAGACGAGGAAACAGTTGAAAGAACACTTGAAGACGCCTGGGGTGGGTGTTGTTGATTTGATAAGGAATATTGAGAAGGAATTTGTACAAGAGGATTGCGTTTACAAGCTTCTTCGTTATCAAGTGAGGAGGATTCTAAGATAATTGGACGAAAGTATCGTTCCGAAGGAGTTGTTGATGGACGAAGATCTATTTGAAAGATCGAATCAATTGTTTTATATCAAATTATCGACTTACCTGTGGGATCGATAAGACAATGTGCATGTTTATTATCTCTCCACAATGCACTATGATCAATTTGTTCTTTACAATTCGATGTCCAACCAGTTACTGCATATGGATTAATATTTCCCTGGGAATCTTCTACAATAAACAGAATTACTTCGAATTGAACATCGAGAAAAGATCGAATATACCTGAAGCGTAGCTATACGGCCGAGTACTATTCTCAATTTGACTATCAGTGTAATTTTCAATGGTAAATTCATTGTTACTTGTTAACCATTTCCCGTGGTAATGATGATGAGGATATGATGAGCAAATGACTGGTTTTAGTTTTCTTGTTTGACCAATAAATATATCTAAATAGTCAATCAGAAGTTTTTCTTGGTAAGAAACCGATTTCGGAACACTTACCAGCATTTTTCCAATGTAATCGACAGAATTTGATGGAGATAAAGACAGTGATGGATGAAATAAGTGCGAGAAGACATGAAGCAGCGATAATTATGATAATGATGTAATAATTTGGTGATCTTGACTTTGTTAAGTTTTGATCATTTGTTGTTCGGAAGGAAACGATTTTGATTATTTCACCAGCTTGACTGTTCACTTTAATTTGCAATTGATAATCTTGATTTGATTGAAGATTGTCAATTTGGATTGATTTCAAATGATTTTTGAACGAGTAGAATTGATGAAGCGCTTGTTCAGTCGAGTTTCGTACGGGAGATATTTCGATTTCAAACGATATAATCGAACATTGATTTATCAACCAATTTGACATATTCAAAATAATGAAATGATCTGTGATCGTTTCGATCAACTCTTTCGATTGTATCAATGTCGGAACTATTAAAATAAAAGTAAATTTGAGTTCAATTGATTTAATTAAGATTTACATACTTGAACCATCGGTTTTTCCAATGATCGAATCGCTTATACTGAATCCTGCTTGATTCTTCGCCAAGACAACGATGTCATATGTATTTCCACATGAAAGATTTGTTAACTGAATCGTTGGCGACGGAGGAGATATATGAATTTCATTGACAAACGAATTTTGCTTGGATTTATAAGTTATTGTCAGACTTTCGATGATATCAGATGAATAACGAAGTTTCAAACCAATCTCATTCGATGTTGTGTAATGAATTTTAGTTAAAACAGGAGCTGGTTTATCTGAAAGTAAACTACGAAGTCAAATTTCTGATGAACTGAATTGATATACCGTAGAATCGAATGACGTATTGCTTTGATCCACAATAATATTCACTATATGTGTCATCGAGTTTTGGATGAGGCATGAATAGCGAATTGTTGTTTAAAATATATTCATGAATTGATTTTCCACTAAAGAATACATTAAATGGAATGAAATTCAACTACCGGTTATGAGAAATACCTGCGTGACCATGAATTTGTCGATGGACAATCCAGAACGAGTGGTTTCGTGATGGGATGAACGATCATACGCGACATATCTAAATCTACACAAAGCGAAAGGTCATAAATCCGAATCAGAGAACAACTTACTCGATAACGGCGTTTCTACACGGATTGCTAAGGATGATGGACCGCAATCGAAGTAATTACAAACAGCTACTGACATATAGTATTGAGAAGATGAATGAAGATTATCGATAATAAGACTCGGATTGATCGTTTCCATTGTTCGAAATGTTGACATATCTGAAAAAGATTCTTGTTTTTCCAAAGCAGATGAACTTCCGTGTCTTACTGAATTGTTCATAGATTGCAACTGCAAACGCTCGAAATTTTCCATTTAGGAATTGCACAGCATCATTTTCAAATGTCCAAGTCAAATGGACTGATGTTGTGTTCAATAATATTGCTGTTAAATCTGTTATCATCGCCAACGGAACTGAAAAGAATACATTTTTTTTCTTTCTATTTTCTGTTCGAGAAGAAACATACCACTCTCTAGTGTTTGAATCATTAATGGTTGAGATTTTGGACTTGGTCCTACCTCATTTCTTGCATAGACAACCAAGCTATATCCAGTAGAACTTTTTAAATCATTGATTGTTAACAATGTACTATTCGTTCGGTAAGTTTCGAATAAGATTTGAGTGTATTCATCATAGAGTTCGATGATATATTCGATGAATGAATTGTCACACAATTGAAATGATGGGTACTTAGGAAAACATACAGTTCGTGAGTTGCTTACAAATTTCCATTATAAAAAAAAAACTGCATACCTGCCAGGAGAGCATCACACTTTTGGATGAAATATCGATTGCTGTGAGATTCGATGGAGTGATTAATAGTTCTAAATGAAAAAGAGATGAATGATTGTATGTTTAGGAGATGAATAGCTACGTTGAGGATTTATTTGAAAATGCAAAGGAGCACTTGGTAATGATGAACCAATTGGATTTACTGCTTCGATAGTTATGGACATCGAACATTTCGAATAATAGTTTTCAAAAGAATAAGATGTTCGATCAGTACCATTGACTGCAATGATCGTTTCATTTGACCATGTCATTCCTAAATGCTTAGGTATGAAAAATTGAGTCGTGGGGAAATGATAAAGCTACCTTGTTTGTATTGAACACGAAGGATGTATTGAACAATATTTGCATTACCATCGAATGGTTTGATCCATGAAATTCGATTGGAATTTTCAATGAAAACTTTTTCAATTTGATTCGGAACGTTTTGCACGATAATTTCAAATCGAGAACGATCTTCCGAATAGTTATTCTTTGCATAGCATTCATACAAACCATGATCAGACATATGAACATGTTCAATTGTAAACGACAAGGTCTTCCTATAGTCACTCTTCGTTTCAATCAAGTAAAAATTGTTCGATTGAGGACTTGTTAATTTTAATTCTAGTTGATGATCACCTTCTGCTACACATGCGATATTCAATGTCTCGTTGATTTTCATCGTTCTGTTCGTTGTGGAGGATAGAATCTTCGCAGGAATTTGAATGGATACATAAACTGATTGAGAACTTTCTCCGTACGGATTGTTTCCTTGACAAGTGTAGATGTTAGATTTGATTGTTGTTGTTCGAAGAAGGATTGGTGATGTTAGGGAAGTGTTTAGAACTTGTTTAGTGAGCTGATCGATCCATTTGAGTTGAAGATTCGGTTGACCAGACACGTAACAAGCAAGAACAAATTCTTTTCCCGATGTTACTGTTTGATTTGGTATGATTTGAAGAAAAGGTTTTTGTTTTTCAATATTCAAATGTTTTGAATAGGTGATTGAACCAAATGAGTTGTTTATACGATATTCATAGAGACCTGTTTCATTTAAATTGGACACATATATTCGATAATGAGTGAATAGATCACGGGATGGTAAGACTTCCATTCGATTCTGAGAAATCAATTGTTGTCCATCTTTGTAAAGTTCGATGGTCGGCAGTGGATCAGCATAAAGAGTCAAATTAAGATCAATTGGAACATGTGAGGTATTGTTTGATGGCATTATAATAATATTTGAATATGTCTGCTCAGCGGTTAGGATAAAAGGCGGTGAATCTAAATAGATAGACAAAGTTTGTTTAGAGGAGAATTCTACCAGATGAACATGTGTTGAAAGACAATCACTTCCGGTAATGGGAGAAGAATGTATACGTGCTAATGAACATTTTTGTTTATCGAAACTGTCATTGTGAGAAGAAGAAAAAGCCAGTCACTTACGGATGACACGAATTTGACTTTGTGCACAACAAGTACTTAAATCTGATGAACTGGTTAGATAACAACATTGATACATGCCCATGTCTGCTCGAGTTGAATTAGTTATAATATAACGGTTCGTTTTTGATGATAGTAAATTGGAATTGTGATACCATTGCCATGAAAAAGATGATGGTCTGATGGAATTTGTTGTACAAATTAGTTCAGTAGTTGATCCAGCAGTGATAGTCGTGTGTTCCACAGACATTTTACATTGAATAGGAACTTGAAAATGGAAATTTTCGAATGAAAGATAAGAAGACGAATTTCACTTACGATCAACTTTTAAAGTCATCGAGGAGATGATACGTCCACTTGATTCATCATCGATTCGACATGCATAATTGCCTGAGTCACTCGAAGATGTATTCGAAAGTTGAAGAATTAACGAATTATTATAAACTTTGTCAGATATATCACTCATCTCCACATCATTCTTCCACCATGATACTCGAGCATGACTTGACACAGATGCCACGCCACAAGGTAGCTCGATTAGATTACCTGCTACAGCTCGGTATTCCGTATTATTTGAAATCGATAATTCCGGTCCGAATGGTGAACGATCTAGATACATTTCATATTTCAACAAAAGATCAATCAAATGAAATCTTACCTCGAACGCGCAATGATTTAAATCGACTCTGTCGTCTGTCATTATCAATTTGATTATCGACAATACAAGCATAAGTTCGATTATCGTCTGCTTTAGTTATATTATGTATAATTAAATTCTGATTGGATAATAAATTGTATTTCGATCTTGGTCCTACAAAAGAAGAGATTCTGTCTCATTGTCTTTNATGATTAACAACTGAACAGGGGAAGACAAAAAGAAAACAAGATAAGATGTCTCACATAAGTTCAGAAGATTGGACAAATGTTGACGGCCGATCATCACTACCATTCGTTCGGAACCATGTTAATTTTGGTAATGGAGTGCCATTTGCTGAACAATCGAGTCGTATACCCAAATTGTTGTAATACAGTTTTTGTTTTGTTGTGATCGTCGACACGAAACTCGGTCCGATTGGAAGATCAATTGTCACGACATCTAAACGAATTGAACGAACAAATAAACAATCGTTTCGCTGTTATTTCTTTATGTAACCATATTTAATCAAAGCTCACACTTGAATAATTATGTTCTTCTTCTTCTTCTTTTGCGTTACCGGCCAGCTGTTCCCTGCTCACAGTTAGTCTATAGGGATTTCTAGTTTTCTTTTTAACATATATACATATGCAGATGAAAAGAGTTAGGTAATCGAAACTACGTCAAAAGAAGAAGTTTCATACACATGTTAAATAGAAAAAGAAAATGATCCATTCAGGCATGTCATAGAATTTCAGAAGCAGCATTCTACTTCCACTGCTGACCTTGTCATCCTTTTTTTTTATATTCTTCTGTCCGTCATTTAAATATGCATTCGTCATCTAGTTAGACTTCCTCTGCTATTTCAGCTGCTAACATTCACTAGATAACAATGTATGTACACGTTAATGATGCAATCTGCAGAATACGTATACACGTTCTCATCAGTGCAATATGCGATGTTCTCTCACTGAATAAAGATGACAAATTATACTATGAAATAAGACAATGAAAACGACAAAAGATCTTACCTTGCAGATAAAGGACAAGGCAAAGTAGAATACCAATGATTATCTTCATTTTCATCTTGAATCGCAAAAAATTATCACCATTGCACAGGCGGATAACATCATCTAAATTGACATACAAGACACTTGTCGATACTGAATCACTATCTATATCGCTTGTACACAATGTGTATCAAATATATGAGGGATCAAGAGAGAAAGAGAAGAGGAGAGAAAGAATAAGGTGAAAATGAACGAACTGAAAAAGGAAGAAAAGAAATAAATATGAACACCGGTTGCACTGTTAGAATAACAAATATAAGGCTACATAGAAGAATATGATGGTAGAAGTACTGCTGCTGCTGGTCGTCTTAGTAGTAAAGTATACTGATTGTCCCTCTTGCATGTGCGCGCGCACTCTCTCTCTCTCTCTCTGAGTCTATATAAGACAAATAAACTTTATAGTGTAAAGAAGGGAGGGAAGAAAAAAAGTTATGGCTGTTGTAATGCAGACCGAAAGTCAAATCATCTCTTCGTTCCTAATTAGAGACGATCGAGAAAGGAGTAAGACAAAGAGGGGAGAGAAGAGAAAGAGCTCATGAGAGCAAGAACGACAAAATGAAGACGAAGGAGAAAAAGAAAGAAGAGAAAGAAGAAAGAATAATCCATCTTTTCATAGTTGTTCTAGTGAACGCGAGACAACGAGTGCTAGTGTGGTTCAGGGCTATCAAAACGTTATATGTGACATCCCATTAATTCAAAGTTTGCTTGTTGTTATCTATCAGAATGCTTCTGAACATATAAATATATCTTTATTCGCTAAATGACAAGTTGTTCAGTGCGTAACGAGCTCCATTAACTATTAGATTCGAAATTGACAAGCAACTGTTGTTGGTTTGCTGATGAGATTGCATAAAAAAAACAGAGAATTGTGTCAAATGAGAGAATGATGACCATTCGCTTGTCTTCATCATTCTCATTGAGAGACGGCCTATCGTTTACTCTTTTATATCTATATGTTTCGAATTTCAAATACGCTGACGACATTTCAATGATAATCGATGAGAGAAAAGATTGATCAATTGAAATGAAATTTTCTCCATCTTCTTTTACTTACATACGATATCAATTCTTTCACATATGTAGTTTTTTCTCTCTCTCACTCTCATTCTCCTTGTGGCGAGTGACCATCATGTGTATGTATGCATATACAAAAGCAAGAATGGCTAATTGCAGTCATTAGAGTGTTCATTCTTTGCTTTCGTAGTCCCAAATGGTACCATCTACTCACTCACTCACATACATATATGTACTAAAGCAAAGATAATACAACGAAGTGTGTCATGTTCTTGAGATTGTGAAGATATGATGAGTATGTTTAGTGGCATAGTATTGCCGCTGACACTGTCGATTTATTTTCAATAAGGTTTCTATTTCTATTACATGTTGATGATGCTGTTTTACAGAGTGTTGGTTTCCGGCTTCACTTCTCGATCGATCGACGTTTTTTTTTCCTCGCTTCATGGATGTACATCAACATGCATCAGTCGAACAAGGCCATTGATATACCCATTAAGAGTCTTTTCTTCCACTAAGTCAAAGAAGAAACTGAAAATGATTCAGTATTTAAATGACAGACGTCTAGCTTCAAGTTGATAGTTCGATGACATTAAGAGAAAAGAAAGGGAGACAATGACTAAAGAGGGCGGATACAATGAATTTGATTTTATTGAGTATCACAACGATTATTGAAATTGTGCACACATATTGTATGTAACACCTTCTGTCACTCTAAGTGCTTCTATGAAAAAAAGGACAGGCAACATAAATAGGTGTCAATGGTTAACACGATTGGAATGGGTCAATGATCAGTGTTTATTGAAGGTCAGAAAATCGAAGACAAAAAAGAAAAATCACATATGTATACGAACAAATTAAATTATCGTGTCGTCTAAATCGATGTAAAACGGATGTCGATTTGCATCGTAGGACATAAGACGAATATCTCTTGACATTCTACCATAGCGGAAAGCGATTAGATGTACTGATGTTAAGCACCTCTAGACAAAGAAGAGATTTCGAATTTATTCTACTGATTAGAAATGAGATGCAATAACTAGACCTTATTGTATTTTTCTTCTCAATGAATGAACAGCACGTTCTACTCATCATCGGACTAACTTGCTGACCTTGTGTCTGCTCCCTACAGAGACAGATCAGCTATATTAAAGAACGTGCTAGTACTTTTTCTCCATGCTGACAAGATTATGTCGTTCAACGCTGGATTATTCCGCTTCTTTAGTTATTGTTATTTGTGTCATTAACTGGAAACGAACATCAGATATTTTGACAAGCTATTGTGGAGATATACACGAGTCTGTTTTTGATGATAAATGTCTCATTAAGAATTTTCTATCGAAGAAAATGCAAGGTTATTACACTTAGTTCGAGTCATTTATTATGTATTAGTTGTTGATCATGGTCGTCTTATCTGAGAAAATATTTTATCATTTATTTCCCAAAACTTCATATGCAATATTCAATAGATTTTCTTATCAATGATTATTCTATTAGAAACAAGGATCAAATGAATAGAATGAATTTTTGATAAATTGAATCACATGACAGACAAGATTCTCTTCAGAAAATGGACTCAAAGTATTCTTTGATATGTACCACAAGTCTATCGTTGTGCCTTGATATTAATCGAAGAAATGATTGTTTCTATTCTTTGTTCTATGACAATCAGACTGAAATATTTTCTTAATAGACTACAGAGTCGAGTTCTTTATCACGAGAGAACACAAGTTACCAGTATAATGAATGTCATTATGATAATGATGTCAGTATCTTCGATAATATTTGTCTTCATTTCTAGCACTTCAACGAAATAAAATAGAAAAAAAACATTCGAAGGTCAATCACACGTTTCCTTTCAGTTTGTAAAGCTTCATCAACCGAATAACTTTCTTTCGCCCTTTACTTCTCTTTTTCTGTTAACATGACCGATGATTTAATCTTGAATAACGTGGTTCAGAGAACTAAAATGATAAGAAAATGTATACGTCATCGCACTTCTAATCATATTTTATCTTCTTATGTATATGATGCGGTCAGTTAAGAAGGATAAGATGGGAGTCAAGGTCAATATTTCTGACATGAATATTAAAAAAGTTCAATTAAGATGAGAGAGTCGGTCAATCCCTTTTACGTTATTCTATCTCATGTATTACTAAAATGGTACTTATGCCATTCTAAAGAAACATCAACTGGGATGGACACGTGTATTTTATTCAAATGTAGGAATCAGTTAGAAGTATTCGAGGAAAAATCGAGTTCAAGAAAGGATTATTTACATTGATACACATGTTTGGACTATTGATGCGCGTTCTTCACTATTATTATCAATGAGATATGTAACTATATGTGAGCCAACATCCCATGGTTTGGAATCTTCGTTTACTATTGTTTCTTTATCGTCTTCATCCGTATTGGGTTTCTTTCCGAAATAAATTCGAAGTGTTGATTGAGATTTAATCCGAAAATTCTCGGGAAATTTATAAATAATTTTCGTTTTTCTATCTGCATCCCGACGTAAAACCCATCCGGACATGTTTTGATCCTGTTCCACACATCCATCGTTTTCAATATCAATATATTGATTACTATTATTCACTTTGATAATGGAAATTGAACCTTGAAACAAAGAAATTTCTATTAATCAACCAAAGTTCTACATTTAAGTACCTTTCGAATAGATTTGGGTTGAATATTTCCTTGTTTCATTGCTTTCATTGTTTGAAATCTTACGCGAACGATCATAGAACAACGCTTTCATGTCAGAAAACCAAGTGAAATTTCCCGGCCAAGTTGTTTCCTGGAAATGAAACCTCAACAAACGAGACCTGACTAAAAACAAAAACGCCTTACTGTATTCATCATCGTCGGCGTATGCATAATCTTGATAAATCGTATCACAGAAGACGAGCTATCATCGATCATATTGATATTATTGGTCATACATTCAATTTCTGCTCGAAGCTGTTTCAAATCCTGTTTCCATCGAACAAGATCATTTTCGAAGAAATCATCGTGTTCTCGTGCTCGTTGAAATTTTTGTAAAAGTTCGTTCAAAGCTGTTCTCCCATGATTGATAATTCCATCAAGAATTCCATTCAATATCGTTCGAGATTCATGGGCAACTTGTTCGATTTTACTAATCGATTCCTTTTCCCATTGATCAATTCGTTCGAAAAGAGCATGTTCACTTTGTTTCTCTGTTCGACTGCATAAATCTGCATTGATCAAATCATGTTCCAAAGCAATATTGTCCATTTCCGAAATCAACTCCTGCCGATGTTCAGCAACATGTTTCAAACAGAATGATTGTTGACAACCATCACACGAAAATGCTCCTGTACCTTTATCACATTTGGAACAACTTTTCTTCGAAAAACTATTCGAAGGAGCGCTTGTCATGATGTCCTTTTATTAAATCGAACTTTTGAATGATTGGGAGATAAACAATATATTTGTCGTTTTCATCTAACACGCTTCAATGCGTCTCACGTGAAACTAAAAAATATATTCGAGGTTTGCAATGCAGGTTAATTGTCTGTTACGTCCATTACGCGATTCTAATAGATTCGATGAAAGTATATCGTAATATCTGGAAAAATAAGTATTATATGTTGTTTTCTGTTTACAGATCGAATACATATCATCGAAGAAGAACGGTTAGCAAATGAATTGGATATGATATGTCTAAAAATTCAATTCACAAGTCAAGTTCGATTCAGAAATTTGACCATCACAAGGTGCTTTTGAGAAAAATCAACAAGATGTTCTTGTTAATAGATTTCAACGAGATACATATGATATTCAATCTAATATAATTCAATTAACAACCGTAGAAAACAAGATAACTACGTAGTTATTCGTTTATGCTTAGTTCGACAAAACATTGGAAACGAACATGCCTATGTTTTGTTCAGATTTATTAATAACAACGAAAACAAAATTTCACGCCTAAATTAATTGCTTAGTAAATTCCATGCACACTATTGCAAAGTGCTTTTCACCATCCTTTTCTCGACAAAAGTACAATTTACAATCGATTCATGTTGTTGTTTTTACATCGAACTCCAAACGATGGAATTCTATCTGATAATATCTTCTATCATCAGTAGCTGTGTCTTTTGATGTTTATAGAATCGTTCTTGGCATTGATATCTTGTACAGAAATGGCACATCAACTCAGTAAAACAACGGATTGATGCGTCGACGTTATGTAACGAGAAAGATCGTAGATTAGAAGGTTTAAATAATCAAGAGAATAATCAGCTTGAAAGGCAAAATGAGTAGCGGAATGATTCAATGCATTAGAGTCTGCTTTAACACCACATGAACTCGACGTTCACATCTGCATAATAATAATCACGTAGAAAATTTCCTACGAATCAATGAATATTTATTAACAAAAAATTCAATGTATTCATAGTGACACCGATATAAAACAAATGCTCAATCACGTCATTCTTCATCTATTGTATGACTACTGATAAAATCATTCGACGAATCGATGCCATCTGTGTTTGTGTGTAAATCTACACATTAATTACGTTACTGACACTTCAATGATACCTAAATTATTGACATATTTTCATTAACTACGATATAGACGATGAAATGTCTAAGGTTAGAAGACACCATCGTTTGGAAATGTGTGGATTGCGAAGAACTTTCAAACATTGACAATCTCGCGTACATGAATGAGCAATTCTTAGTTTGCTCTGTTATTCTTAACATCTGATCGAACACTTCGTGACATATAAATGTACAAACAAGGAAAATATGTGTGTTGATGAACATAAATAGAAAAACGAAAAACTGGAAAGAACAGTTGTTCGGTGAAATAAAGATACTTCCTTTAAATAAAAAACATCTCTATAGTTTTTATCTATCCATCTTCTTGTTCGTTCTTTGCCATTTTCTTTCTCACTAGCAACTCTGTCTGGTCCCAGTTGCTCCCTTTTCTCATAAATATAGCTCGAAGGTTACTTTTATATACCCCATAAACATCATAGAACGTCTTCGTTGTTCTCAGGCGGATGAGAAGACGAAGAAGAAAGAACGCATGTTTTCCTTTTCTCTCTCTCTCCTTCTCCCTTTCTTTCTTTCTTTTTCTCCTCCGCTATTAGTAAACGACGTCATAGACAGAACGAACACAATCCTCGCATAACATCCTGTACTACCGTTGAGATTGACATCGTCGCCATTGAGAGAAAAAGGTTTTTTACAAACTACATACTGAATAGGCCTACTTTTGTCTAGTTGCGAAACACAACAATACTTGATCAACAACATCGTCGAGGAAGAGAATACACATCAGAATCATCTGGCGCGCATTAGGAATGTAACATCAGTGAAATATTCTCTTCCCATTTCGTTTATATTTATAATGTTTACACTTTTACCGTCTCTTTATATTATTGCTGTTCATTACTTTCGACAATGGAATGCACCTTACTATTACGAAGAAAATATTCATGCAGAAGAAGAAGAAACGAAAACATATCGTACGTGTTCTATTCATGAAGACAATCGTATTGAATTAGCAACGAATGTACAATCATCAAAATCGATGCCAAGTTGTGATAATAATCCTGTTCTTCTTCACGATAATAAAGAAACGCTGATAATTAGCGAACAATTGACTCGTTCGAACCTTGTGAAAAAAAATGGATATTTATCGAAATCGAACAATGACGAGGACGAACAGTTAGCTAAATTAAAACTACGGGCGAGAAAACCTCTCCGATCCTCGTCATTGTTGAATGTCGGACGACAAAAAACCTACACAAATGATCTTAGTGAAAATGATATTATTCATTTAATGAACGAGACAGGATTTACTCGAGAGCAAATCTTATTGTGGCATAGTGATTTTCTTGTACGTTCGCAATCGATTCGATTAATCTTTGGATTAGACGTGCCGTTATTCTGTTTTTTCCTTTTAGCGTGATTGTCCCGATGGACGACTCTCCAAAGCGAAGTTTATTGATATTTACAAACAATTCTACAAGAAAGGTCAGGTTGCAAAGTTTTGCGAACATGCCTTTCGTGTCTTTGATAAAGATGGTTCAGGTTTTATAGGTATGTCATAATGATGATATCGAGAAACGATGTGACTTTCATCTTGATTAGATTTTGTCGAGTTTCTGATTGCTGTTAGTATGACATCGACGAAAGATCCTGTGCGCAAAACTGAATTATTCTTTTCAATGTATGACATTGATCGAAACGGTTTGATCGATGAAAGTGAAATGCGATGTGTCGTTGAGGTGAGTTTCAAAGGAGTTATCATCGTCAAAATCTTGACATAATATTATATGTGAATTGTGATCAGTTTTCGTCACTCTGAGTTTCTTTTTATTTCTTTTCATTAAGAGCAAATAGCTTTCTCTCTTTTTTTTGTGTGTAATTGCTTTGACATTTTCAAACGCATATTGATGTGTTATTCTCCTACAGAATAGATGTTTATCGGGCGTTGTTTTATTTTGCTTTTTTTCGTTTTAGTCTATCTACGAATTGATGGGCATTGATGTCCATGATTCGACGAGGATCGACATGAAAGTTCAAGAAATCTTCGCCAAAGCTGAATGTGATCAATCTGGATACTTAACTAAGGACCAATTCGCTTTGGCGTGTAAGAACGATCGATATATTCGAAAACTTCTAGTGCCAAATACGAAAGCGCCTAGCAATCGGTGAAAACGAAAACACGTACACTTCTTCTATTCTCATCCGAATGATTGTACATACGAAAAACGAACTTTTCTTTCGCTCTTGTTTTTCAACCTCTAGCGTACATAGAAAAATTACGGTGTACTAGTCATGAAATAACTGCATACTCTACTTTCGATTTTCACAGTGTAAACTTTATCATCTATTATGTTTAGATGAATATCACTGGAGAGAAAAAGCAAAGATAAATTGTGTATTCATTAGATGCATATATTGATCATGTTAATTTATTTCTGATTGAATCGATAGCAACGACAAGGTTTTATTTGAATGTCATTTCTTTCTCTCATGTTTTTTTTTCTCTTCGATTCTTTGTGAACATCACGTGTTGTCGGCGTTTAAAGAATTCAAATCTCAATACTTCTTACTCTAAAACGGATTGAATTAATCCGATTGGTATTGAATATCTTCTCACCAGAATTAATTACATTCGAATAAATGCCAAGAAAACACGTTTCGAAACAGAACTCATGATTGAATTTCAAAGTTGTGAACAGAATAAATCATGGAAATCGCATTTTCCCTCCAGATTTCGTCGATTTTTTTGTACAACAAATTCAATCAAAGTTAACATGGTGCATAGCGACGACTTCGGTTGATCAAGTACTCCGAAAATATTCTCCAATGTGTCAGAAGATCGACGAATAATCAGTTCTAACAAACACACGGAGGCTTCGGTTATGATACACACGTTAAACAGTGCTTTTGTCTCTATCCGACCGGTATACAAACTTCACGAATAGAACAAAAGCAAATGACTTCAGTGCAATAAGTGAAAAGTCGCGGGAAACGACCATCTTGATTAATCAGTTGGAATGATCAGTAAGAGATGAGATAAGTATTCACATATACTATCGAACAGTGACACGAAGTTGTTCATTTGTAGATTAGATAAAATTTTGTTATCCGTGCACTTAAAATAAGCTACTGTTGTTCGCATCGAGATAAAAGACTTGATTAGTGAAGTAATCCAATCAGTATTTTGGCATTCTCTTATACTCTCCATACTATTGATCATGATTTGATTAATGAAAACGAAGAAAAGAATTGGAAATATATCATTTGTCACTTATGTTCATCGAAAGAAGCGAAAAAACACACACACACACGCACACACAAAGGAATCCTTATCAGATAAAATACGTATCATTTTCCTGTTTATGTCGATACGTGCACATGAACAAAGAAGAAAAAGACACAGAAATAAAAGAAGTCTTTCAAAATCGTTTTCTTTATGGAGTAATGAGTAATACATTGATTATAAATTCATATATATCTTGATTAGTTGTTAACTCAAGAAGCTGAAGGTGCAAGTAATTTGCGTAAATAATCATCTTGTAAACAGCCTGTAACAAATTCATCTTTCGACAATTTTTGATCGCTATTCACATCCATCTTTGAAAAGATTTGATCGACCTTAATTTCCGGTGAATTCGAACCTTTCTTTTCTTCGCCAAGAAGATCATAAATAGCCTAGAAACAAGTCAGTTAATAATCAACAAATGAAAAATTTGCTTCTTACGTCCATAATTTTCTTCATTTCCTTTTTCTCGATATATCCATTACGATCAATATCTGATAAATAATAGAAAAAAAATATTCATTAATAAACAATTAAAAGCAAATAGCAGAGCAAAGGAAAACAAAAAGAAGAAATAATGATGAATACATACCATACATGGAAAAGGCCCATTCTAATTTTTTTCTCGGATCTTGTTGAGCTGTGATCGAAATGGCAATTAGAAATTCGCCAAAATCTTAAATAAGAGAATAACAATCAAATTTATTATTCCATTCTTCTCGACTATCAACAATAAAACCGCAGTGAACGGGTTCCGATTCACTCCAATATGAATAGAAAAGTAGTTCTGTTGTCGATAGTTGAACCCCCTTAAGTAGTTTATCAATATAAAGTAATGCATTATAGATTATATGTTATTTCTAAATGATTTCCTATAGTTCTACCTTACTATTAGTATTTCTCAAGAGACACTCAGGTCATTGCTTTTCAATTATTCGCTTGGTTTTCCTTCTATGTATTGATTCATTTGTTTAAACAAACTTACCTATATTGCCTGAACCGTCGGTATCAAAAGTACGAAAAACGTATTCACAAAATTTTTCAGCTTTTCCAGTCGGATAGAATTGCTTGTAAACTTCGATAAACTTCTTCTTATTTAGTCTTCCACTTGGACAGTCTTTCTAAAAAGAAAAAGAATGAAATAAACGCTGAGGATAGGACTAAAGACATTCGTCAACGTGCCCTCGAGATATAGAATATAAATCGATTTTTCTCGTGTGCATATTCAACGAATATTGTGTTTTTCTCGTCAACTGATATGTTAGTCACTGGAAAAAGATGCCCGAACAGATGAAAAAAAAAGCACATCGACATGTCAATCGACTGATTTATATCGAAATCGAAAAGAATGCACAGGAAGTAGCAATCAGAACTAAAAGCCTTGAAGTTTTATTACTCTATTTAGTTCCTCATTTTTCTTTCGTTTTTTCTCCTTCTTCGACACACGATTGAAGAGCAATCGATGCATGCTTGTGATCGAGTGGATTGTCACAGCAGTAATTCCATTCATTGCCTCTTTTTTTCTTTCATGCATTCTTATCTAATGAATATAGAACATTGTAACTTCATGATGACGATGATAATACTCATGCTTGCGCCTGAAGTAATACGATCATACGCACAGACGTAGCTGATGCAATTAGACAAAGCGTAATTTTCCTTCTGTCATTTGTCTTTTATCAGCGATGATTTATTTTCATTGAGAGAAATAAAAAAAAAACCGTCCATGACATAGATAGAAAACAGAAGAAGAAAAATCCTATGAAGAAATTTTAACTAAAAAAGGAAACGTGCGAGAAAGTTCTATGCGTCTATAAACACACCTGCACAGGTAATGAATATAAAGTGTGTAGACTCGTGCTTCTACTAGCGTAATATTGTTTGTCACTATGACGCATTAGTCAAGTGTCCATTTGCTATTTATATATGGAATAGAAGCAAGTGTGCAAATGAGATTTGGTCAGGTAGACAAAGAAAAGTCAAGAGTATGATGGGGAAAAGTGGAACGTATATGCGCAACATCTATTCGAAGTAAGAAATACACGGAGAACTTACCAGGAAACCTGAATGCCATTCGCGAACTTGTTGGGGGGTGAAGCCCGACAGATTCGATAGTTCCGTCACATCACTATCGGAGAGTGTTTTACCTCGCTTGACACGCGCTTCGCTATTACCCATGATCTTGCTTGAAATCTATGTAATTAATTTATTATAGAAAATTGTAGGTTTAAGTATCAAATCTACAAAAGGAAAAAAATATCAATAGAACGAAATACACGACAGAGAATAGGTGACAGTTAGTTTGTCGAATGAATGAGTATATCTCTGTTTTCTTTTGTACTTTCACGTTTCAAATGAAAGAAGATGTTAGAGTAAGAGGCAGGACATGAGGAGAGAAAAAAAAGAAGAGAGAAAGAGAGAGAGAGAGAGAAAGAAAGAAGAGAAGAATAGAAAAAAATATAGAAAGAAAAAGAAATGAGAGTCGAGAAGAGAATATTTTCAGATTTTTTGTCGTATGTCAAGTTTATTCAATATTATGACTAACCTTCACATTTTTTTCTAATTCGACTTCATCAAAAAGAATCAATTGATTTAGTTGTTTTCAATTAAAAAATGATCTGGCGCGGACAAAAAAACTTTGCGTGTTTGATTAGAATCAACATGTATTTAAGAGAAGAAAAAGGCAATTATGTGTTCATGTCCGCTGAAATCCGATCAGCAAAAGTCAAAGAATGTCTGTGGAAAAGTTACTTTGATACATCAGCACTTGTTTTACTTAAATTTCAGAAGAGAATGTGAGACGCCAATAAACCTGATTCATTCATATACATTAACAATGAAGCACGCCCACACGTACACACTTTTTTTTTTCTTTTTTTTTCAAAAACGCATCGTCGAATATATCCACCTGTATAGGCTAGCTGTTCTCACTTAAGTATACAAATGACAGAGAAAAAGCACTCAAAGATAAATGAAACACACAGAGAAGAAGAGAATAGCAGTTTCACGTTAGAATGCACTTTCTTTTGATTAAGTTTCGCTCTATTGGCTCTCGCTCATGTCATTTTTTTACTCATACTAACATAAGAAGAAAAAAACGCCTATCTTCTTTCAAAGCTTTTGTTCTCGAAGAAAATAAAATCATTTTGTCATTTATTAGGGTTTATCATGCAATCGACAAAAAAAAAGAAGATGTTTAGTTTCAGCTTTACTCTTATGTTGTTTACTGTTTTCCTTTCACATATCTGTCATAGTAGACTCTACATACCCTTCGCCAAACACGCTACTCGCTTTTGTGATCTATCTGCTGATGTATGCGTTTTAAATTCATTTCTATTCTCTCTTTTTCTCTCGATTTAGTAAGGAGTAGTTTATACTGGTTAGAGAATGTTTTTAGACTAAACTGTAATTCTTTCTCATCTAAATAATACGAGAAGAACGAGAAAGAAAAGAACGAGAATATACGACAGTGTAAAGTAGAGTATGGTAAATCTATCGATGGGTTATTTTTGTTAGCGAAGAGATGATCGAAAGAAGAGAAAAAAAAGGGTACTGATAATGGTCAATCGACTTACTATTGACTGGAATAATCTTTTTTGATAGGTTATTGATGCGTATGGAATTGTATAGAACGAAAATTCAATGCGAATAATAAAATTTGATGAATAAGAACAATGTATTTGCATTTAATCAACTTATTCTAGTTTGATAGTTACGATGAATTATTTATAGGACTTTGTTTAGTTACTTTTCTTTCTTTTCTGCTTTTTTTTTTGTAAAAGTTAACAAACGTCTAAGACAATATTGAATTTACCTATCAGAAAAAGAATGATAAGTAAAGCTTGGGCTAAGGAAACATTGGATGCCATGGTTTCGATCGGAGAATGTGCTCAGCACAGCACATATCTTGATGAACAAGATGTTCATCGAAGTGTGGCGATAATGATCGAGTGCGTTGATATTTTGATCGTCTTGTCAATATTCGTTGGTGAGGAATAAATGGCGAATCTTCTTTTTCCTTTTCCTCGCTGACTTTTTCTTCATCGTCGTCGTTGTCTTCTTCTTCTTCTTCATCATCATTATCATCAAGCATTTTTTCTGGGTCATCGACTACATCGTGTGATTCCTTATCGATAATCGTGGCAAATCGAAGCATCGCTAACGTCTCGTTAGGCATGTCTATATATTCTTTTCGACGTAGTAGTTCGCGTCGGATTCTACTCAATCGTCGAAGACGCCAGTCTCGACGTTTTCGATTACGAATAACGTGTACGATTTGTAACACAGCAAGAAGAATTGCGATCATCATCAATTGTAATACTAATAAAATACGATCTCCTTCACTGCCTTGTCTAACATGATGACGAGAATGATATTCATCAGGGTCCATCCTTGTACAATAATGAATAATATGTTGTTGTTGTTTCCGAGATGATCCCATGAGGAAATGATTGGAAATCGGCTTACTTCTATTTCTTCGGAGATTAGTTTTCGCAAGGTTTTCGAGTAGATTTGGTGTCAATACGAGACAAAATGTGAAATGATCATTGATCGATCCACGGATTTCTTTCTCATAATAACCTGTAAAGGGACTAATATCAATTTTGTAATTCATTGATGGTAATTTGCTTATGTAGACATGTGCATTGTAAAGATTTGGATTCTTTCGGAACAGAAATGTCCGTGTTATATCAAATTTGATTAATATTGTGACATGATCAATAACATCATAAGAAAAGAAATAATGATCTAATGAAGTTAGATCCTCGTGAAGTGTTGGACTGATCAAATCATCTTCGTTGCGTTTCAATAATGTCGAACTAGCCGTTTCATTCCGTTCAAATATATTCCGCGATAAAGCACGTTGAACTAAAAGATAACTAACGAGTCGAAATAATGTGTGCATGTGTTTATCAAACATATACTCTATGCCTTGTCATCCAAAAATGAATGTTATACGTAAGATTTATGCTTCTACTTTGTGATAGTAGGATATGCACATTCTTGGCACGTGACGCAAATGATGTATAGATTTTGATCATATCTTCGTACTGATACAATCTTTATTTATGTATAAAATTAGATATTTGTATGATATAATAGAAAAATAGATGTTATTTTAACGAATATTCAAAGTGAATGAATCACGAGAGGTGCGAACATGCACATGTATGTATTTGTTTTTAAGTTTGAAATGAGAAGAAAAAAAGCAGTTTTCTCTGCATCTCTGACTTGTTTGCATGAGATTGTAACTATGATGTGAGTTGCTTTCTGTTTCTTTGCATTTATTGATTATGGCCATGACAGACACTACATAGATTTGATTTTTTATTTCAATAATAACAATAAGCTATTTATTGAGAAGTGAACATAAACAGAGGAAAAAACGCAGCATACTCATCGCAATGCTCTGTCCTAAATGCGGCAAAACTTTGCTCGCACGCGAAGGTATCCTTCAAGCTGGTCGTAAGTATCATCGAGAGTGTTGGACTTGTGGTGAGTTTATTATTGAAAAACGCATTTGACGAACAATAGTTAGTCGTGACTCTATTTCTATTATTCATATTCAGCACAATGCTCAGCCCCATTAACATCCTGGGTTCGATTACAACCAATCAGTGATGAATACCTTTGTAACATCTGTCATATTAGAAAGAATGGATTGAGAGAAGGAATGCTTTTTGCTAATTGGAAGAAGCAAACAGATTCAAGTTCGACTTTAAACATACAGTAAGACATGATTGAAGTTCTTCGTTGAACAATGAAGGAATTGTTTGTTTGGACGGTATTTAGATCAGCAAAATTGTCCGACGATATTCTTCTTATTTGAAACCATTTTGAAACGAACAAATATTTGAGTACCTTTTTTATCTATAAATATATAATATACTTTTTATTTGATTTTAATTTAATAAGAAAAACTTTTTGTAAATTAGCTAATGTCATAGAGTTTTCGTTAGTTTGTAAAGTATTGTTCTTTAGGAAACTAACCGAAATTGTGATGAATGACAAAACCAATTCAATTATAGAATTGGATGCATAATTCCTTTGATCCGTACTACTGTCGCTTCGTAATCAAATAGCATACTTTCTATGTACTTAAGATTTGTATTGTATGTTGATATCGCAAAGACCTTGAATGATTTAGCATTGAAATAACATGATGACATAGGAAACTCGATTTACCTTGATTTGGTTCTTTCAATTTCTATAAATAAAAGTTGTAATCTGTCCGAGTTACTCAATAATTACGAAATTATTATTAATAGTTCATGTCTGTAAAAATTCTTGTAAAGATGTGTATGGTTGCTATATTCTGAGGTGACTATACACAGTTGATTCTCACTATTCCGCCGTTATAAATTCTTCTGTTTATTCTCAAAGATTCTCCGTAGTCGAAAGGCTATTCTACAGACTTCTGGAATGCTTTTTCAGTCATCGGATGATACGTTCCAACACATAATGAATGTGAGGAAGCATGAGTGCCTTCTGATGAAAGACGAAGCGAACGGATCCACCAATCCCTATCACTGGAGACCCTTTCGTCGAATACTACAAAATGTCATCACTTTTTTTAAAGTTCATGTGTAATAACACAGATACATGTATACTGAATTGGAAAATTTCATATAGATTCAATTGCTCGTTTTGTTTTCTTCGAATTTTACTACAACAAATTACTAAAGCAAGATTCATGATTTTCGAATATTGTTCTTCCAGTTTATCTTCACATGATTGAGATAGTCCTAATTGTCTTGTATCTAGTGACATCTAGATGAATCGCATAGTGTCCATGCTATTGCAGCAGAGTGGAGAATATGATTCATGGTGTGCATCAATCAGATCTCTTTTGTAATAACATACAGTTTTTGTCTCCAGTGCGTACGCAGATGAACCAGATATTACGTTTTCGTCCGGTAATTTCTTTACTAAGCCGTGCATCAATTCGTCCTTTTCATTTATCGTCTACACGATCAATCGAATGGGCTGATATTGACGAATATACGAACAAAGTAAACAGTTCGGTTTTTATAACAACTGATGTTTACGAAAAAGACGGTACGGTAATTTTTTCACATACGGTTTTTTACATAATTCTCCATTGAAAATAGATGAATGGATTCAATATGAGGCTCGCCGAAATGAACGACTAAGAAAAAGACGCGAAGAATTTCTTCTTGGTCCGCCGAAAACTAAATCTGTTGTATCGAGTGATCGAAATTCGACGACATGTCCATCAGCAAAATTCAATCGAAAGGAACCCGATGTAAAGTACGATCTAGACGATGATCGACCTAAACAGATGAATGATCCATATTTACCACCGCCACATAAATGCATCTTTTGTGAGCATAATCTGAAGATTGACTTTCGGAATACTGAATTACTTAGTCAATTCATATCTCCTCAAACTGGTTTTGTTTTTAACCAACGTACAACTGGTTTATGTTATTTCAAACAAGTAGAATTGGAAAAGGCTATTCTCAAAGCTCGCCGTTTCCATCTAATGCCATACAAATGGAAAGAAACTGTCTATTTAGATGATCCACGTTTGTTTAATCCTTACGAGGACAACATGAAGAAAGTGATCAGTAGCGAAAAAGAAAAATACGGACATTAAAATAAACAATCACTGTTTTGTTCTAGAAAACTAAATTGCTTGTTTGTTTTTCTTTCAGATAAAATTCAACGATCAATGTATAATGGCAGAATCAACACCGTATGCGATCATAATCCTTTCTGTTCATCAACATTGTTCTCTTGACTTTCTAGTTCTTCAAATCCATCGCCGAAAAAGGATTCGCTATTTTGGGGTAAAATAGTGGCAACACAATATCTCATTCGACATCCATTTTGGAAAAGTTTCTCCTTGCCGATTATCATCGGACAAATCTCAGCGAACACTCAAGCCGAGTATGTAAATCGAATTTCACGAAAATCTTCTTTCTATCTATTCACATTTAGTTATACTACTTCCAATTATCTTATAATTGTATATATTCTAATCGCATTCCATTTCTTAAGTGGTGTTTTCGTTAGTGATCGAAAATTTCGTCACGCACTGGGATTTCTACCACATATAGTCGCACTCGGTTGTACGTCTTACTTGTTTTATTCGAATATTCTTCAACAACTCACTCCATGGTTGAAAGTAAGTTCAATCCATTTCGAATTTTTCCTCGAAACATAAATATCTTTCAGATTCGAATTATTATCCACTCACTTGGTACAATCTCAACGTTCTGCTTTATTGCGAGTTTACATACAAGTAGTCTATCATTCCGTGCCATCTTACGTCGTTTATCATCTTATTCAAATGTATTCTATTTGGTTCTGAATTCCTACGTTCTGTGGTGGTCAACCGATGAAACCAATTTATTTGACACCTCTCTTTGGACATTCGTGATTCGTACACACGCAATCCTGTGTTTTCTAGCCTCGGGTGGATTCTGCTTGGATATATTCATCATTCAATCATGTCAATTAGCGATTTATTTGATTTGTTCCACTCTTGCCTTGGATCTTTGTATACTTTACAAAGCATCGCAATCAACCGCTAATTACTGGCTACTGATCGATTACATTGTCGATGATATTGCAATTATCTGTGGATGTTTCTATTTTTATCAGTTTAATTTACATCAGAAGAATAAGTTGAAGAAACAAGACTCGAAAATTTCGTGAATATTTTCTTGTTCAGTTTTCTAGTCAAAAGCGAAGAAATGGAAATAGAGATAGATTTATTTTATATATTAATCTTGCTTTTTAGATTAACATTCGAAAACATGGGTAAAGATGGTGGTTTTTTAACGCCAAAAGCTATCGGCAATCGAATCAAAGCGAAAGGTCTGCAGAAATTACGATGGTATTGTCAATCGTGTCAAAAACAATGTCGTGATGAGGTAAACAATCCATGCGTTACTATTTTTAGCACCTATAAGACACGAGATGGTACAATAAACTTATTTTCATGTTTTAGAATGGTTTCAAATGTCATATACAAAGTGAATCTCATCAGCGACAATTACTGTTGGTCGGAGAAAATTCTGGGAAATATGTTGCCAATTATTCACAGTAAATTCAGACAATCTTGTGCATTTTTTCCATACTGATTTGTTTATGATTGATTTTCAGCGAATTTCACAGTGGATTCTTCAGCACATTACGACGTTCGTTCGGCACGAAACGTGTCCTAGCAAACACTGTCTATTGCGAATATATCAAAGATCGTGACCATATTCATATGAATGCCACTCGATGGGTTGCCCTAGCCGGGTACGTTCGATGGCTTGGTAGTCAGGGTAAGACTGACTTGATGAACGAAATAGCACCTTTTGGTTTCGTCTAGGTCTTTGCGAAATTGAACAAACGGAACGCGGTTGGTATGTGACACTAATTGATAAAGATCCTGATTCAGTCAGACGTGAAATGGATTCCGAGAAGAAACAAAAGATGGATCTCGATGACGAACAACGACGACAAAAGTTGATTGCTGAACAGGTTGGTTTGTTCGAGAGAAATAAAAGTGTTTTTATATCGATGTTGATTTAGATCAAAAGAGATCAAGAAAGAGGAATTCAGCAACCGGAGCCGGTTTATAGTGATCTTGTTCGAAAAGATGAAGATGAAAAAGGTAATTTCCTATTGAGCTAATTCATATACACTCGTTTCGTTTCGTAGTCCAAGTAACGTTCAATCAGATGGTCGTCGCAGAAAAGAAAAAGACTCTTCCGTAAGATCGTTACATGTTTCTTGCCTTTCATTAAGCAACTTTTTTGTTTAGAACATCGATTTTGGTTACATCAAGTAAAAAGCGGCAGACCACGACAGATGAAACTCCGGACGGCGTCGAAGCGAAAAAACAAAAGGCTGAGATGCAAGAAGAACCGGCTGCAACAGAGTCAGTGTTCAAGAAGCCATTACCAGTCGCCTCGTCAAAGCCGAAAAAATCCGCATTGGAAGAATTGCGAGAGGTAGAATTAAACTGCCTCCTATTTCGTTTTCACACATCACTAAAATCGATTGGATTTAGATGGAAGAAAAAAGAAAAGAAGCAAAAAATCGTAAAGATTATTGGTTGCACGAGGTTTGACTTCATTTCTCATTTTCACTCACTCACTCGTTTCTGATTTAGGGCATCGTAGTTAAAATAATCACTTCTAAACTTGGTGACAAATGCTATAAAAAGAAAGGCGTCGTTACTAAAGTAGAAGACCGTTACCAAGCCGTAGTCAAAATAATCGACACGAATGACAAAGTTCGCGTTGACCAAGCACATGTGGAAACTGTTATTCCAGCCATAGGTAAAAGCTTTCATTGTCAAGATATTTGAAAACTAACCAATGACTTCATTCTCTTTAAGGTAAAAAAGTCTTGATCGTTAATGGAGCATACCGTGGGGAAGAAGCAACCCTAGAAGATATTCATCAAGACACATTCTCTGTTGATCTTACTCTAACAACGGTTGGTCTCTCATTCTAATGACTATGTCCGTATTAACGTTGACCTTTTTCTCTGTAGGGACCCATGGTTGGCATGCGTTGCAATAATGTTGCTTACGAGGACGTTTCCAAATTAGCCGATTAATGACTCGTGAATTTATTTGTATATGTACAGTTTTGAGGATTCGAACGAATAAATGTGTTCATTGAAACGAATATACAGTAACACACGATAAAAATCTGCGAATTTACAAGGCGTTCATTGAAAGCAAAGAGAATGTCTACAGATAACAAGTAGATCAACGCGAAGATTTCTATGTGCCTTACAGTTTTAGGCGTGTATCTATATTTATCCATAGGATTTATTTTCTGCGACGTTCATCAATATTCATGAAGCATCACGATTTTCTGTTCGTTAATTAAATTCTAATTAATTCCATGATTAGTTATCTAGTCCAAAGAAAAGACATTCTTTTTCAGAACTAGTGTCTGTCGCTAATTATCATTCGAAACATGCGATTGACTATCAGTCGATGTTTCGCACGGTATACTCAATCGTTTAGTAAATTCTTTTACATTGATTAGATCACGATTAATATATACCCTTGAAGCTCTTCGATCGTACATCGTCGATGTCAAATCATTAGCAGCCAGAACTTGTTCTTCAATAGGTGCGCTTAGTTTCACATTAGCCACTGATGCTAACTGCAGACGAGCTGGTACTTGATTTAATCCAGCATGAAGTGTAGTTGCTGATTCAATCGAAGTATTTTTTCTATTGTTTGCCGATGTCTCGTTTGTTCTCGCACCGAACACAGTTATATATGGTCGACTGTGAATTAAATGTTGTCCGACACGATTAACAAGACTTTTCTCGCGGGCCGTTTGAACTATATAGATGATGGCCATCATTATAAAAATAATCACGCATTGGGACAGAATGAAGTACCCACTAGGTCCTACAGAATGACTCTCTGACTCCGTGTCATGTGAAGAAGATTCTGTGTTTGATAGATCTTCGATGGTACGACAAAAGATGATTTCCCTGAAGATTGCTGTCGATGTCAGATTTAATAAAAGATGCAAACATATATTATGTGGTAATGGTTTAATAGTTGAATAATTAAGGATAAATGACGATGCATTGACACAAACATCGGTTAATATCGCCAGTAATTCATCGTTTTTTACATCTCGAATAAAGATTGTTTTGTTAAGAATAGAATTATTCGTCACCGGGTACGGAATAGTAAAAATGATTTGAATTTTATACAGAACAATTGAATGATCATCATCTTCATCGTCGTCACTTGATAATGTTTGTTGTTGCCACGAAGATTTGAAATAATTCGTATTGTTCTTGTTGATCGCCATCGAAGTATTATTGTTATTTGTATGTGGGTCGAAACTAGATCCATTTGATAAAGTATCAATATTAATCGATTGTGTCGAACAAATATCTGTTGACAGATGTTGCTGATCGGTAAATGACATATTCAAATTGACTTCATCGCTATTTTCATCGATTCTTTCTGGATAATAATAGATTTGATTATTTATCATCATCGATATAGATAATGTTAGCTTAAGCATTAGAAAGCATATAGAAATCCGCACAGACTTCATTCGTCTTATTGAATGATCGGGATAAAATTTCGTTTATTTTGTTTGTTCCGTCTCAATATTCTACACATTCATCATCAAACCCTTCGCACAGGCTTTCTATCTTAATTATGTTTTTTCCCTTCGCTCTTTTCTGTGTCCATTCTGACATTTTGTTATTGTACGCTTTTTGTTCTCTCCCTTCTCTTCAATTGAAGTCTAGATTTGAAGACATCATATAAATTGTGAAGCAGCCGCCTCTTTCTTACTTAATCATTAATCAAAATCAAGATCTTTCTTTTCCTTAAAGATCTGGAGAAGAAAAAACGATTCGGAATAGTCTGATTTCTTCTTCTTTCACTCGATTAGAAATGACTGAGTAGGTTTCTCTTCGACTTTGTGATGCTATTCGAGGCATCAGCTGCATGACAATAACGAGAAGGAAAAGAGAAAGAGAAAGGAGAAAAATGCTTCTATTAGTTCCGTTACTAACAAGAACGAAAAACAAAATTATTTTGCCATCAGTTCTTGATGTGTGCCTGTGTGTATGTATACATATATCATTTTTCTAAATAGTACGAGATAGTCTGTTCTTCGATCAGAGAGTTTCAAAGATCATATTTCTTTTCCAAATGAGCTCATTAATGATCTGGCTGTGTTTATGGTCTTGTTTTGTTGTTGTTATTCTTGCACCACCGTCACCGCTGAAGATTAATCAAACTCGATCTTTAGAGAAGATCACGAATCGATCAGATCCCAATGCAAAAACCTTCGTCGAACATCGAAAACCGACTACTAACAAGACAATTATGACTTCTCCAATAAATCTTCATCTATTCGATATTAATACATATCGAAGTTCGTGGAAATTTGTCGATAAGAACACCGTTCGCGTTCGTTTTCGTCTACATGAAATCTTGATCTCTCTAGTTACAGAATCGCGTTTTATTGTTCGTCATATTCATACTGATCATATTCAAATGTATGAAAAGCCGCATGAAATGATTAATTCCACATTTACACTCTATTTGCATAATATCAAACATGGTCGGCATACGGTCTGCTTGTTACTTTATACATTAAAGTTCGTTCGAACTCCGAAATATACGTTCTGTCAAGATATTATTTTTAATTTTCAAAAATATGGTCACCACGATACGGACTCGGATGAATACGGAAATACGTTTTTCTTTCTTCTTACGCAGTACTCGATTGTGATAGGAATTCTTTGTATATTACAATTAGTTCATACTGGTCGGAAACATCGGTTTCTTAAACTTGTTAATGCGAAAGCCAATGCTCTGCGAAATGTCATGACGGAATCTTATCGTCGTTCACCAGAGAATAAATCATCCGCAGACAATGGGAATATTCGAACGAATGCATTGGAATGTTTGATGTATAATTTAAATCGAAATGTTCTCTTCAATCTCGATCAAATGTACATGCAAACCGCCAATGAAGACGATGAAGAAAACACGAACAATAGTTTGCCGATAATCGATCAGAAGAGAACAAAACGTGGAACATTTTTGAAAATACCTGATCACACTGATGAGTATTCTAAGTCATCTTTACATCGTCGATCAGTGGCGAGAACGACAAATGATCTTGACTCAGATTCAGACGAAAATTCTGATGAGGGTGAATCCGATTCACGATCTGATGACGAACAATCAACTAGTTTCAAAACATTATCACACATTCTTGAAGATAATAAGCCATGGTTGTCACGTTTGAATGATGATGGGAATATTCAACATTCGATATTACCCACACAAAGCAGCCAAAGACCAACTTTTGTTTAACTGTGTAAGTACAAACAGATATAGCAAAGTTGTACGATATTATGTGATTTTTTTCCTTTGACCAATAAAAAAGACTTGTTCCATAGTTGTTGTTGACACGGACATGTGTACAAATGTGTCTTCACACACACCATCCTCCATCTGGTTCCTTTTATCATCTATGTGCGTTGCTTTTACTATTGATTTGTCGAGTGACGACAACGCTAATGGCTGTTGTTTCAGTTGTTTTGAGTATTGAAAAACAGAATAACGTACAGCTTGTACTTTCTGAATTCAGTTTCTGTTGTCTGAGAAGAAATAAATTAACTCTAAGACACTTTTGAACCTTGATCATACCGATTTCAAGTTCTGTCGACTTTAGTAATAATATCTGAACGTTCTGCTCATCTCTCAGCATAGAATCAATATCACTAGAGTTGTGATACTTATCTCAACGAATTTGCGATAGAGACTGCCGAATGTTACTCAAAGGAAATCCCAAGATCTAGCAATATTTTCAGCTGTACCAAAAGCAATGTTCAATTCTGTGAAAATCGCGTTTCTCTTGCAAAACAAAAGTAATGAGCAGTTGCTACGTTGACAAGAGTATACCAGAGTGCTATGGATTGAGGGTATAAATGGCCCTCGTGCCCAATAGTTCCACACCTGGGAATGGAACGGATTTCGTACTATATTTAGCAAGATTATTCCAAATATAGTTATTTTATTTACATACCGCTATCGACAATATTAAGCAAAGCCGTTATCTATTTCTAATTTTGAGGATAGAAACGAGAGATAATAGTGATGTTACTACGTATTAAGTATTCGTTAGTAGGTTTTGAAGCAGACATTACCGTGCATCGATCGTTCATACAATGGTTTGGTATTCTGCTTGCCGGTCTATTTCTAATTGTACTTATTTACTTACTATAACCATACTACGACGTGAGACGATGACTACGACCGATTTACAGGATGTGAATGTGCCTTTACAGAATATTGAAAGCTTCAACATCAAATTCTTATCTTGCTATGCATCAGAGTCTATTTACGCAGATTTCAGACTGATATGAATTTTCAATATAAACAATAACTCATATACAACTCATTATGCTTTATGAATTTCAGCAGATGTCGCCAATTTCCTGTACGTGATGAGACCGTTTTCTGTTAACCAATGAAATAAGGAAAGTCTTAAGATTTGTTTTTATTCGTTGTAAATCTAAGTAGAGACTGAATTCATAATAGGTGCAAGTACAATTCGTAACTTCAACTTTTTACATATCTCCCGTAAAAATGAATCAATTAGAGGGTCGAAAGTTGAAAATCTCCGTCGTTACACCAAGCCACAATCGAGTCGAGTATCTAAAAGTGGCCGTTATGTCTGTTCAAGTAAACGTACTTGCACCATTGGATATTGAATTCGAACATATCATTCATGATTGCGGCTCAACAGATGGAACAAAAGAATATTTTATTGGTAATTTACCACCAGAACGTATTTTCCACATCAAAGATCAAGGAGATAACAAGGAATCAACAAAAGACCGCCAATGGATTCAAGCAACAAAAGATCTGCGCAAAGATGGTAAAGGAGAATTAGCTGATAACATCACATTTATTCGATCAGAACACAAAGTGCCACCTAGTCAGGCACGAAATATATGTATTCAGAAAGCAAGCGGGCAATTCATTTGCGTTTTAGTATGTTTAAATAGTTGTAAAAAGGTTTTTAATCAAAGAATCGATTTAGGATGACGATGATGTTTTTCTTCAACGTACAATTCACAATTTCGCTTCGGCCATTCTTTTAAACCCAACAAAGAAATTTTTCACATCGGACTTTTTACGCGTCAATGAACATTTACAATACATGCCAAAGGAAGACTATTATGGATGGATTTATTCATCACCACACGAAATGTTACAAGCCATTTTCGACAGTTGTCATTTTATTCAAGGTACGCAAACTAAAAACACTCACCTATTGATTGCATTCATTTTCTATCTACATAGGCAATGTATGCTTTAGTAAAAAGCTGTACGATGAAGTAGGCGGATATGATGAATCCGTTGGTATGGCTGAAGATTTAGATCTTTATGTACGTTTTCTTATCCATGGGCATTTGAATGTTTATCTGCCAATGATCTCGCATTTACATCGTATGCATACAGCAAATTTCTCAATTGGATGTGATCGAAATAAGCATTATTCTGATTTGAAAGATATTTATCGACGAAATGAAAACACGCTGAAGGGCATGGGTATTCAATTACGATTGAGTGAATGATTTTCTTTCGAATATTTATCTATCGAGTCTTTCTTTATTCAAGCAATAGTATCATTCTAAGTAATCCTGCAAATCTCTAACAGTGAAACTATTTTTTTCTAGATTAATAATAAATATTGTTAAGAAATTTCAACAATCATGACGAAGATGCAAAAAAAAGTACGTGAAAACTTGTCTTCTTCAACTACTAAGTTGTGGTCATTTCTTTTTTTGTTTGTAGTACAAGAAAGGTGCGTCTGTGAATTATACTAGTCGTAATCAAGCTTTGCGAAAATTGCAATTAACCTTAGCTGATTTTCGGTAAGCAGTTTTCGAGATTTGATACTATGACATCTTTTCGTATTTAGACGATTATGTATTCTCAAAGGTATCTATCCAGTCGAACCAAAAAACCGGCGCAAAGCAAATCGTGGTCGTCTTGCAAACAAAACCTATTATTTGGCAAAAGACATACGATTTCTAACACATGAACCTATTATTGATAAATTTCGTCATATGAAAGTAAGCGAATCTATCCGATCTTATTCCATGACTTATATTCTTTTCCGTTTTAGACATATCTTCGACGATTAACAAAAGCCAAAGCACGAAATGAGAAAACAAGAGAAGAAACTTTACGTAACAATCGTCCTTTCTATAAATTGGATCATGTCGTGCGAGAACGGTCAGGAAAAATGAAATTATGAAGAAAATTTTCGATTTGATTATTCTCTTTAGATACCCATCGTTTGCTGATGCACTCAGAGATTTAGACGATTGTTTAACCTTGATTTTTCTTTTCGCTAATTTTCCACTGTTGAAAAAACTTTACGAACCACGTCTTCGTTTATGTCGTCGTTTATCTGTTGAATTTCTTCATTATGTTATTACGAGTGGATCATTAAAGAAATGTTTCATATCCGTCAAAGGTTATTACTTTCAAGTCGAAATTCGAGGTGAAATCATTACATGGATCATTCCTCACAAACTTGGACATAAAGTACTTCCTTGTTTGTTTGTTCTCTCTTCGATTGATTTTCATTTCCCATTCTCTCTAGAATCCTGCTGATGTTGATTTTAAAATCATGGCAACATTTCTGGAATTCTATACCACTCTTCTTGGTTTTATTAACTTTAAACTATATTCCGATCTTGGTTTAGTCTATCCGCCTAAGGTAAATACCAAATTTACCATTCGTAATGTATATATGCCATTTATAGTTAAATTTCGCCGCAACAACATCGTTGTCAACGCTTTGTTCAGAAGATGAATTTTCTGATGAAGTTAGTTTCTAAGCAGAGAACGTTCTTTTGAAAGTAAGGATTACTTTTGGTTGTAGTTTCTTGCTTCGCTCGGTTTGCCGATCATGAAAAAACCCGATACAAATCCTGTTGATCAAGTGGAAGTTGATCAAGAAGCTGCTCAATTGGTTTGTCCAAATAGTTTTCTTATTCCTAATTACAAAAACACTCCTTCTTCTTTGTAATTTTACAGTTAGGGAATACCGAAGCCGACGAGGAAAATCGTCGAAAGGAAGAAGAAACCAAAACATTACAAAAGCTATTCTCTAAATGCAAATTTTTCATCAGCCGTGAAATACCACGAGAAATGTTCGCATTCGTTATTCGGTAACGTCTGGTTTTCACTACTATCAACGACTCTAAGTTCATACATGTCTTTCTAGTGCATGCGGTGGAAATGTTTCCTGGGATAAAACGATGTGTCCTGGTGCCACCTACGATGTTTCGGATGAAAGTATTACACATCAGTTAGTAGATCGACCAAAATTGAACGATATGGTTGTCAATCGGTATGTTTCGAAAGATTTTGAAAAGCAAAAAGCAATTTACTGATTGTATAGAGTATACGTTCAACCACAATGGGTGTTCGATTCGATTAATGCTCGACAATTGTTACCCGTGGATAAATATCTTCCAGGTTAGAATGTAGTTTTTTTTGTCTGTGGTAGTTATTTGAAATTGTCGTTTAATTTATAGGCAGTGTATTACCACCACATCTTTCACCGTTTGTTGAGGAGAAGGAAGGTGATTATGTTCCACCAGAAAGATTCGGTAGACGTCAAGCAGAGGAAGACGTTGAAGAAGAACCAGTTAAAGAAGGTAGATTAGGCATTGTACGTTGTAGGATATCATTTTATACGAATGTGCATTCTAGTTCCTTCGATTAATCTGGTTGAAAACAATGCTTATCTTAATGGTAATCTCAAACGAAAACGGCCAGAGACAGAGGAAACACCAGCAGTGAAACCTGCCACAAAAGAAGAACGAGTAAGCATAACTTTTCATTGAACTAAGGCTGAATTTTGATTATGTTTCATTTAGAAACGATCAATGCGTGTTGAATCTGGTCAAGTGCAAAACGTGAATGTGTCAAACATTGTGAAACGTAAAGCTGATGAAGAAAAACGTCTACGTGAAATGACCATCCCGAAGAAACAAAAACGTCTCTATGATAAGATCAAATTCTCTCAGAAGAAGAAACGACAAGAGGTCAGTTTATTCTTGAAAATCGACCTTTTTTATTCACAATTAAAAATATTTAGGTCGAAAAATTGAAACGTAAACGTGCTGATTACGACAAAGCTGCCAAACAGGAAGCTACCAATGATAAGAAAAAACAAATGAAATTATCATAAATTTCATGATTGATTGTTTGTGTTTTTCTACCATTGTTGTTTGTTTTGTGGTCGAAGATGAAATAAAAAATAAACATAAAGGAAATTAATCGGAATCATGTTCATAGGGAAGCACCGACGTATAGGCAAATCGCTTCACTCGTGGTAAATTTGGATCCGGTGTGTTGAGTGTCGCACTGGGATAAATAAACTCTTCATCACTCTGTAATAAACAGCAACGATAGAAACTTTTTTTTCGAATATGTCATAAGATTTCCTTATTACCTCTTGTGGACTATGCGAAAGATCTTCCTGTGATAAAGTATTGCTATTAGATTGAATCTGTAATTCAATGACATGATCTGATGATGATGCATTGTGTGTCTATAACAAAGTTAATTGTAACTATCATTAATTATATCACATCGCTCGTAGAAAACAAATCGAAAGTTTCTATGAGGAAATGAGATCAGTGATAAATATAAGAAGTGACGTACCGATGAATCGTTGATGCCTGATAGCATTTGTAATGTACTCACTATGATAAAAACATATGGAAAGAATTGTTATTTATAGAATGAAACAAAACTAACAGTCAGTAATCGCCATCGAGTCGGCATAGTATATCCAACATTCTCTTCCAGTCAGCGATATTGAACTTGAATTATAATCATTAGATTGCGTATGTCGTAGACGAATAAAAACTCGATGTTCATGGAAGTTCGGTTCGTTCGGAATTGTAAATTGTAGCAAACACTAAGAATAAAACGCGAGAACGTCGATAAAAGTTTTCATGCAACTGCTCATTCGACTCTAATACTCACTGGACAGTCAGTTACATAGTGAGCTTCGGCACAAACGTGTGGTTTTTCAAATAGTTTCAAAAGTTGTCCGTCATCAGGTGTATTTGAGAATGACATGAATACTAATTCAAACTGAAAAGGACATGATACATAATCTGTTTTCGATTGATTGAAATCATAATTGCAGTAAACATAGGCCGAGTCTTTAGCTCTTAATTCACGCCTAGGTTGCACAATACGCATGATACGCAAGGATTCAAATGCTTTACTATTCCGTAGTGGTGGATGTAATGTTTCAGCTAATAAAATATCATTTTCATCATAAGCAGCGACATACATTCGAACATGTGCTTGACTGTAAGTTCGTTTAGTATCATTATTAAAGAAAACCAGTTGTTTCCCACGTTGTTCTCCTGGAAATACAGAGAAAATATTGACTGAACAAAACAATTGTGTATCTTTTACTGTGTGATTTTAGAATTTTTATAATATCATTATTACTTCCTCCTAAATTACGTTCAAGGTTATCGAGTTCACTAAAAGGTAGATATCGTCGAATATTCGGACTTTTCCGACGACTTCTCATATATTCTGGATATTCTGTTCCTTTAGTAACTAGAACAGCTAATGCACCATTGTCTTTCAAATCACTAGACATGAAAACAAAGCGAAAATGAGTGACAATATCAATACGGCTAGACAAGAATGCTTACGAATCTTGTAAAATTTTCTGGAAATCTTTTGGTTCACAATAAGATCTGACATAATTAGAACGATTGATTGAATCAAGCGATTTTGGTCTACATCATTAAATAAAAGTCGATTTTGATCTCGAAAACACATTCAGTTTTAACTTACGTGAATATCAATTCTGAACCATAAACATTCGCTACGATAATACCAGATGGATGACTTAAATAGAGTACTGTTTCCCTAAGTGTAGTACGTGCTGATGCTCCACTTTGTCTTCCTACTTTTGTTTTCAACTGAAAATACAAAGTAAACATTCTCTCATTGAATCTTCGATGTTTCTTACTTTGCAAGTCCAACGAAGAGCATGGTAATCCATTCGTGCTGGAATGGTATTACTTGTTAGACAAAGAACAATTCGAAAAGATTGTAGCTTAGCAATATCTTCGAGACGCAACTATATTTAGAAATGAAATCGGTGATCTCACGCTGCGATCAAACAACTCGACTACCTTCATTTCACATTGCAATGCACCTTCACGTTGTTCTGCTTTGTATCTAAACAAGGTTGATTTGTTTTTCGAACTATGAATTTCACCTTTTTAACCTGAATCGAGTCAATGTATTCTTCGATGTCCATGGATTTGGTACAAGTGTTGGTAACTGCTGTACAATAAAGTAAAAGCATGAAGACTTAGAAAATTGACAATACATGACATACGATTGATCGACCGTTATTACATCGATAGAATGAACGTTCTCCGTTGATCATGTAATGCAAATTAATATATACGTCATGAAAATCTAACAATTCATCGTTGTAGAAAGGGATCTCGTCGTTTCATAGGTCTTATTACCTCGAACTTCTTCATCCTGATCAACAGTACTATCAATTGTTTGATAATATCGTCTCAAGTCATCATCTTCAAAGTCTCGTAATCGTTTCAATTCCAAAAATAATGAAATTTCATAACTAAACAGATCACATTATACAGTTGACATACACAACAACAAAGAAAATACGTACACGACTGACTGCAACCTTTCGTCTCCTAATGTATAATGAGCGGAACGATTCACGTTGCTTTGAAGTCGGTAAGGATGTGGATAAAATTGACCGTTGCATTCGTAGCAAGCTTCAAATTGAAAGTCAAACGATGGATCACTCTAAATAATTCATACGTCAATAAAATAGGCCGAGACGATTTTGATAAATTACCTCAATCGAAATCGTGTTCGTTTCTTTCGTTACAATTTGAAAAACAGCGGTTGGAGTACAATCATTTGATTGAGATTGATATCCTTGATAAAAACTATAACCAGAATGCCATATCAATGCACAATATCACATACAATACTTACCGTATCTGTAGATGGGAAAGGACATTTAAAAATAGATCCATACTATTCAGTTGTGTATCTAGAAAAAAAAACCATTAAGTGTTGGCTTTTGATATAATAAGAGTATCCCTAGCTTTAAAAATGCTTACTAAAGCTCGAGTGACTTGTTTTATAAGACAGAAGCGTGCAGAGTCTTCATGCTGTGACACATCCGTTTTTTTTTCGTGGCTTAGGCTGTCTCGATTTATTTTGAGTGGGCGGAACATCTGAAATGAAAATTGTTTTGTTATTTTTCTTCATTTTTTGCTCATTTCTTCCCTGAAAACGAAAAATACGAATCTCGCATCTCATGGTTACTTCTTTCTTTTGCATCGATACCGTGGGAGTAACATGAGAAGAATAGCAAGAAATGACTACAGCGTATCGAAACAAATTGAATCAGATGTGATTTATTTTACTCGTGATTTTATTTCATGTACCATTCTTTTCAAGTAATCATTTCAGTCAAATTGACTAGCGGATTCGTTGACTCACAGATCAGCACTCATCTATGGTGCCTATTTAACAAACAGCAGAAGAAAAATCATATATACGTATTATTAAATAGATGAGAATATTAAATTAATTTGACACATGACTTTTATTTGATTAGTTTTCGTTTAATCAGACTGCATGAGTTTAGACTTTGTGTCTCATCCATCGACTAAAATCAGACGGTGTTGCGAAAGAATGACGTACAGTTTGGTGAAGACAGATTGTTCTACATAAATGTTACAAGTTTTATTTGCTTGACAATAAAAATACAATTTTAATTCAGCGTTACTGAACTATTTTTAATAATATCTGTCAAAAGTAGTATTTTGGTTGTTTTCTTTCGCATCATTACTTGTGTCGTTCGACGACGAATAGAACTGAAAGCAAAGGCAAGTATAAACTATATGTTTTCTTGAAAAACCGCACATGGATCCTTACTGAATTGTTTGCTGTAGATATCATATCATACGCTCCTAATAAAAACCCATATATTGCAAATCGTGCGAGTGCTCAAAATAAAACGAACTTACGTTGATCAACGCTAATGCAGTTAAATGGTTCGTTGTTATATCCCCGAGAATCTGAACTACTATTTTTCGAGTCCATGAGACACTAGATGAGATTAATGAAAAGCATCGAATATTACTCTAAAGCAAGATTCGATGATAAACGTGAACTTACATCTATAAGATCACGATTCCAATCTTGAGATGTGAATACGATTAAAGCTTTCTATTACCACTGATATATCCCCATATATATATATAGATGTACAAATTAATAGAGACTTACCAAATCCCTGATATTTACCAACGCCCCTGTGTGGTAGTAAACGAATGTTGTTGACTATAAGTCTGTACAGCAAGTGAGTATGACAAGCGTCTAGGATAGTATTACAAACTCGAGACTTAGTCATGAAAAACGCTCGATTATTCAAATGTCAAACCAGTATTTGGTCTTTGTGATACAAAAATGACGGTATTATCATTTGAAAGAACGAGACAGTAGAACAAAATCAGATATGTTAAGGAGATAAAACATGACATTCATGCCGTTTAATATGTTTCACGAGGAAATCACGACGAACAATCCAATATCATATAATATTTTCCAGCTTTTAATCGAATTTCTATTGTTAAATTGAAGAACGTTCTACACACTACTATATTTTAGTTTATCAATTGATATCATAAATTATATTTCAATATCTGATTGTCAAGGAATGCCGTATTGTAAAATTAAACTTGTCAATGCAAGTATTCGATTGCATACCTTTGATGCTTTCTTTTGCGTACTACGTAGCGTTCGACTTATTTTCTCCGTTCTCTAACGATGAATGCTGATGACACCTACGAAAAAGTAAAGACCTGACTACTAGACGAAAGTCAGACATTTACGACGAGGCGAAGAAAAGCTTTTCGTTCTTTGTATACAATCATGTATAGCACTAAGATATTTATTTATTCTAAAATGAAACAGCACTCGTAAGCTTTGAGCATTTTCGTTTTAAAAACGATTGACAGGGAGAAAAATATCTTATATGTTTGTCGATAGATATCTACACGAGAACAGAAAGAACTAAGCTATCTAGGAGAGAAATGATGATTAAAACAGCATATGACAATTCAGATCTGACCTCTGAATAATTCCAGAAAAACATTTAGCGAACATGTACAAAAAAATGGAATGTGAAAAGCAATCAAAACAAATATCATGTAAGAACGATCATTGCTGAGCATTTCATAGGGATAAATATATCTGACAATGAATAAAACAAAATGAACCCTTAACCGAAATTCATAAAAAAAAAAAACAAGGAATAGCGTAATTGAGTTGTGGAATATCTAACCATTTGTACGTGGCCATGAATCGAGACCATAGAAGAAGCCAAGCATCAATGCAACACCACATATGACACTCGTAATGCATAAAGCTAAAGCTCGTTTATTTAGTTTCCGCGACTGGTCAAGAAAACCATCTTTGCATTTCATTTGTGCTTTGCGAGCAAGACCAAATGCTAACAAACCTTTGAAAGAAGAATGCGAGGTAGGAAAAAGTTTCTCCAGGAAAAAATAAAACTTGGTTTACCTGTTGGTGGAAAAAGAAAAATGCAGAGAGCAGCAAACCAACGCCAATCACTCGGACGTTTCGGTAATTGTGGATCGAACTTTTTTCGACGTTCAACCACCGTTGCTGTACTTGATACATTGGAGATACCCGATGACAAAGTTCGAATTGTGAATGTACTCGAGTAAAGTGGATTAGTCGGTCTGACTTGAGGATATTCTAAAGAGATATCAAGGAAGTTAGTTTTTTCGAATTCGTGATATGATTGATCAGACCGCTGTAGGTTAATTTTGATGTACGTGAACCGACTGATTTCGAACCGACAGATTTTGTATCAAGATCACTTGGTGCAGCGGAATAGGGCCGAGCAATATGTGATGCTGGCGAGCCGAGATAATCGAGTTTGATCGTATTTTCCGATACACTACTCGTAATCGACGACATCGCTGCTGCTTCTTCTCTATCAAAAACACACCTGATATGGGATGTGGTTTGTTATTGTTTTTTTTCTTGTCGCTTGACGTTATTCTTCTCTCGTGCAAACAGCTCTAGCCAATCATTGTGTCCCATTTAACCTCACGTTTGCTGAATTGAACCAAATGCATTGATGTGTTACGGATTGTTTCGTTCTTGATTGGATACTTTTGACGAAGAAAAGCGGAATAATCATTATGGCTGGTAGGAAGAGTAGGGTTTGATTTTTGTGAAAAAGTTAAAAAAAGCTTGATAAGAGTTTACAGAACAAGATTTCTTTATGAGTAAAGAACACTCGGACCATGAAGTATCTCCAATGAAAGCAACAACAACGAGTTCCACATATTGTCCCTTCCTTATCACAGATTGCGATGAGGATGACTCCAATTCAAATAAAGTTGCAATGAGCACTGCTAGTTTAGTTGGTGATACACCAACAAAACGACGGTTTGGTTATTCACGTCAAGAGAAAAGTCTAGGAACACTGACTCGTCGGTTTATGTCATTGTTGAGACAATCGAAAACGGGTATCCTGGACTTAAAGCATGTAATTAGAAACAATGAAATGAGAGTACATCGTTTGGAACTGTATTTTTATACTTTAGGTTGCAGATTGTCTTGCTACGAAACAAAAACGACGAATCTATGATATCACCAATGTACTTGAAGGTATCGGTCTCATTGAAAAGCAATCGAAAAACACGATAAAATGGAAGTAAGTTGAAATACTTCTGTTGAAGAATCAAAAAGCGACAGTCGTTTGTTGTTAAAGAGGTGCTATCTCCGGTGATAACACGATTGAAGCTTATGAACGTCTGCATCGAGCCCAAGCTCAATTACAAGAATTAGAAGACGAATCTGCATTTTGGACAGAGAAACTTCACGTCATTGAACGTAGTATCTCTAATATATTAGATGATATTACATTAAAAGAGTAAATCATTGCAAATCAATCACATCTCACCCTATGCTTGATTTCCATTTCAGTATGTTATACTTAACAAGAGACGACATATGCCAAGCTATGGATGATGAAGTAATTGTTATTGCAGAAGGTGTCAATGGGACTACGATGAAAATCAACGAAATACCAGTAAGAGTGCCGACGAATTCGAAGACATGGATAATTTGATTTTCGATATAGGATGGCGAAAATACATCTCATCAATTTCATATTCAAAGTCGTCACTATCCTGTTAATTTAAAAGTGTTGAATCGCCATTCTAAAACCATACCCCATAATGCGAACTCCGAAGATGCCACTTCTGAACAAAGTATAATGAAAAGTATTTCAAATATTTCAAAATAGAGCTTTTATATTTTAGTATCGTTAAATCCATTCATTCCATTGGGTGAAATGACTCAGCCAGATGATTATTATTTGACGATAGACGATACCACGGGTGTGTGTGATCTGTACAATAATGATGATAGTCCTCCAGTGTCATAAATGTCTTCACTTAAAACCTTCATGCGCATTCGAGTTAATTCATTTGTAAAAACCAATGTTTTGATTTCACTGTTCTGTTTAAAAATTTTCCAGACTTCGTTTTGCTCTTTGTATTTATATTCCTTAAGTTATTAGCTTTTGTCAGACAGTTGATTTGAATAAAAATCTTTCTATCGAAGACTTGTCGATGCATAATAAGAAGACGTATAGGTTATTTAACCAAGAATGACATTCATTCCATGGTAAAGTTATAAAACAAAAGCAATAAAATCATTTCTTAACCTTGAAACAACTTCATCGAGAATGTATGGATGAGTCTTCGTTGTTATCTATCGTTTGAAGTCAATATCTGGCGACATCTATGAAGTTTCACTTAGCGACGAGCTCTCTGCGCATCGGCTGGTGTTTTGTTCGCATGTGTAATAACAAGGTTTGTAAATAGAGTAAACATCGCGTCAGTTGGTTGGTTATTTGATTCGTTCGTTCTTGTCTATACGATAAAATCTTCGATTCAATCGACCTTTTATACGTTTATTTCTACCTTACATGATATGTTTCGAAAAAAAGGGTCACTTTTGATAGGATTATTTATTGATCTATCAAACTGAGAAGATTTTATTTATTTATTTATTTATTTTTTAGTTGTCCCTTCGTTCTCGTTCGTCGTCTTGTCCCTTTTGCGATGGTCGTCGTCGTTGTTCGTCAATATTCGTTACCGTCTTTTCTTCGTACAATCGTCTCGTCTTGTTCATCAATGTATTTTCTTCAACAAATTCTTAATCACTACTAATGAATACTCCAGGAAATTTACCAACTACATCGCCAACATCTTCATCGCCTTCATCGGCTGCCGTTTCAACAACAAATCTCGATAAACATGAACCCGATCCAGATGCAATTAAGATGTTTTGTGGACAAATTCCGCGTAATATGCACGAAGCAGAATTACGTGATATGTTTGAACAGTTTGGTCCTGTCTTTCAACTGAATGTTCTACGTGACAAACAAACTGGTGAATCCAAAGGTTGTTGTTTCGTTACGTTTTATTCGCGAAAATCAGCATTAGATGCACAAAATGCTCTTCATAACTTGCGTACTTTGAATGGAAGTCATCATCCCATACAAATGAAACCTGCTGATACAGAAAACCGAAATGGTAAAAGCGGAATTTCATAATTACAATCGAAATACATGTTTGATTGAGTTTAGAACGAAAACTATTTGTTGGAATGGTCTCAAAAAACCTTGATGAGCCAAACATTCGTTCACTTTTCCAATCGTACGGAACGATCGAAGATTGTACAGTATTACGAGATGCTAATGGCAAAAGTCGAGGTAACAAACTTGCATTTCTCACTCTCAAAAGGAACTCTTTACGTTTCTCTAGGATGTGCATTCGTAACATTTCAAAAGCGACAATGCGCTTTGAATGCAATCAAATCAATGCATCAATCTCAAACAATGGAGGTTAAATTCTGAATTATTCATCATATTACATAATTAATATTCCTATCTATTAGGGCTGTTCATCTCCTTTGGTAGTAAAATTCGCTGATACACCCAAAGATAAAGAAACCAAAAAGATTCAACAGCAATTTTCTACACATAACAATGGTTTGATGCAGCAGTTTCCTCCCGGAGCTTCGATGGTAATATTTGGGATTTTTTGCATTCTTGTACTTATTCGGTCGTCATGAATGCGCTTTTTTAGCCTAATCCACAACACATGAACACGTATAACTTTCTACCTGAAATAGGTAATTTAGTATTTTTACAGCAATTATTCAAAAGTTATGGTTTTCTTGGAAACAACGGTACAGGTAAATGTCGATTTCTCTCCAGAAAAGCAAGATTTTTCCTAATGTCATTTATAGCAATAAATTTTGGGGCATTAAACAATCTTTTGCAAATGTTTTCCAACAATGTGAACTTAAATGGGAATAAGCCATCTCTTTTACCACCACCACAGGGTCCTGGTACTTCAACAAATATGAATTTGAGTTCACAGCATGGTAGTACTCAGTCGTTAAATGTTCAAGATCAACAGCATACACTTACTTCACCTCGCGCACCTGCTGCCAATGCTAACAACGGTACATATAGTAATGAAACGTCATTACTTATGTGTGGAGCCGGTCCGTACAATAACAGCGGTCCTAATCCTAACAATGCATCTGGACCACCAGCCTCTCATCATAACCAAAATGGTGCTTTGACACCATCAGTTGCTACATCTGGAACCAATCCATATACGCCGGCAATGCCATCACTCTATACAAATACCGGAAATCCGTTAACCAATGGAGGCGCAGGTAAGGAATTTCAGTTAATTTAGTCAAGAATAAATTTCTTTGATGTAGATGCTCATCATAATTTACAAAATCTTGTTGCTATGTCACAAGTGAACAATGGAGGTAAATGTTTCTTGCCTGTTGACTCATGGAAATATATGGTTGAACTGTTTTGAACAGGTATGCTCCCAACAAATATGCATCCAAGTCCAACTACGAATTCCTCGACTGCACCACAAGGTAAAACTGCATTTGAAAGAAGCATGTTTCATGTATTATTTCATTTCCAGCTTCGTTTCCTGTTTTCCCATCACAATCCTATATCACTTCGCAAGTCGCTGGCAAACATATTGAAGGTACATTACCACCATTGAATTTCCTGATTGAAACTAACTGATCTTCACTTTTCGTCTAGGCCCCGATGGTGCTAATCTATTCATTTACCACCTTCCACAAGAATACAATGATACAGATCTAGCACAAGCTTTTGCACCTTATGGGCCAATCATATCCGCTAAAGTATTCGTTGATAAAACAACAAATCGTAGTAAATGTTTCGGTAAGATGCATTGCTCTCATATCACATGAGAACATTTGAATTTCATAAGTGGTTTTCTTTTCAAGGTTTTGTGAGCTTTGATAATCCAGCATCAGCTCAAGCAGCGATTAATCAAATGAATGGTTTTCAAATAGGGATGAAACGACTTAAAGTTCAATTGAAAAAGCTGCGAAATGAGACAAGTAACACCAGTAACATCAATAGCCCCAGTCCAAATCAAACTCAGACAGCAGCTAGTAATAGTCCTAACAACCATAATGGAAATTCACCCACAACGTCAAAGAAATCCACATATTAAATAAGCCAAATATTCAAAAGGAAATCTAAGAAAAGATTTAATTAGATATAGCACTCGTACACTTCAGATTACTTTCTTTTGCTTCAACTTTTACTACTGAGACGACTTATTTTTGGCTCCTATTTATAATACATATATACTCTTTTCCCATGCGAGTTTCTTTTTCGTCCTCCTCTTCTTCTTTGTCGTCGTCTTCGTCTCCTTATCATTTCTTTTTCATGTCTTTTGTCATGTATTTTGCATCATTGATTTCATTGTTTTTGTTAATTTATTCCTTGTCATACATTGAGCAAGAAAAGGTATATTATCACACTGTTCTCTTCTTGCTGTATAAGTTTCTCGTTTCGTTTTCGTCTCTTTCTTCTTCTTCTTCTTCTTCTTTTTCTGCATGATTGTGTCGATGTTGTGGGGTTTTTTCCAGTTCCTATTTTTGCAATGCTATCTTATAGATTTCTCATTCTCATCAACTTCTTCTTATCGCTATTATCAGTCTTGAGCACCTATTCAACTATATCTTTCAGCATATTCATTTCTGTTCCCAACCTTCTTCTTTTTTTAAACGAAACTACACGTTTAACTGTTTGGATTTTTCGTTTGTTCCTCTCTTTCTCTCAGTGTTCGTTTTTAACTGTGTGCGTGTGTATGTCTGTTCGTTGTTTGTTCATCATTGTCGTTGTTGACCGTCAGCATTTGATCAACACGACCGTCATTACAAACAAATAAAACAAAAAAAAACTGATTTGCACCTTTTTTTTCACAGCTGAAACATAAATCAGTCTTGGTACAGATGGAAAAAACAGTAAGATTTATTTCAAGAATAAAAGGACTGTAACTTAAGATAGGTTAATGGAATAAAATTAGTTCGTTTGTTATGCCTCAAATGAGTTTCGTAAGTAATATTGAATATGCAAGAAAAACGATGCTTTTAAGTAGGCAAATCCGTTTTCTTTGGAGTTGAATCGTAAAAATGTTGAACGCGCGACCAACTGGATGGCACCAAGGTCGTGCGTAAATCACTTAACGACTGTTTGACCGAAGAATACATGTATGGAATGCTTAAAACTGGTTGAATTTGACTGATATGCGGAATTTGAACAATGAAATCATCATTAACAGGATGAATTGCCTGATTATCTTTACGATCGGATACCTTGTCAATGACATACTGAGGTTCAGACATTTTTCTTTTGATGAATTTCAATCTGAAAATCAATTGAAAACTATCGTGGAACGCCCTGGGTCAAAATTCTACTTACGTGAAATATATAAAACTTAACAAGCCGAGAGTTGCTACAGACGATCCAAAAATAAGACCAATGATCGTAAACATCTGTTCATTAGGGGATAGTCCTATTCATAGAAAATATAGAAAACGATCATCATGCGAACAAATGGAACTTTCTACCTTGGCTAACAGCATCTTTTGCAAGAACTAAATTCAGAAGTATCACAACCAACATCACGGACCTTCTTAACGACATTTCTATTTCTCGTTGTTAATCAATAACTGAATATGCGTGTTTCTGTTTGACATTAAATATGTTTCGTTAGTTGTTCGATCACTATCTGCGCACCTGCAGGCACATCAATTCATCATCATTATCATTAGCAGAACAAATATCCTTTAGATCATCATTAATTGATCATTTACCTGCAGACATGCATGATTTTCTTGTGTAATGATACGAATTTCAAGGAAGAAAAATAAAATTTACTCAACTATCTGAAGAATTTTTGTTCTGACCGTGATGAACATGTTCTTTGTATTAGATTTTCACTTGGATGAGGTCGCCCATTGTCATTTAGACAAACTTGTTACATAAGGCGTTGAAACGTTGAAATTTGATTGGATGACTTTTTCTCACGTGTTATCACCATCATCGAGTCGTTTTGTTTTGCTTTCACAAGCGCTGTTGTTGGCTGAGTGAAACAGGAGTGATTAGTGTAACTAATACAGACAAAAAACATAGACGTCACTATTCCTCCCAATCACGAGAGATTTGTTTTATTTTCTAGTATTACTATGCCGGTAGATAAAATTCTTTATGAACGAAATCATATTATTATTAAAGAACGATCTTCACAAAGTCAAACTCAAGAGACACCACTTGATGAAATTACCGGAACGATGACGATTGTTGAAAATGAACGAGGAAGATTTTTTCGTTTTGTCCCGTTAGGTCTGGAAGACGTTATGACGGATGATTGGGCGTTGATTAATGGTGGTCATTCAGTCGTTTGTCAGAAAAATGACGGAGGTTTGTTTGACAAGCATTAGAATGTAACCAATCCATATACTCATTTAAATTTTCTCAGATTCGGTCGCCCAGTCATCGAGTCCATTATTAAAATATCGTTTCCATTTCAATCTAAATGATCTACGGAGTGTTCGTCGACATCACATGTTACGTGGAATTGCACACATGGTATTCATACTGAAAGACGGGACGACATTACCAGCTTTTTACTTTAATCTCGGAGGAAGTAAAGAACTCTTACAAAAACTAGCACAATATCTACGGCTTGAAAAGTAAACTTAATCGCTGATTTTCTGAAGATGATCTATGTTTGTATTTCCCAGGTCGACGCAAGATTCTCGCTTATATATTGTGAAGGATGATCTTCCACGAGACCGTCGACCACAATCGACTAGTGTCTTTGATCAAATGAATTTATTTGATAATTCCAGTGACACTATGAGACGAATCGTAAGTGTATAATCTTCAATCGAAAGTGTACTCTCACGTTTTTTTTTCATGATCAGAGAGGAAGTGATCCACGACGGTCAGCAGTCGAACGTTTCTCTAAGGTGACACACTTTCTTAAAGACGCATTTCTTGGTCAAGACGACATCATATCAAGCAATGACGTCGATACTGAAGGATTGTTTGGACCCGATTTAACCGCTCTATTAGATTCAATGAATGGTGATTTACGAGAAACGAATAATGATGGCTTTGAAGTTATTTATAAAGTGAATATCTTCAATTGAGACTTTGACGAACTTTATTTGTTTGTTCTATGTATTCTAGGTGGATTTCAAGAAGCCACCTGAAGTCGCCCGTGGTCAGCCCGTAACAAGTAAAGAATGGCAAATGGCCTTCGATAAAGACGGTCGCATCATAGATGTTGAGAAAATGAAAGAACGAATCTTTCGCGGAGGATTAGAATCGAATTCTTTAAGACGTGAAGCATGGAAATTTCTATTGAACTATTATTCGTGGACGTCGACACGTGAAGAACGTACTCAGACTGCTAAACAACGGAAATCCGAATATCATTCCATGAAAGTTCAATGGAAATCCATGAACGATCAGCAAAAACAAAGAAATGCATCATTTCGAGATCGAGAGTCGCTTATCGGTAAGTCGAAGAACAGACGAATCAAGTGATATGAATGATGAGATTATGAAAATGTCAATAAATTTCGGTGACTAATCCTTTTCATTCTAGACAAAGATGTTGCACGAACTGATCGAACCCATGAATTTTATCAAGAGGATAATAATATACATCTTGTTATGCTTCATGATGTCTTGATGACTTACAATATGTTCAATTTCGATCTTGGTGAGTAGAATGACGATGATCGATTTGATAAAATTCGATTCTGTTTGATAGGTTATGTTCAAGGTATGAACGATCTCTTGAGTCCAATTCTAATTGTTATGGAAGATGAAGTTGATGCATTTTGGTGTTTTGTGGGATTGATGTCTCGAATGGAACAAAATTTTTACCTCGATCAAGCGCATATCAAACGGCAACTCGGCAATCTTCATACAATCCTTCAGTTCATCGATGCTGAACTTGCAAATTACTTAAGTAATAAAGAAATATTTCACATTTCCTCTTCACTGTTGCATATGTGAATAGCTGAGAACAATTCCAGTAATATGTACTTCTTCTTTCGTTGGATGTTGATTTGTTTCAAACGCGAATTCTCATTCGATGATGTAATGCATTTATGGGAGGTAAATTTTGAGTTTGGTATTAGTCACTGTAAAAACACGATTTTCCTTAGGTCTTATGGACGGATCATCTATGTAAAAATTTTGAATTACTTGTCTGCTTAGCAATTTTAATGTCGCAAAAAACAGTGATTATGGAATCGAAATTTGGTTGCAATGAAATTCTTAAAGTAAGAGATGCTGCATTTCATTTACTCAACCTAACGCCATTCGCTTGTACAAAACGTCTTTGTCTGTCATAAATTGAGTCTCTATCTGTATATGTTAGCATTTCAATGAACTCGCATTCAAAGTTCCATTGAAACCCATGTTGAAACAAGCTGAGAGTTACCATCTTCTTCTAAAGCAATGCCGTCGAAAACAAGCGAACTTTCCACCACCGATATCAGCTTCGCTACCTGTACCTAAAAAGGAATTAAATTTGGTACCAGTATTAAGAAAGAAAGATCAGCGTATAGGTCAAAGTTTAACTAACCTAAATACGACTGACGAACGTATGAAAATTTCAACATCGAGAACGAGAGAAACTATGACGAGACTTTGAATACAAATGCTTTGCTACTCTATTGATATTGCTTTTTTCATCAACGGTCATTTCCGTTCATAGCTTATTTGACTTCTGTATAAAAAAAAAGGAGCAAAGAATATTTCACGCCAATCGTACTAACTTATTCCGAGTTTGAAGATTTGTTTGTTCTAGATAAGTGACTCCTTTTCTGTATGAGTCAACAAAGATTTTTTCGTCTTCTTCTCGCCTACGGTTACGTGCGTAAATGAGTGAAAACAATATAATATTTATATCATAGAGGAGTAAACGTAGAGTAACTTTGTTCGATAGAATGACTGTCATAATGTATGAATGAGTTTGTTCCATTTAGTTTTTCAATGATTTATCGTGTAATCTCGATTTGGACACGTGTCTTTTATCAGCCGAAAAGCTTTACATCCAATTAGCTACTCATCGTGATATACCGACTGCAATCGCTAAGATTCTCGGTCTTCCGACTGGTCCTAATCAGCAACTTCCAATAGCAACAGATGGTATTACATATCCTCGAAAGGTGTACACACAACAGCCACGTGGTACCATGAATTTGGATAATTCGTATTTCCGTCAAGACTCTGAGCCATCGTTGATTCCAAGTCAACAAGAAACAACGGCATCGACAGCACTTGATGATCTATTGACAATGACGCCATTGATGGAATTATAAGCATAAGAATAGAATGTTTTTCTCTTCTTCTTCTTTTTTTTCGGCATCCTTATGTACAAAGATTTTCTTATTTTTTGGTTAAACATTCGAGAGACTCTTTTTCTTAATCGTTTTCCTGCCATTGCAAATGAAAGCACATGTAATATATTGATTTCTACAATGTTTATTTCAGATATTGTTCATTTCTTGTTTGTCTTGAAAAGAAAACGATGAGTAGAAGTGTTTCTTTCAAAGTTGTCCTACTCGGGGAAGGAAGCGTCGGCAAAGTAAGACTCGAAAACAAAAACGAGCTCTTTTCTAAGCATCCCTTCACTTTTCTTTTCACTAGACATCTATAGTAACCAGATATACAGATAATTTGTTCAACGATAAACATTTAGAGACGCAGCAAGTATGTGTTCTATGATTATTTTTACAATAAATTGATTTACATCTGGCGTAGGCGTCGTTCAAAACGAAAAAACTAACATTAGATGGTCGTCGAGTCGAGTTAGCAATATGGGTAGAAGAAAAACAACATTTGTTTCTAACTTTACTTTTTACAAGGATGTTCTATGCCTCATTTAGGATACAGCTGGTCAAGAGCGATTTCGTGCTTTGGGGTAAGAAAAAGACTGAGATTTATAACAGACTAGATTCACCATACCAAATGTTGTTCATAGACCTTTATATTATCGTGAAGCAAATGGCGCTGTACTAGTTTTTGACATAACGGACGAAGATTCTTTCGATCGAGTGAGATAGAAATACTGTCAATTAAGAGAGTTATATGTGTACCTTTCATTTTCTCAGGTGAAAAGCTGGGTGAAAGAATTACGACGAATGTTAGGCAATGATGTTGTCTTGTGTATCGTTGGCAATAAAATCGATCTTGAAAAAGATCGTCATGTATCGATGCAAACCGCTGAAGAGTATGCAAAATCAGTGAATGCTAAACTTTACCATACATCAGCTAAGTTAAGCAAAGGCATCGAAGAACTATTCAATGACTTAGCAAATCGTATGTGATGAGTTTTTGAAAAACATTTCAATTGATCATTTATGTCATGTATATGAATACAGGTATGCTAGAAAAAACAGCTTCAACACCAAATACACCGAGTTCCACTGGAACAGCTCGTCCAAGTGGTACTGTTATCCAACCAACAGCTACAGCAGGCTCAGCTACTGGACAAAATAGTAGTGGTGGTGGTTGTTGTTAAAAATTTTCGTATTCCAAGTTGTGTTTATTTTTTTCTGACAAATGAAAACAAAACTTTATTTTTCTTTTTCGTATTATTCTATCATTATAAATCCATATTCATGTTCGAATACTTTCTAAATTGCATTTTTTTTGTATGTTCACCTCAAACGAATTATGATGGTCGTCAGTTATAATGTTTGAATAAGTTCTAATTTCCAATTTAATCACATGAAACAAACCAAACAAACAAGATATATACTATTTTTGCTTTGTCGTTAGTTGCTTTTAATGAATATGAATAAAAGTTATTCGATACAATGTTTATCAAACAGTTCAGAAGACTTGCAAACGTTTGCTGAACTTGGTTACTTTAGTTCTATTTACACGTAGAAAAAAAAACATTGATAGGTTTGATTGTAACCTTCGAAAGACTATGACCTATGTTCATCTCGTGTGAGTTTGACACATTAATGATCATATTTGATTAGAATAAAGCGATATGTCAGATACATGATCAATCTTTCTACTCATCACATTTTGTTTTAGTAATGATTGGACTTGTTAATTAGTTTGAAAGACTTCATCTGATCAAACTGTACTTCAAGTTTGATAGAATGCATGAGAGAAGAAGAAATTCAAGGATGTTCTTTGGCAAGATGACGCAAGAATTCGACTGCGAGCGATTTTTCTTGCAATAATCCTCATTAGAGCTTGATTATGACATCAATCTCTTAATATCTCGTGTCTTCTTCTGTGCATGTTTGACCTTTCTTTCAGTATATGTGAGCTCAACCATGTGTAGAGAAGCTTCTGTTCGAACGAGGTGACGAGAGCTAAACAAAACGTCTTTCGCCATTGACGTTAAATGATCAATATATAAACATATCGAAATGTAAAGCAAGACATTGGATTTTTCTCTTTCTTTACATTCAAACATCAAATAGTTCACCTATTTTTGTCGTTTTTCTTCTCCTTTTCCTCTTGTTCTATTCCGTCTTCTCCCTTCATATGATAGTGTCTCTCGTCAACTCTTCGTTCTCTACAAGGAAAGAAAAAAAAAAGAAAATCGCGAGAGAAAAAGAAAAAATACGGAACGAATAGATGTATGTTAAGAGAGAAAGTAGTCATCATTTACTTTAATTGAAACATAGACTCAGACGTGTTATATGTACAGACAGCATTGCCATGAGGCTTTTTTTGCTTGCATCAGGTCAACCACGTCACACGTTTTCTTCTTCTTTTTTTTTTAAACTTGAAGATGACCGATTAAGAATGAAAACAGGAGCGATGGCATTGACAGTAAGAGTAACTTTGATTGCTGATGATACTTTTCTGATGATCCGTGTATAAATGGAGATTAAACTATTACATCACATACGCATATCTATCGATATATCCGTAAGAAGAATGTTCAGTACGATAAGATATTGTAGGACACTAGAAGAGTTGAACAAAACTTTTTCAGTTTAGTCACTAGTTGCTTTTTTCTTTCTTTCTCGTTTAGTTTCTTCACGATATAATGTCCTGTTGATAATCATATGAAGACGGAATGTTTCCTCAATATGCTCAACGTAAGTCGGAAATGATACACTCGTCTCTCATGCTTATGTGAATTTTAGGACAAACTGGAGGCGAAATAGCCATCTGGCTTCTAATCACTGTCGGCGCACTTCTCATACCCATTATTGTAGTCGCCATTTGTTGTATACGACGTCAGTAAGTGTTCATGTAATATTAATCATAGATACGTTTGTCTTCATCTTTATTCGTTGTTTTTATCGGTCATCATATGACCAGAGTACATAGGAAAATTCTGTAAACAGAGAATGAGTGTTGAAAACATATCAAATATAATAGATATATAAACAATGTTATATTTTGCAGACAACGGAACCACTTTTCCCGTTCAGTTTTCGTAAGTTCCTCTTCATTTTTACACCTTTTTCATGTTGGATGATCCACAACATGAAAAAGCTTTGAGAACACAAAATCTAAATAAAAAAACACGTCGATACTTTCGATTCGCATCTTCTTGCTTCTCTTGATTAATACTCTTTCGATGTATATGCCTGCGTGTGCGTGTAATAACTATTTCCTTTGACACATCTTCTTTGTACACAACGAAAACACTTTCTTCATTCACAGCTGCTGGAAAACGCTTCCTCCTCGTCGTCCAAAAGCTTCTTTTGATAAAACTACTAACCATAATGAAATACTAACCGACAAATCGACTTCGTGGGCACAACGTGTGCGGGACTTGTATGTAGGCTTTTTTCCATTTGGAAATAGACGAATTATCTGTATATATACATATATATGTTGATATTTTATATTTGTTCGTCAATATTGATCTATGTGTACTGGTGTAGGTGTTTAGTTGTGCTTTATTATTTTCACATTTCATCTTTGATTCCGTATGCACATATATCTTTCTGTTGTCATAGAATTTTAATGAAATGAATTGAAATCTTTTACGTATATGTGATATTTTCAATTTTTAGCTTGCTTCGAAGCCCGCCACTAAAATTATTAGAAAAACAATCCCCACCTATGAAGACGATGAATGTCAAGCAGGTGGCGGCTCTACGGTATACTCGATAGAAATTCAATTTCTTTGCAACTTTCGTCATTTTCTTTCTTTATTAATTAGTTCGTATGATGGTCCATACAGAGAATCGGGTCATGAGAATCGAGTTGTTTCGTCTGCGACTACCACACCTCAAACTTTATCACGCATGAGCTCAATCAAAAAACAACACGTTTACTGGCCCGATCGATCAAATATACCAAATGGTAATGATCTCCGTTCAATCAAAGATCGACAATTTACACCACGAAAACAACCATATGCTGGAGGAGAAATCTTCAACACAACTATGCTCACTGAATCTCCATCGAGTCACCGTCGACTCGCTGTTATACCTACTCCATCATCAGCGTTATCTCATCTCATTCAAACAGCAATTATGCCCGCTGGTACAGCTGTTGGCAATCCTAGTGCTAATCAACGGTCAACACCAACCAAACAGCCAATGACTGATCCAGCTGGTTATAAGAGCACAGTGTAAAAAAAGTTTTTTGTGTTTAATCTTATGTCTGGTTCTGTCAGTGTCATTTTCATATGTATCAGTTCTGTTCTTTTTCTCAGTATTTTCTGCACAATTCTTTTAGTATGACTGTTTGTTTTCTTTTTTAAATGCATAATCATATTGTTTAGCTCAATTTTCTCATCTGTGTGCTGCTTCACTTGTGAATATATAAAGCATGAAAAAGATTTTCATTATGTAAATGATTTGATTTCTTTCTGTTCGAATCACTGGTTTTCTTTGTTAATCTACTTGAACAGGTGAAGCTTTTCTGGCACGCAACTGAAAGTATTCCTATTCGGAGAACAAAACTTGATTATTTTTTATTCATTGATAACAAAAACCTATCACAATTGAACTGCATCAAGAAATCACACAACAACCATTTTTCTTTTGAGATGAACGTTTTTCCTTATGTGAAGGACGTATCGGTTTATCAGAATCGAGTGTTTCATCCACACCTACAGGAACGGTGCGAGTATGTGAAATATCATCTGATGTGGATGTCGGTGACGACAAAGAGGTATCCATGGAGAGAGGTTTGTTCTTTTCATAAACACTTGATACCAATAAAACGAATGCTTGCTCGACATTCGATGCATTCAGCGCAGATGTTTCCATATAGGATAGATTAAGATGTTTGGCTAGAGCAGTTGCTTCTTCGCGTGATACGGCTCGTTGCTCGACAAGATCTGATTTGTTTCCAACAAGAACAATAGGTAAATCAGCGGGTGTGTGTCGATAGACTTCTTCGATCCAGGTCGATACGTGCTGAAATGTATCAGGTTTTGTTAAATCAAAAACGACTAGAGCACCTTCGCTACCGCGATAAAATTGTGGAATAACTGTTTTGAAACGTTCCTGACCAGCTGTGTCCTATTTTATATAGAAATTTTATGGAAAAGAGATCAAGAAATGATCATACCCAAACTTGAGTCTTGATTCTTTTCCCATCGATGAGAAGTTGTTTGTAAGCAAATTCAACTCCGATGGTTGATTGAGTGTCAAGACGAAATTCATTCCGTGTAAACCGTAGTAAAAGATTACTCTGAACAGAAAATTACAGTCTGTGAATGTACTCTCACGAATTTACCCTACTTTTCCCACAGAACTATCACCTATGATCACAATCTTGAATATGAAATCGTATTCCGATGATATAGTGACACTGCGTTTCATGTTTTTGCTCTCTAAAGGATATAAAGTTCGATATCAATGTGTCATAGATAGAAAAATGAAAAGAGACTAAAGTACTCTTGAAGTTTTTCATTGTTGTTACATTATCTTATCAGTCGACAAAAATCTATGTTATCAACGAGAAAAATAGTGAAGAACGAAACAAATTGGTGAAGTTCTTTCCATGTTTTTGTACTTTACACCGAGAGAAAAGCAAATGATTTCTTGTTTGATTTGTTACAGTCATTAGTCATTCTCAATACAATCCCATTCATCGGTACAATATGTTCCTTTTCATGGAGTATATTTATATGTTTAAAAATATGATAAAAGAAAACTATGAAAGCAGAATAAAAATCAGCAATCGATTTCAGTTCATTATTTTCAAATAAATATTAATTTTGTGATCGTTTCTCTTCCAAATAAGCCTGCTTTTCGGCATCGGTTAGACCGCCTTGGGGTGGATTTTCGACATGGTTCAAATCATATTTACCACCTTGAACTTCGATTAAGACTTTCGCTTGAGTTGTTGAGATCAATTCGGCGGGTGGTGTAACATGTTTCAATGAATGATCCTGTTTGGTTATTTCGCCAAAGAGAGCTTTTTGAGCTGTTGTAATAGTGTCTGTCGAAGCCATTTGATTCCGAAAAAAGAAACAAGCAGAATAATCTGAAATACAAAAAAAAGCATCCAGTCGACTTTTATTCCAAACAACGTCAATTCATTTCAGTTGTTTCAAGTCCAGAAATCAATCCGAACTTACTCGACGTGTTCGAACAGATAAACAGACAAGATTGATGACTGTTTGTTTGTTTGAATGAAAGCACAACGGTTTATATACTAAAAATATTGTTCCAACGTGGGAGAGGAGCTATTCGCGAAAACTATTTCTAACCTACATGGCATTACTTCACGTTTGCATTGATCTATTCGAAGAATGCGACTACAGCAATATTCCTACACATTGACTGCAAAAAACAACAAAGTGTAGAACGTATCGATGCCGACGAATACAGAAGTTAGAAGGTTGACTCAGTTTTTTTTATAAATATAATTTACAAACGCAATTTCGAATGCTATTTACCTTCCGTTGAAAATCATGCACCTAGAAAATAAAAAAACAGCTCTCATCGCTTTTGGAGAATAGTTATTAAATAATGAAATATGAATAAATATCGTGTACTGTCGAAGAATGTGCATGGCACAATTTTTCAGTTCTGTCCTATTCATTCACTAACCCAACAAGTAGAAATCAAATGATTGTAATCGAAACTATGGGTTTCGTACTGTCTGACGATGAATATACTGTACTCATGAATCACTCTACTGACTTCATACGATGAAGAAAATTTTCACAAAAAAAGAAAATGGAAATGATCTATCGAACTAAGTATAAGAAACAAATGTGAATTTCTGTTCATCGACACGAAATATCGATTTCGACTGACGAAATTTTCACTAGCGTTACCTCGACAGATTTGTTTCTCTAACAAACGTTTTTCCAAAAGAAAGAAAATACCCAGTATGAACTCTTCGAGAAAAGAGGTTGGATTTTATAAAATCTCAAAGCTCGAAGTTCATTCTCGAGTTTTTCATCATTGTTTTCGATTGATTTTAATTATCTGACATGTATTTTTCGATTTAATCATGTGTGATAGCGCCATCTAGTGTGATTTGAAGAATAAGGAACTGCATTCTGTACACCTTTTTGATTGGTAAATCATTTGAGATATTGAATTCGAATTTTGAAGAACTGCAATATTTCAAGACACGGATAAACAAAATATCCAACTAAACGACTTTCTTTGCAATTTAGGTTCTGATTTGTTTTTTAAACTTCAATGGTTTTCTTTTTTACCAGCAACGGTAAACATCTCTCATGAAGATTCTGCAAATATTTTCCAAATTTTCTAGTCGTCGATCCACCCTATACTATTTATATGGGTCGGGATAAATATGAAAGTAAATTCGACGAAGATTCACGAGTTGGAAATAATTTGTGATTGTTTTCGATTAGATAATGAATTGTTGAAATACTGTTGGCCGGAAGATGTTTGGTTTGTTGGGAAATTCCTATACGAAAACGTCATTTTGAATGATATTTCAATTTTAGGTTTCATGTCAGTAAATTATCGTCTGCACATGTTTATTTACGACTTCACAAAGTGAGTCCAACAGATGAGCTTTTCAAAATTCGCAATCAGCTGACGTGTAGGGTCAAACAGTCGACGATATTCCGGCGGAAGCTTTACAAGACTGCTGTCAATTAGTGAAGGCAAACAGTATTGAAGGTTGTAAATTGAATAAAGTCGACATTGTCTATACACCTGTGGGTAATCTTCGTCAAACGAATGATATGGATGTTGGTCAAGTTGGATTTCATGTTGATAAACATGTAAGTAGCCTGTCAACGAATGATTTCGTTTTCGAGGAAATGCTTGTTTTCCAGGTTAAGCAATATGTTGTGGATAAGAAACAAAATGAAATTGTAAATCGGTTGAATAAGACGAAGACGGAAATTCCAACCGAAGAATTTATTGTATGATTTCGGAAGACATGGATTTTTGATAATGGGATATTTTAGAGTCAACGGGAACAACGAGATAATCAAGAGCGCGACGAGAAAAAACGGCTGATGAGAGAACAAAAACAACGAGATAAAGAAGAAGAAAAACGTCGACAAGAATCAGCAGAATTAAAGTACGAACACTCCGAGTTTTCCTCAATAAGAAAACATTGTACAAATCATTTTAGAAACTATTCATCACTTATGAGTACGGATAAAATGCGATCGAATAAGGTATGGTTTATTTCATGCTTTAGTACTTCTAATGCATTGTTCAATTATTCCCAGCGCAGATATAATGAAGAGGAAAAACAGTCAGGATGACTTACATCGGTTTCTATATTTGATAAAATCTATACCGGTTGGAAAAGATTAGAAAACAAAGTGAATAGATTGTACTCCTAAAGATGCATGACTTTTATCAGTTCTTTCAATTAATAAATATTTTGATTTCTCTGGGAATTATTCGAAATATCATGTTCTAGTCTTCATTGTATTAGATTTGCTGAGTAAATAACATCTGTTGGATTTCTAAATCTAGTTTGACTAATAATCAAGAAAATCTTAAATTAATAAAACACTTTTCATAGCAGAAACAGACCCTTTCGATCATTTATCGGGTAAAAGTCAAATCTACACACATCTCGTTTACCTTCTTTTTAGGATGGCAACGAATCGGATGAATTCATGTAAACGAGTGGCAAATCACTTCTCTGATTGATTTCTATGTTTCATTTTAATCAAATAAAAAGATTTCTGTTGTTCATTCTCCATGTATTTCAGATCGAAGGTCGGTTTTGTTTGAGTATGACAACGAATCATATTCCATTGACAGTAATCGCTAAATGTGCATCATGTTCTATAAAAACTAACCTTTTCATATGCTCACATTGTGATGAAGTTATTTGTCAAACGTGTGTTGACAAACATCAAGTTAAACTTCATGAAACGTTGAAAGAACAGTGGAATTTGTGTAAAACAAAGTTTGAAGATTTATGCCAAATAGCAGGTAGAGATGGATGTTTTCCCTATGCAAAATGTTCGTGTGTTTGTTTTTTTTAGACACATATGATAAAGATGCGATCAATTACGAGAATGAAATCGACCAAATCCGCACAGTGATCGATCAACGACGATCGGATTTGATACATTTAGTTGAGAATGAGAAAAATAATTTACTTAGTAAAATAGATGAATATATCCAGTCTAATTTCGCAAAGTACGACGGAGAAAAGGTGCGAGTTGTCGTGTAATTGAGAAGTATTCTGTTTAGTGTTCAACATATAGATCTTCAACAGTTGTATGATTCCATAAATCAACGCTTAATTGATGTCTTTCAGTAAGAACGGATTTAAAAGAGAATTTCCATGTTTTGTTTTGTGTTTGTGTAGAAATCCCAGTGCATCATTTAGCACCGACGATTTTCTAATGGAAATCAATTATTTCAATATGTTAATCTCGAATCGAGAAAAACAAATCCAAACATTTTCACTAAAAGTAAGTGCCTACGTTTCTTTCTTGTGCTAACTGTACACTAGAAAATCAGCACTCAACATGATCATTTGGAAACATCCTTTTGATTTTTTTTTGTATAGTATCCTTATTTGTCCCCACCGAAATCACTCAGTATATCCGATGTGTTCGGTGAATTACAATGGACTTCTAAAGCAATGTCGAATTCAATGTTGACGAAACCATCGGTTGCTACTAGTCGATTAATGCATGAACACATTCTCGGTGAGGCCAAAGGTGGTTCACAAGAACATTCAACAACTATACCAGACGATTCCATCTCATTATCATCTACATCATCATTATCATTGCCTGTCATGCAAAGACAAAAGCAATGGACAACAGATGCAGCAGGCGTACCTCATTTTCTCTGTATACTTTCCAAGAAGAATCATCTTCTCTTCGCTTGTGATAAATTTGGCTCGATCGATTTATATCAACTTGATAGTACTAACTCGAAGAATGCTCCACGTCATCTACGTCATTTCGAGCTCTTTCCTGGCAATACGACGAACAAACAACCGCAGATCATTGAAACATTTACAGTTTATACGCCATTCATTGTAGTCGCCGCCCGTATGTTCAAGCTTTTGCTTATGGAATGAAGTGCTTGAGCTGCTAACTTTAGATTTGAGTGATCAGACAGATACGAGTTCGATCTACTTTTTCGATCACCGTGGTTGTCAGCAGGGAGAAACATGTCTACAAAACTTTCCTGTTCGACAACTTTCAGCTGATGTTGGTTTCCGATGTCTGTGGGGAGTGGATCGACATCAACATTTAGGTAAAGTACGAAGCATTTCGAATACTTTTGTATGAAGTTGACGGTTTGCAGTTTATTATAATCAATTACCGATCAATGTGCAACAGATTGGAGATTTTATGAAACAACGTGAAGAATTTCTTAAATTCGGCCGAGAATTTGAACCGATTAGGTAATCCATTCCTTTTGAAGAAAGAGTTCAAGGTTATATTTTCAAGTCTCATATACTTTTAGAATAGCTCAAAACCAAACATCAGTTGCGATCGTCGAACGAAACTCTCAAAGTGCGCACATATTTGATAAACAAACCAAGAAACAAATCAACGAAGTAGAAAATCTTTTACGCACCAAAGGAATCTTTCGACTCTGGAATGCTTTAGTATGTCATGCTGATGACTTGTGCTCAGAGAATGTTCATAGTTTTTCATAGATTCGTGATGACAACTCCATGGTGCTTAAATTAGATGAAGATTTACCTCCAAATAGTCGTCCTCCTTCGATAAATCATCTTATCCTCGAATTAGATCCCACTGGTGCATCGATTTCACAGATCGAACGTACATCGGTCTTTGGATTCGTTATTGGACCAAACGATGAAATTCTCTTGGGCTGCAAACGATACCAACAAAATGGTTTAATTGAATGTTATATTTAAGGAATATTTTCGTCACTAGAATTCTTCTTATTACGAACAATAAATTATTTTTGAACAGTTTTCTTGTCTAGATATTTGACCAGATCAGATAGCGACATATTTGAGAATTGTGTTTGAGGTCTTTTTCGTTTGGCTTTTTTAGAAAAAAATTTCTTTCGTGTTCTTTTCGTGCCTTTCAAGTATGTTCTTGACAACGAAGAAAAAAAAAAGTGAAGGACTGTACTGGTCTTTGTTCTTGCTTCTGAAAAAAATCAACAGCATCGCACATCAGTCTTCTTTTATGCTAATCAACTATATTTTAGATGCATATGTTCATTTAATTTCTTGGAAGCACAATGTCCAACCCAGATAACTGTCCGAACTGGTAAGATTTCTAATAGTTCTATCGCATATGATCATCTTTAATTTAGTGATAATATTTACGGTAATGAACCGCGGAAAATTCCCTGGTAATTTTGTTGATTGAAATCGTTTTTTCGAAAATCAGATTTGTTCTATTTAGCGGACATATTGTTTGCCATAAATGTTGTTTGGAACTGTTCAATAAAGAAGACAATACACTTATTTGTCCCGTATGCGATGTAACACATTCGTTCAAATCGAAAAATATCTTCAAGAAATCATTACAACAAGTAGCACATTCCGGTTTTGGAAAGAAAACAGCGATACGTGAAGTCGCGTTCGCATCATCCATGGTAAGCTTTTTAACGACAGAAAATGATAGATCTTTTATTGGTGAATATCGTGTTTATGTAGCCAGTAGAAAAGGCATCGGGCGCTGAGAAATCGGTACTGAAGGAAGTGAAAAAAGCAGCAGCCCATTTACCAACAGCTCCACCAGGTGCGCCACCAGAAGGAGCACCAGCGAATACTACACCTCCTCCTTCTCATCCATCACCACCACCGCCACCACCACCACCACCTGCATCGGTACCAGAATCCATTACAGTTGCTCCAAAACCGCCGCCACCGGTACCCTTGATGCCACCAAGGTCTTCTGCAGCGGAAAATCTGGCAAAATCAGTAAAACTAAAAACATTTTTGGGCAGCAGCACACCTCCACCTTCTCTAATGAATGGTATTATTTCCTCACCAGTACCAACGCCGTCGCCACCACCGCCGCCGCCGCCGCCCCCAATGCAATCATCCTCTGGATTTGAGGCCGTCATTGCCCGCTGCCATAGTTGTGGTAAAAAATGCCAAGTGATCGTGAGTTTATTGAATACAAAAATGTTCAGTCTTTTTATATGCAAATTTTGTAGGTTTGCGAACACTGTGATCATTTTGTATGCTTCAAATGTGCTGAAGAACATCGAGTAACAACGAAAGTCGATACACAAGAGCTGGCTAATAAATGGCAAACTTGTAAAAATAAATACAGTACTTTACTTCAAAAACTAAGTAATTCTTTCTTTGATCAAATACTTTTTTCTCGAATACTTTATGTGAAATCATATCGTAGATCAATACAGTCGTGATCGAACTCAAATCGAAAGTGATCTTGCTGCCATACGTGTTGCTATTGAACAACGTACACGTGATGCGACACAACTTGTGATTCAACAACGTGATCTTCTAATTGGACGAATCAATGAACACATTGAAAATGAACAGACTGTGAACAGGTAATTGAGATCACAAGGAAATGTTTCTATTCCTTTTGATCTATTTTGTTACTTTCAGTATTAAACATAGCGAACTAGCAAATGCCTTTCAACAGATACAAATTCGATATGAAAACGCCTTAAAGTATGTTATTGACAAGTAAAAAGAAATACCTACGGATTCCTTTTCCAGTGGTGGAGACATCGGCTCTTATACTCAAGATGATTTCTTGCGTGACATTCGTGAACTTCAAAATCGAATGAGTAAACGTAACGATATAATTGATACGCACATCTTAAAAGTAAATATTCCATTAGGAAATTGTAGACATCTGATTATCAAATCTTTCTTGTATAACAGATTCCAACTGTCGCGCGATACGAACGTGTATCAATCGAGAAATTACTGGGTGAACTTCGTTTTAACTCTCCTATGATGAATTCGCTTCCTAATCTAACCATTTCTTCTCTATTGGACCATCAACATTTGCCTAAACAAAATGGATTTCTGGATCATTCATCGATATTTCCGAATAAATTTACGCCGAATCTATCACCAAAACTTCCGCCAGGAATGCCTCCGCCATTGGTGAACACGATCACGCCACCGACGAATCACATTGCTTCGGCAACAACCGATGCGCATATAGTAAAGCCGCTGATGGCCGAAACACGCCCAAATAGTACACTCGATCCATTCGATGAATTTCGTCGAATGGCCGCTCAGATTCATCATGAATTTAATGCACCATACAGTAAAGTAATCAATGCTGGTTCGTCGCCGGCGCATCCTTCGTCATTCGCTATGGCAGCAGCTGATGGGAATCCGACGACGAATGGAAACGAGAAATCTGCAAAAACACTGCCAGCTACTGCTGCCGCGCAAAATAAAACTCCTTCTACTAGTACATTTACTAAATCATGGAAAGTCGAGCATACCGCTGGTACTTAGACTATATTTAAATGCATTCAAATTCATCGTTTATATACTTTTAGTACCTAACTTTCTATGTATGACACCTTATCCCACACCAAAAATCTTTGTAGTTGATAAATATGGTAAAGTGTCCGTGTGCAGCATTCCGCCCAAACCAATCAAACCATTTGACTCTTATACATTGTTTCCTAATGATACGGATGAATGGATCGAATCGGTTGTTGCTTCATCTCGATTTCTTATTGTTTATTCTCGGAAAAAGCAAGACACAATGACTGGTACACTATATTTTTTTACTCACGAATGCAAACCGGTTTTACCCAATGGTATTCACCAGAACATTCCTGTTCATCATATTTTGTGCGATCAGAATGCCAATCGACTCTACTGTTTGGATCGAATGCGCTGTACCATCTACTATCATACATTACCGAATAGTTTGGGAGAAATTGAAACTTGTATGAAGACCCGACGTGATTTCACACAATTCAATTCTAATTATACGGCTGTGAAAATGCTACAGAACGACGATATTTTAGGATTTTATGAACGAAATGATTGTACCGTTCATTTATATGATAAACAAACAGCTGAAAAAATCGAAGAATTCAAATGCGAACATTTTATGGATAAATTCGAAAGTTGGGGAATCGTCGGTAAGTAGTCGAGAACTAATTCACTCTAACCATTCCTTGCTCCCGAGGAGTAGTCGAATTGCACGAGACGAATCTTATTCTTCTCTACTAATCAGTCAAGTTTATTTGTAGCAATTCGCAAAGACAATAACAGTCTCATATTTAAAATTGATGAACGTGCTGACCACGATGCTGTGACTCGTCAACATATTGTTTACGAAGTACATCGAGCAACAAAACAAATCATCAGTAAAATTCAACTCAATTCCGTGTTCGGAATGATCATCGGACCGAACAATGAAGTCATTTTGGGTATTCGTCAAACAAAAGAAAGTGGCATTGTTCAATGTTATGTAAGAAGATAAGTAAACAGTCTCATGAATGATCATTGGAAATCGAGAAGAAGAATCTGATCATCCTTTCTCGTATTCGTTCACGATCAAAGTAAAAATTCATTCAGGCGAAACTATCATCTTTGATTTGTATATTTTTTGTTCGTTGTTTTTGCTTCTTCCCGAAGAAGGTTAAAGATGATACATAACTGTATTTATTGGTGAGAATGCCAGTTTGTTTTGATAATGTTGGTGTGTACTTCGTTCGTTTATGCTTATATTTGTTTGATCTCTAGTCAAGATAAATCAAGACCTTTCAGTTGTCTTTGCTTTCATTCGTGTGAAAAAGATATCTTTTGTATATAGACATTCATTGTTCATTTCTCTACTTACTTTCGGTGTTTATTGTGATATGGATGGAAGATATTAAAGTAACGAAACACTAAGAAAAAAAAAAGGAGAGAGGAATGAGAAAGCGTCTACATTTTAATATAACAACGTTATTCATATCACTTTCATTTGTTTCTGCTTCTTTTTCATTTTATGTTGTTTTTTTTCCTTTTTCTATTGGTTATTAATAAAGGCGATGATTAGATACGAAATCTCTTCTCTCATGTGAAATCTTCGTTTTAGAAGTCAATGAAATATGTCCATATCGCGCAACATTCTTTTGTGTACAGTTTGTCAATCATTGTTCAATGTAAGTTTTGTCTTGTTTTTCCTTCGCGACACTTCATTTCTGTCTTTCGGGCGAAAAGGATGCCAGACAATTGCGGTGTGGTCATTCATTTTGTTATCAATGTATCGTTTCACATTTCGAACCAACATCCAATAGAATTATTTGTTCGCGATGCAAGTACGTGCTTGTTCGAGTGGATTGGCCGACAAATTCCTAGTTTTGTTTTAGACGTATTCATCAATTCGATTCTTTTACACAGTTTGAAACAAGTTTGATTGTCGATGCCTTCGTTATGTCATTAGTCGGTGAACATCGACGCAAAAAATCCATTTCAACTGCTCCATTGCTTGCATTCACACTCGAGCAAATCCTTGAACGAAGTCCAGCGCCATTTCTCATTGCTAAATGTGCGCAATGCACACTTCGAAAAGAACTGGGTATGTCAAGGAAATTGTTCGAAGAATCCGAACTCTGATTTTCGATTTAGTTGTTTGTCCGGAATGTGAACAAGTTATTTGTTTTGAATGTATTTCTCAGCACCAATTAATTGTAAATAATAATGTTCAACAAAGTTGGATGACATGTAAACAAATGTGGAATTATATGTACGAAAAGTCCAGTAAGATTTCGATATGTGTGGTTTCTGTTTATTCGCCTATCTGTTGGTTCTTTTTAAGTACTTTTCGATGAACAACAATTTGATCTTGAATCTCACATGTACGAATTGAAATCTCGAATCGAAAAACGGTCGAATTTTCTTCTACAAACAATCGAAAAGTGGCGAGAGATTTACTTACGTAAAATCAATCAATATGCGCAGAAATATGAGAGTATTCGGGAGGATATTGCATCACAGTTTCAATCGATTGACCAACGTATTCAAGTCTTTCTCTCGTACGATTCCACTTCTATGCGTATTTTCTTGATTTTTCACGATTCTCTTTCGACTTTTTAGTTTGACAGATCCAGATCCGATAAAAGCGGAATGTTTCCTCGAAGAAATCAATGGTTTCAGAATGAATTTACGACAAAAACATAAACAGATCGATCTGTATTCACACCAGTTACCCAAGTATTCCACGTCAGATTTGAATTCATCGTTACTCGGAGCAATTTCTATTCAAACATCTGTTGAACATCTACGTACTTCCATCGATGATGATAACAACGAAGAAAATACAAACAACGAAGAGGAATCCGTCGAAATCAACGATAATGAAAGCGTCAAGTCAGATGAAACTCCACAACAAATCAATCAAGGAGACGAAACTCCAACGCCAACGAACAAGACATTATTGGAGAATATCTCAAATAAAAAACTTCTTTGGTCTATACATTTCAAATTCGTTCCACAATATATCGTACTCTATCGGCAATCAATCTTATTTGCATCAGATCGTTGGGGTTTTGTCAGGTGAATGCTCTCCTTTGAACTATTCGTAAACTTCAGTACTTTTTAGCACATGGACATACACCAATGCACGTACTAAACCAACACCAAAGAAATCCTTTGTTCTTTTTCCACAGTTTCGAGTTGGAACATGGTCTCGTGTTTACGTCGAATCATTCAGTGTTTGTAAGTCATATAAGATGGAATGTGAAACTCGTGTTTATGGTTGAATTTGGATGATTTAGATAAACCATACATTTGTGTTTTTGTCAAAGGATCAGACGAATCACTTTCTAATTTTATCGCATTTTTCACCCATACAGGACAATTACAAATGAAAGTCGAATACGAGCATCGATACACACTTCGACAATTGATCTGCGATGAAAGTCCCAAAGGAAATTGTATATGTATGTCGAAAATTTCATTTCTAAGGTTTTTTCTCTACTATCAATTCGACTGGTAGGGGCTGTAGACCGCGGTATGCATTGCATTTACAAACATGATCTACCACGAACTACTCAAGAAATCCAGTCATTCTTGGCGACACATAAATCAACGACTCGCTTAAACGATCGAACGTGTGATGTTATTCGAATGGCTATCAATCAAAATCTTCTCGCGATACTTGGTCAGTTAGAAAATTTCATTGATTCGCTGATCACATTGACTCGTTTTCTAGACTCTCGAACGCAAATAGTAACTTTTTTTGATAAATTGACTCAAAAAGAAGTCGGTGTTTATGCAGCAGATTATTTGCCAACCGGTGATAATAAATTATGGCGTGTAGAAATCTTTCCGGATAATAGTCTCCTGTTACGCTTCGACGATAACGAACGCACCGGTGATCGTTCACAAGTGATTCACCACGTAGTTGTACATGTGCGACGGAATGAAAGCAATGGAAATTACGAAGCGGTTTCACAAATTCAAGCAACGAATGTTTACGGCTTTGCTATTGGTTCCGAGTCGGAAGTGATTGTTGGCTTAAGGAAAGCAAATTGTTTCGAAGGTCTCATAAATTGCTACGTCTGATCGAAAATTCGAAATAATTTAATTGTTTCATATTCATTTATCCTTTGTTTGTTTTTCGTTCACGTCTTATAAGTTGTTTATATTTCCTACAAGTCAGATCATACAATCCAATAGTCACGATTTACTGTTCTTATCTATTTTTCTTTCTCGTTGTCAGATTTAACTTTAAACAGTGTAAATAAGAAACTTTATTGAACAAGATTTTCTTTTCAGATTTTGTTCATCTTGATGTTCGTTTGATATCATCACGTTTCCAACGATGATTAATGCAAAACTTGTCATGTGTGGATTGTGTCACAGTTACTATGCTGATCCTCGACAGGTGAGCAGCATTTGAGAAGCGAGAGCAACAGTCGATAAGAACGTTTGTGTGCGCTTTTAGATCCCTTGTTCACATTCGTTTTGTTTTGATTGTATATGCGGTCGATTTAATGAGGAAACCTTAACATTAACCTGTCCCAAATGTGAAAAACTTCATCAGTACAGTTCATTCGACGAATTTCAAAACCGTTGCATGCGCGATGGATTTCTTGCATCGATGGTCACTCAATTCAAAAAAGATCAAAGTCGCTTATCCGGACTTGCATCTCGTCCATCGTCAACAATCTCGCACAATCCGCTGACAGTACCATCAACACCTGTGCCATTGACATCCAAACAAGAACTTCACCCGTTAAATCATTCGGTCTCACAATGTTCGACGCCATCGATTACTTCACAACCGGCCACACGAGCACTCATAGCTAAATGTCAATCGTGTAACATTCGAGGAGAATTGATTGTTTGTAGTCATTGTGACAATGTTATTTGCATAAAATGCTCCAGTGAACACCGTACTGTTATTAACGACGATGTTAAACGTGAATGGGATGCGTGTAAAGCTCGATTTGAAACGATTAATGAAAAATCAAGTAACATATGTTGTTGTCTCTCATATGACAATTCACTCGATGTATTTTTAGTACGATTTGATAATGAAGCAATAGAAATGTACAATAAAGCACGAAATTTGCAGACTCTCATTAGTAAACAAAGTGATCAACTGATAAAAACAGTCGAAACTCAAAAGAATTATCACATGGACACCATTGAAAAACATCGACAAACATATAAACAATCGTAAATTGAACTTTAAATGCGAAACTAAGCATCTTCTTTCTCATTTAGTTTTATTCATGAACAAGTCGTTGACGAATACGAATCGATTGATAAACGAGTCGGTGAATTATTTCAGTAAATGTCTTTCGCCATTCGATCATCATTTTCTTGAGATACTCTCTTTTAGATCGTCTGATATTGATGCTGACAAGGTGAATGACTTCCTATTCGAAATCGAACATCTTGAAGATCGATTGAATAATCTCAATAATCTCCTTGATCGTAATGAATTGAAAGTACGAAAGAATTTGATGAGTATCTCGAACGATCTGATGATTGTTTTAGTTTCCATTTCTCAGTCTACCCGAGCAAATCGACATATCTTCACTTTTTGGTTCACTTGAGTTCACTGATGTACATACTGATTCTCCATCATCTCAATTGACGGACAGTCATCGCAACTCTCAATGTAAATCTGAAGATGACGAATTCGATGTTATCAATTCATCAAATCTACCTGAAAACAAAATAAAATACGAGCAGTTATCGTCGAGTCCTCATTTACAAAAGAAAAAACTCTTTTGGCAAATCGAATATTTCTCCGTACCGTATTACGTTCGAATTTTGGGAAATCAAATATTCGTCTGTGATAAATATGGTCTGCCTTCTTTCTATGTTTGTGAATCGTTTGTAAACTTTCTCATGTAGGTTCCTTAGCAATCTACAGACTACATAAATCAAATGATATTCGACAAAAACCAAGTTTACAGCGGGAAATCAAATTATTCAAAGATAATCCAGGTCCAACCGCGAACGATGAAGATCAAACAATAATCGACTCATTCGTGGTTTATAAATCATGGATCATTGTCTTCAAACGTAAAAAGAATGAATTGCATGGTACAATCTATTGGTTTACGTTCGATGGGAAATTGATTTCCAATGGTAAATGTGTGCATAATCATCCTTCACGTGAATTAACTGTTGATATTGGCAAAAACATTCTTTGGTCGTTGGACCAAAAGCAATTAGCATTATTTTATTATAATTTGCCCGAACTGAAATCATTAAATCCCGAAGAATGTCTTCAAACCCGTCATTCACATGTGCAATTTTCTAAACCATTTGCACCGATACATATATCTGTCAATCAAAATGCCTTAGCTGTCTTAGATAAAAATCGACAAGCTATTCACGTTTATGACAAACGAACCAAACAGGAAATTTATGAATATGTGAATGTTCACAATGAATCAACGCATTTTTGTTGGGATATGGCGTTATTTTCCGATAATAGCTTACTTATTAAACTCGATGAGATGAGTACATTGAAAAGCGGACCATCGAAACATGTTTATTACCAACTTGATGCCAGTCCACAGCATAATATTATCGGATTGATCGAAGAACTCGATGCATATGGAATGATGATAACTCCGACTGACGAAATTCTCATTGGTATACGAGTAAATACCAAAGGCATTGTCAAATGTTATGTTTAACTCTCCCCAATTTTATTCTCTATGTAATTTACTTTGTTTTCTTCTCATGTGTTGTTTTTATAGTCAAATTATATATTAGATGTACACGACAAAAGAAAGATAGAAGAAGCATTTGCTCGTATATGAGTTTTGATTTGTTCTAGAACATAATGGCCTGTTATCTACCGGATCATCTTGTTCGATGTTTAATATGTAAAAACTTGTTTTCTGATGCTCGTCGTCTTCGTTGTGGTTGTGTCTATTGCTATTTGTGTTGTTTAAAGATCGCTAATAACTACACGTTATCATGTCCTTGTTCAGCTATACATCGATTTCAAACACAAATTGAATTCGAAAAGGTGAAGTGTCTGCAATAATAATAAAGCATAACAATGTAGCTGAGCTTTGTTGGAAAGGGAAATCACTACTTATCGATTGATTTGTCTCTGTTTATTTAGTCTTTAGTGATCGATAGTGTTGTCAATGATCTTGTCAGTCAACATATTAAAAAGAAACAGAATTCTGCAAGGAAACTAGTTGATTACGATGTTGATTGCACGTCGCCTTCAGCCATCGAAGAGGACACTCGTTTCAATGATCATCAAACAAGTATTTCAGTATGTTCATCGAACATACGTAAACAAGTTGCTGTTGCTCAACCGCCGTGTACCATTTGCAAGAAAAAATCTCATCTGATTGTTCTTTGTGAACATTGCCAATGCGATATATGCGAATTGTGCATCGGACAGCATTATCAATCGATTACGGATGTTCTACACGAGAAATGGAAGCAATGTAAAGATAAATTCCATCAAATAAACGAACATGTTCGTACGTAAATGTTTTTCTGTTGATATAAGCGACAAAACTATAATACGGACTATCGTTTTCTATGTCCAGTTCTATCGCATCAAAACCGAACGGATGCGACGTCAAAACTCGATACAATCAGAAGAACGATCGAAGATAGAAGTCAAAATCTGAAGACAATTATCGATCAACATCGACAAACATTAGCAACACGCATTGATAATCATATGCAGAATCTCGAAAAAATGTAAATAGATGAATTTTTCTTCGAGTTTTCAATCGAACTTGGTTTTAGAGTGAAGACAAATAACGTCGATAATGATTACCAATCGATTCGAGAACGTTTACCAAACATTTTTGAGTGAGAAATCTTAGGAATCAAGCATGAGAAACGATGACTTGTTATAGAGAACAAACAAATGTATCGGATTTGGTTGCATTTCTTGGAGAAACAGAAGATCTTCTAGAAAAACTAGTTTGGCGTGATAAGCAGATAAAAGAGATCGAAATGAAAGTAGGAAAAATCAAAATTCAAGCTATCAATTAACATCTTTCTCATACAAGATTCCTTACCTGTCTCAAGCTGACGCATTCTCTATTAACATCAGTCAATTTATTGGTGAACTCAAATTTGATGATCAATCATCGTCCACAGACCAGGGAATAAGATCTACGACAAGTGATAATCAAGAAATAAAACCCAGTGACAACGTTGTATCACCACTGGCGCTAGAAGCACCCGAACGAACACGATTTCCTCGTCGGATGCGATCGTCATTTCGATCACGCGGTGCTGAACGTGGAATTCAACATCTGTCACATTTACTCAGGCCACCGGCTCGAAACTATCAGTATTCCCGAAATTCACGGTAAATATTCAACGAAGAAACTATCGCAATGGTCTGTAAAATTTCCTTTAGATCCTCCGGTAGTCGTTATTCACGTGGTCGTGGATTGTCCTATTCACATACTCCACTACTTCAACCCAATGAAACTAATTTTGACACTATACCAAACAATCGATACCAATGGTCTATCAGTTTCAAAGATATTCCCTTCTTTTTGTATGTACTCGACAATCGTAATCGAGCTCGACAGGCTGATGTCCGTGCTCATCATAAACACGATTATATGTTATTTATTTCTGATAATTATGGTCGACTTGGTGTTTATAGTCTACCGAAATATAAAACTAATCTAAAACCATCGATTATCGGTACGGGCGAACTTTTTCCAAAGAATTCGCGATTACTTTTGGAATCATTTACTGTTTATGAATTCGCTATCGTTGTCTATGTTCGTCGTTTTGAACAGCGATCAAATGAAATCGAACATTCCAAATTGATCAAGGCTGGCTTACCAATCCTGAAAGGCGAACAGGTACGATGAGTTTTCCGTGCAAACGAAAGAACTTGTTGGATTTGCTCTTCGTAGGGTCGTTGTAATGATCATGGCGGAATGATTTATCTATTTTCTCATGGTGGCGAAGAAATCGACGGCGTTTATCAATCACATCCCATACGGGCGATTCTCGCTGATCAAATCTACGGTTGTCTATGGGCTTTGAATCCAATGGAAAATAATGTGTATTGTTATATGACACCGAACAAAGTGGATGAAATTCGAAAATGTTTACAAGCGGAAGAAATTCTTTTAGATTTATCAGAAGAATTGTTCGAACCATCCATAATGATACAATCCGATCATTCAATTGGTTTGATTGATGTTGAACGCGATGTGTATCGTTTGTACAGTAAAGACGATAAACTTCGTTTGATCACAATGTATGAAAATTCTTGTAATCAACAATGGAAATTAACCGATGGCGTCATTTTCAAAGATAATCGAAGTTTATTGAAATTAAGCGAAGATATATGTTACAATAGTTTAAACGAAAGATCGACCGGAGCCAAATCTCATAGCAATCCACGACGGCAGCTGATGGAAATCACCTCCGACGGACAAGAGAAACGTCGTATTCAAGCAGATACATTGTATGGCATAGCACTCGGTAAAAATCTTTGTCTTTAGAGAAATAACACGAAAAGTTTTTCTAATGAACTTTTCATAGGCCCAGATGATGAACTTATCATGGGATTTTCTCTTCGTGGTGAACGCGGTATGGTTCATTGTTATTAACTTTCTTCATTCATGAGTAATTTTATGTAAAAAGTAACAAAGCAATAGTTTTGTCAGGTATTTCTTCATATAGATATTGATCATTTTTGTTTTATATTTTCAAGTATTCAAAGTCAATAAGAAAACTTCTCATAGTTGTTTTTCGTGATAAACTAGTTGTTAAATATTATCTCTCATTTTTCAGTGCATTTATGAATATTTTCTCTTTGATGACAATCCTCCTTATTTCATTCTTTGTTGTTGTATTAAATTAATAGATAAACAAGAGAAGTAATATATGAAATAAACAAACAATTCTTGTAGTTTTATCTCATATTATATCATTACAGATGATTTTCAAAGAGAAATTCTGTCGGATTTGTTTCCAGACATTCAATGATCCAAGACGATTGCCATGTAAACATATCTTTTGTTTTAAATGCATTCCGTGTTTACAATGTGATGATTCGGACAGTAGAGATCAGATTGTATTAGCATGTCGCATTTGCTTGAGACATCATCGGTTTGACGATTGGTCAGCAGTGAAATATTATGTAACATTACATTGTGTACCGTATCTTACTGCTTTACAGTGCGATGAACAGATGATTCCAGTGCGAGAGAGTTCGTGTCCAGTTTGTTTCAATGTGGTAGAAGAGAAGTTGGAGTATTGTCATCATTGTCAGAAGAATCTGTGCAATCAATGTTTAATATCACATCGAATGGAAGTGAAAAAGAGTATTTTACAAACAATCGAGCAATGTCGTAGGTTTATGCGAAGAACTCAACAGCATGTTGAACAAACAAGGAATAAATTAGAAAATATGAAATTACATATTGATATTTGTACATCTGAACGCAATGACCAGGTTTCTCTTTCATCTTCTCTCAAATCATTTAATCGAAATGATTCGTAGGTAGATGCGTACACTGTTTCCCTATTAGCTCAAATTGACGAACAAAAGTGAGTCTAGATTCTCATTCTTGACACACATTGTTCATTATCCGATAGGTTGCACGAAGAAACGAATTCCACTTCTGGTTATGAATCATTTGGTGAACAACGAACCAACGAGTGAGTTCAAATACCAAATTGTGAAAACACACATCCTCACAGTAACTTTAGCAACAATGACTCTCTTCGTGAACAGTACAAGTCACAAGCAAATATTGCACTAATCGAAACAACAATGGCACCTATTGGTTTACTTGGCGAACTTGTTTCATCTGACTCCGAACGTTCAATTGCACCTACGTCACACATGAGTTGGTCAATGTCATGTCCTTTTCATCCAACTCATATTGTATTTGAATCTGAGTCATCGAAACTATTTCTTTGCACAGATCGAGGTGACGTCAATGTTTATTCGTACAATACATCAAATTTAGCATTTTTACAACGATTTTATTTACAAACCATTGAAAAATCTCTTTCGCTGTCTGTTAAATCACTGATTGCGACAAGATCATTTCTTATAGTTTCTCTCAATTCATCAATCGAATCTATTCTTCATTTCTACTCACACAATGGCCATCTACTACGTTCTCAATCATTTCCCAATGAATATATTAGTCAACTACGCTTCAATGATCTTCATTTATGGTATTTGGAATTGATTTCTTCTTCGATATTCTATTTTAAGCTTGATACAACCAACAGCGAATGTACTGAAAAAACGCAATTCACATCTTTTAAACAACAATCTTTTTATCCATTTCGATTTGCTTTGAATCAAACACGCGTCGCAGTGATGGATCGATCAACTACTGGAATTATTCTTCTCTTCGACAAACAAACAAGTGCCTATTTGAAACGGTTCGAGTCTCAATCATGCGATTTCGAACTAAGCAATCATACGTTACTCTACCGTTTTCTGCATTCTATCTCAATCATTCATATAGATAACGAACAAGTTCAAGAAGAAATTCATTCTAGTAAAACTATAAATATAACCTTAGGGAAGTTAGATCATGAGTTTCTACTCAGTACATATACGAATGAGTCCCATACATTCGCGATTCAATGTTACAGTAAATAGTCAGATCTGATTTTGTCCAGTCATATTGAGTATACGTTCTTAAGGTTGTTTTAACTTTTATTTTGCTATTTTAGATTGCATAAACTATCATGCCGTTGTTTACACGTGAGCGTGTTTCATGCCAAGCCAAACCATCAGAATCTCATCTATACAATGATCCTGTGATGCTTATTTGCAGTCATGTTTTCTGTCGTTCATGCTGCTTAGATTTGGCACGAAGAAATCAAGATCATTGTAGTATATTTCGCTTTACTCATAGAATCGAATGAGTCGAAAGTTCATCTTTTTAGTTATTTGTCCGATTTGTTCAATGCGAATTCCGTTTGATAACTTAAATCGATTTGCAACTGGTCTGATAGCGCATGGAACACTAGCAACGATGGTGAAACAATATCTACGAGAAGAACAAGCTCAGCGTATATGTGTATCTTGCGGAAAGAATCATGTCAATAATGTTCGAAGTCGAATTTGTGAAAAATGTGAGATTGAACAGGAAAGTATCAAAAGAAAGATTGTTGAAACAGTGAAAAAATGTGACAAATTAATCTCGAATCAAAAAATGATTTCCTTGGATAAAATCTATGGAGATATGAATGAGATTTACACGCTTATTGATCAACGAACAGCCAATTTCAATCAAACAATTGAAAATTATGAAAAGAAACTGAATGATTTACTAACCAAACAACAAAAAGCAAATGAACTCAATGCGTAAATTAGTACACTTGCTCAAACTTCAAATAAATAGAAATCCTTATTTCATTGCAGATTAAAACATCAACCAATTGATATCGAATCGGTTTCGGAATTAGTTGAGCCCCGACTAAATGCCTTAAAGTATATCAGTTCTAGTGATATAAATCATCATGCATTGAAATCTTCTCTTTTCTTGCTAGGAAAAATAAGAATCTGCTAGAAAATCTCGATGTCGAAAAAGAAATCAAACGTTTAAGCGATGAAGCCGATCGCAAACTTCGTCTACTCAAACATAAAGCAGATATCGTTCGTCTTACTTTAATCCTTTCAAATACTCCATACATTCACGATTATTTAGGTACCTGTACTCCGTCCCCCATCAATGAAACCATCGAACCACATGTTTGGTGAACTTCTTTTCAAATCTACGGACGACGAAACAAAATCATCTAAGTTAACACCTGATCAATCGATGGTCAACACATCAGGTGATACGTCACTTCAATCAATTCCACCCAAACTTCCAATGTGGACTGTAAATGTCAATACATTACCTTCCCATCTATGTGTACATTCCGTTGGTAAATCCACATTAATCTTCAGTTGTAGTTCATCAGGCATCATTTCTCTCTTCAACTACATCTCACCAGTTACGTACGATTCTCCTCGATATATTCGCACATTTCATCTTTTTCCTGCGCAAGTTCGTATTCATGTACAATCATTTGCCGTTTTTAGTCATTTCATGCTTGTACATATTCGTGATAACGATCGACAAGATGCGATTTATTTCTTCTCGCACGATGGTAACTTCGAATACGGACCTATTTACCTATTGAATCTTGTTCGGCATTTTCTCGCTGATGAAAATCGTCTTTGGGCAATCGATTCTGTCACTCAAACGATATTCTTTCATGTTCAACCATTATCGTCTCATGAAATTTCGAGTCTTTTCTCCAGACACGATCAATTCGTAACTTTTGATAAAGAATCCAATTTCATTCCATTACGCCTTGCCATTAATCAACAACTACTCGCCGTACTCAGCAAAGATTTTCACCAAGTGTACATTTATAACAAAATCTCTCGTGAACGAATTTTCGTCAGCCATTTTACTGTTGGAAACAGTACGAATATCTGGGATATTGGCTTGTTTCCACGAGATAATAGTTTGTTGTTGAAATTTGATTGTATGTTCGAAGGAAATGTAAAACGGTCTTTATTTATACATTTCAATACAAAAAATCAATCGGTTGGCCGAATCGAAGGAAAACATTGTTTAAGTGTTGTCATTGGGCCGAATAAAGAAGTATTAATTGGATTTAATCTTCGCACAGGAATCATTCGTTGTTATATGTAAATGAATTTTTGTTAGTATTGAATTTAGTTCGTTTTTGAAGGAATTTTTGTCTTGTTTTTCTTTTGAAAATAAATTTAGATACTTTGTTAGGAATTATTCACAGGTATTGTGATCGCTTTTCTAATTTCAACAAAAACTTTGTCCCAATCCCAAACCAATTGATTCTATAAGCAAGATGTTCGAGACGAATATGAATAATGGGTGGGAACCGATATTTACTTCAGTGTCGAGTTCTTCTTGTAGATGCAGATTGTTGTACAAAATTCCAATATCGATTTTACTATCCTGAAGAAAGAAAAGAGGAATCGTATGGATGTATGAACACTACGAACGATATGCTGATTGGCACGTTGTCGCGTGAATTCGTTCTGGATTTCTTGGAATGAAGCGATTTGATTTACAGAAAACCTAAGGGCAAAATAGTTTTTGCTAGAATTCCATGATGATTTGATTACTTAGGTGTAACTGCATCTTGGGGTGGTGCATCGTTAGCATCTTCTCCTTCAACATCATCTCTGGATATCGTCGGAATATCTAGGGAAACAGCTCCACAGTGTTTTTTTGCAATATTAGATCTCTAGAAATGTACCGATGGTAAGAGTGTCCTCCGCTCCCCGACGAGAATTTTGTCGCATGATGGAAAGTTGAGAAGCAGGAATATTGGAACCGTTGCTATAAATTTAGACAATTACTGATTTTCAACTCTGTTTTTCGTTTGATTGAATACGCACGCACTATCATCTTCGCCATCAACGTCATTGGACCATCCGCTAGCCGCTTCCGCGACAGGCCGTCGATTTGATTTTGACTTCGACTTCGACCTCGACTTTGATGATTCTTTTCGTTTACTTGACTATAGAGACGCAAAAAGGATTAACTATGCTTGTATCTTTTAAACACAGATTTAAAAAACGTTCGATAAACCTACTTTCGACTTCTTAAACTCTTCGCCAGTCCATTCGTCACTTGACATCCTGTATCTGCAGTAACAATTTCTTTTCCTTAATCTTATAAAGTGCGTTCTATGACCATGAACATCAGAACACGATAGAGGATCTTCGCAACCACCTCTCTTATCTCTTTCCTCTTCTTTTCTGGCATCCTTTTAGAGATTTCATTGGTTCATAAGGAACAGATAATAATTATACTGAAAACATAAACCTTCTGCGAGAAGGAATCGTTAGATCGGTGTGAAGAAGAGATTTCATTATGGAAACCTCAACAACATTGTTTAGATCCAAAAACCAGATGATATGTTAGAGTGCTCAACGAAATCGAGTAGAATTACTTCAATGGTGTGATAAAATCTGTCACTCTTCTGACCCCTTCCACTTTTATATAAATTTATATGATCGGTGATATATAGGAAATGACAAACTAAATTCACTGTAGTTCTAGCAAAGGTTTGTCGCAAAAACACGACCTTCTGTGCGACAAATCAACACTGACATCTTTCTTAGTGGTTGAATTTTATGATTGGTTGATTATATAAGTAATCCTGTTTTTCATTGATAATTGAAACAAATGGAACAGATGAGCAAACGAATCGATGTTGCGTATTTGAGCTATCCAGGTGAATGGATCATTAGTGAGTCAGTTTTATCTTTAAAAAACAACATCTTTCGATTAGATTTCACACTCTGTTTCTTCCTTCTTCTTAGATTTCTTTACTCACACAAATTTAAGCAACTAAAATGCTTTGTCAAGATATGCACTATCAGCATGATGAGAAGAATTCATGTGACTATCCTAATTTTGCACGAAGGTCTATTCCTGTCAAAATAAACTCCTTTTTTGCTCGATATTTGGTACGTGTTTCGAAATTTCAGTTATAAACACTCATTTCCAAAAGTTCATCGGTTCATATCTCATGTGTTTCTGATCATAGTAAGACGCTTTGAGAACTTTCTATTCCGGTAAATTGATCGCGACATTTTCTATACTTTTGAAGAAATCGGTCAGATAAGTCTTGTATATACAATCCTAGTTACTTATTGGTATTGACATCATCAGAGATAGTCATATGGTTCGATTTCCCAAATGTGTCATAAGCTTCGTTTGTTTTGCTTCTACAAAGCGATTTGACTAGAACCGAATGATTTTCATAGTTATGTAGACTTGTAGATATCAATATTCCAAGTATGGCATCGATGAAACATGATACGCATGATAGAGGCGGAATGGATGAATCTTCAGAAGTACGTTTGTTTCTTTTCATGTGTCTTAACAAACAATTCACTCCTTGATTTTGTCATTTAGATTGATGATAATCAAATAATGACAATGAGTGTAAAAGAATTGAATACCCTATTGAAGTCAATGAAACCTAGTGATGCTGCTAATATCAAACGCCGACGACGTATTCTAAAGAATAAAGGATATGCAGCGAGTAGTCGCCATCGACAAACATCTCTTGTCGGCAATCTATCTGTTGAACGAAGTCAATTATTAAAACAAGTACGAGAAGAGAAAAAACCTATCGAATACTGTTCATTCGTAAAATCTTTATCCGCATAGATTTCTCAACTACAGAATGAGAATGAAACACTATCACAAGAATTACGCGGTTGGAAACAACGCTATGCTGATCTACAATTATTAACGGCACCATCAACTAGCACTGTATCACAAAATCACACGACGAAGTCTATGGATAGTAAAAAATCATCCAAATAAGATATAAGAAAAGCAACAATTAACATGTGATTTGTTTTTTTTCGTCATCTTAATAATGATTCGATTTCTCTTTCAATATCAAAAACATACTGTGGACTTATTTTTAAACACCGTAAACATGTACAATGAGATATTAATTTGCGTATACTAACATGGAACATCATTTAGTGATGTTTATTATTAACAAAATTAAATAATTATAAATAGGATCTAAAAAAACCCGAGATTGCTACTTGTTTCCGATTGATCGCATCTTGATTTCGAATTCGAGAAATTCTCGAAAGCTTTTGTCATCTATGTACTTCTTCAACACATCATCGATCACTTCCATCGATGCATTCGGATATCGCTGGGCAATTTCTTCTGCAAATGTAAACCATACGCCTACGATGAGATAAAACCTTAACTAAATACCTCGCTTTGAATATTTCACTTACAATTTGCACAATTACTCATGCAACATGTCGTTGGTGGAATCAGATCGTTATCTCTTGAGTCATAGGTCGATAAGTTCGATCGTTGTTGGATAGATTTATTCAGAAACTGTAATGTTCGCTTATTAATAATGCGGAGAATCATCTGGAAATAAATCTCTACTATCATTTTTTCCAATGGTAAGAAAATCACGTATTCATGTCTGAACATAGATCATTATACATGTATATAATTCATAAAAGGAACAAATGAAAAGTACATAACAAAGAGGAGATCGCCTAGAGTTCCCTAATCAATTCTTCCCTGCGAAAAAAGGTGATCGACGAATTAGTTTTATTAAAGTATCAAACGTCATGAACGACACACCGACAGAGATAGGTCCTTTCAACCAGTTCATTGTAACACCTTTGTATAGACCACGTTGAATGCCTTCCTCGCGTATGATCTTTCGTGCGGTTGCTACAGCACCCAAATATGCTTCGTTTGGTCGAATAACAGCGGCAGTTTGTAATCGACGTCGTACAACGTCAAATGGATATGAAACTGTTTGACCAACGAGGCCAGCAATAGAACCAAATAATAGTCGTTCTTTTTTGCTAATTGGACGATTAGATTGATAATCTACAAAGGATAAGAATAGCGTATTTTTGAAATATTTCTTGATTTCTTTTTCTTTACCAGTACGAAGGTGTTTGAGCGATTCATAGGTAAAAAATACACAACCGGAATAGGGTATGACACCAACAAGAGATGAAAGTGCGCCTCGATACAAAGCGGTGACACCTTCATTACGGAGAATACTTAGAAAAACAGAGAATAAATTATTATATCTAAAACGAATATAACAACTTGGACAATATTCTCTCGTTCACCAATGAGATTGTACATACACGGATTTATTTGTCACTGCCATACGCGCACGTGCTAAATCAAGTGGATAAGTAATAGTAGCTGAAGTAACACCGGCTAAGGATCCCGCCAAGAATCTTCGGGCAGGAGTTTTTCTTGAAAGTATGCAGAAATGATATTGATTATATGGATTATTTGCTTACTTCGTTTGATCCGTGCCAAGAATACGTTTCCATTGTTCATGTGCAGTGTAGTTGAGAGCAGCAGAGGGTATAACTCGAGCTAAATTCGCAGAATTTCCACGATACCAGCTAAAAAAGCCTTCGGTTCGATAAGAGTCTTTTAGAAATGTAAAACAACGACGATAACTAAATTTATCCACCCGAACTAAAATTTAATGTATACTTTTTGACAAGAAGTCTCTACCCAATTGGTTTACCTTGAAAATTGATTTTCGCGCGGTCTAATGGGGCGATAGTTGTTTTAGCAACGGCACCTACCAGATAAATCATCAATGTATAACCTATCAAGAAATTTTATACGATTTTCTAACCTGCACAGGCACCAGTTATCATAGAAGAAACTATTTTCTGGGTATTGGAAAGCTAGAAAATCAATTCAAGAGCTTTCCAAAGGTAAATTGCCAATGAAATTCAAACTTACATGGGAGTCTTCGTCTGAATGTTTCGACATTGGCATAGAAATTATGCATGATTATTCCAAGTGTGAGACATTAAAGTTCGTTTTTTATTAAAGGATAACAGAAGAACAATAAACGTATTTCAAAACGAGGATGATCACCGGAAGAGAAACATATATCTATCTAGAAAACAGTTCAATTTCATATGACAACATCTTTTAATTGACACTTTACAAATATTTTCCACTTGGAAAAGGTTAACACGAGTAACATTTCGTAGTTTCAACACGAATGTCTGTTATTCGATATAGATCATCACAAATGAAACTTTATCAGAAGTACCTGTATTGTGAGGAGAAAAACATTAATCTCAATTGATAAAAACATAATAATAACTCCATCGCTGTTACAGATCTGTAAATCGAAAACAAACAATGTCATCATCATCATTACCAAACGAAGCAATTGCAGCTCTCGATCCTTTACTTCAACCCTTCGAAGATCTTCACAATAATCCAAAATATTTCGAACGACGATCATCCATTTTCTACCATTCGACGAGTATTAACAATGATACAGCAAAACAAGCAACTCTTCTAGCAAAATTTCTCAGTTACTTCGAGAGATTTTCCGGTATTTTGTATTCCCTACTTGCTTCATTATTATTCACGTGTTCGAATTTCATTATTCAACAATTAGACGTCGTCTTATTAGATGTTTTTCTCGTCCGATTCTTCATTCAAGGATTAATTTCATTTGGGTATATTCTATACAAGGGTTATCATCCTTTCTCATCGAATTATCATAGCTTTTTAATATTAATTCGATCAATCATTGCTGCAACGGGTAGTATCTGTTTCTATCTTGGCCTCAATCTTCTTCCTCTACCTGATCTAATCACGATACGATACACTCAAGTCGTTTGGACAGCTATTTTGTCTTCAATCATCTTTCGCGAACGTGTTACTCTGCCAACGGTAATCGCAAGTATCTCAACACTTGCAGGGGTGGTTTGCGTTGCACAACCATCCTTTCTTTTCCTAAAATCCAATGTAACTAACGAAACACTATTAATAATGATGCAGGAGAATGCAAAACCACGTTTCACAGGTATGTTTGTGGCATTACTCTGTGCGATATCGATATCTCTGGGGATTATATTGGCAAAGAAATTATTTGAATTTAAAATTCGTCAAAGTATAATCATGTTTCATTTTATCCTAACAACATTTTGTCTCCTGTTATTTATTCAAACATATTATTGGACATTGTCAAAAACTAATCAACGAAAATTTCATATCCGAACAAATTATTTAACTAACGATTTTCTTGTTGCGACTTTTCTGGCGACATTGCAACTGATTCCTATGGTTCTAACACAAAAAGCAATCAAACGTGAACATCCATCGATTGTTACAGTCATTCAAGCGTCGGATATTCTCTTCGCTTTGGTTCTGAAAAACGTTTTCTCAAAAAACAAATCCAATGGCTTAACTTTAATTGGTTCAACGTTAGTCTTTCTAAGTATTTTTATCATCGGTGGACATAAATTTTGGTTAGACCGACAAAAGCGTATTCGTCTACGGGAAAATAATGAATTTAAGTAATTCTTTGAACTTTGTTTGGGTGTAATGTATTCAAACAATTCACATAGTGGAAAACATCTCCAGAAAATATAAATTGTCGTTATCAGTTTCCAGGCCTATCAATCAGTACAATAAAGACATGCACTTGCTCTTTACCCCTTAACTCTATCATTGTAAAGTTGAATACTAAGAACAGTCGTGAGTCTCTAGCATTTACCCCTTACATCTCAATCTCACCTTTATCCAATTTGTGAAAAACGATTATAATCTTTGCAGACGATGAGATTAAAACTTAACAGTGGTAGCCGGCAGTAAATAACGATCACTACGAACGACCTCTAAAGTCCTTTCTCGATATTTCCCGTCAATCTTTTAATAACGCGATCAATGGCTTAAAAGTACAAAGAATAAATGAAATATTTATAGTCATGGGAGTGAAGGGCAGTTGTTATTCTTTTCTATCTAAATGCACATAGAGAAAAGATTGGCATTTGCTTGTTATTGCTCGTACTACGTAAGTAATTTCGAAAAATGAAACAAGAATCGTCTGCAGCATTGCAAGACGACGACCATATAGAAAGAAAAAGTAGTATTATTGACGAGGAAGTTTGTAATGGAGATCCTTTATTTGGTCCATTAATTGACACGGATGAATTGGATGTTGTTGTCGCTGTTGTTGAGAACGAAAGAAAAGAGTCTTTTAAACAAGAATCAACGACATGTTCTCATGTAATTAAACGATGTACTGGAATATTCTACGCTCTCTGTGGATCATTTATCTTTACATGTTCGGGATTTTTAATCAAACAATTACGTGTCGATTTCTTCGATGCACTCTTGGTTCGATTTCTTTTACAATCAATTATCTTAGTCGCATTTATTCTCTACAAGAAAAATAAATTTATCCACGGTTCAAATAAATTGATTCTGCTACAAATCGTTCGTACAATTGTCGGATCAAGTGGACTATTCTTATTCTTTCTCAGTTATCGTTACATTCCACTACCCGATCTAACAACCTGCCGTTACACTCAAGTGATTTGGACAGCTATTCTAGCAATGATTGTCTTTCACGATCGTATATCCATATCAACTATTCTTGCCATTATCTTAACATTGACTGGCGTTGTACTAGTTGCTCAACCAACATTTCTATTTCCTAATCAATCATCACTAGTTAACCAAACTAAGGTCTCAGCGCATCGAACAGCTGATATCGATTTCGAATCGGACAAATCTTATCGTTTACTTGGCCTTTGCCTTGCACTTGCATGTGCTTTATCGATATCATGTAGTATGGTGCTGAACAAGAAACTAATCATTTCGAAAATTCCTCAAAGTATCATTATGCTCGAATTTTCACTCTTAACTTTAATCATACTTCTTCTCAACCACATCTACAATCGTTTTATTGTTTACAAATATGAAAAACAAACAATGTTTACATGGCAATTCTTTCTCGCTGCATCTGTTTCGTTAATGCAAGTCTTCTCATCAACAATCACACAACGTGCTATTAAACTCGAACATCCGGCGATAATATCAGTGGTTCAATCATCTGATATACTCTTTGCCATTATATTACAGAATTTATTTTCTCGGGTCAAATCGAATTCGTTTGTTATATTAGGATCATTTCTAGTGACAACAAGTATTTTTCTCGTGGGAATCGATAAGTTTTCGAAAGATCGAAAGAAGTTATCAAGAAAACGCCCAGTCGATACAAAATTATGATGGAAAGACGAAATCAGTATTAACGTACCCATTGAACAAGAAGTTCACATTTTAATATATTCTAGTCGACAATCAGGCAGAAGAAAACTTACAGGTCCTGCTCCTAAAGAAAGATATGCTTTTCTCAAATCTATCGAAATAAAAAATAGGGTGATCATACCTTGTTCTCCGCTATTCATATCGGCGGCAATGCACTAGATCTGAAACTGTAAATAGATGAATATCTCGAGTTTGTTTGTTTGTTAAAGAAAGTAAAATGAAGATTAGACTATTAAAAGTTTATTGCAATAGAAAAAACATGACTAAAATCATTTCCTGAGAAAAACTGTATAAAGGCTGTTGACTGAGTCAACATAACTGAGATAATTGATATTCAAAGCACACAGATATAAAAACAATTGAGAACAATATTCGAACAAAGCGAGAGTATAAAAAAGAAAGTTGATCGCTCGATCGACAATTTCCAAAACTTATCTAAGAATAAGCTGCGGTGAGCTGCTGAAAAAGAGATTCTTGACAAAAGAGATCGTTCTTATCAGACATTGTTGCAGTTGAGCGCATCGCCAAGAAAATGTATGCACCAATAAATTCATGTATACACTTACTATCAGTGCCATGCACTGGTAAAAATTGGACGGTTTCATCATCAAATTCAATGGTAACCAGTTTCTTATCCCAATTGACATTCCATGAACGCATTCGAGATGTCCACCATGTTTTTATTGTTTCACCTGTCGTTGTCATACATATAAGACGATTGGATGCAATACCGAGAATTTCCTGAAGAAAGAACGAGAAACTCTTCGTACAGTATAGAATAAAAATGCAGTTGATTTACTTCTTTTCTGAATGAATCTTTGAATTTAACGAGAAAAGTTGATATACCGAATTCAGGAAGTGACTGCCAAGCTTTCAAATATCGAAGTTTAGCTTCGATACCATCCAAGTTACTCACACTTGCGTGTGCCTCAAGAATACGCTCAATTAACTGTAAACAAAAAATAATTCATTCAAAAATTTGATCTTCAACAACAAATCAATTGCAAACAACTATAGTTCGGTACATTCTAATTGATCAAAAGGTTACTATTAGCTAAATTATTCTTGCTCACTACAAACATCCATTGTTATTCTTCTTTGCTCTGTATGTGTTCATTATGAACAAAGACGATTGAATGAAATATTGTCTTCTCCTGTGTACTCTCAAGAGAAATAAATCATTATCTTTGTCTATGGTGATTTCCTCGAACAATTGTTTACTTTCCATTCTGTTCTTACATAGGAATAATCTTTAGATATGTAAGATCGTCGTGAAGTAAATCAGTTTGATTTTCGGACAAGACAATAGTCGATCGAATAGTCTCTACAAGAGTTATTCGATGATGATGTCCGGTGAGAAGAAAAATATGATTGAACTTCTCATTAATTACCTGTTTTGTTTTGTATTTTTTCGCGAATTTGAGCGAAACATAATTATCCGGTTGAATGTCTGCTTTTGTATGTTGAGAATTCGATATTGGCAATTGCATATTCAATAAAGCAATGATCGATTCGCGTTCAGTTTCATAAGATGGTTCATCAATAGTTCGACCTTTCGATGCCAGACGAAATGCTGCCATCCATGTTGCATATTGTTTTTCCTTAACGAGCAAAATTCGCTGAACACATTATCGTATTTCGTCGTCAAATGAAAACTTACAGTCGAACATTTAATCAATGCTTCGTTCATTCCATCAATTGAGGGGATCATTAGGCGAATCGCATATTTTTTTGTGGATATATTCACATCGGGAAGAATTTCGCAACCTTTCAATGAAATCTTTTCAATCGGAGTATTGCGCTGTTGAGATTCATCTGTGTAATATGTTAACTGAGTGTTATGTAGAACAAACCAATAGCGTTTGAACGATTTCAATAGAAATCGACGTGGTTTACAAAAACGTAAGTAATCGCAGAGAAATTCTTTCGTTTGAATTAATGAATGAATCGAGTGACTTCTCATGTTACCTAATAAGGAATTTTGTAGACGCTCAAGCGCTTGATCAATGTCGGTATTATCATAATTATCATTGAAATCATTAGTTTGGAAGGTAATCATCGATTTCGATGAAGATTGAATTTGAATTTGTAGCTAGAGAACGAGATTGGAAACTTTTGAACGACAAAGAAAATCATTTGATCTTACTTGTAAAGCAGCAAATGTCATCATTTCTTCTTCTGTACATTCGATATCTTCACTTAGAATTGACCATTTCGCCTGTTCGTACAGTTGATTGATTCGTATTGCATCGAACTACAAGCAAATGAAGACATAAACGTGAATAAGAAGGTCATTGAATCCTACTTTTGAATTTAGATCGTAGAATGCGTAGTATTTAAAACGTAATAAAATGAAATCGTTTTCACGAACATTTTGTTCCATTAGTGATTTCGATGAATCAAACCATAAGTTATTCAATCGACATTTTTCGATCAAATTTATCGGTCGAATCAGTTGTGAGAATAGATGTTTCGTGGTTGTTGCGTACGGTGTTCGAGCTAAATCTCCATCGTTGATGGCTAAATTATTCAATGATTTCGAAAGATTTGTTCCTGTGCGTTGATGGCAAGATGATGCGCTAGTTGATCGAAGTTTCGGTGTTGTTGGTGTGAACAGTGTTGACGTTGTTGACAAGTTATTCGCTAATGAATCTCCCATTGAATTATGCCGGTTCAGTACACCGCCACAGCTCGGATTATGACGACGACGCGGTGAACTATTTCGTTCATTATTAGTCGAGATTTTTCGTAAATGCAAATAAGAAAGTTCCTCAGGATGACGGATTCCTTAAGAAACCAAAGTGTGAATTGTGAATGACAAGGCTGTCTGCTTTCTTACCAAGATCGTTGCAAAGTTTCGACACTGATGCGAAGACAGATGAGGAAAAATCAACGCGGATTGATAGGATACGTAGATCAGGTAATTGTAAACGAATGTATTTCTGCGTATTGACAAACGTTAGATGAGAATCTGATTGAATACCATATTGATCAAGTGTCCATTTCGTATTTGTCAGCCAGGTTTTCGCTTTCGGCCACCAAAGTGCATAATCAGAATAATCTTTCGACGAATCTATACAAAAACGTATCTATATATACCTGGTGAAACATCAAGGAGGAGAAAGAGTAAATGCTCGTAATATGACATAACGTTGGAAAATCTATCACACTGCCTACGGTAGCACGTCAATTATAGAGTAAATGATACTTCCGAATCATACGATTTATATTGTTTTCAAACAAGTCAGCCATGACAAAGAAACGAGTGCGTATTTATACTTGTTTTTAGTTAACTAACCGAGATAATCCATCAGATGAGCTAAGATTGTACTGATTGACTTTGATCCCGTGACCGGAATAACTTTCGAATCAATTGTTAAATTCCATGATGGCGGATTCGTTGTTGACCGTTGCCCAACTGAGATTGGCATTTTTATTGGAAAAGAACTTTGCACGATCTCTTATTCATTCACTTCACTATACTGAATTCTATTGATGGTTTCTGCAGGTTCGTACCGACCAATCAGAAAACGTCTATTCATAATTGTATACCTATCGCCTCTCTCTAGCAGTTCATCTTATGTCTTCTCGAATAAGTTTCATCAGAAATACGAAATAAAATCTTATCTGCGTAAAAATAGAATTTTTTCGGGGGTAGAATTCACTGATTTTCGAGAATGCAACTTTCCATGAAATATCAACGTGCCTATTTCTCCTATCATCCATCATTTGACTTCGTTCGTTTGTTTATTGCAGAATTGAATACAAATTTCTCGCAAAATGGGCGATTTCAAAGCAATCGGAAAAGCATTTGTGGAGTTTTACTATAACAAATTCGACACTGGTCCACGCGAGGGTGTCGCTGCCCTTTATGTAATCTCTTTCATCCCTTTTCAAACTCAATTTCAAATGTTTTCGTGCCTAGGAGCCAACCAACGGCATGATGAACTTCAACAGTCCGGACTCCGCTAAAGGTGCACAAGAAATAGCGGAGAAACTACGTTCGCTTACATTTCAAGCAATAACACATACTGTATCAACAATGGACATTCAACCAACATACGACAATTGTATTTTCATTGTTATCACCGGTGTACTTAGAGTAAGTTCGAATACTCTATTCGACAACAACATGTTGCTTTCTTCATTTTAGGCCGATAATGATCCACCAATGCAGTTTACTGAAACATTTCTTTTACGGTTTATCAATAATTCGTGGTTGGTTGTTAATAATGTCTTTCGTCTTATCCTACATGGTTGAACACATCCACAAGTTGCTTCTTCTTCTTCTTCTTTTTCTAGTTTAATTATTTCAATTACAAAACATTAAACTTTCGTTTTATCTGTTAACCAGTGTCTCTTTGAGAATATAAGCAAGACCAATCAAACCACTCTTTCATGTCTTTTCTTCTTGTCTTCAACTATATATTTTTTTATTTTGCTCTCTCTCTCTCTTTCTCTTTCCCTTGTTGTCTAACATGATCATATCTACTCACAATAATATATCTTTTGAAAAAAAATATTCAAAAAGCGCTAATCCAGCACTTGTTTTTTTTTCTCTTTTTAATTATATTCGAAGTTTAATGATTCCTAAGAAAATAGTGCATCAATATCCGCTCGTTGCATTGCTAACAGGTCCCGATAGTCGATATAAAGATCTTTTATTAAGAAATACGGAACAACTGCAAGCGTCTGTAAACAATGATAAACATTCATTTTTCCAAGTTTATGTCCGTAAGTTCGAATGGCAGAGAATAAAATTCACTGTCGTTGGCTATTTTCAAGGTTCATTGAATGCAAAACAACAAAAGCGCTTATTAAAACATCAGAGACAAGATAAATCTCTTTGCTTTACATTTCCTATTAGTTATTCATGTCCGATAGCACTTCAAAAACCTTCGACATCTCTCATAAGTAGTCCATCATTACATTCATCTATTTCCAGGCAAGTTTCAAATTCAACGAGTCGTTTGAAGTCAGCTGTTAGTATCTCATTTGTCGATGAAAATACTATTAACTCATCATTTCTTCATCGTCCGTCCTTTACTCAAATCCGTTCTTCGAATGCGTGCGAATCGTGTCATCCAAGCTTGTCAAATGGTATATGTTCATGTATTGTTCAGAGTTTGTTACAATTAAATAGTAAAAAAAAAGCTAATATTCTCGTTGAACTCAATGACATATTTGAAAATCTTACCAGTAACAATATAATCACGTAACATAGAAAACGCAAGAAGAAGAAGAAGAAGATGAAGAAGAGAAATGTGTGTATGTATATACTTCAGCTCGGAAGGGACAGAAAAAAAGAGAACAATGAGAAAAATTACAATAGACAACAGATTTTTGTACGTTTTTCTCTTGTTGAATTGGATGTTGGTGGATGAGGATTGATAACAACAACAGCCGGATCTTCACCACTATTGAATAAACCATTGCCATTGCCTTGAGATGTCTGTAGTGCAACTAATTTTGTCACAGCTGCATTGCTTAAAGTTGGACCACCTGTGCTTACACCAGCACCGCCCCCGATACTGTTCTTTTTCGCCCGGCCACGTTGTTTTTTCTTCAGAAATTCTTTACTTTGTGATTTACTCAATGGATCTGGCTATAACAAAGAAAGAGAATTCAGAACAAAACTTCGAAAAAAAGCAACACTTCACTCTAAACAATATCACTCTTCCGATCGAGATCATCTATCGGAAGAAAATTCTCTCCTATCGTTAATGGTCTACGCTGAGATTCAAAGCACGATTCGCTATGATGTTTAACAAGGACAGGTTTCTGTTCTAGAACGAATGTATTGGCTTTTTCTTCTTGTGGGTTAAGTCTTGAACGTGCTGACGATGCTGACAATGTGTTTACTAAAAGAGGTTTAGCATAAATGCATTGATGATAACTCGTGTGCGTGGAGGTTTTGTACGTTTGTAACGAATGCGAAGAAGATTTAACTGCTGCACTGGTGCAACTGCTTATGGAGTCTCTGAGTTGAATGTTTCCATGCGGAGATTGATGATGAACATGTGAACAACCACCAGCTCCACCATTCGAGTAACTTAATTCACTTTGACGTCTTGTCTCGACATATGTCCAATTGAAATATCTGCGCCGAAAGATTTTATACAGACACAGACAGAGAATTTTACGTAGTTCTCGACGAAACAATTCGCCAGTAAATGTATACAAGTAAAATCCAAAGCCATGATCAAGATATAATAAAAATCTCATCATGCCATTCAATAGAACTAAATACTTCTGTTCATAATTCAAATACGGTTCGATGACTGAGAAGATTCTCAAAGGAAATGTCAAGAGAACAAAGAGAAAGGTCGAAACGAATAGAATGTATGCCAATTGATTATCACGTGGTGAACGCGTGTGTCTCATTCCCAATTTTCTCATTAATAAATGTGATTTACAAACGGAATACAAGACATTCGTATTTGCGATTAAGATGATTAGAAATGGTATTAATGAATTGATGAAAAAGTCCATCCAAGAGAAGTAATAAGTCAAAAATGATTCGTATCTTCTCGCCAATAGTCGATTCGCGTTTGAACTACACATCACCAAACTTCGATTGAATTTCATTCCGTTGACTTTGTCTTCTTTAGATCCAAAGAATAGTAAATAATGAAGATTCAAAAGGAATAAGATGAAATAAATAAGAACTAACGTACAATAGGAATGTTTTCGACTGAAGACGTACTGATTCCAAACATAACGTTTTGTTACTGCCGCACGTTCAAGTGATATCACACAAAGGATCCAAACAGCGCAATGCGAGAAATAACTCGTAAGAAATTTATATGTTCGACATAAGATTATTGACCGTTGGACAAAATAGGAGTGAAAGGAGTAACGAATGATCAGACGAAGACAATTCAATGTAATCAAAACTAAATCCTAAAAATGACTGAATTAATTTTGAAATGTTAAACATAATTGAAAGAATTTCGTTGATTTACCATGAAACTTTTCGCTACGAACAGAATCGAACAGCCGAATTTTTGGAATTTCTTTCTGGTAAAGATCAAGATTGTTAACAATGAACCAATAAAGCCAAATGGAAATAAAACCCATGGATAAATTCGATGGAAATTGATATTAAATTTCACGATGGAATCCTGGGACGCATTTAGTGGAATGATATCAAGATAATAATACTCAAAATGTTCGATATTCATCGTCTATCTTCGGGAACGTGCGAAACTAAATAACTGTTTTTTGTTGATGTTACCAAATGAATAAGTACCGATTTACCCTATCTAACGATTTCCGTTACGAGGGAAGATTTAGTCGTACTTATACAAACTCTTGAGATTTATCTAATTGCTTCATGTTTTTACCTTGTCTTTCTTCCGGATACAGGATAAATATTCACACAAAAAAAAACGAGAGAAAGGAGAAAACCAGACAAGATCGAGAAGGGCGATCATTTGTTTGAAAGAAACGTGTTGAGAAAAAACAGAAATATTCAAACAATCAATAGCATTGAGAAAAAAAACAAGATTTCTCTCGGCATATCCTAGTTAATTAGCAAGAGCTAGTAAGTCAATATGCATTGGGAAGATTCTCTGAACATGTCTTCATGTTGTCTTCTTTATATTCGAAGCTTATATGTCAGTTTTTCTCTCTCTTATGTTGTTCGTCTATTCGATAGACATGAAGAAGATTAAGAAAAACAGAAATGTTAATTATTGATATTCTCTACATGTCATTGCTTAGTTTCCGAGAAAATATTTGTTTAATCTCATACTGAGAAAACTCGTATTTTTCTTCTTTTTTTTTGAAAATGATTTCGTTATTAACGAAAAGAAAAAGAAGAAAAGCCAAGCCAGAACTTACTTGAATCGAGTCAGTTGTTGTTTGATTGAATTTTAAATTTTGATTAGAGTCGGAAAGTAATGTGGAATCTTTATATAGCAGAGGCTTGGGTTTGATCGGTAACAAAACATTGTATGGATCAGAAAATGCTACAAGAAATCCGATGTCACATGGAAAACAAAAGAAAAGATATTCACATGGATACTGGCGTTGTGACATCTTGGATGTATCACATGGCAGAATATTGTGAAGACTTAGCATCGCTACACAAGGTGTATTTTGTAGAATAGCTGCATAACGTGCTAAAAAATAGCGATTCCGAAGGAGATTTGTAGTTATTCATTCGAGTAGTTCTTACTTCCACTTTCTGATACGAGTAACTTGACAAGAGTGTGATTGAAATGAAATGCTGCGAGTGATATACCAGATAGTGTTGACCATGCTGCAAGAAAACCATCTTGAGAAGCTATGAAGAACAAGAAAGTAGTTCCATTGATATGAAAGAAAATTTTGTACCAGTTATTGCAATGTTACTATCATTGGCGAATGCAACAGCAACAATAGCAGTTTTATGTCGTGTGAATTTATGTACAACAGCACCTAGAAATATAATCTCAACGATTTTCTTCGTGAATTTTTTTCACGACTTACCATCTTTGAATGACCATAGTAAAGCTTGACCGTCGCTGTCACCAGTTAGAACATGTTTTCCATCTTCACTAATTGCAACAGCTGAAATGGATTTTTCATGTTCAACGAGTACCTTCAAACGAACACATCTTGTCTGAAGACTTTCTCGAAATCCAATCATTTACTTGTGTTAATTTGCCTGATGACAATTCCCATAGTTTACAACTACAATCTTCTCCACCTGTAATTAAATATTGTGAATCAGCTCGAAATGCCATACAAGTTATTTTTCCTTCTGTATGATCAATCGACCGCACGACACGGGCATCATCCAATGACCAAATTTTCAAACTAAAAACGTTTCATATGCTTTCAGAGGAACAAAACAGAATTCCTATTTACATATTATCACCATGACCAGATACGACATATTTGCCATCTGGAGATACACCTAACATTTTGCATGGGACATTAAACTAGAACAAATTCCATGAGCGTGAAGTAATCTCAATTCGTCGAAGAACTTACTGAATCAATCAATTCGCCTGTGTTTGCCCACCATGTTTTAATATAATTTTGGTCATCACTCGATAAAATCTTTCGATTGTCTTCCAAAATTCTGACATGAGTTATTGCTGCTGAATGCTCCTAAATCATATCAATGACAACGTTCGTTTCGAAGTCCAATTTACCAACAAAAAGTTCTTACTGTAAATTCGGCAACAATCTCTCCCAATTCATTATCATAAACTTTAACGGTCGTATCTTTTGAGCCTGATAATGAAAATAAATATGAATGTGCCAATGCTACTTGTGTCACAGGTCCTGTATGATCCGTAGTACGTTCAGTAAATTCACCATCCGTCAAATTGAACAACCGTACACTACCAGCTGCACAACCGACAATGGCGGCATCACCTTCGCGTGAGATTGATAATGCTGTAATGCAATCTGTGATAGTTAAAGGATCTTCGTTTTGAAAACCGTTTGATTGTTGTTTAACATTCAACACATGAATTGAATTCTAGAAGAATCGAACATTCATTACAATCTCAACACAACATTTGCCTTACTTCAGCTGCTGAAAAGAGGAAGTAGTCATCGGCGGAAACATATAGACTAGTTACAGGTGAATTATGATGTGTTAATGTCCGAAGAAGGACTTGTGAACGTAGATTATAAACATAAATATGTCCATTAGTACAGCCGACATAACAACAAATGGAGTCGTTTGCGATCGAGAGACTTGTCACTGCAGATGTATGTCCTTCAAGATGATGTATATCACTTCCTGTTACAACCGATTTCACTTGAACTGTATTGTTATCACATGAAAGTAGAATAAATGTATCATCAGATGAAATAATCATGTGAACTATAGGTGAGCCAATCGTGTCGATAACATCGAGTAATTGCATACCATGAAATGTCCATCGTTTGATCGTTTGATCACGTGATGCTAAAGCGCGCGAGAGAGAGAGAAAGACAAAATTCGATGTACTTATTTGATAGATTAATTCACAAACCTGTAATTAATAAACCATCATCGTGTGTTAATGCAACTGCAGTTACAGCGTCTGTATGCTGTTCGATTGAATGTTCCACTTCTCCTGTTTCCAAACGCATAACAATTATAAGTCGATCACGAGATCCTGTCACGATTTGTTCGTTGTTGTGCGACACAACCATACAAAGGATTTCATCATGATGTACACTGTAAATAAAAAAGATTCTCTTTTCTTTCGATTTTTCACTTCTAACGTATTCAATTTACCTATAATTACTTTGTAATTCACCAGAATTTAGATTAAACACTTTAATCGTGCGATCTTTCGATGATGAGACTAGATGCTTATTATTATGTGTCAACTGTATAGATGTAATTGTCGATGTATGACCTACGAAACATCGAACCGATCATTTCCATCCACATTCATTCATTCATTCAAATCATTCCCTTACCAGTAAATGTCTTCACTAGTTTCTTCGACGGTATATGATGCATAGTGATTTCGTGCGAATTCGTTGTACAAAACACGTGTTGATTGTATGTTGTTGGTACTATTCTGAATGCTCCTTCGGCACACGGTAGAACTGTGATCGTCATCGGTGGAATCATCGTTATCCATGAAGATAATGGAACGAAAACTGATGCAATAGATGTTTCACACCAATCGTGAGCTTGAGAAAATAAGATCTCGATGTGCTCATTATAAAATTGTTTGATATTTTTCAACCGTAAAATAATTTCTCCTGCTAAGAGAATCGGCTCACGTGAAACAATATGAACGACGTTTTTTAGAATTGTTTGAATGAGAAGAACATCAGCATCTAGGATATTACTACACACCACATCAATTTCCCATAGTAGTTGTTCAATAGATGAACTATGAATTTTAGCTAACAGATACTCGAAACAGCACAAGGTTAATTCTTTTAAACGATCAATGTCGCCTAGGCAAAGTCAATTGATAGAAAAATTTCACTCATTTAAAGAAATGACATACCGGAATGCATTAGTTGATACCATAATTCACCTAAACGTCGATAATTGTATGCTGTTTCCGAGTAGAGAAGTGGCTGTTGTAGAACAAACCGACGGCCATTATCGCCTCTGTATGTCAAACAAAACGTGATTACTATCTTTTTCCTTCGAAGAAAAACAAGTTTTTCGTTACCGGACTTGAATGTTTCGTGTCATTTCAATTAATGGTTTCGATTCAATAAAAGCCTCGAGGAAATAATTGGCGATATCTCGATGCGCCACACGGATATCTTCAACTTTCCTTAGATATTTTTGTTTCATATATCTTCGGATAAATGAATGACTCCAACAAAGAACAACTTTCAAATCAAAATATTTCGTTGACAGTAACGGACCTATTCGAAAAGCCAAAGTCATGATCGACACATTTCTCCATAGAAAATTACCTAACGTGTATTTCACAGCAATCCATAGTGATGGTGGAAAGCGTAGATATTTCGGGAAGTCTTTTTGAAAATATTCCAGTAAAAAATCATTGTTACACGATAAGATATCCAATAATTCCATTTCATTAATTGCAGCTTGACATGAACTGATATAATTGAATATGTAAGCACATATTTTCGTACCGAATTTTCGTTCACAGTGATCTAAAAATGGCAAATGAGTGTTAAGCATGGTTGTCTTCGAACAACGAGATCATTTACCGAGATATGCAGCTAAAATGTCTTCAGTATTCAACTCCGACAGGTCTAATTTCTTTTTCTGTTGTGAAATATAACTAAAATAGCTTTCATTTAAAACCAATCGAAGAAGGAAAAAGATCTGCGATTGTTTATCGAGTTGTTGATATATACATTTTGAAAGAGCTTGTAAAACAGATTCAGTTACATTCCGTTGGATTGAACTCAATTCGGATTTGATGTATAAAGTCAGATCCCGTATATTGATTGTTTCGATTGAAAATGGTAATTCAATGATGCATTCGTCTTTCTCTAATCGTTCGAGCATTTCACGAATTTGAATATCGGGATGAGATGCAGCGTGAATGTTTCGACTAACGGATAGAACTAGATAAACCTAGAGAAAAAAGAAAATGACATAGATATATGAAAGTCGTGCGAAGATTTTCTTTGAAAAGAGACTCAAGCCTTCCTCCGCAACACACCTCTAGCGTAGCTACTAGTCATAATTTACTTCCAGAACAATATACTCGTACCTTCGGTGGTAACAACTGAAGTAATGCTTGATAATATGACATAGATGATGTATATTGACTTGATGGTGCTGTTTCTTCAATGCCGTCAATGATAATAATAAGGGGTTTCTGATGTTTCGATAAGACTGCGAGTACGGATTGATAATATTCGATCTGATCAAATTCGACATCAGTTGTCAATGGTGGCGCGTGTTGTAATGTCCTCATCTGTGTACATATTGATGTAAACAATTCAACAAGGTTTCGTGAGCGAGATGTTAAATTGAAATACCGTATAATACACTGTGAACTTGTACCTAATGTGTTCAATAAATATTGAGCAATTTTCGTGCATAGCAAAGTTTTCCCTGACGCTCGACTTCCAACAATCAGCAGTGGATAATGCTCAGTTGTATTCGCCGAGGTCAACCATTGTTTGAACGAATGGTTGTTTTCAAGGAAATTGGTTATACCTAGACAGGTATGAGATGCTTGCTTTGAATAGGATGTTAGATGAACGAGTGCTTCGTTGTATAGAATTTGTTCGGGACGTTTGAGATGATGCGAAATCGAGAGATTCAAAAGAGATTCACATGACGATTTGATCCGAAGGTATATCGCGGCATTTAAATTACGCAAATAACGTTGATAATCAACATCATCGAATTGAAAATCTCCGTTATCTTCCCATGAGAGATTGAACGCTGCTCGATTATCTTCAATGCGATGATCATCGTCGTTTGTTGAGGTTAATTTCTGTGCAATCGATTCGCGAAAACGTTTCAACTTCTCTTGACGAATCTTATCCAAGCGATTGTTACCAGCAAGTACGTCAATAAACGATTCACAACCTTTACTCTTCTCATTCAAACCTAAATAAATCAAAGAAAGCATACCTTTACAATTAGCAAGTATCTCCTTGGACTTAGCTTCTATTTGAAAAAATAACTAGCGAAGAGACATCTAAATTTGGTGTCATTAGCAATGACAAGAACCTGTCTAGAAACTCACTAATTGTCAGACTTCAAAGGTGAAAATGACTGGAGTGTGTTAATCAAGACGAAGAACTGCAATCATTTGCAAAAGAGAATCCGCTTTTATGATAAGAGAAGGCTTAAATTTTACTTGACAGTCTTTCATGTTTTTGTCCATCCGATTTAATTTACTCCAGTTGAATTATCTTTCTAAGATTATGACTGAATAGTTCTTTATGTCAGATCCATTAATCAATTAGCTGGAAAAGGAGGAAATCTCTGGGATGAAGATTCTCAGCATAAATCTCTGCCTGATTTCATTCGAATTGAATATGAATGAGAGAGATTTTTCGAGCAATTTTCTAATCAATCAGAAAGAAAATAACATCGGATCAGGAAATCTATCAAACAGACGTGTATACCATCAAATTGCCTAAAGATGCACATGCAACCGGATGTGGATAGTTTGGCTGCATAATTGAATAGCATTTCAACGCCGGAAAGCAACGGAATCTCGCGTAATGATGCTGAATCGTGTTTCGATTTTAAACTCGACTTTTCATGAAGAACATTCATGAACAAGTCAGATAGACTTAAGTAAATTTCATTCCATTCTTGACATTCACGAATACTTGTATCGAAGGTTGAACTTGAACGAGATAAGATATTGGGAAAATCTTCGTCGGGATCTTTGAGTTTGTACGCAGGAGGTGATAATTTATCATCAAGTAAATACCATCGTTCGAGCAATTTCACGTCTGAAGTGTCAACGTCTTTGATTTCGTTGTAAATCTTAGTTAATAATTACCTTTATTCAAGTCCGATGCCACATTTTTAATATTGCCAAAATCTGTTGTCGATAATTCAATCGGCAAGACAATCGAACCGTATTTATTACCAACAAAACTCTAAAAATCCTGTCATTGTTCAGATTTCTTCTATTTACTAAACTTACCAAGAAAAACAAGCCCGTCGATGTTCTATAAGCATCTTGAACTTCTTTCATATACCGCACAACATGATACGGATTTCGAAATGGATCGAGATCCCAATTTAAATTACAATCAACGAAATTGACATAGATACCTTGTGTCAAAAAATATTGTTGCAACTTCGGCAAAGTCTCTGCCATCAACATATGTCGTTCGTTATCAAATTCTAGAGACAAAAACAAATCAATGCAGAAGACTTTCATCTGTCGATCTTACCATCTTTGTTCGAAACGATAAGAATCTTGATTTGATTCCAAACTAATTTTGGTAGTTGCTTTTCCGAAAGTAGAACTTTGCCTTGAACGACATTCGTATAGGTATCCATGGTGCTGTTGTTGTTGGTTATATGACCCGGCACCATGATCGAAAAAGTGTGTTTTTCAAGTTTGTTCAATTTCAATCTGATGCCATGTGCTTGTCATGAATGAAATTCTACGAAGAGAACATCTTTAGTTAGGATTGATTATACATAAATACGGGAAATCGGTAGAAGAGAAGAAGTGAATGAGTAAAGAAACAAGCGCAGTATTCTTTCAAAACTTAATCCTTCTCTCTTTTTATCTTCCCTTCTCGATATAGATGAGAAAAGACAACGCGAATGAACTAATGACGGTAGTCTTTTATTTTGATAGTCGTTACTGTGTTTTTCTTTCTCTTCTTCAAAAGACAACAGTTTTTTTCCTTTTCTGAGCTGTGTCTGACAGACTCTAAGTGCATCATTAATCAAGATGCCAGAAAAGAATACTATGACAATGTGTCACTTCTACATTCAGCGACGGAAATAAAGAGAAAAAAACCTGGTAACAGAAAAAAAGGATTTGTTTATATCTGTCTCCAGATGATGATAGTTGTTATAGCAGCCATGATAGGCTATTAATTGTCTATTTTGATTTGATTCAATCAAGTGATTTCGTATTGATTCATCAATTGGTTTTAGGTGAGATCTCAAGAGACTAGATTGTTTGTTATTATATCATAAATAAAAGACAAGTATATATAATTAAGTACGTACGAGAAATGTTTGTTAGTTGAACTAAAGCGCTAGGAAACGTGTTTGCAAATCGTAGTTAATAGCTACCGAAGACGCGATTTAGATGAACATATATTAGTTATTCATTACTCTCCGTCTCGGATGTTACCTCAGTTTTCTCTCGTGTATCTTTCGAATGTAGTTGATAAAAGACAAGAACAATAACAAAAGCTTGAATGTGAAGACAAAGTAGGCGTCTCCTCTTTATCGCATGTTGCAGTAACATTCAACATTTCTTTCAGTTCTTCGTCTTCTCCTTCTCTCTATTTTGCTCTTTTTACAGCGTTGAGCTGCAAAATGACACGGGTGAAGGGTATGCACATTAGTGTCGTCAATAGATAGCAACAGAAAAGTTCAAATACTCTCTAAATCTTACCAACATCATATAATAAACTAACAAAAAACTAACTATATTTCTCCTTTTCTTTTACTCGCTGTCGGAATTATCATGATATACGCAAGAGAAAAAGTAGAGAAAGAAATCTTCTTTCTCTCGCGCCATTTTATTCTTCTTTTTTCTTCTTCTTCATTTTTCTTGAACGGATGAGCCGATTACAACAGAATATAGGCACAACAGTATGACTCGATTATATATATTTTTTTAAAGAATTGTTGTCGCTGTAACTGTCGCAACCAGTAATAATATCTTCATTCTGTCAAGCAGAAGAGAGAGGGAGAGAAAAAAGCGAGCAAAGATGAAATGTAATTATCATTCCAACGACGGGAAAGCCGTACACATTCGTTTGACTTCATTCAATTCGGAAATATTTAAAAAGCTGAAATCGTTTACAAATACATATGCAAGAATTTGTCTACCGGAATGACAAAATGAATTTATCCATGCTTACATTGTTCTCGAACATAAGCGCCATAGTTGGTTCCTCATCTGCAAGGCACGTTCCTACTCATTACACTAAGAATGGTAAATTATCTATACGTGTCGTTTATATATGCGAATATATTGGCAAACTAAGCAAATCAAATCAAAATAGAAATAATCCTAATGATAATAAAACCGTAATGGCAATTGTTTAGTTTGTTTTCTCTGATTTGTTAATGGAATTCAATTGCAGGTTGTTTGACAAGATGTGAAGAAAGAAATTGACTTTCGAGAAGTAGTGTCATCTTGAAAGAAGATATCTATCCACACTTATTTAATTCTTCTTCTTTTGTCTTTTGCTTTCCTATTCATTGATTTCTATCGAATTGGAAAATGTTTAGTATTCGTTAAGCAGTTGTAACATAATATAGTGCGGCGAAAGTCATCATCATCGAAGATTAAAGAATATTAGTCATTTGTTTTTATGAAGCCATTTTTACGCTCTGAAGCACCTGTAATTTTGTTGCTGGGATAATTATCGCTCGCAGTTAGCTCTGACGCATATGAAAATTCACGTCTAATTTCTATTTTTGCTTCCAGGTTAATGTGTTCTATAGAAAATATATTTGTAGAACTGATTTAGTATGTCACTTTAGATGTCTCACATTTGTTTCTTTAAAATATTGTTTTAATGCATAATTTCTTTTCTGCGACCATGATGCGACAAAATGAATTACCGTTAACTAAAATCGATGTAAGTTCATGCTCATAAATAATTCCAAATCCGAGGATTTGTCTCTTTCTAGTCTTTATCCAAAGAAATTGAATGTATAATGTGTTTGGATGTAGTCAATGATTCTCGTATGTGTATTCACTGTTCAGCTATTGTTTGTGTTCAATGTATTGAAGTATACGGAGATGATTTTACATGTAGTTAGTACTGATGTTCTTTTTAGAGTTGGCTCAAGGTACAGAGTATATGTCCAAAATGTTTGTAAGTCGATTTTTACGATGGTTTTTGCTATGATTCGAGATGTTGTTGAATAGACATCTGGTGGAAGAAACTGATTTTGTGAAATGTCGATTAGCGAATAAGCTTGCCGATTTTATTGAAGTGTCGAAAGACGATTAGTAAGATAAGAATATCATTAAAGTTCCCTTGATTTAAATGCTTTGTAGTTCAAAACAATGTGTTTCCACTAATGAACAAGTAATACTGGAGTTTGTTTGTAAAAACTTTTTCGCTAAAGTTCTGTTGAACGTAGAACATCGACGTTAATTATAGAGAAATAATGACGTTAAACTCAAAACTTCTCGATTTTTTTCGTAGAAGATGCAAAGATTACGGAGAAAATCTTGCAAAAATTGTAAGTTTTCTTGTCGTATAAGTTTATCTCTTAACTTTTAATAGGAATCAGCTACTCAAACTTTGCTCAACGATAAAAAAGAAATAGACGTGCAAGAACCCCTCGATGCTTATCAAAGTAAAACAATCTGATTGATTTTATCGTACCAAAACACGTAATCATGTAGAAAAGAGGCAAGCTTACACAGATGCAATTAGAGATGATAAGTTATTGATCGATAATATGGAATATCGCCTTCGTGAAAGTCAAACTTTATCTGATCAAGAAGAAATTCTCCAAATTCTTCAAAAACATATTCCGTCCAAAGTTCAATTCAAAGATCATTAATGCGTTCGTTTATTTCTAAACTGTTTTAGAAATAACATGTTGAATTGTATCAACAATTATGTGTTTTTTTGTTAATAAATTCCTGTTCAGTTGTTATGCGTAGAGAACAATTTACGCAGTTGTTCAGTGTGTCAAAGTCACTTGTTTCTGATGAAATAAATCGAACATATGTAATCCAAAATATAATTTAACATACGAAAAGTATCTAGATATACAAGAAAGAAACAAAGAAAACTCTTCGATTAGGTGTTAATTGCTGATACGTCTGCTTTTTTCTTTTTTGACGATTTCAGTGGTTTCACGGGCTTTGTTGCAGTTCGACAGTGTTTCAAACCACACACAATAAAGCCGATAACAAGAGTAAGACCAGAAAGACCGCCGGTGATATACCAAATTAAACGGGACATTTTCCCTCCACAATGAGCAACATGTTTCGTTGGACAAGTCATTAACGGTCGAGGCGATTCAAGTGTTAAGACATAGTCCCAGGCACTGCGAACAGTATCAATTTCAACTGTAGTATAGCAATGTGTGCATGTTGTAGTCGTATTAAAATAACGTGGTTTCCTGTTAACATCAGTGATATATGTAAAATAGACGTTTAGCGGATTGAGACATTGCTTGGATATGGAAATATTGAAACGAATGGTATCATCTCCGCATTCCGAATTGATGATGCATATTTCACAATATTTTAACTGTTTGATTGAAAGCGTTTGTCCGTATATGATAAAACATGCAAAGAATAGAAGAATGTTAATCATAGCAAAAAACAGCAAGTAAATGATGGTGATATTTTGAAGTCTATCTTCGTCATGTTCTTATCTTACTAGGAGAAAGACATTGTCCTGTTATCCTTGCTAGAGAAATTTATGATATCATTTACATCACACGCCATGAATATTTCTCCTATGCTTCAAATCTCGATAGTAGAATACATAAAGAGCACCATCCTCTGTAAAATCATATCACAGCTGACTTGCCGGTCTGGTTCAGTATTACTGTGGATGAATACATCCAGATGCCTTTCTTCTTTCTCAGACAATGAATGTCTCAGAGGGCAAAAACTGCAATGTCTAACGTTGATTGACTTGCCAACTTTAAATTAAAGAAAACGACTCTTGTTATTGTCTGATTTTCTTCAACATAATATCATCATCAAGCAAAAAACAAAAGAGAGAAAAGAGGAAGAAGAATGTTCAAAGGACCACAATGAGAACAACAACAGCAAAAGCGGACAAATGTATTTATATATGTATATGTATATGCAAGAAATTCCTTTTGTTTTTTTTTATACAACAGAAAGAAAACAAGTCATCCACAACAACGGTTATGCAGTGTGTCAGAAAGAGAAAGAAAGAGACAAAGTATGTGAACAGAGAAAAAAATGAAGAAGAAGACAATGACAAAGAGACAAAGCGACAGTAAAAGACTGTTCGAATAAGAGAGAATGTTTCAGTAAGAGACAAAAACACGAAGGAAAACGAACAAAATTCCTGACAAAAAAAAGAACCGTCTCATACGGCAAATCAGCTATTTTCATAGAAAATAGGGCAAAAGAGAAAATGTTTCATATGTATAGACAAAACAAAAGAAAAAACTTCTTATCAATAAGTTGGCTTGCTAGCGTAGACAAAAAGAAAACACGTGTGCTCAAAAGCTACACAAAATTTCATTTAGCATTGTATGTTTAGGTTACAATCGCTACATGGTCTGTTCTAATAAATACTTGGAGGGAAGAAAATGAGAAAGAGTTAATATGCTAAACTACATTTGTAAAAGAAGACAAAGATAGGAGTGAAGAAAGTCATGGTTGTGGTTTCGTCGATGACTGTGATTGAGGCTGTTGTTCAAGTGATGAATGTGTCGATGGTGCATAAGAACGTAATATGGACTCGTCTGAAACAGACAAGGGATTAGCTCCAGGAAAGTTGGCAAAACCAAAATTCTAAATACAGGACAAAGTTTAGATCGAATGATGATATAAAGACGAACTTACAGAGATATTCCATGTCGGAGCAAATAATTGAGGACCAATTCCATTACCACTTGCAGCAAGTATATGTGTAAGAAGTTCTAGACTAAGGCCTGCATTCGTTGGTGCTCGACCATTTTTTGCTAATGTATATGCCGCTGCAGCTGTTGCAGCTACATCATTTGATTCGTACGTTGAAGTTGATGGTGCAGTAGTTGAAAGTACAGTCGAATGTGTTGACGTTGGTGGATGATGCGTCACAAGTTCCATTTCTGTTGACGGAAGCTTTTTGGCACTTGGAATTGTTGTTGTTGTACTAGATTTTTTAGTTGAATTTGGATTAGAATTTGCTGATTGTCGAAGTTGATTTTCGAGAATGGATTGATGTGTCGACGCATTTGGATGACGCGGAGATTTATTTTTTCGAATTGTTGATGGAGTTGAATCTATAGATTGGTTTGGTGTGTTTGTTGATAGACGTCTTCGTGTAGGTGATATTGCTTTTTGATGCTGCAATTGCTGTTGAAGCTCTAATTCTGCTAAGAGTTTTTGTTGTTTGAGGTGCTGTTGTTCTTTACGTGGACTCGGAGGAACAACAGGTAATGCAGCTGTTGGTAATGATAAAGTAGACAGATTTGAAGGAGCTGGAGGAAGAAGTGATGCTGCTGTCAGTGCTGGTGGTGGTAATAGCAATGTAGGTGATATTTGAGTGACAGTTGTTGCCGCCGATGCGACTGTTGGAGGAGGAGGAGGAGCTGTTTCGGTAACTGGTAAGATTTCTGAAAGTCTTCGGCGTAAATTGGTATTTGTTACTCGAAGTGAATCACGACGATGCTTGAGTTCATCGAATTTCTTTTGCAAAGCAGCATTCTCAGATTTGAATTGATATAAACATGATAGTAACGATGAAACATCATGTGGCATAGTTTGTTGAAGTAGAAAGTCACTTGACGATTCCCATTCTTGTTCAAGAAATTCTTCTAATGTTTGTGGTGGAAACGTTCTTTGCTGTTGTTGTTCAGTTGCAGAAGATTGAGCTAGGGCAGCTTGTAATGGTCGTCGAGGATAGAAATCAATACGTGCAGCTGCTGTTGTTGTTGAAGAAGATGAAACACGTTGACAGGATAAATCTTCGTTTTTATCGATTGGTTGTACCTGATCAGCCGAATGGCCTTGTTGTTTAAAAGCATCAGAATTGATTTGATTTCCAAAATGATCACATGGATAATAATGTGTGGAACGAGGGTTCGTCTTCATCTCAGTTTCATTTTCATTGTCAGTTGATTTTTTGTGAACATTTATCAGAGTATCATTAACCTTTTGTTGCTTCATGTTACTGGTATTCGTAGTTGAAGATGGTTTTGACAATGGACGTTTGATACCGTTAGTGACTTGTTCAGCCGATGAAGTTTTCTTCGACGACGGTGGTCGGCCAACAGGTCTCGAAGCACCCTCAACCGAATGTTGACGTTTCTTTCGTGGTTGTCCATCTTTGTTTAATTTGATGGATAGTTTACGTTTTTTACTTATCTCGTAATCTTCATCGGCGTCTGCGTCTCTGAAATATAGAGAAAGTTTTCGTGTTAATCAAATGAAAAGATGCTCGATTCTTTTCCCTTACTTTGTTTTCGTCAAGGACGGTTTCTTGATTGGATTAGACTTTGTTGGCGATGATGAACCATCGGTTGACGGGCGTTGTTTCATAGAAGATTTACTGTTGATGTCACTGGAAGATGATATTGTGCATCGAGAGGCTAGCGATTTCTCTTCGATCGAATTCAATGTTGTTTGTTGATCACAGTTCGATTTCGTACCAACAAGTGTAGTTTCTCTATTTAATGAAAATGCGAATGTCATTTGGTGCGATAATGTGGAACAGAAAGCTAACTTTGATTCGATGGTTGAGGAACCCGGTTTTGTTATCACTGCGGTTCCTTCTTTTGTATCCGCTTCATTGGTTGATGGAGGTGGCGGTGGTGGTGGCACAAAAATTCGTTCTTCTTTGTTCAATTGTACAAATTGTGAAAGATTACTAAGCGATTGGTTATTATTATTCATCTCATCATTCATTTTCGCTTTCTTCTGTACGGATGAATTAGTCGATGATGATGATGATGACGAAGAACGTGAATGATTCGTCTGTTGAGCAAGTGGCGAAACTGTCGACGATGATGTGGATGATACAGATGAATTCGTATTCGAGGAAGATTTTCGTTGTAAAGTATCAATACCATGGAAAGTGCGTGGAACGGGCGTTGGCTGTTCATCACTTGAGTTTGTTTGATTATTTGAATCATCTAAGGACAATGCTGGCATATTCGTTTCAGCCTCTGCTGCAGCCGCCGCAATGAAATCCGATAATTGTGATGGATTTTCTTTTTCCTTCGAGCGTAACTAACATCAAAAGAGAATAAATATAGAACATCATCACAAGTCTCGACCTACTTGTTTTTTCATTTGTTCATTGGATGGTATTGCATGTGGTGAGTATTGAAAAGGTGCTATTTGACGAATGAATTTCTAAAATATGATCATCGATGAAAATACAAAACAAGATTTTCGTAATGAAATCATCTCACCGAAAATTTCGGTCGATGTTGTTCACAGTAGATCGGATATTGACAATTGTTTTTTCGCACGTCTTCACATAGTAAACCATTCGCTTGTGCACATGTGACATGAAAGACTTGTGAACAGTTTTTAACTGTACATGCACAACATGCACCACTCGTTGCAATTAATTTTGAGCGTCCGTTTTGAATACAAATTGAACATTCTTGTCCAAAACGTGTCGAAGGAATTTTCGATAGAATAATCGGTTCCATTGTTGTATCATCACCAAATGATACCTCTGGAATATACAGTGCACACACAACATGTGCCCAACCGGCATCGGATGTTCGTTTCATTGCACCTTCGATTGTTGGACAAAGACGACATGGCTGAAAAATGAGAAATGCTGTTCCTTTTTAACTTAATAAAACTCTTCTTTACATACCGCTCGAATATCACCCGCTTCACATCGACCGCAATACCAATCACCATCTGGTATTGATACAATACCATAACATGCTAGAAAAGAATGATTAATAACGAATAATCGTTTTTCGTTTCTATTTACCAGTATGACACGCAACTGTACAATCTTTTCCATCACAATAAACAAGAGCATTATTTGGAAAACCTTGATCATCCGAACACACGCAACAACCACCGACAAGCTCTTCACTATCTAAGCCATTTGGAACTGTAGTGCTGGTTGTTGATTCATCATTTCCATTCTCTTGCGTTTTGCTCTTATGATGAAAACCGTTTCTATTTTCTCCATTTCCACCAGTATTATTCGTTGGTAATACTGTTTTTGTATCTTTCATTGAAATCTTTACCAGAAATAGAAAAAGAGAAAGTCGTGAACTACAAGTGGTTCATTCGTGTCAAACAACTTACTAAAATATTTTAATCAACAAGAATATTGACAATAATACATCTGAAAAAAAAAACGTCGGAAAAAAGGTCCTTGACACACAATTGGTGTCAATAACTAGATGTCACGTTTTTTTCTTTCTTATTCTTTATCTTTCAAACGATTCTAACGAATTGAAAAGAACAACAAAAAGTGATATTCATCTACTAGACTTGTTTATTATTCTAATACTTATTAGAAGAAAAAAAAGCCACAGACAGCCATTCATAATGACGATAGCCTTGTGATTCGTCATTGTAGAGGACATGTCGTCTGACATAAATGGCCGAACTGTTCAGAATGGTAAACTATGGCTATGATTGGATGGAATACATGTTTATTTCTTGACAATAGGAAGACATTGGAGATTCTTGTCGATGGGCATCTATTATAGTCTGATGTCTGGCTTTTCCTCGCCGACATCAACTATTAATCGAAATGCCCATTCAGTAATACATTCGAAATCATCGAACAAACGTCGACGTCGGCATAAGCGACATCATTTACTGAATCGTTTTTTTCTCGGTTCAACGCATTATTTTGTCAATACACAAATTCATACATGTCTTTTCCATGAATACTATACAACAAATTCAAATCGTGATGCTTTATCACCTGTACATTTGCAACTATCGCTGTCAGAATCCAATCAGTCAACGGCCATATGTCCAATACATTGTTCAATTGCAATAAGACGAGATTCATTAAAACTCATTCACCGTTCAGATGGTTTATATGCAATTGATTTTATTTTCGATGCAGATCAACCCGTTCAGATTCACAGTAAATTTTCCAGTGCATTTTTTCCATTTTTAATGAAATTATTTTTCTACGATTCTAGTCTATTTTATGGCACATGAAATAATCACAAATAGTTATGGATCTCTCTCATATGTATGTTGTTCATACGTTAGTCAGTTGGATAAATTTCAACAGTATTATGCATTTAATTGTCCAGCTGGTTACGGACAAGTATTTTCATCAATTCAACATGACATTCGCTTTTCTCTGTCAAATTTCAATGAAGAACATTATGGATGTAAAATAACAAGTCGACTCTATCCCATTGTCATCGTTTGTAAAGCAATCAATGTCGAATTAGTCAAGTAAGTGAATTGACTCAGTCATTTTAATACAAAGTCACACTTCTCAATAGATTTACCATACGACATGATAGAAAAGAGGGATTCATTTTTTTTTCATTTCTGACTTCTTTAATACATCTACGTTAGAGCTCATTGTGTTGTACACAGCGTAATTAATCTGTCTGTAAATTGAAAATGTGCTAAATCCGATAGTCTTTCTTTAAGCTTTTCTAAGATTACGACACGTTTTAGAAGCCCATCGACAATTTGTGGTATGACAGCTCATCATCACACGACGGCTATTGCAACAGTAGTTCCCACATTCGATCAATATCATATCATCTTAGCCACAGTAAAATTTCGTCGACCGAATTCAACATCGGTGTCGTCGGACAAGAATTCTGATTGCACATCAATCGCTTTACTTAGTCAAAAACATGTTTACAATGGTATTATTTTTAAATTGTACGAATTGTATGGTTTGGAAAATCCTCTATCAAAATTCCTTCCAAACCACGTTACTGAGCGACAGAAACTCGCCTGTCAAAAGAAATCCTTATTTAAAGTTGTCACCACACCAGCTTTATTTGAGAATGAACCGTTTATCTCAATGAATTCAATTAATCGGTGAGTAGATTTGATGGAATTTCTATATATAGAAAGGCGGAAATTGGTTTTGATCAATACCAGATTAATCGATTATTTATTTATCTAATACATTATTAGTTTTTCTTTTCGTCTCCGATTGGTCATGAGGAAGCACAAAAAGGAAATTCTGTTTTCTTTTGTTTTAGTAACAATGATATTTGTTTATCGAATGACGACAATAAACAAATACGGAAAGTGAAAAAATCTCGTTCATGTACGGACTTGACTTTGAATAATCCGAATGAAAGTACTTGTGTTATTTGTCTCACGGATATACGAAACGTTTTACTTCTCCCATGTCGACATTTATGTCTATGTGGATCTTGTGCTGAAAATCTCAAATTTCAATCAGCCAGTTGTCCAATATGTCGTGTACCGTTTCGAGCTTTACTTCAGATCGATGCTTTACACCATCGAGATCTACCTGAGAATGATGCTGATGACGAGTATCTGTATGAAAGTATTTCACTTCTTGACGCTCTTAATTTAGCTACAATGAAAAGCAAACAGTCTTCATCGAAACTGATAACAACCAATGATTTGTATATCAATCGGAGACCAATAACAACAACTGATCTGAAATATTTTTGTAGTGAACACACTGTGTGAGATCTGTGATATAAACAGAGTTATTTTATTCATTAATTATAGAGGTAGTCCGTTTCTTTTTTTTTCGTCAATCGCATGTTGAATCGCTTTTTTTCCTCTCTCTCTTTCATCTGCTTACACAGCTCCTTCGGTTTGTTTTGCCATACAAATTCTATTTATTATTATTAAAACTTACTGTCGATAATATTTCTTTCCGTCTTTTCTTTTGATTGTTTGATAGAAAGCAAGTTCAGTTAGATTTGATCGTGCCTAGTGTGTCTGTTCTATATGATCTTGAGTGGCACCGAACAGTAGGAATTAAGATGATCGTTTATTCATCTGCGCTGTGTGTACGTAAAGAGACGAGAGAGGGAAAGAAGAAGAAGAAGAAAAAAAGAAAGAATAGATCTGTTCCTTTCTTCTTGTATTATGTGTGAGCATGTTTGTGGGTCAAGTAATCATAATCACTCGCCGATAGGCACTCGCCGCCTATCTTAAGTAAATATTAGTGCGATCGAGCAGAAGAAGTAAGAAAGATTTTCTTTATTGAACCTTGTGTAGATGAAAATATCCATTTTTCATCTTCTGTATCCTAATGAATTGTGGTTTTAATTAGTTTCCGTCGACTTTTCAGTCTTTCTAAACAAAGATTTCCGAAAGAATAACTTTTCGACATTCAATTATGAATAGTAAATTAAGTAGAAACAATTTTGGTTTATGTCAAATGATTTTTTTCTCGTTACTTTTTTGTTTCGTCGCAGAAATCTTACTGACCATGCGCGCATTCATCTATCATCTCTGCATGATCGAAGTTCTTATGCAAATAGTTTAATGCTGATAAGATGTCGAGTCTTTTCCATCATCTGTCTTGCGAGTGAAGAGAAGAAAGCGAAATGAGTAAGAGAAAAGAATGAAGATTAATTTCATTGTAGAAACGAGCGGAAGACCTCTTTTGGGACTTCTATGGAAATTGATTTCGGAGGAAAAGGGAAAAAACGATGAAGCAGTGATGATAGTATTGCTTGAGCTGCCTTCACGTCATTGTAGACTCCCTTTAATAACAAGCTATTGCGATGTAGAGAATACACTAGTGCATCTATGAAACGCAACAGGCAATGACTTAGAAAAGCAAACTAATCGTTCTTGTTTTTGTCACTCTGTTCGTCGGTTTCTCTTCTTCTGGTACTACTAATTTTGTTTAAAAAAAACTCAACTAGCGAAGAACAGAAGCTGCATTTTATCAATATTGTATGTAGGCGTGATGATCTCTGGTTTCGTCACTAGCTACCGCTTGATTGATCAGACTGATTTTTCCATCTGTTATTACGAGATCAAGTGTAAGAATGCGATAATCATGGTTTGATGCATTCATCCATCAGATAAAGCATAGAGAAAGAAAAACTGTAGTCCTAACTATGACTATTTCTCTCAAACGTTATCAGATGATAGTTAAAAGTATACTATCATCTCATCAATTCATCGCTGTGTATACACATACATGTAGAGATGTGAATGTATACATTCGTCTGCCGTTCATCATTTCTCCTCATTTGATCATTGTTCAGTAAGATCATTAACACACTCAGATATGTGTCAGATCCATTGAGTTTACTTTGCTTAGTTTTTCTTCTCGTCTGATCGTTCGTTTGTTCGATCGTTCGCTCGTTCGTTCGTTCGTGTGAACATGGATCATTCAGTCAAGAAAACGACATTTACACACTTAATAGTGTGCCAAAAAAAGAATCAATACAAGAACATTGTATTTGTGAACGTTCATAATAGTTTTCCTAGTCGTGTTCTTTTTTTTGCAGTTTTTCTTTTATGCGCATTTGTATGTAAAAGTTTCACTAGTCGCATTCATCATGACAGGTGAAATGAAAGAATTATAGAATAGTAAAGCATGGAGAAAAATCTACAGAACATAACGAGCAATCTTCCATTACAACACTACGACTATTTCCTTTCTGGAAAAAGAAATGAAGTCGGCAAAGTTTCTTTTTCTTCTTCTTCTCTACTTCTTCTTAGCCGTCATCATCATCATCGTCGTCGTCGTCTCTTCTTCTCCCTCTTGCTCGCCTTCTTCGTTTTTTTTACTATCATTCTGCGTTTTTTTTTCTGCTCTTCATCGACGATAACGTCTGCTCGGCGACAAAAGAAAATGCGTTTCTCTAGATCGACTCTTGTTCCGTTAACGATAATGATCCTATATTTAATGGTAACAGGCAAGGGTAACAAGCCACTTGGCAGAGTCGACAATCATTGTCATAATCAGCAATACATTTTCTCGTCTTGTTTGTCTCATGTGTCCAAAAGATGTTTGTTGCATATCGCGCAGGTATGTGGGTTTGTTAGTGAAGTGAAATAGTTCTCCGATGACGTCGATTACCCATCATGCAACCATATTTCTTCTAATCACCAACTGTTTCTTATCGATCGGAAGCATAGATCAACCGATCAGATATTCATATGAGAACGCCAAAAGACCAATATACGAGAAGGTTTTTCTCCTATCTAATTTTCTTGAATCATTTTTTATAACTGCCACTGTTGTTATTCTATGATTGACAGTATGCATGTAAGCAAGCCACCGGCTAGCATAAGTGCAGAAAAGACGAGGCGACGACAACGTCTAAACAGTGCTCTCTTCTCTCGCTTGTGTATATGTTGTCAGCTGCTTTTATTCATTGTGTACCTTCGTATTCACATGTACAACAATATACCGTAGTCTTGCCTTTGCGTTTTTACTTCTTGAGACATTCGAGTGGAGACATACGAGTTTTACTTGTGTAAAACATGCGCGTAGAAAACGAAACATGCTTATTTGTTACGATAAGTGTGGTGTGGGCTCTCATTAGACACGAGACAATTTACATCAATATACATTAGAAAAAGAAAATCGAGGTGCAGTTGAATTGTGTACAATCAAGGTGACGAAGAAATATCACGACTAGTTCAGCTTTGAACGAAGTAAAGAATAGGAAAGAGGGGAGAATGAAAAAGGTTTTAGATTGATTTTTAAAAAAATATTCTGTGTACCGAAAAAAACAACACATCAGTCGCCTACGATAATGTGTGAATAATGATAAATATATCTTTCAATTGGTTGCCCGGTCTTTTTTCTCATACACTCTCGTTCTTTCTCAAATATTACAACTAATTCTGTTTTTAGATTTTATTTTCTTTTTTCTCTCTGTTCTTTCACTTCTTTCTCCTCCTTGTTTAACGTCATGTCGAAGTATAGTGTAACAAGAGCAGCAAAAGCAACAATAAGAATGACAACAACTTTTATCATGCATAGATAATCATCTTTATATATTGTCATTGATTCATAGTGTGTGAGTAAGTAACATAATCTTTAGCTAGCATTAGCATTTTCATATAATATTCGTACTTTTTCTCTGTCTGATCATAGGACGCACGGATTGAAAATGGAAGTGACTTCGACATTATCAAAAACGTTTAAAAAGTTTACTATACCTCGAAGTACATCTTCTATGGGTTCGTTCACAACAGCGAATGGCACAGCAACGAATGTCGAACAAAGATTTGAAGAATTAACAACAAGTCAAACAATACCACCGCCACCAGCACCATTTAATGGTCATTCATCATCGCATCATAAGCATCCCCCGTTATCTTACGTTCAACATATGCGACCAGTTCAGCATCATTCACAACAAAATTTATCTTTATCTCTGCAACAACAAGAGCAAGAATTACAACAACAGCAGCAACCACAATATCGCTTACCAACTCGCCCAGTCAGTAGTGATATCTCTTCCTTTATTGTACGTTCAGCAACAACAGATTTTCATCCATCGAACGAATACTCCCCACAAGAAAGCAAAGTATGTACTTATATGTTTTATCTAAGCACTTTTCTGATTTTGACGTCTATAGATGAATCATTCGATTTCAAAATCATCTTTTTATAAGTCATCGATACAACGTGATATGAGTTACGATAATATCAAAAGCTTAACCTTCGATGATAACACGAAATCAAAATCTCAGCCAAATCCTCCTAATCGCTCTTCAATAAAATCTATATTGACGAAAAAATTTCATCCTTCAAATACGAATGAATCAATCAGTCAGCCCACTAAAACAGATATTAAACCTAAGAAGCGCCGCACATCTTTCCGTCATCTTTCACAATTTCTTAAACGCAGTCATAGTACAAATACAGATTTATCCACAATCGCAAGCAATCATACATCTAACGATCATGATCAAGACCAGCAACAACAACAACAACAACAAATACAAAACAAGCTGACAGCCGATTTAATCTACCAACGTTTACATACTAAACAAATCGATGATCATGATTCTTCTTTCCTGACACGTTCAAACACAAGTATTATGTGTAATGGTAGTGGTACTGCGCTAGTACCAATATCTGAAGAAGAAAATCCAATTCCAGTTAAACAATCAAATCGATTGAAAGCAACTCAGATTGATGATGAAGATTATTATTACGATAACACAACTCGATCTGATAGTGGTGTGTTAACACATCAACAAACACAGAGAATTGCACCTAGTCTTAGTAAGTCAATTGAAAACATTCCTTTCCCGTTTGTTAAATCTCCACGTTCATCTCTATAATTACAGGTTTATCTTCATCATCATCATATATCTCAGCTCATACATCATCTCCGTCGGGTGTGTCATCATCGTCGAATAAAAACCGAAATGTTGTTATCAATAGTAATCAATATTATCATCGAGATGATTTCGTCAAACCGTCCAAATCTCCAACATCAATAACATCTAACATTGGCACAGCATTATCTGTGCTCGCTAATAATAATACTAATAAACATCATTTGACCAATTCGATTAGTTTACATGCCGATGTTCATAGTTTAATTAAAGCTCAAAAGAATGACCTGCATTTATCGGCATCTGCATTAAACGATGTGGAGTTATCGTCATCATCGACGAATAGCAAAGGTAAACTGTCGAGGAAGATGAATTGTGAAAAGTTTAGTTTTTCTTCTTGTCTTTCGATTAGATCAAACTGTTGTTCCATCGACTGTACCATTTCCAACAACTGACCTAGACAATTCAACTCAACAGGCGACTAAAGTCAAAATGCGTGAACACAGTTCGAAGAAACGCAAAACTCTGCGCGATCTCAAGTCGCGCATATCGTTACCGCCTGAGTTAAAAAATAGCTTTTCCTTTACAAAACAAACGCCAACGACTAATCATAATAATAACAATAACAGTCTCCATCAACCATCTGGCAATAGTCTCATTAATAAATTGAAATTCAGCCAACAGCAGCAACGTTCGTCGTATTATCAAACGAACTCTTTATCAACTCAAACGCTTAACAATGTTCTACATCAATCGAATTCTTCGTTATTACGTCTTTCACCCTCACAGTTGAATACGAGTATCAACGGTCAATTGAGTCGAAATGAACAACGTCTTTCCATGCTTGATCTTGGTTTTGGAAAGATCGAATCTTACGTGAAATTAGAAAAATTAGGGGAAGGTAAAGCTTATATCGTGTTTTTCTCGAGAGAAATATTCACGTCTTTTTATTTTCAATCTCTCAGGTACATATGCGACAGTTTACAAAGGCAAATCTCATTTACTGAATGGTTATATTGCATTAAAAGAAATTCGACTGGAACAAGAGGAAGGTATGTTGATCAATAATGATGTAAATCTCCGAAGGGAATGTACCTGATGTCGATATGAAAAAGAAATCGATTTTGCTTATTAATTCGAATCTCGTGAGATGTTTCCAGCGAAGTACTTCTGTTCGGAACAACTAATCAGGTCACAAAGTTACCACAGGGCATTACCAGCAAATCATCCATACTGATAAGAATTGGAATATCTATGCAAATCGAAGGTTCTTCGAGAAAAAAATGTAGCATTGAAGATTGTAACTTTAGTTTTCAATGATAATTTGAATACCAATGTAAAACGATACTTTAATTCATAGCACAAAAATGCACATCTGATATTATTTACATCCAAGAGAAGATATTCGATTTAAAGCTTTGCTTTGCAAAAAAACCATGTTTATGTCTCTCATATTACGTACTCAAATCGTTTGTTTTGTAGGTGCTCCATGTACAGCGTTACGAGAAGTGAGCTTATTAAAAGGACTGAAACATAATAATATCGTTAGCTTACATGATATTATCTTTAATCAAACGACATTAACACTTGTGTTTGAATTCGTGGAGAAAGATTTGAAACAATATATGGACGATTGCGCAAATATTCTTAATATAAAAAATGTTCGCTTGTTTTTATTTCAACTCCTGCGTGGTTTGGATTATTGCCATTCGAAGAAGATTCTTCATCGAGATCTCAAGTAAGAGTTATTTTCGCTCTCGATGTTTTCTCTGACATCCAAATGCTTTTTCAGACCACAAAACCTCTTGATTAACGAACGTGGTGAATTGAAACTGGCTGATTTCGGTCTAGCACGTATAAAGTCTTTTCCAACGAAAACCTATTCTCATGAAGTTGTTACATTATGGTATCGACCACCCGATGTTCTATTGGGCAGTACTGAGTATTCAACGCCAATCGATATTTGGGCTGTCGGCTGCATTTTCTATGAAATGGCGTGTGGTCGACCATTATTTGCCGGTACAAAAGTCGATGAAGAGTTATATCTGATCTTCAAATGTCTTGGTACACCAACTGAACAAACCTTACCCGGTGTAACAGCAAATCCTGATTTTCAAGCATTGAGATTACCATACTATCAAGGTGAATCATTAAACCATCTCGCGCCACGTCTGGACCAAACAGGAATTGATCTCTTGGAGAAGTTCTTACGTTTTAATCCGCATTCTCGAATATCTGCTCATGACGCTATGCTGCATAAGTTTTTCGCTTGCTATCCACCAGCTATACATACTCTAGGACCATTACAATCAGTGCTGGATCTGAATGAGATTGTTTTAACAAAAGATCATGGTTCAAAGCTCATTACAGCGTCGCTCATGAAAACGGCCATTTCGAAACGATCGAGTGTCCATCTGTGATGTGCTTCCTTTGTTTTGTTTTCTCGCTTCTCGAACCTCATTATATCTTATGCCACCTGTACATTGCTCCATTATCTCAATCTCTCATTCTTTTCCTCTTTTTCGTTTTGTTGTTTCTTCTTTTCGAGTCATTCACCATATCTCCAAACTTCTTTGCGCGTCAAAAACATTTCTATACGTATAAACATTATATATATATAAAATGACGTAAAAGACTTTCTTAACAGTACAATATAAACACGTGCAAAGCAATAAAAATAACTAACATTGTTATTTCCTCTATGTTAAAAGAAAGAAATTCAAACAGCGATCATTTTTTTGGCAATACATAACATATAACTCTGCTTTCCTCTCTTATTTCTTCTTGTTGTTCCAAGAAAATGTCTTTCGTGTTTTTTGACAACATAACTGCTGCTTCTGTCTTTACTTGTTGTTGATGTCATTTCAATGTGTGTGTGTGTGCAACTGTTTGAGCGTGTTATTCATTATACTTTTTTCTCGGGAAAGTTTTATTCTTATTGAATACACTTTTCGTTCTCTTTTCCTGTCTCTCTTTTTTTTGCACAATACACATGTATGTTCATATTTATTAAAAAAATCGAAATAAGACATTAGCAAAGGGCCAATCATTCATCTAATGAGTCAATCTGTAGATTAATTGAAACTCGAATGGAACTTGAAAACTTACCCACACTTCCACATGTATGTCATTTGATGTTATTGTGAATGATATTCAATGTTATGTTTCCATAGGCACATCAACAAATTCGTTTAGGAGATGTACAAGCATCAGCTCAGAAATGGATTGCTGCTATTGAACACTATTCACGTGCAATCGGTGCGTCAAAAGAGTGAACTGTGTCTTGTGTATATTATTTTTCGATAGAGTATTTCAAAGCGATACAAAATACGTTGCGAGATGAAAGTTTGATAGCAAATATTCAAGCGCAGATTGTACAATGTGAGAAAATGATACATTTTTATCGTTTGAAAGATCGTGTTGAACAAGTAATTTGTCACAATCTTTACTAGAAAGTTTTCTTCATGAAATTTTATAGGCGTTCAAAGAGGAACGGCAGTCTAAGGTAACTCGTGCACATTCAATATCGAACAGCAAACCATCGTCAAGACCAGCGCGTACGATGACTCGACACAATACATTACAACTTGAAAATACGGTGATGTTAGGCGGTCGTGATGGCATGGATTCGTTTGCTGCACTTATCTTTCCAAATAGTAATCGAAGTAACCCACGTGTCGCCTATAATGCATCTTCGCCATTGATGGGAAGAAAGAATGAAAAGAACCATTTACAGAAGATGGAGGAATTAGAAATGAATTATAAACTTAAGAAAAGGCATCTTAAAGTTGCATTTGATGAAATCGATCGATTGAAACAAGAAAACGATGAACTGCGTAGGAGGGGTGAAGTCTACAATCAATGGCAACGAAAGGATTCAGATGCATTACCTAAAAGTAATGAAACAGAAAAAGAAGGATCAGACGATGAGCTCGAAGCTACGTTGTAATCCCATATACATTGTGTCTTTTTTCGAGTTTTGCAATAATCAGTGAAAAAAGTTTTTCATTTTTCCGAAATAAAATTTCCTGTGATACTATTTCTATTGATTATTAAACATGAAACCAGCGAACAATCATGTTCGCTGTTCTACGTGTCATTAGAAAGAGATAATTTCATGTGTATATTTGAACTTTCTTTATCGTTTTTATCTCAACAGAAAAGACACCGTCTCATTTGTAAGAATTATTAATCAACAAAACACTTGTCGTCATTAGAATTCCACAGATATATTTATCTATGTNCATTCAATATTGATATTATGACGCTCAAACAGCTGAATCAAGTAAACTCGACAATTTTTAATAAGCGAACGAAGAATATATCCGGATATTTGATTTTAGGAATTAGTTCCATATGAAGCCAAACGAAAACTATGTGCACGTTACGATCTGTTTCTTGCTGATCGTCGTATTATAACGGCATTGATGCGTGGTCAACTACTTGGTAAACATTTTCGTCATCATGGCAAAATGCCACTAGGTATCAATGTATTCAATAAAGATTTTAAACAACGTTTAATTTCTTTGTGTTCTTCAACGCTTGGTCGAATGGCCGGCACTGGACCTTTGTTTTCTATGCAATTCACCAATGTGAAACAATCAATTGATCATGGAATGGAAAATCTGCAAGCCGTTTGCCAAGTTATCGGTCAAGAACTACCCGGCAGTTGGTTAAATGTTGATCACGCTTATTTCTATGGCAATAATCTACAATCTTTACCAATTTATTACAGTTCACATACGAAAAATGACGTGAAGAAATTGAATGTACCGTCGCATGATGCCAATGCAATGACTCAAATTGGTGAACTATCAACCACGGACAAAAATCTTAATGTCATTGTTGAACCCAACGGTAATATACATCTGACAAAGCGAAAGAAATTGAACGAGAATTATAAGAAGAAGAAAACTACGAAACGTTTACAAAAGACATGGCTTCAAGGTGGACAACAAAAATCTTCAACTAAAACACCTAAACCCAAAAAACAAAAGAATGTCAAACAAGCGGATGAAACACTTGATTTCAATGCTGATGGTAAACCATTAGTTGACGCGGAATTTGTTAACCGTGTCAATAAAACAAAGCTTGCGAAGAAGACTGAAAAACCAAAACATGTCGAACAAAATTATGCAAGTAAACCGGCGCCAAAAGCCGAAAAACGAAAACGTCTTTTAGCAACTGCGAAACAAGTGGCAAACGAAAAGGATAACGCTAATGATGATGTTCCAACACTGGTAGCAGACGACGAAGAACGTAAGATAAAAAGTGGTGGACGAAGTAAAAAGAAAGTTCGTATAAATGTTTAAGAATATGCCTTGTTTTGTTTTTTGTTTTGATTGGTTAATAAAAAACAACCGGGCAGTTTTGCCTTTGAATTCAAGTTTTGTTACTATGCAATATCCGGTTGATCTTCTGATAAGATTCCTTCACTCGTCACTTCTATTTGATTTTTTTTTATATTCATTTTATTGTGCCATTTTAGGTTCACAAAAAGGAAAAGGTGAAATTGATAAAGAGAATATTATGCATCGTAGTGTTAACAAGCATGAGAGAGAGAAAAGAGGAGGAAACAAAAATCATATATATGTAGACATATACATAGATTACATACGACACCCTATAGAAGGAAGAAAGTGGTTACATTTTACAAGTGAATTTTTGAACGCTAGTACACCGACGACATCTGCCGTCGAACGGAGAGGTTCTGACATGTGTATTCGACCTTGTTTTCTATTTCCAATTGATTCCTGTCTAGGCTAATCATCGATCAATGTGGAACGAGTCAAGATATTGGGTTCGAATACGGATCGAATGTTCGTTACATCGTTATTTACTTACTTTCTGTCTTAATGATCACTTACGTTGTTTTGTGTTAACGCTTATTATGCTCGGTTAACAATTCGCTATTATCGTTTTACGACATCAGTAGAATCACCAGTTATCCTGGCTCAAGAAAATACTTATAGACGAAACAGTTCAGGTACAGTGTGTTTTCTTTGTAGAATAGAAATTGACTTTTATGTGTATTCATGAACTCCTTCCAATCACGTAGAGAATGCTGAGCACGCTCGGTTAGTCTTCGCGGAAAGAAGCTGTTCTTCCGGAACCCCATAGTTTTGTACCATTCCTTGTTGTTCGATTTGATTGCACAAAACGCTTGCCAAGTTTGTTGATATTCTAGAGCATCCGGTGCACGCTCCAAGTGAAATGCGAAGCGATACCAGTATGAGTAGATGTAATCGTTGAGACTTTTTTCTCTACTTATTATTAGTGTAGAAAAATCGTCCCATCTCGGTAGCGCGTATAGAATCCGCAAACCAGTGCAAAAGACATGTTCGATAGTTTTCTTTTGGTTTTCCGTTAGGTAGAACCATACACAAAAGATCCAACAAAAATGTGGAAGTGCAAAAGCGAGAAAGATTTTTCGACGTATTGACGTGAGATTGGTAGGTATCGTACGTAGAATTATGCGCATTGCTTTGTATATTTTTCGTATCAAGCGTATTCTGTGACTAATGAATAGACCCCATCCTAATTTCGTGGTTATGTAGACGCCAAGATATTTGAAGCAATTGACATACTCAATATTTTGTTGTTGATACCGGATTCTTGGAAAACTAGGCGAGACAACACTATGAACTAGTAGGGCCTTAGTTTTGTTAGTATTGACTGGTAATAGTGAGTTTGTTGAGAACATTTCGAGCTGTTTCATTACTTCTTTTGCGCGTTCTTCGAGGTCGATTATGTTTAGAGAGAAGCGCTTTTCGAGAGAACCAGTTAGTATGATTGCAAGATCATCCGCGAACATGTGCACGGATAATCCCGAGAAGAGTGATGGAAGAAAGTGCACATGGAGCCTGAATAGTGTGGCTGCCAGCACAGAGCCTTGTGGAGCTCCAATGTGCATCTGGATATTTCTTGAGTGTACGTTGCCAAATGAGATTGAGAATGATCTGTTGAGTAGCCATGAATGAATCCATTTCAAGAGAGAAAGCGGCATACCTAGGTCACTTAGGTTTGCTATCAAAGCCGGGAACCACATCCTATCGAAAGCTGATAGGAAATCTACGAAAATTGCGAGCGCTGGTCTGTTACATGCTGCGACAGTAAGTCTCATATTCTTTATCATTGAACAGATTCTGGTCTGTAGACGTCTTCCTTGCATAAACCCGCTTTGTTCGTCGATAGCGATATTGTGATCATGACACCAAGATAGAATTCTTCGATGGATCACACGCTCGAATAGCTTGGCAACATTGGGTAGTAGAGAAATTGGTCTCAACTTACTTTCGGCAGGATACATTCCATCTTTTGATAAACATATGATCTTCGCAATTTTTCCTGCCGCGAAAAATTCACCACTATCTGCACATTTGTTGAATAGTATCGTTAGTATGTTAAGGTATTCGCATGGTAGCTTTTTCAGCATAAATGCTGAGGTTCCTGCGCTATCAATTGATTTCTTCGGCAGAATTTTTCTCCATTCGCGAACGATTTCTTCATACTTTATTTGCTCTAATGGTATAGCAGGCGTGTAACTAAGGTTTTCAAAAATATCTATTGATCTTTGATGCATTGGATTAGCAACGTCATGTTGCGGCTTTGAAAAATGCGTTTCGTAGTAATCTGCTAGCTTTTCAGTGATTTTTTGCGGATCTGTCAATCTCGCATTTTGAACCGTAAGTCCTTTGAAGGCAGGTGCGTATGGTTTGAACGCTGGTTTTACATATTTCCATATGTTGATGCCCTCGACGTGCTTTGTTCACGTTTCTGGCCAGCTGTACAAGTGAAGGAGGCCACGGCGTCCTGTATTTGTCAATTGTTTTGAATATGCTACATCGGTCGTATAGCGCTTGAAGAAATAGTGAAAAAAGTGTGAAAAACTCCTCTGCATTGAAGTTATAAACGAGCGCGTTCCAATATTCGAACGTAGCAGATAGAAAGAAGGTAAATAAGACTTCTATTTGATTTCTTTGACGTAAAACAGCGCTTTTTCTTTTCTTTGGCATGGAAACTCGTCGTCACAGGAAAGAAATAGTAAAAAAAGTCTGAAGGTTTTTCATTAAATAGAGTTAAGTAAAAGAAAAGAAAAGCATTGTTGTAGATGATGAACTATCGACGATAATGGAAGACGTGCAAATATGCGATCAACAGTTGTTAACAAGATTTTCATTACTACCGGTGTTTTCTTTCTTATTAATATTATATTATTGTTAAGCATTAAAGGTTTTCCTTCGTCTGCAGGTCGAGATGAACTGGTTTGTAATAAATACATTGACGTACTGAAAGAATTCACTTGATTTTTTGCTTAGATTTCACCAAGAGGTAGACTGGTCCATCGAGAACCACCAGTAAATGTTGCTGCAGTGTCTCCATTATCGGTAAATACCGTTCAATTGCTAATTATTCTTTTGAAAATATGCTATTGTGAAACGTAGAAAGTCGATGTTTTGTTACCGATTGTTGTTTTTGCTTGTAATCGGCCACGTGCTCTTCAAATGCATATAGAAGCATTACTCAAGTGTGTCGAAAAAGAATTGTTTTTCTTGGCAAACAACAATGCTATTTTCGTAGGATTCGTAAAGATCCACAATTAAATCCAATTATCGTCAGTTTGGATTGCAATGATCCAGCCACTATTGAAGTTGCAAAAAAGTTCGGCGATAAAATCAAACAAATAATCCAGGTAATCAACTGATCTCTCCTATCAACATTGATCTACGATAGTTCATATTCAGTTACCTAATCTCGGTCCCCTTCATATTGTACCCTCGGAACAACAATTGGTTGGATATTACAAAATAGCACGTCATTACAACTATTCGCTCAATTATGTTTTGAATGTTTTAAACTATGAAGCAATTATTATCACTGAAGGTGAATAGTTCTTTGATCTGACACGAATCTAATCTTTTTTTGGATTGTTTTACAGACGATTTAGAAGTGTCACCTGATTTTCTCAATTATTTTCAAGCATTATATCCATTGCTTAAAGTCGACAAAACAATATGGTGTATATCAGCATGGAATGATAACGGGATCGATAAAAAAATTGAGCGGAATGCCAGTAAGGAAATCAAGATGATGTAAACGAAAGATTGATTCGTCGTGGCTTTAAGGTCTCCTTCACCGCAGTGACTTCTTTCCAGGTCTTGGCTGGTTACTCACAAGAACGTTTTTTAATGAAGTTAAACACAGATGGCCAAGAGCGTTAGTTTGAATTTAGTTTAAATTTGATTGTGTGTGACTTTTCGTTTGTACGCTGAATAGATTTTGGGATGATTGGGTGAGAAAACCTGAACAACGACGTGATCGAGTGTGTATTCGACCAGAAGTTGCGAGAACAGGAATATCACCTGAAGGGAAAAGAGGTGTGAGCGGGTAAGATTTCTTCGCGAATTATTTCAATTATGCAACGCTTTTATCGTTAGAGGTCAATTCTATGATAGTTATTTGAGAAAAATAATTAAAAATACGGATCCAATAGATTGGAAATCGACTGATGTTACTTATTTGATCAAGGATCGATACGATCCAGTTTTTGAATCTCGTATCAATGCTTGTCCTGTGATGACTATATCCGATTTAGCTGCAACTATTGGTGATATGAAATGCGCTCAAATTCGTTATGGTAATGAGAAAGAATTTGTTGCTATTGCTGACACACTCGGGATTATGAACGATTTCAAAGTAAGCGAGCGTTTTTCTTTGTCAATCACGGAGATCGTTTTCGAATGCAGATATAAGTGACGCCATCAGGTTTTTGTAAGAGAGCTTTGCGACAATAGAATGTATGGCCAACTGTGTTTTGAGTCTTTGAACGATATGATCTGTCTTTGGCACGTTTTCTAAATTGGCGACGACTTTGTTCTTCGCACCATTTTCGACAGTCTGCTTTTCTTACATATTGCTTTCGTAAGTGCTCTAAACAGTCACGTTTTTTTGCTTCGAGCTTTGAATCTATGTTATCTTCTTGCTCATTGTTTCGATTCGATTTTTCACGAGAGTTAGTATCGAAACATTCAGCAAGCATCTCTTGAAAGCAATTCACAGCACGATCGATGGTTTGATCGAATGATTTCGTTTTAATCAATGCATTTTGATTATTATTGGTATTTAGAGGGGATGAGATTGTATCAAAACTACTTAATGAAATAGTTGAGAGTTTGGACGAAGACAAAGCAAATGACATCGAATGAGTAATAAGATATACAAGATAAAAAAAAAGAATAAAATCAATATTTTTCTTGCGCCATGATTAATAGGCATTGACTCTTTTTCTTTAGGATAGTGTTGCTCGAACAGCGTACCGAGGTGTCGTTCAATGTCGTTTTGGTAGAGCAAGAGTTTATGTTACTCCAAATAAAATCGCTTCGAAAGGTTATGGTAATCTTACTGCTGCGTAACGTTGATTACAATTTCGATATTCTCTAAGTATTTATTGTGATAAATGGCCTTGAATTTTCTTATTTCATGCTTCGAAAAATGATCTGTGATTTTTATTATTTTTTTTGCTTTTCTAGCTTCTCAATTTATGTCACTTATATTTTGCCATTTTTTGCTTTGTGAACGATTTCAGCATTCAATAAAATCAATTTTCAGAACAGTATATGATTTTTCAAGATATGAAAAAATATTTATCATCAAAAGTAACGCTTAGTGGCATAGCAAAGACCTGGCATGTCCTGGTGCCGCCACACCACCTATCAAATACTGGCTGCGCCACTGGGAGACTACATTGGACACAAATGCCACTCATTGCACGATGCGTTTCGTTTTCTCCCACTAGAACTTATCATGTGTATTGTCGTTTTCTGCTAGAAAATAGTAATCACTGTCAATACGAAAAACATTGGTCGCCAGCCCGAGGTCTCATAAAATTGCAGTGAGGGCGTTTTCACAGACGAAGGTATCATTTGTTCACGACAATGTTCTATAAAATACCCTAGCCAAAAGCGTTTTTTGCAGTATCTGGAAGGTGCATTGATGGTCTGACTCCTGTAGACAAAAAGAAACAGCTAAAATCACAGTTTTATAGATAGGATTTTGTTGCAATTTTTCTATGAAGTCTTCTTTCTTCGGGGATTCAAGATCCTTTTATATCGACGGCGTTTCCAGGATCAATCAGAGAGATTCTTTCTACAGAGAACAATTACACCAAATGGCATTCCTATCTCTTCAGGAAGATCGATTATTTAAATACCATTTCCAGTGGAGGTTAATTCCTTCGGATAAAATATCTTGAAGGAGTGAACATATTCTAGTCGACGAAGAAAATGATTATTCGTACACATCAATAATGGACTTGTCTCTCGATCAATTCCACCGCTCGAAATTTCATATTTTTTATTGCATAATATATCTTAGAATAGGCTTCGAGCTTCCTTGAATGGATTCGCCTATAGACGGGACCAAACGGTGAAACTTTCAGGAACGATAGAACTCGTCAAGCTCTATCGATTGGGTGTCTTATACTGCATTTGAGTGTACCAAAGTGGTAAAACTTACTAATTAATTATTTTGTTATGAAAGTGAAGCTTTTTATATAGTGTTCGTTGAATCTACTTGAAGACGAGAGAAAGCTAGAGGAATGTTAGACTATGAGATGCTTCGGCGTCGGCTACGTATTCCAATTTCTTTTCTGAAGTGGACAGAACTTCGCTTCTTAATAGAAGAGGTTTCATCGAAATTCATGGTGGAAAGTCTCGATGATTTTCGATTAAAAAAGGTGATCCTGACGAGAGTACATTAACACCAACTATATTTATTACTTATCACTGTTATATGAGTCAATTTCTTTCTTTATGTTCAAGCTATTTTTTGCAAATGATGTTGCTACTGTTCTTGATGGTCAAATTAGTGTGCGTTATACTGATCATTTAGAATATTATGCCTCTATTGCAGATCAATCAGTCTTTGAATAGATTTAAAACTAAAGCACTTTTTAGTGCTCGTGCTATTGGTAAACCTAAGTTCACCATTTCAATTGGCCATGATAATGACATAATGTGTTGGAAACCAGATTATGAATATCTCGGATATATTGGGTTGGCTGGAAAGTTTTTGCGTTTTTTCTGAAAATTTTATTTTTATTTTTTAACTTCAAAAATACAGTTAGCTTTCATCAATGTAAGCTCCAGTACTGTTTATGATTTGTTGCCAACGTTCTGGAAGAGAAAGGATCTCGCGTTCGTAGAAGTTCCGAGACTTTTCGACAACGAAATTGGCCAAGTCCGTTTTGAGGTCGTTCTCGTCTTCCAAATTTTTCGTACTCACATAATTAAAAAGAGAAAAAAACAAATGGTAATCTGTTGGGGCTAAATCACGAGAATAAGGTGTATGTGAAAGTGTAATCCATCCTAGCTTCAATAATTTTTCATGGGTTGACCTTGCAATGTGAGATCTGGCGTTGTCATGCAGGAAACAACTTCTATCTTGTTTCACATGAAGTTTTACTGCAACGCGGTCTAATTGCTGACGGTAGATATCACCATTGACAGTGTGGCCAACAGGTAGAATTTCTCAGTGAATAGTTCTTTTGACAAATCACGAAACGCTCAGCATAATCCTCGTTACGTGAAGTTCATTCTTGGAAGTTGCTACGCCTGTTTGTCCAGTCCCCAGTCACTACCAATTGTGCATATGGTTAACATGTAACATCCACTTTTCATCATCAGTAATGAGATCGTGGAGCCATTGATTCCATGAAAGAGTCAACTCTGACTTGCAGCTGACGCGGTGACAATTCATGTTGCATCCAAACACCATATTGCCACATTCTGTCTAATTTCTTTAGGTGTGTTTCCACTGCAACATGAACGCACCCAAGTCGCTCTGCTAAACACCGAGGTCCCCTATACTTTGCCGACAGATCTTTTAGTCAAAAATTTCAAAAGATACAATTCTTTTCGTAACCACATCCTGGGGGAACCGATATAACAGCCATTTTAAAGCAAATTCTGTCATAGCTACGATATTATCATCTGAATCTTTCCTTACACCCTCACCTATATTCTGATCCTCAAAATAATGGTGACCACACAAAATCGGACGAAATAGTTGTCGGCAATGTGATTGCAACCCGCTTTGTGACCACCCAAACGAAATTCATGAAACAAAAGTACCCGGAGCTCTCTAAGAGATATCTTTAATTCTAATTCGACATCAACGTCCATATCCATAATTTTGTTATTGTTCGAAAGAAATTCGTACTCCCTTTGTATACCTTTTAATATGGAAACTTCTGGAACTTTCGTGACTGTTCCAGGAAAATTAAAGAAAAAACGCAAGAACTTTCTGGCTAACCCAATACTTTAAGATTTATTTATTAGCAATAAGTCACAATTTTTCGACTAATCGCTGTCGATAGAAATATAAAGTATATAGGAATTAAGGTATTTTGTAGAGTGCCATCACTCTTCGTTGTAGTAGGATCAGTGCTTTTCGTAGTAGCATCAGTCGTCTTTGTATTAGCCACCTGAATGACAACATTAGCAATACCACACATATTCTTGCCACGTACTATTTGAAAGTAGCCTTTCTGGCCCCATTTTTCACCTAAGCTCATGAAATGTAATAATAATGAATACTTTTCATGAATTTCTCCTCACCCCAACTAAGTCTACCTAGCCAATATGGTTTCCCTGCTTCAGTGCCGTAGCCAATAATTTGTACCTAAGAGATGAATTATATCAATAAGATATAATATCTTATAGCAATTCCTATTCTTTACCACATAATCCACTGCTCCAGAGCATGAAGGTTCATCGTAAATACCTGAAAAAAAAGAAGAACGTTCGTAAAACTAGTAGTATTAAATAATTTACTCCACCTCCACTGTAGGAGCGAAAACCTTTTCCACCAGTATTCATCTCTGCCCAAAGAGTCGATTCTTGAAGCCAAGCTAACATTTGATTTTCATCAGGAGTTTTCATTCTCTTAATTGTATTGAACTATATGATGGAAACATTCATAAATTATTTTTGATAAAAACATAAATGCAAAAACATACTGAAGCAAACGGCTGGCACTTATTTGGTTCACATTTATTCAAGGGTTCTGGATAGTCTGTTTTACGACAAATGCCACTCATGTTCATTATACAGTCAAAAGCATCAATTGGTTGTGGGCAGCAATCATATACTTGTTCAACACTGCCTTGAATGAGTTCACCAGTTTCAATTGCATGAAGACTTTCAACAACCTCTGTGTCAAAACAATTATGTAACTCTCTTAATTAACTATTCACTGTTTACATTTACCAGTGCTAACAACAGCAGTAATGATTGTTCCCAAATAATCATTTATTTTTGTAGTCACATTTCTTGTACGCCAATCGAGTGATTCAGGGAAGTCCATTTTCCTACCGGAGCTTTGAATTGGTATTTTATGAAATTCTTTACGAATTTTTCGTGCAGGCACAATTTCCTATAAAAGATTTAATCTCCTGTTAATAGAAATACATTACTATGAATTACTTCAATACGTCGATCAAATAAATGATTGATTGCCATTGTAAATGTTGCTTTAGGATGCATTTCTCGATAAGAATACATTTGTTTAACATTCTCAATAAATATTTCTTTACGCTCAGTTTCCTCTTCAACAGTTGCATACTGTTTATTATAATCATGTTTGAATTTATCCCATTCAAATGAGAAATGAGCTACGGCTATACCAAATAGCGCGAAAAAAGCTGTGAACTAAAAAAGAATATTAAAGATATTGAAATGTTACCACGAGATAATATCCTACCTTCATCAGCATAGTTTTAAATAAGTACACATGAACTCAGTTTTTAACGTGACAGTGAGAAAAGGAACTAAAACTTAAATATTTGATGATAAAATTGTCATCGTCAACATCACGCTAACAAAAAATGTTATCATCGATGAAAATGTGAAGAACTGTAAAAGTATAAATTAGGGTGAAGGTATAGGTGTGACACTGGGCAAGGTAGATCATGAGAGCGACAATTCTTGAAGGCGTAGATGTAGGTAAGAATACGAGAGCACAAAAAACAAAGTGTGTTTCATAAGCTTCGACTCCTTATCTCAAACAGATCGTTTTCATGATAGTCTTGTATATAATAAGTGATCAAACCATATGATCTTGTAGAGAAAAAGATGGGCTATCTTTCTATGATAGAAAATGTTTTGAGATACATCAATATAAGATAATCATCTAATCATTTTATTCGTTTCGAGTAAGCTGGTTTTATTTTGCATTTGAAAGAAAATGGTAAGATACATAAAATATTTCTCGAGAAAAATATCTAAATTCTTGATAGTTTTATCGTACAAATGTACTTTTCAAAAATCATATCAATAATCACCTTTAGTTATTCGTTGTCTTCGTTTTCAAACAATTGCTTTTAATCAATTGTGTTTATAATATTTGTATTACAAGTATACAGTAAATAAGTAATTCAAAAACAACAACGTTCGATATCAATGTAAAAGGCCATCGGAAACGTTTAACTTGGATAATGCACGTATTGTCATCGCAAGAAATACATAGTTGGCCAGCAAAGAAAATTAGAGCAGATTTGTGGAATCATTATAATCCAAGTGATATTCGTTAAAAGAGCAATTAAACGTGGCACTGTTCAAGACCCTTCGAGATGAGGAAGAGCCAGATCCGTCAGAACCAAATCGAATATTGGAGAACTCGTCGGAAATATTTGAACAACCCATATTCACACTGACAAGCAACAGCTGATAAGGTGATTATTGATATGATTTTTGAAAAGTACATTTGTATGATGAAACTATCAAGAATTTAGATATTTTTCTCGAGAAATATTTTATTTATCTACTATTTTCTTTCAAATGCAAAATAAAACCAGCTTAATCGAGACGAATAAAATGATTAGATGATTATCTTACAAGTAACGCTCGTCGAGCCAGAGTCACTTAGCTCTTTCTCGTAGAAATGTCGCTTGCGGATGTTATATTTTTAATGCATTATTGTGAATATAAGTTTATTTCCCGCATAGATTAGATATTTTCAAGAAATACCAATACAATTAGAAAGATTATGGATGATTACATAAAAGAACGAAACAAAGGAAATACGATACGTAATATCTGGTGCAATGGCTGAAAAACAGACAATTGTATAATAATTAGCATCAGTGTAAATAGAGATAAAGGAAATGAACTTTTATAAATAATTATTTTAAGCTAATTTCAAATTATATTACATTTTATATGCCTACCATGAAACTAGACTCTTAGCAAAGTATCGATTTACACATAGTTACGAAATGAAAGAGGCACACTCTCATTTTGTCTTTTTGTCAAGTTCATCTAGACGTTTCAGTTCAGCGCCTTGAGCAAGAGAAGGTCGTACTGGTAGAACCTTCATATTAAAAGGTCGAAGAATGACCGTGTCTGAAGTGGAACTTGAAAATCGACTACAATTTTGTTCATCGTGAGTCCATGCGCTTCATATGTAGTTGCGTTCGTGTGATTTGAATGACTTATGGAGTTCTTCTCCCATTTTGTACTCGATCGAGCAGATGTCCGAAAAGTTGCCTTATAGGAACAGTGAACTGCTTCTTGATTAATGGAATAGGAATTGGTTCGGGACGAAGGCCATCGAGATTTGTTTCTACTTGTGATGCATTAATTTCTACGAGTGCATATAATAGTTTTTCGTATGTAGATTGTACTTGAGGGAAATATTTCACTTTTTATCTTTAAATCGCTCGGATCCTTCTGATCATCGTATATGAGCTCTCGAAAAATTCCTTGAGTACCATCGGAAATCCCTATTTCACAGGCATGTTTCGTACCAAAGGTAGAAGACCAGAAAGAAATTCAGTCCTGTTTTCAGGTATATGGAGGTTACTTCAAAATTCGTTTATGAAGATCAGCTATTAATTATTACGTCACTAGACATCGAACATAATGTTTTATTTATCATACTAACACGCTTGACTATAGCCGGTATCCTATGGTTATATATATTTTCCGAAAGTCAATACCCCTTGTTTCGGAAAACTAACATCAGATTCCAAGTTTCCGCACTGAAATACCCCTGGAAATGTCTTTTCCGAAAAATCGATTTTTTTTATGTTTTTTTACCCTGTGCACATAAAGGCAAACAAACACGCAAACAATTTATGTTTCTAAGACTCTTCTCTACGAGAAAGAGCATAAATCAGTATATCAATTTTAAAAGAATAAAATTTGAGTGGGCAACTACTCATTTGCCTCTTCTCTGGTTACGCCACTGCAACGAGTAATCCGGCTTTCAGATCCTGCCGAATTCCCATCGAATCCGATTGAGTGTACTCGCTCCGAGCAACCATCCCCTAAAGCGTAATTAAGATTGAGAACCTCAAACTCGACGTCAATTTCTTCTGGTGCAGCTTTGCTTTAAATCTTAGTCGATATGTAGTCTATTTGAAAGGAAATCTTTTCGATCCATTATAAGTATGCGTAAACTCCTTGCTCTTCTATGCTGAAGAAAAGAACATCATGTGACATACAGTAGGATGTCATTGGTGTTAAACATGGTATAAAGCTAAAAATATTCATTGAATTCGAATAGGAATAGAAAAATGGCGGATACTGTGGATAGATCATTATAATCGGCTAGACAACAACAGCTTTTTACAAAAAGACAAGTGGTTTGGTTTATGAAGTAAAACGAGTCTCTATGGTGTTTCAAGTATGCTGAAAGATATAGTTCTACCATTTTGGTACCAAATCAGGGAGTTCAATGGGCGGACATTACTTATAAATTACATATGTGTATTGAAATAAGTTTCAATGTGCACATATTCGTTATCCTGAACTTGGTCTTCGCTTTCGTTGGAAATATTAGATCCAAACTGAAAATTCAACAAGATTTACCGTCAGAAGATGATGCTTTTGAGCGTGAGCGCTCTATTCGGAACAAACGTGGCAATGTATTTTTTCGCGTGTTAGGAGAAGCTTCTGCAACTACTGAAAAGTAAAGAACATTAATTAATCTAAACATGTTTACCTCATTTTGACGATGACAATAAAAAGTGACTGTATACTCAGCTAAAAAGTTTTAATGTTGCACAGTGTGACTTTATTTACTGAAAATAAAATGCACATATCTTCTTTCTTTGACTGTTTTATATATCCGTATATACAAATTCTGTCGATAGCATTATATCAGACTTCGTGGATACCAGTTCTGGATGTTGCAAATTCTACTTTTTATCTACATCACGTAGAGACTATTACTAAACAGTTGTATTCGTTGAGGATGCTGTATTGATAAACAAATGGAGACTAAATGTGCACAAATATCTTGGTTGAAAGTAAAATTATTTGTACTTAGATTATTATACTTTGCATACTTTCAGTCCACTCGATTTATATGAGCGTACTTTGACTAAGTACTGTTAACCCTTTGCAAAAATGCAGTATATATACATACCATTTCAGATACATCTCAAAGCGTAGTAATACTACATGTAAAAAATCGGTCTGGGGTGACTCCAGATAGCCAAAATCCACTTCTCTTCAATGATCACCATCTCGTGCGAGTTTTCAATCACCGATATGTGCAGAGAACTCAAAGACAGGTACCCAAATCAAACGAAATGTAGGTTCTCTTACAGTGCAATGCTTATGAACGCTACGAATATATAATATCTCAGCGCACAGGCTATGATGTTGAATTATGCACAACTAACTGGTTTCAGTTTTGTCATCATTCGAAAGATAGATCTTAGAGCAAGGGTACAACAGCTGCCTATCATTAGATGTCAAATGTACCAGTCCGAACCTGGCTGAGAAAATTTGTCAAACTGGTTATCCTCCGCTTTTCCTACGGCCTCAAATTTGCTATAGTTTCCAGCAGTATAGAGATTTTACATGTAGGCAAACCGTAAACGAAAAACCCTGTTATCACACTAATATACAAACAAGTTCGAGATTATATTCCAGTGCTTTTTCCGCGATACAATGTCGCAACAAATACTTCCCTGATATTTTCCTATGGATCAACACTGAGAGTGAATGGCGCTGATCATAATCGACAAAATAACTTCTTCTCAGACTACGCCGATTGTGGGAAACGATTAGTCTAACAGCACGATTTGATGCGCTACTTTTTTACCATTCTCTCTTGACGGTACCATTTGAGTCCCTTTATAATACATTGTTTCTTTCCAATGCACCACAGAATTCATAGATAACGGATACATACTATCCTCTTCAAAAATAAATTACAAACAAACATAACACTTCATTATCAAGCTCTAAATACATTTAGGCTTTGGAATCAAACATAAAACAGCTGGATAATAATGAAACATCGCTCCCATTCAATGTACCTTGGTCTGATGACTTTGCCTTTGCGAGACCTGATATGTAAAACGCATACGAGCTGTACTCCTGTCAATTCCATTCTCCCATATCTACAATATAGTCGAGCAGTCTGCAGTAATGTTGTCTTGTCAATCACACACTTTCAGAAACAAATTCCAATCCAAGAGAACCTCTCATAAATCCATCATACTATGCCACCTCTTTCATCAAACACTACTCTGTTACACCTCCGTAAATAAAGCATTCACTTCCACTATTCTACATATATTTTCATACAACAAAAAGCATTCTCAATCAGGTCACCTCCACTTCTCACAACAAAATTAATTTTCTATTCCTTCACTACTTCTCACTATCATCAAAATCACACACCAAATGATATCAACTCAGTTCTCAGTAAAAAAGCACCCTCTCTGCGAAAAGAGTCACCAGATCCACTATCCCTTGTTCTCCCATTCAATGCAGCACAAGATCTACACCATATTGACGCTCTAAGAATTAGATAAATCAGATATCCCAAATCTCTTCCATCAAAACATCAGTCTTACTGCATTCCTACGCAACGCGTCCGCAATGTGTTCTGCTGCTTCATCATCGATTCCGTTCCTGCCGAGCTCTAGTGCGGTGAGTGTCTGTAGGTGTGAGACAGACTGAGTACTTCATCTTCCGTGAAATGAGATCAGTATTACCGTGTTCGCTCGCAACGCATCCGCAATGTTTTGTGCTCCTTCAGCACCGATTCCGTTGTCGAAGAGGATTAGTGTCGTGAGTGTCTGTATGTGTGAGAGAGACTCAGTACTTCACCTTCCGTGAAATGAGATCTATATTACTGTGTTCGTTCGCAACACATCCGCAATGTGTTGTGCTCCTTCAGCACCAATTTCGTTACTGCCGAGATCTAGTCCGGTGAGTGTCTGTAGGTGTGAGAGAGACTCAGTACTTCACCTTCCGTGTAATGCGATCAGTATTACCGTATTCATTCGCAATGCATCCGCAATGTGTTCTGCCCCTGTAGCACCGATTCCGTTGTTGGAGAGGATTAGTATGGTGAGTGTCTGTATGTGTGAGAGAGACTCAGTACTTCACCTTCCGTGAAATGAGATCTATATTACTGTGTTGATCCGCAATGCATCCACAATGTGTTCTGCCCCTGTAGCACCGATTCCGTTGTTGGAGAGGATTAGTGTGGTGAGTGTCTGTATGTGTGAGAGAGACTCAGTACTTCACCTTCCGTGAAATGAGATCAATATTACTGTGTTGATCCGCAATGCATTCACAATGTACTCTGCGCCTTTAGCACCGATTTCGTTGTTGGAGAGGATTAGTTCGGTGAGTGTCTGTAGGTGTGAGACAGACTGAGTACCTCATCTTCCGCGAAATGAGATCAATATTACCGTGTTCATTCCCAATACATCCGCAATGTGTTGTGCGCCTTTGACATCGATGCTGTTCAGGTTGAGGAATAGTGCGGTGAGTGTCTGTAGGTGTGAGAGGGACTGAATAGTTCACGTTCCGTGAAATGACATCTATATTACCGTGTTCATTCGCAATGCATCCGCAATGTGTTGTGCTCCTTCAGCACCGATTTCGTTACTGCCGAGATCTAGTCCGGTGAGTGTCTGTAGGTGTGAGAGAGACTCAGTACTTCACCTTCCGTGTAATGCGATCAGTATTACCGTATTCATTCGCAATGCATCCGCAATGTGTTCTGCCCCTGTAGCACCGATTCCGTTGTTGGAGAGGATTAGTTTGGTGAGTGTCTGTAGGTGTGAGACAGACTGAGTACTTCATCTTCCGTGAAATGAGATCTATATTACTGTGTTCGTTCGCAACGTATCCGCAATGTGTTGTGCTCCTTCAGCACCGATTTCGTTTGTGTCGAGCTCTAGTACGGTGAGTGTCTGTAGATGTGAGAGGGACTGAGTACTTCACGTTCCGTGAAATGAGAACAGTATTACCGTGTGCATTCCCAATGCATCCGCAATGTGTTGTGCTCCTTCAGCACCAATTTCGTTACTGCTGAGATCTAGTCCGGTGAGTGTCTGTATGTATGAGAGAGACTCAGTACTTCACCTTCCGTGAAATGAGATCTATATTACTGTGTTCGTTCCCAATGCATCCGCAATGTGTTCTGCCCCTGTAGCACCGATTCCGTTGTTGGAGAGGATTAGTGTGGTGAGTGTCTGTAGGTGTGACAGAGACTGAGTACTTCACCTTCCGTGAAATGAGATCTATATTACCGTGTTCGTTCGCAACGCATCCGCAATGTGTTGTGCTCCTTCAGCACCGATTTCGTTCTTGCCGAGATCTAGTGCGATGAGTGTCTGTAGGTGTGGGAGAGAATGAGTACTTCACGTTCCGTGAAATGAGATCAATATTACCGTGTTCGTTCGCAACGAATCCGCAATGTGTTCTGCCCCTTTATCACCGATTTCGTTGTCCGAGAGGCTTAGTTCGGTGAGTGTCTACATGAAAGGAATATATTATGAAAGGGACAAGTAGCAAAGAAAACCTTTGGCGACACTTCCGAGTGGATATGTGGGATATGAGGTTGTCAGTGAGGGTGAGGGTGATGGTGGGAATGAATATAGGCGTAGACCGAGAAATTATGGAGAGCAGTTTGCTTCGTTTGGGAGGGTTCATCAAAAGTGATAGCTGATGCTCTTTTGTATCGAATAGCTCAACATATGTAGGAGAAAGGCGAGAGAGTGGAGGAATGCTTGATTTCATATGACTTCGCACTGTGATTTTCTGTTTCGATCATATTATTTGTAGATTATGAGATTACTTTCCTCGTCCCATGAAGAAATTTACGACGTTAAATATCATTAGGCTTATGTGTAGTACAGCCGAAACGAATGTTAAGGTGCCATCAAGTAAACTTACTCGATATCGTTCATAGGTGCTGAGGATCTGATTGAGCCGCCGGGAAATATTTTGCATTGAACAAAATAGCGTCTGCTCATTTTGATGATCCATAATTCGATAAACAATTTCGATGGGTAATGTGGAAAATGTGTGCATGTTGTATTTCAATCGTGCAGCAAACCGTACCGTATAGACTGAAAGCGATGAAAAATGTTTGGTTTTGTTCGTTATGAGTAGTAACTCATGGCGGTGATGCATTCATATATTTTCGACGAAAAGAAATGACGTGTAATCATTTCAACAGTTACGAATTGTTGGCGTGCGCAGAAAGATGGCGTTAGAACACGCATGCTCATTGAATTCTGTTTTGACATTTAAAATAGACGTTTCAAGAATTAAAAGTAGAAAATCTTTTATGCCTTTGACTCCTTTGCAAGCCGATTCGATTTTCTTCAAAAGAAATTGGCGTCTGTAAAGTAGTTTTTTTAGCTAAAAAGTATAGTGGAAGGCTAGAAAAAACTCTACAGCTTACATTAGAGATTTATTTTGATTATGTAAATTTTGTTTTCAACAATGCTAAATGCTAACCAGTCAGTTTTCACTGATTTATTTGCACCATTTGACGTTTTTCAATAAAAAAAACACATGACTGTAAAAAGTTTCACGATGTAGTTTGCTGAGAGCTTCATGCAGCATCTCTCAGCGTGTTCGTTTCATTCTTCCCAAGTCTTATTCGATGATAGATAAAAGAAACAAGAAAAAATGATCGTTTGTCAACCTGAAAAACCAGTCACATGATCTCTTATTTCTTTTTGAGGCCACAATATATAAAATTGATCTACAGTTTACCGCAGGGATGACATTAACTTGAACACTTAAAGTTAAGTTAAATTGCCACTCCTAAAATATATATCTGTTTTTTGTGTTGAAGAGTGAGTTAGAACACTCAGCATCTTTTACATAAATAGAATGCCAACTCCCTCACTGAGGTGCTCTAACAATTTGTTGTGAATTCATTTTGATGAATTAATTACTCCATGGCATTTTAGTAAATAAGAAAACCTTCGAAAAAATAAACGCTATCGATTCTCTTCGGAAACAAGGTGTTTAGCTCATCGGAAAAGCTAAGCCGCTTTTTGATATGCCCAAACAGATGGTTTTCAAGACAATCATCAGATCTACAAGAACGCTGTGATATCTTACTTTAAAACACCCGTAGCTCTGTCAACAAATAACTGCCGATTAGTTTCTTACAATACAATAATCATGACATACATATGCGAGCATTTACAACGAAGAGCTAAAATAGTACCCGATTTATTATTTGGCTGTGGAGGATAGTATTTTATGTAGTGCGTGGTATATGTTATATCGTTCCATAGGATTTTACTCTGTGCTTTCTGCAATAAATTATGAAACGAATGGAACTACATTGTTCTAGTTCTTCAGCATCGGTTTTCTTTTGCTGAAATACATTTTGCGCATATAATTTGCCGGAAAATCTATTTTACTACTTAATTGATGAGCATTCATATTCTCTCTTACTAGAATTATTTTCCACGATTTGATTCCGCTGATAACAACAAGTAACGCTCGTCATTAGACTCGCTCAGCTCTTTGTCGTAGGAATATTAATTTCAGATGTCATAGTTTTCATGCATTATTGTGTATATGAACAACAGCTACATTACTTCAGAGTTCGTTTATGAAGATCAATAATTAACTATTAGGTCATCAGAGAATGACGAGAATATTTCATTTACCATACTTATACACTTGACTATACCCGATATCATATGGTTATACATGTTTTTTCCGAGAATGGCTACCCTTTGTTTCAGAAAACTAACATCAGATTCCAAGTTTCCGCACTGAAATACCCCAGGAAATGTCTTTTCCGAAAAATGCACATACAGGCAAACAAACAATTTATGTTTCTAAGACTCTTCTCTACGAAAAGAGAATATTGACGTATCTCAAAACATTTTCTATCATAGAGAGATAGCCGATCCTTTTCTCTACAAGATCATATGGTTTGATCACTTATTATATACAAGACTATCATGAAAACGATCTGTTTGAGATAAGGAGTCGAAACTTATGAAACGTCCTTTATTATCAGTTGACCTCGTTCTCAGAACAGCATACGTAAGAATTAACTGGAAAGCTTATCCGATTAACAGAACTATTGGGTTATATACCTCAATCAAACCCTAGCACAATATTTAACGATTCACAAAGATTATCTTATGAGTAGTGCTCATCCTTTGGAATCACTGACCCTTTTCTGAAAGAATTATAGGAAAAATCAGGATACTCAGATATGGCAAATAGCAAAAACATTGTGGAGACGTCTATGCACATATCAGTGGAAAGGTCACTTCTACAAGAAAATTCGGTAGTTCTATTACATTGTTTCTAAGAGAATGAATTTCTCGCGCATGACAAATAGTTATTTTCAATTTCTCCGGAATTATGAAAAGTGGGGCATCTCAATTGCTACTAATCCTCCGTTGTAAGCATGTGAACAAGCTGGTCATTGCTCTTGAGTAACATAACAATCTACATTAGTTCACAAATCAAATCAATTAGCACTTCGAGAAAATTCAATTAATCCTTACTTTTTTTTAGTTACTCTAAGCCTTTCGAATAGACGCTTAGTCGTTCATCGAATAACAAAGAAGAGATATTATTTTATAAATCGTAAGAATTAGAACATACTCATCTGAAATAGTTTTTAGACGTTCGAAATGTTCTGAACACTTTTCATGTCTGTGAAGATATAAGAGTAAAATTACAATCAGGTACTCCGTTTTTATTCAGATATTTCTGTTAAAAATTCTACTGAAACATCTGATGCATGGTAGTCAACTACGCAACAAATGTCTAATAAAAACTAGCATCAGCATTGTTTATCTTATTCTGACTATTTGAACTACAGTTTCTCGTGATATTCTTACTGAATTCTTCTGAGGAATTCCTAGACGCTTATAAGGGAACGCATTGCAGCTATCGACATTTATCCAATTCCTCGCTTTTTACGAATTTTTAAAAGTGATATATACTATTCTATGTATATTATCCTTTAAGTAGAGGGAATAATTCGAAGAAGATCATCTTTATGTAAAACTCGTCATCACATATCGATAGGAATCGAGTAGAAAATTTAATTTATTCAACAATCCCGAGCCGTACAATCCGGCACGGAATCGGTGACCTTCCTGGCGGGTTAAGCTAGAAATTCACAGAATAGTATATCAGGATTTATCGTCCTAAGAAGTCGAATGACAAAATTTTAACTTGAAAACAATATATCAGATAATCTCGCGTTAAAGATCGGTCTGAGCGAAAATATAGGACGTATAATTTTACATGTCGAAATTGCCTTTCACTTTTTGGCATACGCATGATCAACGTCAGCAAGCAAGACAATATTCTTCTTTCACTCTTTATCGATAAAAAGCAGTTAAAATGTGCTGACTATGCATATGAAACAAATTAATTTCTATCGAATAACAGAATTATACATATTTATTAGATACTATTTTTTCAACAATGCAGTAGATCGAAGAATGACTCCAGACACTACAAGTGTACCTGCCATGATAGCGCACACATTAAGGTAAAAACCGAAATGACGGCCACTGTTGAGCCAGAGCAAAGCTAAGGCAGGACAGAAGTTTCCTGTTCGTTCAACAAGACCAAAAATTGATTCACCAGCTAGTGGACGCATCATAGCTGTAGCAACACCCCAGACAAATGCCCAACAATATACTAGAGGATATGTGGGAGAAAATAAACAGAAAAAACCAATGATAATGTCCATAAAGCCAATAACAGGCATCAGAATTCTAAAACAGATCGTATAAATCGAAAAAGTGAACGAAACTTCCGCAAATAACTACCGAGCCCATTTATCACCCACGCCAATGACACGTAAATAGGGCAACCATGACGGAACAAATCGAGTCGCTAAACATCCATGACCAAAAAATGTGCCGAAAACAGAAAAACCAAGAATAAAAGTTAAGATTCTATCCGATGACATCGTAAAAAAAACAGAATGAAGGAATCAAGAAATGTGTTGTCAAAACAGTGTCGATAAGCGGTTGGTTACTTATCAGCAATAAATATATGAAACAGACGAATGCTAACGTGCGCCGTTAGAGATCAGGCCTTATCAAACACTAGAGGAAAAGTTTGACTGGAGTAATTAGGTTTGAACATCACCGTGTGCATATCTGAAATATGAAATCATTGGATGGATTCTACGTGTTTTATTTTAAATATTGTTAACTGAACCTAACAAATGCTTAAACAATCATGGAGTGGAGAATCTCAAACTATTACCAGTTGTGAAAAACAGTGTGTTTAAATTTTCAAAACTTCAAATTCTAAATAACTGTTTACTCCAGTTGAGATGCTAGAAGTTTTCGATATCATGTGAAAATTATAATATTTTGTATCAAATCTACAGATTGCAGAAAACCTGCAATGGTTAGAAGTCGTCGGACGTCATGATAATGATGATGTCTCTTGGTGAACCGGAGAGTATACTACGACAAACAAATGGTAATAATGTAAAAAGATTTAATTTTTAAATTGATAATAATCCACTTTCTCACAGACAAAAGTTTTGTAAGAACAAATGCTTCGCATGCAGTGTCATTGAATGCTAGTCGAAATTTAAAGAAAAGTGGATCTCTGTTTATTTTCTCAAAAATGGAAGAAAAGAAAGGTAGTAATTAGAAAGACAATTTTGACGAGATAGAAGTGAACGACTGTTTAAACGAACATTAATTGTTTTCTTTTATATATGGAAAGATTGTCAATTGCAACCAACTTCCTCTACCAAATTTAATTAAGCTTAACTTTATTCTATGGGATTTTGTTTTAACCAGTTGAGAACTTCTGCGGCATGTTTGTCAGATGGGAAAATTGGATAGAATACGTGTTCAATCTTATTATCTTTAACAATGATTGTCAAGCGTTTGATTAATGGAACATTATCTAATTCTGCTAAAGTGAAATAGGGTAATTTCAAATGGTTCATTAGTTTCAATTCTGCATCACTTAATAAATCGAAAGGAAGGTGCAATCGGTCGACAACTTCTTGTTGATACTCAGTTGTTTGCGTGCTACATCCATAAACATTCGCACCTAGTTCTTGTAATTCTTTATAATGGTCACGAAACGCACACGATTCTGGAGTACATCCTCTCGCACCTGGAATTGCGTCCCAACCATCGGGAAGCTTCTGATTGGGCTTACCAGTGCGTGGATAAAAGTAAATGACTGTACGTGGGTAACTACTTATATTGACAGTATGATGATTGGTTGTTGGTAAACTAGTTAGAACATCGACGGGAAATTCCATTCCTACATGTAAATGTGCACATTGTCCGTCATCGACTGGCACCGGTAGATTATCAGGTAAATCAAATCGATTCATAGTTAATAAACGACAACCGAGTGAATTCAACAGGCTGTGTTTGAATGCTTTGAAAAGATTCTACCGATATAACATTTACTCTATGCGTCATCGTCATCCATGATAAAGTAGTAGCTACCATTGCGAAGAACTGAGCGATAGTCCTCTAAAGACATTATCCGACACTCTAGATAGTGCTAGTTACTAAAATTTGATTACATCTTAATAAGGAGCATTCCAATTTTCTTGTCTCATCTAAATGTTTGTAATGTAATTAGAAGTTGAGCTCACAATAGTAATCTATTATTGCATGAGTAATTAATCATTATAGATAAACTTCCCCGAATAGTGATGATTAATTGCTATTTTTACATACTATTCGTTAATGTCATCTGGTAGAAGTTAATTAATGTACAAAGGTTGTCACTAATGAATTCATAACAATATTATGCTCGAGGCATATTATCGAGTTTTATTTCATGTATATATTTAGAACGAATATAGAATATCAATGAAAATATTCCAATCACAGAAACTATTCGAAATAACTGATCGGATGAAATGTCAAAGTCATAAAAATGATTACAGAGACAAATCCTCAGTGAATTTGTTTTAGCATTAGTTATTATACTCATTAGAAATATAATATAGTTGCAGAACCCGTTCCGAATGTTTTTCTCCTAGATAAAAATACGAGCGTGAGTCATTATCGGTTAAAATAGTCCTCTTTTTATAATATGCAGAATCTTTTTCCTCATAAGTGACTCAATTGCATTCAAAAACAAGGAAGAGACACGAGTCGCCTCATGCGTATACGTGATTTTCTACAGGAAAGAAACTGCTTTTCTAAAATTCAAAAAACGACGCAAAACACTGATATTTTCATCTTGCATCGTGTGACGATAAACAGATAAGCATCTCGTTTGTTTTCATCTATATTGTAATTCTATTTCGAATATCTATCGGGAAATCACGCTAGTGACAATGCCGACCTAACGCGACATCTCAAAACTACGACAAAACTTGTCTCATTCAATGGTTCTCTCTCTTTCCATTTCGTCGACTGACGTAGAGAACAGAAAAGAACAAACAACTAGATAAAAAAAACACATTACCATAAGAAGCTTAGATTCTTTTATTTCAAGTTTTGATTTGTTTTTCTCAAAGATCGTTCTTTTTGATTTTCTTAGAGCAAAGATTTCACCCCGCTGCCGTGGTAAATTATTCTTGCGACGACTGATACTCAGTACGTGCGCCTTCTTCCTCGCAATGGGACAAAATTTATCGCTAACTAGTTTTTTTCGTCAATTCAGCTCGATTGTAACAAGCAAAAGAACTGAAACTTCGACTTCTTCAGCATCTCCTATGGACGACGATACCAAACGAATTATTACGATCAATCATGGGCCACAGCAAACCAAATTCGTTAGTAATCGTATAAGCACAAGCAAATATTCAATTTTATCATTCTTACCGAAATTTCTCTTCGAACAATTCCGAAAATATTCAAATATATTTTTTCTTTGTATTGCTGTTCTACAAGTACAAGAAAATAGAATTTTTTTCCTGATTAACTCAATCTGATTCGTTCATTTTAGCAAATTCCTGGTGTATCTCCAACGGGAAGATATACAACAGCAGTCCCCCTATCGATTATTCTCTGTTGTGCAGCTATTAAAGAAATTATTGAAGATGTGGTTCGTAATCAAATTGAATTTCTCCGCTGTTTCTATTAATAATATCATTTTCTTAGAAACGACATTTCCAAGATGGTGCCGTGAATAAACGACGAGTTTTGAGTAGGTTAAAGATTACTGGTACATAGTTGAATTGATGATTTCGTATAGTTTATCGGAATGGCAATTGGTTGTATACAACTTGGCAACGAGTGAAAGTTGGTGATATCGTCAAAGTTCTTGATAATGAATTCTTTCCAGCTGATCTTGTTTTACTTTCATCCGGGTTCGTCTAAATAAAATTTTCATTTAATTATGAGCGTTATGCTTGCTTGTTTTCTTTCTAGTGAGCCACATTCAATATGTTACATTCAAACGTCGAATCTCGATGGAGAAACGAATCTTAAAGTCCGACAGGTTAGTATGTTTAGGGAATATTTCAAATAATCGGAGTCATCGTTTACAATTTAGGGTTTACCACAAACTGCACATATGATTTCCAGTGTCCAGTTACGAGATCTATTGGGTGTGATTGAATGTGAATTACCCAATCGAAATCTTTATGATTTTGCTGGCACATTAAAACTTAATAATGTGGCTTTTCCGATTCCACTCGGTTCTGATCAAATACTTTTACGTGGTTCACAATTGAAGAACACTGCGTGGATCTATGGTTTAGTTATTTACAGTGGACATGAAACAAAATTAATGATGGTGAGTTTGGTAAACAAAATGCTTAGTTTCATCAAGATCGATTCTTTCATTTAGAATTCATCATCAGTTCCATTTAAACGTACAAATGTCGAACAAGTGACAAACAGTCAAGTATGTCGAAGAGATTAGAAATGTAATGTTCTTTTCATTTACATTTCGTCGAAATAGATTTTATTCTTATTGGTTTTGTTGCTTATCCTATGTTTATTCAGTACAATTGCTGGAGAAATATGGAATTATCGCAATAAAGCAGCGCATTGGTATCTTGGCTTAATGCGTCTGACAGATGATAAAACAGCCAGTAAATATTTTTCTCATACAAATAGTGGTAGTTATGCATATTTTTAGATTCGATACCAAATCATTTTGGTTATACATTCTTGACATTCTTTATCTTGTTCAACAATTTGATTCCTATATCTCTGCAAATAACAATTGATCTTGTTAAATTTATTCAAGCATATTTTATCAATTGGGTAAACTGAAATTTCCAAAGACGAATTTCCGTTGCGATAATGTATCTTTGTTGATTCAATACAGGATATAGATATGTATGATCCAGAAACTGATACTCCAGCTAGCGCACGAACATCTAATTTAAATGAAGAACTGGGACAAGTGAAATATATTTTTTCCGACAAAACTGGTACACTAACAAAGAATGTGATGATTTTCAAACAGTGTACTATCAGTGGTATTATGTATGGGTAAGAACGAAGAATTGCATGTGATTACAAATCGACATATTTGACTTTTAGATCAGGAAATGTTGCAGAATTTAATAGTTATGAACTGTTGAAAAACTTAGAGTATCATGTAAGTTCGTATTTGCCATGATTGTCTTGCAGTAGATCGACCTGTCATGATGTATTAGTGAAGGAAAGATTATTAGATGTGTGCTTGAAAACACTCGCGTGACGAGAATAGTTGTCTAGGGTGTTTAGTATCAAGACCTGTCAATATGATTGATCGATCATATTTTTTAGACTAGTAGCAAACAAATTCGTGAATTTCTTACGCTTCTGGCGACTTGTCATACAGTTGTACCTGAAAATAAATTGAATACAGATTCATTGAATGACGTTGCGTATCAAGCATCATCTCCAGGTAACACCAATAAATTATGTATGAAGAAGAAGTTAATTTCGGTGAATGTTTTAGATGAATATGCATTGGTGACAGCAGTGAAAGAAATGGGAGTGGTATTCTTTCGTCGTACGCCGGACAGTGTGGTTATTAGCTTTGTAAGTTGAATTGATTTAAATTCTGTTGCTAAAGTTTCGTTTTGTGCAATGTTTAGCGCGGTCAAGAAGAAACATATGAGATATTGAATGTTTTGGAATTCAGCAGGTAAATCTCTGTCTATTCGCCCATATTTTTATGAGAAAAGTTTTATTCTAGCGAGCGAAAACGAATGAGTGTTATTGTTCGTTCTCCCAACAATGAAATCAAGTTATATTGTAAAGGCGCTGTGAGTTTATCAGAAACTTTTCATAGGTAACCATCGAATTTTCTTGATCATATAGGATAGTGTCATCATGGAACGACTTGTAGCCGATGAACCAAATGTTCCACTTACAACAGAACATTTAGAAAGTTTTGCTAAAGATGGTCTTCGAACACTGTGTCTTGCTTATCGAACATTGACTGATGAAGAGTATAGGGTAAATAGAGAGTGAGAGTGAACGGCAAAGTTTGTTGCTTGTTCTATTAGGAATGGCTTGTTCAACATCGGGAAGCGTCAACAGCAATTAATAATCGAAGCGAATTAGTTGCTGAGGTAGCAGAAAGAATTGAGAGAAATCTGATTCTGTTGGGTGCAACTGGCATTGAAGATAAACTACAGGACGTAAGCAGTGATTGTATTTATAAATTCGATTATTATGACAGATGTTCTATTGAAATTTGCAGCAAGTTCCAGACAGTTTATCAATGTTATTGAAAGCTGGTATCAAGGTAATGCTTTTAACAAAGAATACTCTGAAATCTATTTCCTACTACATATAGATTTGGGTATTGACGGGTGATAAAAAGGAAACAGCCGTTAATATTGGTTATTCATGCAAACTTCTATCGGATCAATTGTTGAATTTAACTTTGGATGAAGCAACCCTTGATGTAATTAGAAAGTGTTGATAGATAACGAATGATGGCCGTTGCTTTTTAGGATACGCAACGTCAATTACGTGAACACTGTCAAACATTTGGTGACTCATTACGAAAAGAAAATCTTGCTTCACTTATTATTGAAGGCAAAACACTTAAATACGCATTATCACCATCCTGTCGACAAGATTTTCTCGACTTAGCAATATCCTGCAAAACAGTTATTTGTTGCCGGTAAGAAATTTCGACGATAGACACCGAACTTCGATCGATTTTTCTTGAACTATTCCAGTGTCAGTCCGAAACAAAAGGCTGAAGTTGTTGAATTAGTTAAACAATCAACAAATGAAATAACTTTAGCAGTTGGTGATGGTGCCAATGATGTTGGAATGATTCAAACCGCACACGTTGGTGTAGGAATTATGGGCCGAGAAGGTGTTCAAGCTGCATGCGCATCGGACTATACTATTGGACAATTTCGATTTCTAACGAAACTATTATTTGTTCATGGTGTTTGGAGTTACCGACGTTTATGCAAAGTACTACTTTATTCCTTCTACAAAAACATCTGTCTCTACGTCATGGAAGTAAGTTTCAATAGAATCAGATATGTACATTGCTATTTAATGGAATTGTTTTAGCTTTGGTTTGCATTTCATAATGGTTTTTCTGGACAAATTCTCTTTGAACGATGGACAATTGCAATTTATAATGTTTTATTTACTGCAGCGCCACCAATGGCCTTGGGATTACTAGATCGATGTTGTAGTGCAGAGACAATGATGAGATTTCCGGCCATTTATAAGATGTCTCAAAATCGATCAGACTTCAATATTAAAGTAAATTCTTTTCGAACGAATTGATTTTCTTTCTGATCAACTGAATTGTTTTCAGGTTTTCTGGAGTTGGTGTCTGAACGCTGTTTATCATTCAATTATTCTCTACTTCATGTCCTACGCTATGCTTCGACATGGTATGTCATTGAATTAACTATTCATTGGAAGATTTCGTAGAACATAAATGAGATCACTAATGTATCCGAAGAGAAAAATCTTCTTGTTTATAGATGTTGCTCATCCTAATGGAATTGTTTTCGGAAGTCATCTATTTCTGGGCAATTGCGTTTACACTGTAATTTGAGATTGTTCTTTAGCTTTAAGTCATGCTTGATTACTAACACCCCAGTCATTGGCTGTTTAAAGCTTCATTATCATTTCTAAAGTTTCTACTCCTACTTGACTCTATAATAATTTGCATGCAATCTTCTTATACCTTTGCTTGCTCATTTTTTTGTCCATAGACGTTGCATACAGCAACGGACAAGCGGGTGATTATTTACTCCTAGGCAATATGATTTACACGGTATGTCTGGTCTAATCTGTTGTGCTTTAATCTAATCTCTTGCATGACTCTGCTATATGTATTAATGATAAAATCGAAGAATAAACTCGAAACTTCTTCTTCTATGAATCTTTTAGTATGTTATCTTTGTCGTTTGTCTCAAAGCTGGATTGGAAAGTGATTCATGGACAATGGTAAACAAATACTCAACTGAACATTTTCTTGACCTAGCATTTCTTTTCAGCTTACACATATTGCTATTTGGGGAAGTATTGCTTCGTGGTTTGTGTTCTTCATTATCTACAGTAATTTCTGGCCAACAATTCCATTGGCCCCGGAAATGCGTGGTATGGTAAGTATTCTCTCGGAGTTCACGTTGATGTCTAGATATTCTTACGCATGATTGTGATTGTCTTTCAAGGCAAAGTACGTTTTCTCAAGCATGTATTTTTGGTTCGGTTTAATCTTGATTCCAATAACTGCATTATTGGCTGATTTTATCTATAATTGGTAAATCAAATTGATACGATCTTCTCTCGTTCTTTCTCATTTGAAATTTTTTAACGTAGTTTGCAACGAACACTTTACAAAACTTTGATGCAAGAAGTGCAAGAAAAAGAAGTTGCAAATCAGGATCCGTATGATTTAGTCATGGCTCGACAAACGTCAACCGTGTCGCGTGTTGCAGAACGACTCGCTTTATTAAAAAGCGTTTTTGTTCGAACGCGAACACCGAAAATGTCCGGAATTATTCCTGGACCTTATCGTAAGTCACACACGTTTCTCTTTCTGATCACCGCACCGATTCAATTTTCTTTCTTAGATGGTTTTGCTTTTTCGCAAGAAGAAGACGGTGTTGTACCACAAAATCAGCTCATCCGAACCTGCGACACAAATATTCAGAAGCCCCCGGGTCTATAAATTTCAAGTATATATTTTTTATTCCATATCAGCTAGTCATGCAACTCTTTCGATTGTTGTTGATGAGGTTCATGTTTATCTCTGCCAATAATACTCACATGATAAAAGTAACCTGTTCCTTTTTCTTTCTGGAATGAACAAATCTTATTTATTGATCTGATTTCCTTCTCCTTCTTTGTGGAATTCTCTCTGGCTATTTGTGTCGACATTGTATTCCATTATCTCATTGTTGTTTGTTTTCTTCAAGTCGTCATTTACATATTTCTATTTTTCTTCTACTTTTCATTGGCATTGAACGGCATTGTATTTATTTGTCTATTATACACTAATCGTTGGCATTGAATATTAACATTAAACAGGTGAAGAGAGTTTGAGGGAAAAACAGCAATAGCGGTCTAATATATTGGATTAAAGGCCAAGATTTGCGCACTCCTCCTCAGTCTGATAAGAGAGTTCGAAGTCGGCATATAATCAAGTGCATCTTAGTTGTAGAAAAAAATCAAGGGAATCTTTCAACATAAGAGATAAATCAGAGTTCATTCGGAACTAATTGTTGCCTACTCTCGAGAAAAGGATGATTACGAAAGAAGTTCTTCTTCTTTGTTATTAGTATCATCTGTTTTATATATCAACGAGAGCAAAGTTCAGCTGTTCATAAATGTGATCATATTTATAATAATAAATAAAAAAAACGGCACATATCATTTGCATTCTTCATTAAAATAATCAATTCTATTATTGTTCAATTACAAAATCAGAAGAATAAGAAATGAACACTACAATCCTGAGGCTTCTTTCAACGTATGATCTCGCATATACCAATCGTAAATCTATTTAATTAAAATTCATTTTCTTTCTCTTGTGTCATATCAAAAGTGAGAACATTGATGGACGGAAGACGTGCATTGACAAGTGTAATGTATATAAATACAGAATAAGAGTAGCGATCATGTCACTTGACTCTCACTTGCGGTCCGTCGAGCTAAATATAATGAGAATAAGACAAGACAGACAAGAGTTGTCATTTGTAAACGAATACCGCTGGCTGCACAACTACGGCTGTCCCCTAAAAGTAAAAAAAAGAAAGATTTCTGTCAGCTTAGTCGTTTAATCTTCGACGAATAAGAAGATAAGAACATTTCATTTGTCTTCGACTATTCATCATCTATCAAATTTAAAGAGAGCCATTTGCATAATCAGCTACTCTTTCTCCGTTCGTAAAACGACGATTTTGAAATTCTCAGCTATAGATACTCTACTCATAATGAAGTAAGAGAAACTTTACTATTGAATTGTGTTCAAGTGGATATTGAGAAAAAGAAAGAATGCATGATGCAATAGAATGCAACTTACGAACGAGAAGCTCTACTCTATCTTGAAAACCGGTTGTTTGATCGACACACATATAGGTACCACTGTCGTTGAGGTTAATAGACTTGATTTGAAAGAAATGCTGCAATTGATCGGGTGAATATGCTGTATATCGAGGGTTATTTGAATGTCCACGTTGCCAGATGACGCGTGGAGGTTTTAAGGAGGCACGCGTTTGAAAATACCAATCGAGTTTGAGATGAGACACACGTTCGGGTGTAGAACAATTAAGTACAGCAAAATAATCATCAATTGAAACAGAGACAACTATGACAAATGGAGTACCGGGTGGATTATTACTGTCACTCGAAGTACGTAAACGACGATAACGACGAAATAGACTATCTTCAATACACACTAAAACACAGAAAGACAGGCAATTGTTTCCTATGTGGTTTATTGCCAACACCTGAATCAACTTGGATATTCAATTATCTAGTTGACAAATTATCTTCAAGCAATAGGTCATCTTATTAGATACATTTGTACTCTCACTGATAATACCACTCGTCTGTACACATGTGTGAAAAAGAAGCCAATATCTCTAGTTCTTAACTAACAAAGGAAACAAAAGAATTTGAAAGGTTCATTAACAAGATGATGATGAAGACAAGCATGTATCTCGTCGATAAAGATACTCCACTATGTCTTCATTAACTGTTAAATGAAGCTCACAAGACTATTGTTCGATATGCGTATGTTATGCCGTTAGCACAATAATAGATACAAGAGTCTGTAAAAATATGTTCTCCCTTAATTGTTTGTTTGTACATGAAGAAACCATTTCGATGCGTCTTGTAGACAACAGAACAAACGAGAAAGAAGAAACAAGAAACTTACTTAATCCGAGTAACTCAAAGAGAATGAGCTTAATAAGTATAACTAATCGAGAAGAACCCAACATAGTTTCAATGTTGATAACACGTTTTATCAATGAGATGTTATAAAGGATCGTTCTTTTTCGATCGAAGTCAAAGATTAATACCACATGACCATGTTATTGATGGTAATATTAGCGATTGCATGTAATGATAAAACGACGATGGGATATAACGTCTAAATATCTAGAAGAAAATGCAAGAAAATATATTGTCATATACTAATATCTCTATCGTGTTTCTCATGGTACTTTTCGCTCCACTCGCTCGCTCTTTCCCTCTCGTTTCTCTTATGGACTATGAAGCGAGGATAAATGTTATGACGATGATAACATTCTTGTAGAAAGACAGAGGCCAGTTTGATTAGGACGAGTGCCTCCTTCGAGACAATACGCATCCTATCGCGCGCGCACATACACACACACTATCTTTTCTTTCTCTGCTATATTACTATCGTCTCATATATTCTCTCTTCATACACAATAAATCTCACTATTTTTCTTTTGCTCTCTTTCCCTTCTCTTATTAATCATTGATTTACTTACTTCGAAGTTCTATTTTCTATTTAATTTCTCGTCGTTGACTTCCGGTGTTTTCTTTTATCGTGACAAAGACGACTTATCACCGAGCAATCAACATAGTCTAGTTAGTTATCGAAAGATCTGTCTGAGAGGATTTCCTTTCTTTCGTCCTTGCCGTTCATATAAACACTTGTTTAGTGATTATTATCTCTCCAGGTGTTCCTGATCGAGCCTAGTCCGATTATGCGATCGTCATGTAAAAGAAAAAGACTAGAAGCTGTAGAACCAAATCGATTTACGATCATTATGCCTCTGACAACAATTAACTCGGTTTGATTAACGTACATTTTTGTTTTATGACTTCCGTTTTTCCTCTTTATGACGAGCGTCAAGTGTCGCATGAATGATCCTTGCGTAATCTTCAATCGAATTCGCAGCCTGCTTAACTAAATATTTGCTCTCTTTTCTAGTAACGTCGCACACAAAAGAGGATACGCTATACTGATCAAGCACTTCTATTCCTCATCTATCTGAAAGGTATACGAGTTGTCAAAAAAGTGGTGCGAACAACCTTGACGGTGCGCTTCTTCGTAGCTGACGATTACAAGTCGTAATTACTATTACTATACAAACAAGAAAAGCCGCTTACATGCGCACATTACAAAGAAAGAAACGACGTCTTTACTCTATCTATTTTTCACCCTCCTCACTCTCTCTCTCTTCTTCTTCCCCGATGTCTATCCTTTCTTTCTCACTAGTGCGCATTTGCTGAGTCGTCGAACCACTTAATTAGCAAATGTAAAGGACTTCCGTTTTTGTTTTGAGTAGAGCGAGAATCAAGCATGCTTATTATGGAAGGAGAAGAAACACAGTGAAGCGCAATAAAAAGGAATAGTAACAGTCATAGTTATTGAATGAACAGAGTCTGATAACAGAATGAGAAGGAGAGAGGGGGAGAGAGAGAGAGAGAGAGAGAGAGAAGAAAAGGAGGTAAAAGAAATCATGTTTATATGTATTGTGTGACTTTTTGGTCGTGCTATTGCTGTCCATCGGGGAGAGAAACGTGCAATGCTTACGAATAACGTAATAAAACAATTCACTACAACAATTTTCTTGTAGTCTTCTGTTCTACCAATCATTTGTTCATGCATTTAACCATTCTCACAGATTACGTGCGTGAATTTAGAAATCTTCAGAGATTCGAAGAATGCATGAATACAAGAACTTCTTTGTTCATCACTTGACAACAAAGTCTATACGCATATGAGGACAGAAAATGTGCCAATTGACATCATCAATCATTACTTACGATGACGAACAAAAATCAGCTTTGTTCTATTGTATATCTACTTATACCATTTAGAAAAGGCAATAGATCAGAAAACTGACAGTTTCTTCCAATTAGTCGCTAGCAAAATTGACAAGACAACATTAAATAATCTTATTACCTCTCATTTATTTAATCGGTTTACAATACGTATCTATCGAGTTCGAATTTAGGCGAAAAAAAAAGATTCTTCTGGTCAATTGGATTCGAAATGATCTCGCTTACTTATGATAAAAATGAGTGACATTGACAGACTCGAATAGAAGGTTGCTTTTGTCTCACTGTTAGGGATGGACATCCATAGAAGATGAAGATGATGACTGTTAGAACGGCGTCGATAGAATGTGCGCAACGTTGAACACGCAAGCAAATGCATAATAAGGAAACGCGTTAAGAAAAAAGTTGAATGAAATCATCTCAGAGACAACTTCCATCTCGAAGGAGAACTTCTCGTCTTATATGCGTTTTCTATGTCGGTATTTATTTAATATTTTCCTTTTCTTGTTCGTGTATGAAGAATGAGACAGCGAGGAAGAAAACAAATCTCTCATTTGCTATCTGTTATTTTAGTCATGAACAATTGACTTGATAATTACCATATCTCGATATCGTAACGAGATAATTGTGACAGTTATAATAAATCTTGAGGAATTTCTTTTCAATCGATGAGGTATTATATACTTATTTGTCTATTCTGTTAATGTTGCGTGTTATGTATATAGAAGATGATGAGTTCGTTGAAGAATTTTCTTTCTTTTGATTTCCTTCACTGAATTTCTGCTCTACCAACACCATCATCATCATCATCGATAGTAAAAGCTTTTGGTACTTACGCCATTGATGATACAAAGAGAAGAGAAACTAAGAGGCAATGACTGAAAGTGATAATGAAGCATGAATCTATTGAGAACATAATGGAGCGAATCACTAGTTATGCTGCATTTCTTTCTTCTTCTCTTCAGCCATTAAGCATCGATTGAGTCGTCATCGACTGTTCAAGGAGATGATGAGACGACACCATCATCATCATCACTGTCAAATAGAGAGCGATCAGATAATGTGTGTAAATTCGGCGCCTTTATAGCCATAGTCTAGCAGAAAAGAACGACAAGTGTCTATTGAATAGTTCATTTGATCATAAGTTGTTCAATCAATAGCCATAACTGATCTATTCACATCAGATAAAAGTGTCCTAGAGTTCTACCGAGATCGATAAAAAAACGAAGACGATTGATTACAAAACAAACTTTCCCAGGAACAATGGATACATACTACGATAGTAGTAGTCATTTTTTCCCTTCTTTCTTGGAGGAAAAGCCACAGGGACGTTTTTTATCACGAATAATAAAATTGCTCTCTTGATGTGTGTGTTGTGATATATAATGACATCAGTAACTCAATACTAGACGATCCATAAAGTTTTATAAGACATTTATTAGTCAAATAACTGTGATTACTTTCAAGAACTAAAAGAACAATATGATTTTGATTGGTTTCGTTCGATTGACATCAGATTAACTATGAAAATGTTAGAGGAATATGTCTTGATGATTTCCACTTTATATTAATCAACTGAACTTCTATCTAATTATATATATTGTAAACAATCTAGAAAATAGAACTTGTCGAAAACAAATCTCATGCTTAGAGCTAAAACCCAAATCCCTTGTTTTCAGCGTTTCTGATTTATAATATTATAATAAGAATTGCGATTCCAGCAATTAAACTTAATGACGAACAACCAATGAGTAGTTTAAAGTTGCTTGTCATATTTTGCAAGGACCATCGAGATGGATTCCATCTCATTGGTGGGCGTTGATAAGTGTTTACATTAGTATTAATTGTTGTTGGTAATGATATATTTTGTTGTATTGTTGATATACCCATTGTCATGGAGTCTGTATTTTCAATACCGGGAAGAGCAAAACATGATGTGTGCTTCTGGTAGGATAATTGATCGTCTAATGAATTCATCTTAGAAAACACCACTGATTTCATACTTGTGTCAGTGTCACATATTGGTATTTTGTTATTTATGTCTACTGCTGATCGTTTTCGATTAAGTGATAACGAATGGTCACGATCTGAAATGTCCAGTGTGTCCGTACTTGTTAAGTCAGTTAGATCGATTTTCACTGTTTCGGTTAGTTTACTGTTACTACATGTCAAAACAGTCAGAGCAGTTGTATTTGTTGCTGTGTGTGTCAATGGAGTCAAATCATCGGAGACAGCAGTTGGCTTTGGTAGACTATTTATAGAGTAAAGATATAAAAACGATTGGTCAGACGAAGATGGATGAGTTTCGTGCGGTTTATTTTCAACTGGTAAATTTGAAATTGCGTTGAACAATGCAAGAGGCATTTGATTGGCATTTTTGTTACTTCGTGCAACCGCTTTTTGCTGGAGTATTTCACGCTCACCATCAGATTCATCATCATCATCATTGGTGATATACTTGGGAACTTGTTGATCCTGCTGGTGGCGGCGATGATGCCTTCGATAGGATAATCGAGTACGTTTCGAACGATGAACTGTTTTCATCTGATCGATAATTTTTTATTTAAAAAAAGTTTGTTTACAAGTGAAGAATAAGTATACATGAATAGAATTCGAGACAATGAAACGAAATATTATTTTGATTTCTATTCTCAATTCAAATCAAAAGCGCCAATCACAATTTATTGTTGATTACTTCTTCGATCATATAAATCCCACAAGCGAAGAATCCCATAAACAACAGATAAAGGTATGAAAAGTGCAACAAACCATGCTATTGTAGACATTTGACTCGGTTGGATTGTTGACAAAAACGCTTGCAATCGCTTGTGTAAAACATCCTTCGTATCACTATTATCGATAACATAACGCGCTCGTCGGCATTTTTCCTTTATATTCATTTGTGCATTTATACGTTGTAATGCTTGTTGGTCATCTTGAATATTGTCGCGTCGTTTCAAACGTTCTAATTGCAACGATTCATCGCAACAAATCACTAATGTATGCGATAGATATCTATCAAGACCAACTTCGAATAACAGCGGTACATCCCAAATAATCAAAGAATGGAATTGAAAGAAATGTTCGATTATTTGTTTGAGTGCTTCCCGACGAATAAAACCATGTGTACATTGATTTAGTTGTCTACGCAACTGATCATTACCGAAGATAATCTCGCCTAAACGTTTCCGATCGATTCTCCGACTATTCGATTCGAGAATGTTCATATGACCGAAATGCTTTAAAACTAGATTGTAAGCTGGTTGATCAGGTTCAACAACAAGACGAGCAATTTTATCGGCATCAACGATTGGAATGCCTTGCGTCTTGAAATATTCACTTGCTGCCGTCTTACCAGTGGCTATGCCACCTGTCAAACCGAGAATTAGCATAATCAAAAAATACAGACGTGATTATCTATGAGAACAAGGAAATAGATTTATTCAAAAGAATCTTTTGCCGTTTTCATTATGTGGATTTTCATCAACTATCTACAAAAGTAATTGGGAATGAAAATGTGGTGGTGTACGAGTGATTTTTTGCATTATCTATAGCGAGATGTCATAAAGAATTGAGCAGGACGAAAGACTGGCAGAGTTCGTTGATATCTTTATGCACAATCGTATAAAAAATATCGATTTCGTTATATTCGATGGTATAAACTAGGTTTTTTTCTTAAACACGAATAAAAATAATGAGAAAATGCAAATCGAACAGAAAGAAAAAAGAGAATCGAAATAAAGAGTTGTTTTTCAGAATGAGAAGACACAAACATGCACGCAAAAGAAATGGTTTGAAAAGACCTAGGGAAAAAAGCACGCAAGATCCAGAATGCTTGGTTGAATATTCATTTTCTTTGAGAACATTGTTTATGGTCATTATGGAATATATATGGACACACACACATCGTCATTAGACATCAAACGGATCAAAAAAGAGGAAGTGAATAAGAGAATGCATGAATAAAGAATTTCGTTAACAATTGAACGCGAATGAGAGCAAGAGAGAGAGAGAGAGAGAGAGAGAGAGAGAGAGAGAGAGAAAAGTAAATGAGTACCTATTCTTCCGTAGTAAAACCTTTCTTTTGTCCTTCTTTACGTTCTCGGTTTAGTTCGTCGACGGCTGCTGCTTCCAAAGCTCGAATATCTTGCATAGTTAAGCCATACCATTCATCCGTCCAGCAGAACAATTGTCGATGGAAGTTTCGAAATAGACGTTCTTCTTGAGACATAATCAAATTTTCTACTTTTGTTTGAATACCGAACCATTTGAATTTTTCTCGAACTAATTTATAACAACACCTAGAACAAACGAGAAGAATGAATACATATTCATCCAGATTGTAGAGAAACATGCAATTTTCGAGAAGGTTTTCGTGTCACCTTGACGAATGTTTTCAATCATACGGGTTTACCTATTCGATCGTATCCGGCTGTCTGACGTCACCGAGCTCGGAGAAGAAAAAAACAAAGTACTTACATATACGGTTGACAAGTCTTGAACCATGGTTCGGTTGAGAGAAGTGGCCCTCGACCAGTTTTGGCTGATTTGAACTTTTCTGGATCATCTTCAGGTTTATAATCAGCACGATTGACTTTTTCAGCAATGTTAATATACACAATATTACGTTTCTTCAATTCATCGCCTGTCAGTTGATGTACATTTTCGGATTCGCCACGATCAGCGACATGTAATGTTGAAATATCAATAATCATATTGTCTTTCATGAATGGATTCGTCAGCACGGTTTTACAATATGGATAAGCGTTCCAAGCTTCTTCATTCAATGATAATGTAGAATCCTTAAATATTAAACGAACCCAACCAGGTACACGAGATCCTAAGTGATAAATTTTTTTCGTATATTGGCCAGTATTGTATCTGCCAAGGAATGCTTCCGACATGGACTTTTGAAATGGTTCATTAGCTAGAATTTCTACACCTTCGCCGCCGCCTGTGTTCTGTTTCGAAACTTTTGCTGTTGCATATAACTGTGCCACTTGATATTCTTCGACAGTCATCGGTAGGATAACGCGGAATTCGGTGATAAGCATTGTTAAATATGGAAGGGATGAATAAATATAGAAATTATGAAATAATCTACAATGAAAAAAGAGTATTCGATCCGTTCAATTGTTTAAATTCAAGTAACATTATTTATTTATATGGAATGATCTGTTCGTTAATCATCATTTGTCGTAGCAACACATATATGCGCTGCAGAAGCATGTGTGTGCGCCTCTGTCGGCTACACGAATAGTAGGGTAATATGAAAGAACAGAAATAAGTATTTGCGCTCATTTTTTTACTTCGCCTTTTTTTCTTCTTCGCTCCCGGCGGTGTATGTAAGCGATTCGTGATGTATTTGTCTTTTCTACTCTCTGTCTCTCGATTCTTCTTTTTCCTGCTCGCTTAAGCTTAAATGACTCAGACGTGATCAAGCATGTACGCAGCTAATACGCTTTTCTTGAGCATTTCACTCCCATAGAAACCACCAGAATGCCTTACACAACCTTTCAGTGTTGCAAACAGAAACAAAACAAAGAGATAAAAAGATTTATATAAATAAATAAATATGTGTGTATATGTATATTAGATTTTTTGGTTTCCTTTTTTTTTTTTATTAAATATGAGCCCAACGGTATTACACTGTACTGCTACTACTGTTATTGATGTTGCTATTAGCTGTAGTAACAACGTTCTTGTTCTTGTGATGAATTAGGCTAAATGATGCTTGGGAAAACAAAGACTTTTTCTAATACAGATCACCAGTGACTTGAGACACCAGTGTTGCCTGCATTAGATGCGCTCCATTCGTTTGATTCAGCACCGCCTGCACCACTTGCACCACCTGCGCCACTGGTCCAGCCATCGGTAGCCGATGCACCCCAGTTTTCTTGGTTGCCGGCGAAGTTTCCAGCAGCTGGCATCATTGATGGACCTTCATCGTAATAATTCGAGTCTAGACCATGTCCTTGGTTATCACGATCTTGACCGGTAGAAGCAACTTGATCTTCTTTTTCAGTCTGAGAGAAAAATCATTTTATCATAACGGAATAATCGTAATGTATCATGATGTTCTTACTTCTTCTGGATCACGATAGAAGAACAAGTCAGCCATAACGTCCCAAGGTGCATTTCGTTGGACATCACCACGTAATCGAAGTACTTCGCGTGTTAAAAACCACCACATAAGACCAATTGATTTATTGGCCTAAAGGAAACGTTATCGAAAAAAAAGAAATTAAATCGAGCGAAGTCATTGCAAATTACCTTGTTATTGGCTGGAATAGCGATATCAATATAACGAAGGCATGTTGATGGATCGCAGAAAGCAATAACTGGAATATTGACAAATGAAGCTTCATCAACAGCTTGATGATCGACATTTGGGTTGGTGATGATAATCAAACGTGGCTCTTTGAATGCTGCTTGAATTTGATTGGTGAATGAACCAGGTGTAAAACGACCAGCTTGTTAAAACAAAAAAGAATTCAAGCTTATACTTTCAAATATACTTGTAAATCAATTTAATTTACCAATGGCTGTTGCGCCAGTATATTTGGCAAATTTCAATACAGCACGTTGACCTGGAAGTTGAAAAAGAATGTTGTCTCTCTTTTGAACAGAATAGATTCATTTCTTACCTTGTGGTTGACACGAAATGGCGCAGACATCAGCTGGATTTTCAATAGCAACAATAGCTCGAGCAGCTAATGTTAGCTTTTCCCAGAATTTGCGAATATTGATGATTGATGTACCTTAAAGGCATGTCATGGCGCTTTTCAATCGTACCACCTTCAGTTTTACCTTCATTTCTTGGTTTTTTCTTCCAAACATATGTGTCCATTTGATAGTCGACATCTTTGGAGCCAATATGAAGTTGAGCTGCAAGGATTTTTAGTACATCATCATCTTTTAGTTGAAGTACGGAGTAGCCCGATGTCATTTTTTGTTTTCTTTTTTGGTGATCTAAAATATTTTATCGAACCTTCATGAAAATATCTTGGATGTTAAAAAAGAAGAATTAATATTCTCCTCAAATCCGAAACGACGAAGACGGACGATAAAGCGTATACATTGGAATTGGAGTTGTAAACAACTGATACCGAATCCAATTGGAGAACAAACATCAACATAACACTTACTTTCCTAATTAAGTTTGCCAACTATAAATTACGCTAATTCAACTAGAATTTTCATCTAATCATGTCTACTTCAATTCTTGCTCATTAAGTAGGCTTATAGATGGCGCTAGTCTCTGCATCAATCTGATCATCAACGTCCAGCTGGCTATTGTTCATACTAAGCTTAAGCCCTGACATTTCCATAATTCATACTTTCAGTTCCACGAAAGCAAATATTAATCACAGCACTGAACTTTACAGAATATACACTCATCATTCTATACTGGTTAATCCTTTTGTAAATACGAAATCTATGATTGATGAAATATTCATTAATCCAAAGAAATCTAATTTATTTAGTTAAATTAAAAAATAGTTACAAATAAAGCACACATGCACTACAAGATACACATTTCTTCTTCTCTTAAATAACAAGTTCGTTTTTCTTCGACCAACTTTGATCTTTTGCTTGTTGAATTGCATTGTTCAACCAGTGCAGCCAAATCGTGTATTCACTTTTATGTTCGAAGCGTAGACGCAAACGCATCATCTTCACTGATGTATTTTTCGATGATTTATTTGTTGATCCAGCAATTACAATACGCAATTCTTCATTTGACTGATCTTCTTGTATATGAACGACATTTGCCAGTGAGAAGCTCGTTGAAGACGATGACACATTTGTTCCATCAATGTGTGTCAAATTAAGTCGTCCATTTAACAAATCAATTCTTTTCTAAACCGAAATGGAAATTTAGTCTTTGAAGATCGGATCATTTGTAAAGACGTACCGGTGTCCAAGGTTCCTTATTCATACGCTGAAGAACAACCGTTGGTAAAATTTCTGATTGTAATGTTGTATCTTGTGATGTTTCCAACGTGACATTCGGTGCGTAGTATATGGATGATTCCATTGTTGATACTGTATTATCATGTTGGTTTACACCTGATGACTGAAGAATCACATTCGCTTGCCGTGTTAACAATCTCACATCTAGAATAATTCAACAGATGCATCTTGTTTTTTCTTACTCATTTTGGTCAATCTTACCTTCGACTATCTTCCAATCGATGCTGTGCGTCACAGGTGGATGTTCGATGATATATGATTGCAATAGATCATTAATATTACAAATATGTTGCACTGGTAAGAAAATAAATTCAGTAATCTCTCGGACGATGTATTCCATTGGAATCTACAAAACATAATCTTTTATGGTTTGTTAAGATCAAGATTTTCGACTTTACTTGTAAAAAATAGGCAATCTTATTTTGATATTGTTTCAAAGCAGTTTGTGCTTGTACACAGCGTGATAAATAACCATTATACGAGTCAATCATTACGCCGGACTAGAAAAGAATCGTTTCGTAGAAGATGAATTTTTCATTCAGAAAAGTCACACATACCCATGATTGATAAATAACCGACACTGGTATATCTGACATATTTTCACCATCTAATAATTTTTCACATTGACGAAGAATGGATTCGGAAATTGCAGAAATCTATTTACAGAGAAAAGAGAGCTTTTTCTTTTTCATTATCTCCTTCAAATTCTTCACTTACTTTTTCGATATTTTGGAAAAGATCAACGATTTCATCGGGATTTAGATATCGTCGTAAAGGTCGTGAATACTTGATGATGTATTGTTTCAAATGCTCATAGTAGATCTTTTCATACGAGTAGATGTGTTCCAACAAAGTTTCCGTGTGTTGTGTAGAAGATGAAATAGTTGTTGCAGTTTCGGAAAAGCCACTATCGTATTTCTTGATTGCAGGCATTGACATGTTCGTATAATAAATCGATGATGATGACGATGACGAGGATAACAATGAATGATTTATTTTTTCTTTCGATTTTTTCATTTTCTTTTCATTGGTTTTATTCAATGATTTCTAAACGAACAAAATAGATCAAACATGGAAGAATATTTCAAGTGGAAAAATAGATCAATACTCATAGCAAACAACAACAGAAAACAAATTATGACTTCTATGATCATGTTGTGCTTCACTGAACCTTTTCGTTCAGATTCAAAAGCAAAGAAAATCAACCGAAACATACTCCTTTTTTTCTCATCTGTACTCTAAAGGCGAATTGTTCTCGGAGTCAAAATAATCAATTTTTAATGGGATTAATAGAAACTTGCTTCGCAACGATCAAGCGTTGATGCCTTTCTGTTCGGATTGTTGTAGGATGACTTACTCGTTGTTTGGAGCTAATGCCACTGGTACAGCAGAATTTCATGTTTTGATATGTTATTGAGTCGGAGGAAGGAATATGTTCGGAGAATGGAATGAAGCTCTATATATTGAAAATGAAGTGTGAACAATTGGTAGAGGAGAAAGGCAATCAACCAATCATGAATAGAGAAAAAGGAAAAGAGAGAGAAATTAGTCTATCGATTTAGATTCGTTTTCTTTCAATCATTCTTTTCATTAACGAACTGACCAATGAATATTCAGCGAGGAGAAAGAAGGTGTAAGAGGATAAAAACAAGATTGTTTGATCGATAACCATCTTACACGATCTCTGCACTATCAAGATCTGATCCACATGTCTAATTCTGACTGAAGGCGTTAAACAAAAACTTATGACAAGTTCGCGTCGTTAATCTGCTGAAACCTCCCCTCCTCCTTCTTTCGTGCTTCGATTTCGAGGATATTTTATTCATGATATGCATTGTTGTTTTTCCACATCCGATCGCTAAATGAAACGTTTTCTTTGCTCTCATTCAATGTGCGTATAAATAAATAAGGTTTGCTTTAAAATCATGGTCAACATTGTTATATACATATTCAACGTGATGATTGCATAAAAGTTTCTGTGTATACACGGGCTTCGCTTCAATACGCATGAACAATAGGAAGAGGCGTTTAATCTGAAAATCAAACTTGATCAACATCTCGATTTGCATTTTTTTTCTGTTAAAGTGTGTCATTATATCAATTCATGAAAAGAAGAGAAGAAAAACGTTAGTCGATAATCTTATCAGATTCAATATTTGCAATGAAGTTCGTTCGAGGTGGAAGATTATTCCGGTTGAGATCATTGAATATTGCAATGGCGGCGATAAGTGCTCGTCAATTAATGATATAATAAATCTAAGCTTATTGTCTTTTACTCTGGTGAAAGAAAACGAAGGAGAGACTGATGCCTATCGGGCATCTTAATCGATGTTCAAAAATGCACAATGAAAACTAGTTTGCTAATGATGCCAGAGGACAAAAACGAAAAGAAATGCAGGCGAAAGGCGGGACAGGAATGATTATCAAGCATGAGAAAGAGTCGAAAACGATCAACAATAACATAACGGTGCGAAGACTAATTTGTTAAAGCTAGTTGAGTCGCATCTTAAGGTGAGCAACGAACGAAATAGATATTAAAGAGAAAGAAAAAAAATCGAAGTTCAAATACACACAGCAGTACATCCCGCTTGTATCAAACAACGTGTTAAAACGAATTGATCATGGATTGATCTTGAATCAATAAAGAGTACTACTCAATTGTTTTTCTTTTCAGGTTTTTCGATGAATTAGTATCAGTATATTTGGAGAAAATCTTGTACTCATTTACGAAAACAATCCATTGAATAAATCATTCATCTATACTTAATGGAAAAACTCTTCTCAACGCGTTGATTCAATCATCAACAGACAAGGAGAACTAATTGTTCGTACTCGCACTTTCGACGGATATACCACACTACTAATTTGTCTCCTACACAGCTGGCGAAACGTCTATCCATGACACACTAATTTATCATCATTGAAACGAGAATGAAATCACATAGCGAGATGGGTGGAACCATGAAGCTAGTTCACTTTCGNTACTTAATGGAAAAACTCTTCTCAACGCGTTGATTCAATCATCAACAGACAAGGAGAACTAATTGTTCGTACTCGCACTTTCGACGGATATACCACACTACTAATTTGTCTCCTACACAGCTGGCGAAACGTCTATCCATGACACACTAATTTATCATCATTGAAACGAGAATGAAATCACATAGCGAGATGGGTGGAACCATGAAGCTAGTTCACTTTCGTATGAATACCTGTTGGGAAAAAAATCATCGAGGTATTATCCTTGCTTAATGATCTATACCTTTCAGTATGTTAGTGAATAGCTGTTTAATTTGACAGCATCGTTTCTGTGTGGAAATTTAAAAACGAAATTTCGTGTTTAGTGCTAATGATCACTGACGATGTCGAGATAAGATTTAACTTTTTTTTTTTTCGTTTTGCTTCGTTATCTTGACAAGACTATGTGAGTATCGAATGTTGTTATTCTAGCGTTTAAAGCAAAAGAGACTCAGTAATTAGTGGAGATGAAAGGTGTGAACATTCAACATACATATTGCACATGCCTACCGGGGTATTTAGTCATTGTCAATGTGATTATTACGACAACGTTCGGAATATTCAATTTCAACAAATCAGTTCGAGTTCAAAGAGAGAAACACACAAGTCTTACACAATCGTTTCTTTCTTTTAAAACACAGAAATTGATGACATGAATAAACATAGACGAAATATGAACAGTGATTCACGCATTTCGACAAAATAACGGATTTCCATTTGACGCGTGCCCCGTGTGTTTTTTTTGTCTACCTTGTCTATTGACATATTCATAAATCAAGATGAAAAGACACGAGTTGATTTGATTTCGATCTTCGTCTGTCTCCGTTTTGTTCTATCTCTTTTCTTCTTATGCTGATTAGCACACGTTGGATGAGGTGTGAAAATTGGTGTTGTTGTCATTTGACTCTCTTGAAAAACAGTCAAACGTGAAGAGAGGAAGAAGCCCTTATTGCAAACATTACAAAACATACATATGCGCGTGTCTGTATGCATTGTCAATCTGTTCGATGTTCAAACAAATGAGAATAAAAGAAAAAGTCAAAATGTTTGTCGGCATCAGACACTTGAAATTTTGATGAAGAAATAATATCAACGACGAAACATCTTGTCTCTAAGAGCAAGCGAAGATACCTTCTGTTCGTCTCCATTGCATTGATTNAAGAAGCCCTTATTGCAAACATTACAAAACATACATATGCGCGTGTCTGTATGCATTGTCAATCTGTTCGATGTTCAAACAAATGAGAATAAAAGAAAAAGTCAAAATGTTTGTCGGCATCAGACACTTGAAATTTTGATGAAGAAATAATATCAACGACGAAACATCTTGTCTCTAAGAGCAAGCGAAGATACCTTCTGTTCGTCTCCATTGCATTGATTCATCATCAAAGTGTAGTCCTACTTGATCGTAGACATGTTTTTTAAACGAAGAAAGTGTTTTCTTCGTTTGAAACCGTTAAATTCCCTGAACACAGATGAACTTTTCGTCATGATCCAATCTATCGAGGGTATTTTAGTCGCGCATCGTTAGCTGATAACTCAAGAGGATATTGCACGATGACGTAAAGATGGAGCGTTTCATTTGCTCTCTTGTCGATCATTCTAAGTGGCCATGACAGAGAATGAGCAAACACGCGATTTGAGTATCGACACTTGTCGATGCGCTGAGAGTACGGAAACGATCACTATCGATTGTGTCTATCTCAATCTACTTGAAACGTAATGCAACATCGTTTTGACAAGAGCATAGATCGTATTCATTACGTGGATCATTAGCAACCAACGAGTAAAAACGAACGAAAAGATAATGCAATGACTCTTTAATTAGGAGAATACAAAACGATGTGATTTACGATGGATACTCATCATTGTGCTTATCTTCAAGTATGTTATCGTCAATATTGGATGTCGAACATGAGCGAAAGGAAAAATGAGAATTGTAATAATGTCTCCATTTCTCTTTATGAGATTGTCACAACAATTTCCCAATTTAAGTTCAACTAAAACTCTCAGAAACTACAATTGAAAGCAATGTGATAAGATATCAGTAAGAAAGAACATCGTTCTCAGATAATGCCTATATGAAAGTATTTACTTACGACTAAATGGATATGAAGAATGGCATGGAAATTTGAGTAGGGGATAAGTCAGGAATCAAGGTGACAATGATGCCTGAATCAATTGATTCGATGAATATATTATAACATTAGAAACATTCGAATTGTGTAAGCATTTTCTTTGATGACGTTTTTCTAAAATAAACAATGAAGCATCTCAAGCGAAAATTGTTAAACACAGGACAGAAAGTTCATTGTTGGAAGATGATTTTCGAACTATTCGACATATGTCGGATACACCAAAAGCATTATCTATATAGCAGCTGAATTGAAGAGCATAGCATTCGTCTTTTTGATCTTAATTTATCGTGCTCGACTGATAACAATCTAATCTTTTCATTCTTGTTAATTATAACGAGTAGTTGCAGTGTCTCACTGAATTTTTATTGTTTTTTCTTTTCACAGGAATACAAAGACGCAAAAAAGATATTTTCCTCCTCTAGTCAAGCAATGATATACACATTGCATAGAGTTCTTGATCATTTCCTGTCAATGCTAGACATTCCTTCAATAATCGTTTCAATGCTGGCGATGTTCGTACACGAGATACAATAAATTGCGTGAATTGTTGATCAGAAGTACGAGGAAGTTGTTGAACTGTTTGAATAAGATGAACACCGAGACGACTTTGTACAATTGAATTGGGAAAGATTTCGTTATCGATTGAAATTAACGAATATATCGTTGTCCATTCAAACCATTTCAATTGTTTTATTCGATTGTTCATCTAAATAGAACAAAACGAACTCAAGTTCTTATGAAAATTGAACAAAGTTCTTTGTCATACAAAAGCATTTTCAATTCGAATCCATAATGCTTCAATCACATCATCACGATGAACTTTTAGTTGTTGGAGATGATTGATAATAATCTCTCCATATTTGAATGTTCGATTAGCATCGACATCTGTAATCTTCTCTGTGACATAGCCATCGATTTTGAACGAAGGAAAGAGAAGTCGAAGGAGAAATAACGAAAATTCATTCATCGAACATAGATTTTCGCCATGACGATCAAATTGTCGAAGTAAAATACCTAATAGCAAATGAATACTCTCAGATTCTAACCAATACCATTGGATGTATTGTTGCAAGCTTAATAAACATGAATTATTCAATGGCTGTTTTGCATTGATGCCATATAACCATGTAATTAATAGACGTTGTTCGATACCAGTGCTGACTTTCAATATCGCTAGAACGATTTACAGAAGGAGAGAGTTGGGATAAGCAAAATCGGTTTTCTTACCGAAATAATCGATCCAAATATTGTTGAGTACGATCGAGAAAGGATCGAGTTCGAATGAGAAGATTTGTGTCATTCGTTCCAGGATGTCTTTTCGTTCATTCTTATTGAATTCACTTTCCGATGAGCGTAAAACTTGAAAAACAAACCACACCATATCATCTGCTGGCAACGACGTAATCAATCTAAACATCAAAGATACATTTGGATTTTCATATCCTACAATCGATTTTACTGAGGATCCAATTTGGCTATTTTCAATGAAATACTATCACAAATGATTCGAAAAGCAATTGCATTTGTATGCAGATCATTGATCGATCTTTGGATGTATTTCGAGATTCCATCGATACATTGCTGAATGATTGCTATGAAAGAAAACTCCGTGAAAATCGAAATGAAAAGTTTTTGCTTACCATCATCTCGAAAGGATCGAATACATTTTTCGATGTAATCTAACGTATCTTTAGTTTCATGAACATTCAAATTTTCATTGTTATTCAATAAATCGAACATATAGTTAAGTAAGGGTTGCATTTGATCAGATTTCAATTGAAATGATGATTGATTTAAATTTTTCGTTATTTGCTCTTGTATTCGAGGAAATTGCGTCGATAATAAATCAATAATGTGAATGTTTAAACGTCGAACAGTGAGATTCTTCTGTTGAACTTGTTTCGATGATAAAATGTCCGAACCTTGATGTTCATCGAATGGAAAGTTTTGTAGCAAATGTTTGTGTATGGATGATGAATGCTGAGCAATGATAGAATGAAGTTCAGTGTAATGTTGACTTGATAAAATCGAATTCATTAGTCGATGAAAGATACGTGTACAACACCATAGACATGATAGAGCATCGCGATGATGATGACGATCACCAAGATGAATACGCATTTCTGACCAGAATTGAAGGAGAACTTTCAAAAGAAGATCGAGTACACGAGAGAGAATTTGGGAATCGGAACGAATTTGAAAAAGTTGATCACTAAATCAAAAGACAACAATTGAAGAACAAACTTTTATTTGTCTTACACAAGTCTAAATGGTTTAAGCTTTGCTCTGTGTAACTCATCAAATAATGTTCGATCCTGTCCGTCATCTTCATCGGTATCTTTTGTATTCGGTTGTTCGCTATTATATTTATCAAATATAATATTCACTAGTTGTGCAATACAATCAAGTAATCGAGCATGTCCACTATTGCTTCCTGCCGTTGTTGAATCGATTGTGCTGATGAATTGCCGTTCGGATCGACTTGTTTTCATCAATTGTTGTAACAAACTTTCCAGAATCGATAATGCATGATTTGTCAATAAATTCGATGAATAAGTTTGATGAAGAAGTAGTTCAAGTACAGGAACTGATCGTTCACGAATATCATCGTTCAAATGTGTCATTAATGAAATTAAACGTTGAGAAATTAACGACATCAGTGGATCCAGACTTTCAACTGGTTCAACGCGTGAAAAAATCGTCTTCAAACATTGCAATGCTGATCGATAATGACTAACACTTTCCAATGAAAGATAAGATGTACAACTATCCATGAGGGATTGCAATGATGGTAACCAGGAGTTGATTTCATCGTTTTGTAATCGTGTTTTCAACGCATCGAGAACAGCTAGTTTTTGTGATGCTGAACCTTTGCGTAATCGAAGAAGAATATCTTGTATTCTTTCAGGTGCTCCGTCCTCACGTAATTGTTCACGAATGAGGATAGCTTTGGATTGAAATTCTAATTTTGTTTCATTGACACCTTTAGGACGAAGTTTACCAGCTTTGAGTTTGACTTTTTGAAAATCTTTTTGCTCTTTCTTCTTTTTGGTTAACCCTTTTTTCACAGGAGGTTTATCGCGAGCTTTCGTTCCGAGTCCTTCATAAGTTTGATGCTTTTTTCGAGCCATGAGTTAACGTTAAATGATTCAAATTGAATAGACAAGAATGTCTGTTCTCTGATTGGTGGAAATTTCGACGAATGAAATAACGTACGCATCGAACTTTTACTGTGGAAGTGACTCATGGTAATATAAGTAGAGTGCATTTTTCGAGAAAGAAGTAGATTTCACATAAACGTACGAATTGACACTAATGAATGTTCCATAGTCAATCGTACAAGTCAATTTTGAAAAATACACAAACAATTATGTAAATGAAAGATAAGAAATCGATCAATTCTAATAATTTGTTTAGTAATTTAGTGAAGATACATTCGAGAAAAGTGTCAACTCAACCGATGGAAGGCATTAAGTTCGATAATTTAGCACTGAGAACTCTTCCGATTGATCCAGTCGAAGCAAACTATGTTCGTAGTGTTTCTGGAGCATGCTTTTCAAAAGTAAATGTCCTATTTTTGCCCATCGTCCTGTTCACAGGGAATAAACCTAGGTCAAACCAACTCCTGTCAAAAATCCTAAATTAGTAGCATATTCAGCCGATGCTCTAAAACTAATCGATGTTGGCGAAGACGCTCTGAAAGTATGTGTCCAATGAGAGATTAATCTCCTTCCATTGAGCATCTTTATTAATCTATTAGGAAGAAAAACAATTGGCACAGGTATTCAGTGGCAATGTCCTTCTACCTGGCATGGATCCTGCTGCTCATTGTAATTTACCTTACATTCCATGATTGATCATCTTTGCTTCCACCCTTTATAGGCTATTGTGGTCATCAATTTGGTTATTTTAGCGGTCAGCTAGGCGACGGTAAGTCTTCGTAATAACTAGTATATCCTATATTTGTTTCCGATTTTCAGGTGCAACCATGTGAGTTTATATGGACAACCATACTGGTTCTAATTTGGACATATTTAGGTATCTAGGTGAAGTTATTAATAAAAACAATGAACGTTGGGAATTGCAATTCAAAGGAGCGGGAAAAACTCCCTATTCTCGAACAGCAGATGGTCGTAAAGTTCTTCGAAGTTCGATTCGTGAATTTCTATGCAGCGAGGTATATCATTATTACGCTAAAGAAGAAGTTTTCAATAATCGTTTGATCTTCTAGGCCATGTACTATCTGGGTATTCCAACAACACGTGCTGGTACTTGTGTCACTTCCGATGATTATGTCATAAGAGATATTTTCTATGACGGAAATGCTAAACAAGAACGATGTACCATCATTACACGTATCGCTCAAACATTTATTCGGTGAGAGAAAATATCTTCCAGGAAGTAATACCTTTATATCAAATTGCTAGATTTGGTTCGTTTGAGATATTTAAAACACTCGACCCAATGACTGGCCGTAGAGGTCCATCGCTCGGACGAAATGACATACTGAAAACTTTGCTGGATTATGTCGTAGCAACATTTTATCCAGAGGTAGAACTTTTTGTGTGGAAATGCACGATTGTGTTCAATCGATTTCGAATTTAGATTGAATCAAAGTACGGTTCCGATGATGAGAACAAGTATGCAGCATTTTTCGAAGAAGTGGTCAAGCGTACCGCTTCACTTGTTGCACAATGGCAATGCGTCGGATGGTGTCACGGCGTACTGAACACTGATAACATGTCAATTGTTGGTGTCACCATCGATTATGGGCCATATGGGTTCATGGATCGTTACGATCCAGGTTTCATCTGCAATGGTTCAGGTAAAACACAAATGTAAAATAAAAGATGTTGTGACATGTCAGGATGTATATTGCAGATGACAGTGGGCGATACTCATATAAACAACAGCCACCTATTTGTAAATGGAATTGTGGAAAACTAGCCGAAGCAATTGCGCCATTTTTACCCATACAAAGATCCAGAGAAATTTTAACAAAATTCGATGAAGAATATGAACGTGTCTATATGAACAAAATGCGACAGAAGGTAAACGCCATATGTTTTCTGTTGTTCATTTTTAACTTTTAAATATTATTCTAATTTGTATTCAGTTTGGTTTGATAAGAAAACAACTAGAAACCGATAAGTAAGCAAATCGAGGCACTTCATTGATTTGACCTGCATTCGATTCGTTAGAGAATTATTCAATACATTTTTGAATACTATGGAAAGTACCGGTGCCGATTTCACCAATTCATTTCGCGCATTATCATTGATACATTTGCCAAATACCAAAGACTTCGATCAATCGGTTCAACTGTTCATCTCAACAATTCTCGATCAGTGTTGTGACGCTGAAGAATGGAAATTTGTCAATAAATCATCTATAGACGAGAGGTATTAACGAAAGATTGAACTGCAAAACATAAGATTATTTATCGTGAATAGGACGTATGAATTGCTTAAATCACTTGCTGGAACCAATCGAGCGTTGTTAAGTCAATTCGGTTTCAGTCCTGAATTACTCGAAAATGAAAATCTTAAAAGAGAAAAAGCAAAAGAACTAGCCGTATGTACACAGAGTTGTATTTTCCTATATATATATAATTGTTTGCATTTCTCTTTGTGATAGAATATGACGAATGAGTCAAAACGAAAAGATGATGAAAAAGCATGGCGAAAATTTCTAGACATGTACATCGAAAGACTAAAGAAGGAACTGGACGAAGATGACATTGAGAAATTGAATTCAGAAAGAATCAAAATCATGAAACAGAATAATCCAAGGTATGTAATCGAGTAAAATAAAAGGTAATAATTCAGTCATTAAAATGTGCATGATTGACGTAGAATGGTGTTGAGAAACTATCTTGCTCAGCGTGCGATTGAACAAGCAGAGCAAGGTGATTACTCCGAAGTACACAAACTTTTTGAGGAATTGAAACATCCGTATACTGGTGGTGACCGCGATACAATCCAATTAGCAAAACCAGATGAAACGACAACTGGTGCAGAAGCTCTACCACCCACAACTGACACAACACAAAAACGTGAATAGATGAATGGTTTCGAATGAGAATATTCATTTTTTTTCTATTTGTAATTAGATGCAACGGGTGCTTGTTTAAAACCAACAAACTATGAATCCAAAGCACCGTCGGGTGCTTGTCGCATTCGTGTTACCTGATCTTCGTAAATGCCAATGATATCGATAAATCATTGGCAGTTCTCTCTGTATACACACATCGATATTGATTCTAAATGATAATTGAAATGTCAAGGATCAGCTGTTGATTACCATTTCGATTTGAACATATCAATGTCATGTGCTTTACTCGAGCTAATCTATTCCCGCTGTATAGGTGAAAATAAGCCGATTGAATCCTTGTTCTATGTTGTATCTTTTTACTTCTTATGTTTTGCTGATTTATATTTTGTAAAGCAAAAGTTGTTTTGTTTTCATGAAAATAAACTCATTTTGTACAAAAGAGAAGAAGAAACTGGCCATCGACATGCAGAAAACGATAAAAAATATGTGCTAAGAAAAGAGAGAAAAAGAAAATAGAATTTGAAATGGAATGAATGAATTCAAGTCACATGACAAAAGTCTCAACAAGAGCAAGAAACGATGAAAAATTGAACTATACAAATTCAAATACAAGAAACAAAAACAAAACCAATCACCGTTAAACTACACCGAGATCATAAGAATCAATCTATTCGATATAGAATTGGTTTACGAAGAAATCTTTGCTGGTGTGATTGGATTCACTTCTTCATTCGAGTGTGCATCCCCATTCGATAAAACTTCGTCTTCACCTGTCTCGGCAAGAAAATCAGCAAAAGAAACAACTGGACCACTATGCCCAGGTGTTCGATTTGGTGTCTTCGGTGAACTCGACAATGCTTCGAAACCATTGGCAACCTTGACATCTGTTCGAAGAACATCACCTGTTAACGAACTCGCTCTCCGTGGTGCTATCTGCGATGTTTGAGTTGTATATGAACTGCTATGCGTATACTGATATTGAGATGCTAATTGTTCATTGTAAGCATTGGCTTTAGTTGGACAAAAGTATCGACATAACCAACATCGAAAGCCACACCAACAACAAAAACGTCGAAAGATAATTTGACGAAATGCTCGTCGAATGGCACGATTCGAAAATGCGTACACAAATGGATTCAACTAAAAACTCGAATATCAATGCAATTAGTTTTGACAACATGAAAAAACTTACAGCTGAGTTACAATAACCGAGCCAAAATGTGATTTTAAACCATGCGTTTCCTGTGTTTTCATCTTTTATGACACGATGATCTTTGAGTATGGCCATCATAGGTAAAGTAACAAAAAACGGTAACCAACAAATGAGTAATGCACTTAAAATAAGGCCGAGTGTGCGAAAAGCTTTCTTTTCGCGTTTGAGATTATTTAATTTACGTCTAATGATTAATAATTCATCATTGTGTGATATTTGACCACTGTGGTGATTGTGATGATGGAGATGTGGAAGATGAGGTAGATGAGGTTGAGAAGCACGATTGATCGTAGAGGAAATACGTTTGCCAAGTGAACGACGAACGTTCATGATGTGTTGAGCGAGAGATGAACCGGAATGTACAGTATCATCATCGAGATTATTATTCTAAAGAAAAAGTATTCTTAGTCTATGTTGACCGTCTAGATCTAGTATGAATACGCATATTTCTCAAAATCGAAAGGGTAAGCGAGTTGATTGAAAATAGGTCGTTGTGATCATACCTTAAGCTCGATGTAATCTTTTTTTGATTGCATTTCTTCAAGACTACCATCTTCGTCAGGAACCGTTCCATTTTTCAGAAGGGCAGTTGCGACTTCATTTCGATTCACATCTGGAATACTCGAATAACATCGTGTAGTTCGAGGTGTTTGACTTGGCGAACGTTGATCAACAATAGGATTATCTGTCGTTAAACTATTCGTATTCGCTCGTTTTCGACGCACGTGGTCGGATGCAACTTGATAATCGATTTGATAAAGACGACGTTTCTCGTTTTCTAATTTTTCGCCTTGCTTCTTTGCTTCTTGATAAACACGAGAATAGAGTATAAGAAGAATAATAACCGGAATATAAAACGATATCATCGATGAAAATATTGTATAAAACGTGTTTTTGTTCACTTTGCATGTCTGGTATACTTGATCGGGTGTCAGACCCATGGATTGTTTTCCTCGATCAGTCAAGCCAAATAGAGGTACAACAGATGTTAATATCGAAACAGCCCATACAACAATGATCAAATAAATTGTTCGTCGAATATTCATGATACTACTGTAAATCAATGGTCTCGTTACACCTAAATATCGATCAATGGAAATGGCCATTAAACCCATAATGGATGCTGTACAGCAGAGTACATCAACAGCTAACCACGCAGCACAGAGACCTTCTCCAAATATCCAACGGTCGTTAAGTAATTCGAGCACAGATGATAGTGGTAATACAAATAAACCTAAACGAAAAAAACATAAATAACAAAAAACGCATGCAAGATAGGAATTGAACTTTACCAAGTAAAAGATCAGCAACAGCCATATTCGCAATTAAATAAAAGGACGGCGAGTGAAGACGTTTGTCAAGATAAAGCGCTAATAGTACCAGCGTATTACCAGCCACTGTAGCTAATATAAGTATAACAAATCCAAAACATGCTAACGAAGAAATATCAGTGGTTTTCAGAGAGATACTGTTCGTCGTAGCAATAATTGTTTGTTCAACGAATGAATACGAATTTGTGGTGACAGCAGTTGTTGTCGTTGTTTCGTTGACCATTCGTGAAACGTTGTAAGTAAATATGACTGGAGGTGCTTTGTGTGGAATCTCGTTTGACATCGTCACATCATTTCGTAGTTTATAATTAAAAAAGTTGTTGTCTCATGTCTATTATATAGAATTGAAAGATCATCTAGAAAATAATCAATTCACTCGATATATGTCGGAAATGACGTTTGGTTTCTATAGGAAAAGAAAAGGAAAGAACTCTGTAATATTCTCTTTCACTTTCAAAAGAAAATTACTATTCTGAAGCATTTCTCACATAGTCCCAAACAAGACGAGCATCAGTCATTTCTGATATATCTAGCATTGATTAACATAGGAAAGCTTATATTTCTATTTTAATCCATCCTGGTCTGATCGATGTCAATGTAAGCAATGACTAGAGCCAACTGAATATTTCGTTTCTTTTCAAAGAATGATGTGAAATTCATTGACTAATCTTTCTGATTAAACGAATTTGTATTTAGAAAAGAAGATTTCTCTCACCCTCTCGACTTTGTATTAACAGACGACTTTTTTTTCTTTTTTTTTGCCAGAAATCAAATAGGAGCATCTTTAATGAGAGAAACCTCTCTCGAGACGTGACGAAGCGAATCGAACAGAAGCGAAGAAAATAATCAAATGACACTTCTGTCACCCTTAATGGTGACAATTCAGAAAGGTCTACGATGGTTGTCTAAACAACATTCTTTCCCTACTTTTAACTCCTTCGGTCTACAATCATTTGCGCAAAGAACTGATCGTAGCAAGAACAAGAGAGAAAAAAACAAACCATAAACATATTTGTCTTATTTTATAACTAATATACTTAAATAATCTAAAGACATTGACTGTGAATTCGTGTGCTTGTTTCATGATCTCATTGAACCTTCTCATGTTATTTAGATTGAATATCCATGGAAAATAGATCTCTACCTGGAAAGAAACACTCACATCTAACATACCATTGAAAGAGAATTAATAATGTTTGTTTTCTTTTCTTGTCCGATAGATGAATGATCTCAAGAAGCGTTCCTCGATGTCTTAGTCGAGAAAAGATCAACTTGAACTAATTCGATTTGAGAATATTCGAAGTAAATATTCAAGGTGAACTGCATTGCCTGGGGGGAAAATGAATGGCCGGAGAAGTAAAATAGAAATAGTAATCGTAATAGTCGAGGTGAAAAAGAAAAGAATAAGATAAGTTATATGATTGACATTAACAACAAGTAGAAGAAGAGTGAGTGTGAAAAAACGAACGAATGAAGGCAAAAAGAAAACAAATGTCGTATGACCAAAAGTAGCAGAGAATAAGAATCAATTCAATCTATTGATGGTGATAGACACGAACACATCAGATCATAAAACGATAAAACTATGCATGGCAACCAACGAGCCCTTTATTAATATTTATTTACCTTTCATGAATATCAAAGCGATCCTTTTCCCAAATTAATCATTTATTTTTCGTGTAGGAAAAAGAAAAGAAGGAAAACTGAATGTATGAGAGAGAGAGAGAGAGAGAAAGGAGGGGAGAGAAGAAAAGCAACAAAAAACGAACGTTTTCTCCCGACACTCTTGGTCTACACTCTGTTCTAATCGATGTAAAAGAAAAGTGATACGATGTAATAGTGCCCTTCACCCATCTGTTCGTTCCCTTTCGAAATTGTCACATCATTCAATTGAATCTCTAATGGTTAGCTCAAATTACCATCAATTTTACTTGTATTTATTACTGAAATGAAACTCGATACAGATATTTTTCTCCTCATTATCACATACAAAGAGTCCTCACCCTTCTTAATTCACTCCACTGCTTACGGAACGAGTTAATAGACTTCTTCTAAGACGAAATCATATAAAAGATCGGTAATAATTCGACTCTATTATAAAAAGAAAGAAACAAGAACTTGCCGCTCTTTATTCTATCACATCTATTGACAAGTTACTTCTTCTTTGTTGAATGAACTCATAGACGTGTAAGTGTTTTCATCGAATACGTCGAAATAAACAAAAGAATCACTTACGTTTATGTAAACTAGCTCGTTTAGACGCAATTTAAACATATAATAATATTGTCGTTCTCTTTGTTTTGCGTAGTATACGCGCGTGGCGAATACACTCGTTTTTTCGACGTTTACCAGATGGTACAATAGAAATGACTGACAAACGATATGCATATGTAAGTCTCATTGAAGAGATTAATAGATAATAACCTCTTCGAAAGATATAATTTTCGAGTTTTCAAAGGAATGTAACATATTCCGTTTGTGTAAACAGATAAGCGAAATAACATTATAAATCTCTATTTTAAAATATATAATAAGTCTATCGAAATACTGTCTTTCGATTCTTTTTCTACTTTTACTACACCCTCAAAACAACAAACAATCAACAAATTGACCTTTCACTATTTCATTCTCGTATTCGCAAAGGATAAGTATACGCTATGTATACGTTTTTTTTAAAGAGAGAGAAACGAAGAACATCGCCCACTTTGTTTAGTCTTTCGTCATTGATAAATGTTGAAAATCTAGATTACCTTGTCTAGGAGATATGAGTTATTGGAAAATTTATACGCATCTTCAAATTGATCATCTCCGAAGTGTAATTGGCAGTTAAGTGACGATAGTTTTATTCGTTATTTACCGTCTATACGTGTTTTGATGACGAAAGCAACGTATCCGATTTGCACGTATTAATCAACTAGACACGTATTGATTGAAACAAAGAAAAAGTCGTAAGATTGAAGGATAAGAACGATTAAGTTATGATGTCTATGCTAATAAGTCCCATAAGGCCAAAATAAGCAACGATCGAAGATATACTGACACATTTTCTTTTCTTATCATATATATATCTAATGATAAAAAGAGAAAATGTTTCGTATATGTACATGCTTCACATAAGAACGTCCTTTCACATATATATATATATATAAAACTAAAAATAAATGTTCTTTTACAACGAATGTTGATTGGAACGTGTTGTATCTTTCGAACAAAAAAGGATTTCGATGTGTGAATTTAAAATTGCTTGTCTAAGGTTGAGTAACGACACGTACATGCTAATTCTTATATATAGAATAACAGAATGAAGATGATGACGTGCATTATATTGTCATTTCAATAAAATTCATCTACGTAGTTGCAAAATCGTCTAAATTCGCAAATGGCACCAAAGCAAACAATCATTTTAATAACATATTTTCGCTGTAAAATGCAAGATGGAGTTCTGAACGATACCAACTGTCTATGTACTTCTCGAATACCATGACAATAAGAAACATCTATGAAGAAGAACTTGAGAAAATCATGAACATGATTTTTGAGAAGGAGTTGATCTATTATTAGCTGAGAAAGAATTCAAATCCCAAAATGCGTCATCATATATCCGAAGAAGAATGTGCTTTTCTTAGTATCATGTGAAGTTACGGTATGTAACATGACATGAAAGGAATATATTTGCTGATAAAATGAATCGTTTTCAAATCAAAGATTAGAATACTCTGTAACCTTTGAAGCAAGAATATTGTACAATGAAATGCCATTTTACGTCTAAATGATTGATAATTGCTTTTGACCATTTGTTTTCAAAGCAAGTAGAATCGAATGTAAACACAGATGTATCTTTTCAAACTTAGAATAGATAGTATCAGGAAGTGCATAAAAAACATTCATAGATTTCTTTCAGTTGATTATCTTCTTGAAAAATATAACTAAGCCGGTTTTATGGTCAAGTTTGATCTTATTGACGGTCAGTCGTTGAGCCAGTATTATTGAGTGCTCTCCTTAGCCGAACTGGTTGTTGTTTGAAAATGTATTTCATAAGAAGTAATAGTTCTTTTCGGTAGAGATTGGCCGTGAATATGTACACATAACAATCAATCTAAGATAAAACAAAGAACGTGTGATTAATTGCATGTTGTTAACGGTTTTCTTTGGGGAAAAACAAATTCGGGTCTTCGGTAATAAACGCCGAAGAAAGAGATTAAAATATTTAATCTCATGCCTTTTCCTCATGTTTTTGATTAGAAATGTCTGTGTAATCAAAGGAAAACGCGGATCCATTGTATAGTGATAATTATTATTACTGATAGTAAGTCAGAGATAAAAGATTCGCATTCGAAATCTAGGATACCATAGGAAAATCATGGAATGTACCAACTTAGTTTACTTTCAAAAGTTTCCATATCTTCTTTTTAACGATCTAGGTTGTACTTACGGCTTGACTGATGTTCAATGTTATGATAGTAACATCTTGGATGAAAAGAAATGTTGAATTTTTCAAAAATGCTGGTTGAACTGCAGCAAAAATTGATAGGATATGATATGGCATTGCCAGGCAAATATAACATGCAACATGTACGAATAGTATTAACAACAATTGCCCGTCGCTACGTTGTCGTTTTCGATCGATTTTAGTCGTGCGGATCATGACTGGTTGAATTCTTTTTCTCTGCATTCGAACATTGTAGGTTGTACCTAATCCAAAGATGATAATGATTATAACACCGAGGAAATAGTAGGCCGCAGCAAATGAAGAATAAAATCGAGTATAAACCCCTGACATCGGTTGACATGACGAATCGATTATTGTGTAATAAAAGGGAGTATGAAGGAACACTAAGCAGGATAACAAAGTGACGCCAAATACGACTAGGTATGCGAGTTTAGGACGGGCACTCAGGCGACGGATGTTCACGCTTGTTGAACTCGAACAGTACCGATCAACAGTAACGCAAGCTATGAAGTATGGAGCTAAATCATAAATAACATTGATAAAATAGAATCGAAACCGGCAGAAAAACAACGAGTATTCCGTAGCATCTAAATTATGAAAGGCGTGACCTAACCAACGAGTTGTTGTACCAAACAATAATAGTAAAAGCCCATTTATACCTCCAGCAAGAAAATAGATTGAACACGAACGATATAACACTGGTCGTGTAAAAATATAAATATTCGCTATATTACCAATAGTGCCAAAGACGATAATTACAGGTAAGATGCACGTATGGAGATAATAATCGATTGTTACTAAACTTATATTAGCATTTGAATCAATAGAGTCATCATAGGAAACATTTTGCGACATTCTGAATGTTTGTTAATAAATTTAGTACAAGGTATATGTGTTGACTTGTTGACCTACTTTGTCAATAACCTTATTATACCAATCTAAACAGATAAGTGACATATGCTAGTAGAATTTCGTGATAGACTTCGCTGTTATTCATTTGAATTAATATTTCTAAAGAGAAAAACATATCGTTATCTACACAGAGTTTCTATTAAATATGACACGGCATTCTGAATAGCAGTGTTAAGAAAATGCTTTGAATACGACAGGCCCTCGAGTGAAGATCTTTTTTCTTTTCTTGTTCAATCTCTCTTGACTATCGAAGCTGATTGTAGGCAAAGTACGAACTACTTTGAAGTACTACTAATTATCCTCTACGAAAGGAGACTTAGACAGGAAAAAATTGAATATCTCAGAGTGCTCAATGAGAAATTTTAATTGTTTAGAGAGCAGATTGGTCGCAAGCGCACGTATTGTTATTAATTGAGTTAAATAAGAATATAATTTTAGAAAATATAAAAAAATGTACCTATCTGACGGTATCTAAAGAACTTAATATGCGCTAAAGATAGTGTACTTGGAAATATATACGATCCAACGTTCGATTTTTTTTACTTTTGCATAACTTATTGATGTCGTAGATACTATGTCAATTAACACTGGTAACATTCGCAATTTTAGGCTTGTGAGGGCTGAGCGTTAATTATCAGTTGTATGACTGGAGTAATTGCATGATGAATAATATGCTTTTTTCTAGCTAAAACGGATCGTCTTTTCTCGTATGACTTGCGACCGTATATATTTATCTCAGGAGATTCTATTGAGCTGTTGAATGTAGAGTTTTCTTCAGATAGTTTCCGTTAGCGTCTAAAGGACGTTGTAACCTAAACACGACAATTAACCGTTAGTCTGCTTTACGTTTCATCGACATCTGCAAGCTCATTAAACTTCCAAGTCTCAGTATAAAAAAACGTTTCTATGTTCTGAAACCATAGAAAGTTTGGTATATTTCAAAATCTAATCAACATAGAATGAAGCTACAGTATACGATAAGTTTCTTTAACTATCTGATAACAGAGCTTCTTGAAGCCTCAAATATATCTACGACATATAGTTATGAATAATGTATTACCCACTATCTCTCCATAAGAGGTCTCACGAAGCCTCTTTTAAAATTGAATGTGAACGAGTACACTGTAATTAACAATCTATTTTATTATTTAAACATTAGCTGACTATAAAAAAGGATTATTCGTGTGCGAACTAATTATCTTTTGAATCGTGTGACACAAGAGAAATCCATCAATTATTTGAACTGTACCCATGTTTTGAAAGCATCTCGTCAGTACTTGATGAAAGATGAGCAAAAAAAATATCCTAATTCATTGAAGAACAGGATTAGACAAGAGTAATGTACTGAAATTTCCAAACATTTGCTCTTTATTTAGCAAAATATATCAGAAAATGTGATCATATTTATGTTGATGAAGTGTTTTCATTGATAAAGCTCTTCGACGCAGTGAAATCTTTGCTGTCATCAGATAACGAAACATTGTCCATTCTAAAATTCAACAATTATTAATCAACAGAAGGAAATTTCTGGTAACATACTCGTAGAGAATATTTCCCAGTGATTTTATTTGAGCATATTTCAGTAATGTTCTTTGTTCATCAACAACTTGTTTTCTTGTTCGACTTTCTAAAAAGAAAATGACACATTTCAAACCGTTTTGAACGTGATTATTTCTATTTTACTGTATTCTTCTTCGCTTTTCTTGTGTAGATTGATTTCTTTTTGAACTTTTTCATCGAACGGTTCTTTCTGCTCTTCGAGAAATTGTATAAAATACAAATACGATGCAATATCTACAAACAATTCATCGATATTCATCAATCGCGACGGAAAATCCGTGTCTTACGTGCTAGTTTCGTCATCAGCACAGAACCTTTGATATTATTCCACTGCGAATGACGTTCAGCTCGATTGAAAACTCTTGACACAAGTCGTTCATCACTCGTATAAGCAATATTTTCAATTGCTGTTTGAAACTCCACTATAGTCATCATATTAAAGTTTTCGGAGACTTGTACTGAAAGTTTGTACTGCATCTAAACAGATCTAATTAACGCGCTGCTGAGAAATTCTTGATCTTTACTTCCTGAAATAATGGTTCACTTCCTTTGAGTAACATCGAAATGATGTATTCCATGATAAGGAAGCGACTAATGGTATTCTCAGTGAAGGAGACGTAATCAATGACAACTGTGTCCAAGCCATCGTCCTAAAAGATATCGATTCAAGCGATCGGAGACGATTTTTTGTTGAAAGATTTACGTCGAGAAACGGATAAATATTCGAAAAGAAGATTCGTGCATCATCCGTTTCGTTCCAATCGAGTTTTTCAAGAATTTCACCGAGAAGAGCAACGTAATACATACAAGTCACGTCGATATTTCCAATAAGAACATGCATAAATAGTTCCAAGGCCTAAACAAACGATATAGTTAAAACTGAATTGAGTTCGCATTGATCTGTTAAACTTTGAAACTGTTTCGACATGCGTATAATGAAGTAAGAAAATCATGTACAGAAGCATATGGTACTTGGTCGATCTCCGTGTATCGTTTCGTAAAAATTTCATAGATATCATCCTAGGCAATGATTAACTAAGAAGTGAATTATCGAGTGAAATACATTCGCCTACCACAATGCTTCCTGTAACATTTATCAAATGAGTATCGCAGTAACACTCATAAGCAAGAATTTCAATAATCATGTTAAATAACCGATCCTATTAAGAATAATTAGATGGGAACTAAGCATGAATTTGGTAATTTACTGTAGAATAAGGTCTTGGAATAGGCCGTACGAGATTGGTGCGTTTTTTATAATCTTCCCATACCCGATCGAATGTTTGAATCTGCAATGAAATTACTAAGAAGATTGTAATTATGAATGTGTCAACGTACGAGAAGTTCCATGTTAGATTTACTCTCAGAGACAACTTCAGGTTTACGAGATATTTCATCAGAATTCAAATGTCCGGGATAGTTTGTTCGTAAAATACTAGCATCATTCTGTTGGTAGTTTGGTGGAAGCATTTGCGTGATTAGTTTTTTATTATCATTCATCACTTTTCTGGAAGAAAAGTCAATATTATGTGCTTTCATATATCAAATGTATACGTACCGAATAAGTGCTTCGTTGTACTTAAGTGGTGGTCGAGATATTCGAACATATTTTGTACCATCCGGTACTCGAACGATCGTTTGACTTTCGGGAAATTTATGCGGACATAAATAAGTCTAGAAAAATCGAGTAATGAATTCTAAAATCCGTAAGAATAACTTGAAATACGAACATTATCAGCACAACTTTCACAATAGGTAGTCGAATTAAAATCTGTCCATAACAATCCATTCGTTGATGAGGCAATGATACAAGCAAAGCGTGAAAGCACACGTTCTTGTGGACCATATTCGATATGATCTGTCTTACGTTCAGCAGATTCAAATGCACGTTCGAGGCCTTGTAACAGATTTATTGGTTTTCCTAAACCGACGTAAATACACAGAATGTCGTAAATGAATGTATAAGTATCGAACCTGCTTTTTGTGCTGCTTCATTTGCTGCAAACGCCACATTTGCTTTTCGGTTTCTACGACAAAGATTTTGAAGTGAAAAGTTGAGTTAATTCAGTATAAGTACATACCGAACTTTTTCATTGCCCTTAACAATGACCATTTCTAATTTTTCTTCTAAGGTACGTCTATGACGTTGCATCATGGTGAGTTCCTCTCGAATTTCTTTAATTGATCCTATATATCGAATTTGTTCTGTGTCAATCTAAACATCTATCTTATTATTTCTACATGAATGAAATAAAACCTTGTATTACATTATCTTTGATAAACTGAGATTCAGATGGATCGTTTTCGTCTTTCAGCAATTTCTTATGTTCATCATCGACTCTTTGATCATACTCTAAGAAAACATAAATATACTGTCATGAACCTACGAATAAATGCATTTCAAACTCCATACCTTCCGTCGTCATATTCAATAGTGTTACCATTTGTTCTTCTAGTCGAGTAGCAACTTGAATATCTAGCATTAATTGTTTCTACAAGCAAACTGATTTCATATCGCGTGTTCATCATTGATCGATGATACCTTAACTTGAATATACGGTTCTTCTTGATTTTCAGAATCTTTTTTAGTCGACGGTCGTTCACTTGGACTATTCACGAATGCTAACAAGAAATAAAGATGATCGATGGATGAAGATCATCATCATACCTTCTTGCATTTCATCATAACCTTGTTTATATCGTGATAGATCCGCTATTAATGCTTCTGTTGCTTCTTGGTTATCCTAGAATAGATTTGTGCACTTGAATTTTCATTGCGCAAATATTCTTTTACTTACAATAATGTCTTTTACTTTCAAACGTGTGTTAAAAACTTCTTGGTCACAATTGTATCGTATTCGATCACAATCTTCTTTTAAACTAAACAGATTGACATCTCATTCTCAATTCACAAAAGACTTTTGACTATACTTCTCAATATCTTTATCTCTTTCCTCCAATGTTGCTTTCAAAGCCGACAATTCATTCATTAGTTTCTGTTTAGCGATATCCATCTGTTGAATTTTTTCGAATGTTTGATTTAAATCACGATTTTTCCCAGCCAAACTATAACATGAGATCAAAATTGATTACACTTTATACTTCTTGGGTCCTTACCTTGCTTCCATATCGGACATTCGACTTTCGTACATATTAATAAGATCTTGATTTTCATCGAGAAGTCGTTGACAGAGAACTTTGTAAGATAAACGCTCAACACACGCAATGCGTTTACGTTTTTTCGATGCTTTCTGAATCTGTTCTACGGTATATTGACTACTATATGTAAAATCTACTCGAGAAATCAATCGATTTATTGAAAATGAGACAAAGAGCTGCGTTTATACCGAAAAATTCATTTCGAAGTCTCGTTGCAAGAGGAGTAAAAACTCCTAGTTGTGGAATAATTTGATCAAATGCGTTGAATACTAGTACCATGCGTTCATCATCATGTCCATTTTGATCGATTTCTTTCATCGCAACATCAAGAGCAAGTGCTAAAGGCGAACAATAAGTTCTGCATGTGTTTCTTTTTTCAAACGTTCAAACTGTACTTGGTGATACTTCATCAGCTGATGAATTTGTTGTCATTATTATTATTTTTGAATGAAAATTAAACAAGTAAATAGAACAGATATCAATTCTATCGATCGATTGATTGCAGCCACCATTTTTGGTAACAGCGCCATAGTCTGACCTCTACAAAGATTATAATGTCACTAATGTAAAAGGAAAAACAATCAAAGCAAACTTATCTCAAGCTCAGATTATTTTTTTACTATTTATGAAGATTTCATTTCATTTTTTACTTCGGTTTTGAGTGTATTGTAAATCTGACATACGATTGCTTCACTGGTGTGGGAGTGGCCATATTGATCAGACTTCCAATATTGTTCGATTATTTACTTTTGTGTTTAGCATACACAACACGAACTTGTCTGTTGTATTTAGATAGAAATGGCTTCTCATATCGCTCGCCGATTAGTTATTTTGGGTGCTCCAGGTTCTGGCAAAGGTACAATTGCTAGTCGAATTGTCAAGACATATGGTATGCCACATGTTGTGGTCGGAGATTTACTCCGTTCGCATATTCAACGAAAGTCTGGTAATGTTGTTTTTTCTCTCTGTATGAAATCTTCTCGTTCACAGTTCGATTTTGTTTGTGTAGAGGAAAGCAAAGTCATCAAAGAACATATTGACAAAGGTCTTCTTTTACCAGATGAACTCGTCTTGAAGTTCGTCGCTGGTGAATTAAAGAAAATCCGCGATAAAGGATTCTTACTTGATGGTGAGAAGATCAATTTAGCTTAACCTTTTTACTTGTTTTTTTTTGTCTGGTTTCAGGCTATCCTCGAACATTAAATCAAGCTAAATTATTAGATAAAGAAGTTAAAGTTGATCACGTTGTTGCACTTAATGTACCAGCTGATGAAATCGTTAATCGATTAAAAGATCGATGGGTTCATGCATCCAGTGGACGTGTCTATAACCTCCTCTGGAATCCACCCAAAGTTGCTGTAAGTGGAAAAATAAAAACCATTGTATTCTAACGAACAATTCTCTTTTTCAGGGTAAAGATGATGAAACAGGTGAACCATTAACACAACGTGATGACGATAAACCCGAAGTCATTCGTAGTCGATTGGATACTTATGATAAGAATACTAATCCTATTGCTGATTTTTACAAGTAAAACTTCGTCGAAAGACAAGATACTGAACATGTAATTTGTTTCTGCGATCTTTGTAGGAAGAAGAATATTCTTCATGAATTTCATGGACGCGAAAGCGACAAAATTTGGCCCGAAGTTAAAAAATATCTTGATCGTGTTCTCAATGAACCAATACGAAAACAAGCTGCTTAAATTACTATATCAAACGATCTTGTGCCCGCCACATATCTCTTTTCGTAGTGACTTTAAACATTATTGTGAACTTTATCAATCGATCCTGTTTGCATAGTCTTAGACTTCATTTTTCGAAACTTCAGTCGTGTGTTTTCTTTTTATAAAAAATACATATACCCTCACAATGGTTTTACACTACAAAGTACATACAGAAAAGCAATATTGAAGTACAAAGTTTTATCATTGGTATTTTGCTTTTTTCTTTTTCGAGGAATTTCACTCGATATGAATAATATCACCATTATTCTTTACATTCTTTCATTTTTTGTGGATATTCAATGAGAACAAGGGAACAAAAATATCTGTTAAGATAACATATTTATTATCTAATGCATGTCTGCACGTCTATATATATGTGGTGATCGCAGTTAACTCGTTTATTTCACAAAACAAGTATTAAGCGATTGCTGAGCAGACCATTTTCAAAATGGACGATGAACAGTCTCATCTTCTTTCAACAACAATGAATCTACCATCAAATGAAGCACGAGAACGATTGCATAGTATCATGACAAGTGACATGGCTGAAGCTATTGAACAAATTAATCTCACATTGGAAGCATGTAATACGAAGAAAATGCGTCTACTTAACCGACTTGATGATGTTGCTATAGCACTCGATGCTGTTCGAACTGAATGCAGTTGTATCGATACAACAATCGTGTAAGTTTGGAATTATCTGTTCAAGTTTTGATTAACTTTTCAATGTTTTTATTGTAGAAGTAAAATTTTACATTTAAATAAATTAGCTACACAAATTGTTCAACAAATGGCGCTAGTGAGCATTCCTGATCCGCCACTACCACCTGAGCCGATTACCCTGCCTCCGGTTGAAATTGATCTGTCAAGTGTTCGTCAACAATTGAGCGGTCTTGATCATAAGGTTAAAGGTCTAGACCAACTTTTACGAGAAAAAGAAGAAACCGTTCTGTACGTTATCAATAAACGGCCAGGCAATGGAGATATTACAACAGCTGCTCATTCTCCTGTACGCTTGAGAGGTAAAAACCAAATGGAATTGTATTGAATTTTACTTCTTTTTAATATAGGCAAAAAACACGACTATGTTGATCATCAAATGTCGAAACTACAGACGTTAGTACGAAATATACGAGTTGAGGAGCATAGTCACCATTACAGAAGTCATCTTCGTCAGCCACCATCAAGACGAGTCACTCATGAACTATCTCCGCTTGATGATGAAGAAGATAGCAGTCAGACAAATGGTCAAGTCAATGGTCATCGTACACAAGATGATGAAGAAGATGAAATATCTCATGACTCCGATCAAACAACCGTAGGGCCATATACGCTATATCTGCAAGAAAAAACCGAAGATCTAAGTACAAAACAAGCCAATGTTCGCCATTCGATGACAAACAGTAACTACACAGACCGATCTCATAGTTTCACAGCAGCATCAGCCGACAGTGATACAAATTATAGACATCGATTAGGTGAAGCGTTAGCTTCGAATGGAACTGATATTATTTACTATGATTACGAACACAAACTGATTTGTGTAACTGGAACAGACGAATATACAATAGAATTTCGTCATGGTTTCGTTGTTGATTTATATTGGTGGGAAATGAATAAAGAATGGTTAATTCTAAGTGAACAGGGTTTATATCGGTGGAAGGCGGGTGATTCCGAATATCACGAAGGTTACGAATTTTCCAATGGTGAAATTGGTTTTCGACGTATAGCGGTATCAGGTACAAGCATATTTTGTTTATTTCGATACAGTCTGATGATACTCGAACTAACAAATTCTATGCAAATGAAACGTCTTCATGCACTTGCACCACCAAATGGACAATATCGACAATTGGCAGATATATCTGTTCGCAACGTGTCACAGCCCGATGGAAGCGAAGAAGAAATCTTAGGTATCACATCGAATTACATACATCTTACAAATTTACCTTCATTTTTTTGTCTAAACAGGTTTAATTTGGTTCGGTAGTCAGTCAGGTATTCTTCTCGAAGAACGACTTGTTACATCTCATGCAAACAATGTACGTGAACGAATATTTCGTCATGTTAATGTACGCAAAGGGCGATATGCACGTTTGGCTCCGTACGATAATGGTCGAGCCTGGCTAATTAGTAACACAGGAGCTGATGTTTTCTGGATTGTTCATTATACTAATCCAGTTGATGGTCAATTTGAAGTTATGGCAACATGGGTGAAAGTGAACAGCGGTATCCCAATTAATGCTGTGAGTTCAAAGGATTCAGCTATATGTATTCGTCTTCGAAACGGCAAATTAGAATTTCTCGCCTCGGAACAATAAAATCTTTGTTCAATATTTGTTTTACATTATCGTATTATCTATCTTTTATTGTTTTTTTTTTCTTTTCTCGTCAAACAAAATTCAATGAGGTCAAAATAGATAACTTCAGTTGTATTGCTTTCCTTCTCTCCTCTTGCCAAACGAATTGCTGTTCGTTATACTTAGTGCGCGTGTCATTCGGACGAATGTACGGATAATTCGAGGAAAAAAGGAAGAAAGAAAATGTGCTCGCACGCAGTCGTAAGAGTAGTGTGAATGAAAACGAAAATTCTTCATTTTCGTTGGTTGATTCGGAAACAATGCTCGTCCGTCATCACTGAACACAATGACCGCTGTCGGCCACAATTCGATATTCATATTATGAATGAAAAGCTTTATCTAGAGTGAACAATAATTTGTCCGACTTTTTTTTGTTTTTTATTTTTCCATTCAAAACAAAGATGGATTTGTCATCGTCACGGATTTTAACTGCATCTTCAATAACCAATACTCCAGCTGGTGCGATCATAATTCCTGCTGTTAAAAACGCTTCGACTTTAAACAAGAATTCCTTGAATCCGATTCGCATTGGCGATGCAGCCTTACAAAAAATGCGAACGATTACGACAACACCACCAGTACAATCAACAATGAATGATTCTTCTGATCAACAACCAGCTGTTTTTATCATGAATAATCTCAAAACTGAACCTCAAAGTCAACAACCACAGCGAACCATAACGGTGAATCGTCTTTTATTTTCCAATAACAACAATAATAATGTTACGACAACGACAACTGTTCCAACATCAGCAACAATCATCAATGGACAAAATGCAATCAATTTAGCCACACTGGTGAATAGTTTGAATACATTAAATCAAATGGCATTATTACAATCGACAAATAATTCAACACAGAACAGCATTGCTAAACTTCTTGAAACACCAATCTTATCAACAAATAACGTCGTTCAACAACCACAAGCGACGCTAGTTCCAGCTGTCACTCACCACGGTAATTTCTTACTCTCTGTTCAATAGTCAATAAAAATTTGTATGTTCATCATCTAGTTTCATCGTCAGCAAATAAAGAAAATGAAAATACTCCTCCACCATCACGAATCTCAACGATTCGTTCAACACCTACTCTACCAACCTCGATTCAATCTCCAACAACTACTGCAGCAACATCCAACAATGGGTCGCCCCAAAACGAGGCTTTCTTTGCTAAAACCAAAGTACTCGTTGAACTGTTAACATCACCATGTACAGAACCACCATCATGCTTTGGTTCCTCATTAATCGAACCTCAAACACAAACTCCCTATTCAGATGCAACGCGCACACGATCAAAGAAACGGATCAATCGTGTTAAAAGACCAATGAATGCTTTTATGGTATTTTCTCAATTAGAACGTCGAAAAATCGTCCAATTAGCACCTGACATGCACAACGCGGAAATATCAAAATATTTAGGTGCACGGTGGAAACGTTTATCAGAAATCGAACGACGTCCGTTCATTGATGAAGCTGAACGATTGAAAATGCTTCATTTACGCGAATATCCTGATTATAAATATAAACCACGTAAACGTGCGAAGAAAGGTTCGTCTCCACCATCGAATACGTCTCTTCCACATGGATCGTCCCCGATGGATACCACAGATACATCGTCTGATGATTGTCCATCGAAAACGTCTGCTTTAACTGGAATGAATCGGTTAGAAGAGAACCTGTCAACATCAATTGAAAACGATTTTGACGAAAATTCCTCGTCAGCATTGCTTTCCAACACATTAGCGTCATTGATTGATCCGAAATTAGGCATATTTGCCAATAATACAAATTTTGATGATCCATCACTTTTCTCGTCATCTCAAACAGGTGCAACAGGTGCGTCATCATCGTCATCGCAACAAATCGATCCACTTCTTCTCGACGCACTTGCATCTGCTGATCCTCAAACGCAAGAAGCGTTTTTTAATCAATTACAAATGCTTGGTGATTTTAAATTATGGGCTGACTTGGATTTGTCAAATAGTGATCCAACCCTATGAAGAGAACTCTTTAATTTCAGATAAACATAAAGAAAAAAAAATGACAAAACTTTGTAAATAAGTTTGTTTTTTTCTCTTTCTATTTTGTTCAAACTCGAATAATTTTGTTGGACGACTTGGGATGGGCTTGTTTTTCACTCTAGAGTATTTTTTTGCTTTCTCTCCTAGTTCGCTTTGACGAAAAATTAATTGAAAAATATTCAACATATTTTTTCCTCTGTATTTGTTTCATGTTGATGAATTTGACTTCAATAAAAATTGATCTTGTCTTTTAAATTGCTTTCTCGCATGATGAACAGGTCGATTTTTTGGGGAAAAAAATCTTCTTTATTTCGTGCTTAAAAATCTTTCAAATAAAAACAAAGGAGTATCACCGGAAATAAAACGAAGTATCTGACACATGTCGGAATAAAACTGGTCGGATCAATACTGCGTTTGCTTAGCTAGTTCACCAAAATACGCAGTTATAGTTTTTAAACGGTTGTTCAGAAAATTTTGTTCGAGTTCCATCGGTGTTTTGTCATCCATTAATGAGATTACTTGTTCAACGTTAACATTTCGTGGAAGGAAATAGGCAATATTAGGTGTGATCTTTTTCGCCACCTCGAAGATTCGGTAACCATTCAGTTCGATATGTTTTTCAAGATCGAATAGTTCAATCGTACCATAAGCGGGACCGCCCCACGGTGGACTCAAGTAGACAACATCAGCGGTTAAAGTCGGTGCTATTTCAAGAAAATCACCTGAGAGAAAAGAAATAATTTAGAAAGAATTCTTCGTAGAAGCAACAAACCTTGAACGAATTCAATACGATCTTCAACTCCATATACTCGGGCGTTGTTTTTTGCCATTTCGATCTTCTTTGGATCAATATCGATCGCAATAACTAATCATAAAAATTTCGAATGTCAATCTTAAAACTATCATTTCTTTTTACCTTTTTCACACGTAAATGCAAACTGAATGGTATTTCCACCTACACCACAAAAAGCGTCGACAATAACGTTACATCGACAGCGTTTAGCAATGTGACGAGCAATTTTTTCCGGTGTAACACTGAACCATCCCTCTACATTAAAAAGGAATAGTGACTTGACAAAAGAGAGGCAAAGAATGGCTTTACCTCGATCAAGAACAATGCCTTCGTCGAATTTGGCAAAGAGTCGATAACGTTGAAGCCAATATTTTAACAATTCTGGATCATTATGGAATTCTTCGGGAATATTTTTCTTGTCAAGAACAAGTTGTTTTGATTTCTTCTTGCCTTTTTTGTCTTTCTTTTCGTCGTCGTCAATAACCATCTTATCATCTTCCATCCATTGTGTATGTAAACGAATCGCTTGTTTTAGAACAAGACCATAGGATAGATGTTTCCAGTTTTTCGTATATTCAACTAACGATGAATTGATTTTCGATGATGTATTAGAATCGGTAAAGTAGAGACCGAGATGTTCGAATTGATTTTTTGTTTCATTTTGTTCATCAATTGAATGAGCATCAGTTTTCATTCGTTTAGGAATATCATCTTGTTCATCTGTAGACTAAATCAAACAAATAGGAAGATATTCGATTCATTAAAATTCAAACTAACGTACATCACTTCGGTGAACAGCTTTTGTTCGTAAATCACCATCATTCTCACCGTAAACACTAGAAATATATTCGACGAATTCATCATAATCTAACTGATGATTAGAACAATATTCTCGAAGATTTTTATCGTATGTTGTTAGATAATGTTGTCGCCAAAGATCAGTGATAGCTTGTTCAGATAATGAATCGTCCGATGAATGTGATGTGTCATTTCCATCTGAACGATTATGAACATCAGAATGACCTGTCCATGTATCTGTTGCTAATTGATAACCATCGCGATTCCAATAATCGAGCCAATCATCTAGTGCAGTTTTAAACAGATCTTCATTCGGCAAATCGACATTGTCAAACGACGATTCTTCTTTGAATTTAGAGAAATACTAGTTAACAGTTAGGAAATCGAATTACTCATCATACCAGTCATTTGTTCCTGAGATAATGATCCTGAGCGTGTTCGACGATGAGGTTTTGACCGTTCGATCTAAATAACAAGATTGGCCAGTTAGTTTAGAAATTTTTATAAGTAGATGGATTACCAATGACGATGTGAATGATGTTGGCAAACCCATTGCTTTCATCGCTAATGCTTCTTCATCTAATTCTTCATCATCTACAAGATTCGATTAGACTATCACTCCATTTCTTCGATTCATTGACAATTATACTTTGTTCTTGACCAACTTCAAGTTCTTCCATCTTATCAGTAATCTGTTCCATCGGTGGCTTCTTCGGTTTATCACTCATACTTGATTTCAGTAGATGAATATCACTAAGACAGTTTACAAATCATTTCACATAAGATCTTTCAATGGTTTTCTTACTTGAGTAAAACTCGTGATAGGCAAAAGCTTGCATCATGTTTCTCCGGTTTGTTTACTTGAATCGAAATCTTTGCAATAACACCAGCACCACTTCGAACCATAATGAATATTTTTATCTGAAAAAATAAATTTGTCTTTAAATGCCCCATGATATACGAAGGAAAACAACAGCGGATAAGATATTAGAAGAAAAGAATCAAAATAATGATCAGGAAAAACAGAATAACAGCAATGGAAAACAAACACATATGACCACAGACGCCATCAGACGTTCGAAGGAAGTCTTTTGTTCGTTTGGTTAGGTTTTCTACGCGATTTTGACTGTTTGTCATATCGGTACCGAGATTATCTAACACGCGAATATGATCTTCAAGTTCGAAATTGATATTTTTCGTTAAATTCTTTAACGAGACAATGGAATGATGCATGTCGTCGAGTTGATCATCTTGTTTTCGTAAAAGTTGATCTTCATTCAGATTATCATCGTCGGCGACTTGATCGAGACGAATGATTTCCATTTGCGATTCTTTTTTCATCGAAGGAATTTGATTTTTAAAATAAGAAAATTGATTTTTCATTTGGTGAATAAAGTTTTCACGTTCTTCAGAAGATAAAGCAATATCTTCATTCTCTCTTGAGCGATCTTTCGAAGATAGTGGATGTGAAATGAATTGACTCTCCTCTTCATCACATTCATTCTCAAGATCCGATAAATTGCACAAAGGTTTATTTACAATTGGATTTTCCGATGTTGCTGTTGACGACGAAGATGAACGGAGTAATCGATTAACTTTGTCGAGATCATCGAGTGTGCACGCGATGTGATTCAAAAGTTGATCCAATTCATGTTGATTTGAACGCGGGGAAGTCGAAATGGTTTGAACACGTTGAAACGACTGTTCAATATCCCGTTTGAGATAAATGAACGTATCGATTGTGGTGCTCATACCATGTAAATCTGAAGAAGAAGAAGAGAAAGACAATTGATAGAATTAAGTTTATTCGTAAACTTGGTTTTCTTGATTGATGCTATGTTAGTGTAAAAAATAAGTAATGATAAAAAAACACTGTTAAGGTTTGTTATTTTGCTGTTGAAGTGTCCATTGAACTAGTTAGCGAAAGTATGACACGCATTGATGATGCACGTGCTGGATCCCCGACAAGTAGCTCACTTCCATTTGTTAATCCGAGTTCTTCAATAAAAAATGCAGTCAAATGAATGGATATTTGGAGGCTTTGTTTTACCTTGTAGTGTCATTCTAAGATGAGGTTTGGTCGCTTCACGCATTTGTTCTGTACTGGTCATATACAAAGTTTTAGCATTGCCATTAATCTCTGTGTAGATCAATGGTGCATTCAGTTGACTAAATTGAAATTGTCAGCGTCAAAGAAATATATAATTCCCTGTGCTTACTATCTTTCTACAAGTATATCGATAAGTTCTTGAAATTTTGCTGATTCACTCATTTGAATTCGAACAGGAACGTTGGAACATATTGGACAATCTTCTCTCTTTTCGGGTGGATATGTTAACATGTAAATGCCTTCGATGTCATTGAACATTGTGTAATTATTCATTAACATAACGGATCTATTGAAAACGAGTGAAAATGAATGTTTCGTTTTTCTGAAAAATTTTCTCAGCGAACATACGATGTCGCTAATTTGAAAACTTCTGTTGCACAGACTGATGCAATGACAGCATTGGTCGAAGCAACAGCTGGTATAACACGTTTCACCACACCTTGTGTAAAACGAAAATTGATACCAGTAATATTGTGATCAATGCCACGTTTTGTAGCACGTTCAACGATCCACTGAATATGTTCAACACTATCGCCATCAATTTTCACATCTATTTAGCCAAAAGACAATTCAAATAACTTTATCAATCAAATTCAAATACCTTGACCAAATGGTTGTTCTTTCGGCCAGAGAATACTAGTAACCCATTCTACACAGTGTTCCGGTAAACGTGGATTATTTGCAATTGTACATTGTGGAAAATTGACCTAATTCTCAGGCTAATACTTCGATCTCGTTAAATGAAACTCACTTGTGGAGGAAACAAATCCAATGTGCATTCAATACAGCTTGTATATCCATGCATGATTACTCGCGCATTACCTTTGAATCCTTCTGTTCCTCCGTCGATCAACGGTATGATTGAGCTTGGTATTACTGCATTATTTTCATCGTATTGAAGCATACTGACCTATGAATAAGCTTTGTTCTTCGTTCTCACAAGACTCTTCCTTTAAGACTTACTAGCATACTGTTGATCCATCGACGAGCAACAACAGAATCTAATCCGCAGATGATGATTCGAAATTCTACATGGAAAATACGATATTACGAAAGATATTTTCTGATTCAAACAAGAATTACGTGAATAAAATGATCCATCGAAATCTTGAATTTTATTCATATGTCTGTAAGTAAGAGAGGGAAGGACTTGATCGAAGACTTATGATTAGAAACTATTCACATACGGTGTGACAGTACAGTTTGGAATGCGGCTCATGATAAATTTCGCCGCAACTTCCGCTTTTGATTTACCAATATCAGCTTTTCTGGAAATGAAGAAAAGAGAATAGTTTTACTTCTATACTACTGCTGTGTTTTATTTACGTGAATAAAAATTGCCGATTTAAATTGGCTAAATCAATTGTATCCATATCAATAATATCAATTTGACTAAAACCCATCAAAGCCTAATGAAAACGGACAATATAAATCGAGTTGCATTCTCAAAAATTGTGTTTCGTACCAAATCTTTCAACAATTCACAACCGAGACCACCAGCACCGATGATTAGAATCCTAACAGATTCAATCGCGGACAGAAGCTAGGAGTCGTCACTAATTATACATTATTGAGCAAGAATGGAAAGAAATTTACTTCAGTGGATGGCTCGAAATTTGGATCTTTGAAAGGTCCACTTCGTTCGAGAATACGACGGAGATGAATCCATTGTTTCTTGGTGGTCGATTCATCTGTTGGAACAGTCATCTGAGAAAGAATGAAAGTGAAATTACTTCGAATTTCTTCGCGAGATATTCGATGTGTAACGCTTTGTTTTCTCTACAACTGATTTCAAGCTAGACATAGGTAAACTATGGACGAAAGAAATCATTTTCGACCAATGAAAATATAGATATCAGCAGTGTGCAATTACTCCAACGAGTTCTATACAGAAAATGATAAGATTTTATCATAGTCAACTGAAAACAGTACTGATTTCTATACTGGATAAACGCAAGTTCAAATAAATTATCTTTTCCCTGTCCCATAGTTGTGAAGGGGAATTGATTCCCACTGGAATTTATCGGCATCAGCATATCACATAAAATCAATCCGATATTTATTAAAAAGATACCGTGTTCAAACAATAAATATTATGAATTGTAAATTTCGATTACTCTAAAAAGAGAAACACACTTTCTGACTCATAACTGATAAGAATAACATTCTTTATGTTGCGGACAGGTAAAAGTATATTCTTCGTCGTTTGTGGACAGCTTCAAAAATGTCTAGTGATAGACTAAGAGATAATTTTCAAGAACTTCTTCGAAGTAATGTTTCATTTGTTTTGAATATATTGATTTGTCTATTGTTACGCTATAGCGTTTCATAAGTGGCCAACATCAACAATTGAAAAAAGTGTTCTCGTTCAAATACTTCAAGAATTTCAGCAAAACAATCCTGAATTAAAGAATATTTATTATGATGTGTCTTCTCCAATTATATCTCATCATGTTTCCAATCATAAGAATAATGAATATTCATGTATCGATGCGTATGAAACATCTCTGAATCAATTTAGTGCTCCAACAAATTTCACTCAGACATCTATACCCAATGAAATTCTTCATACTAAAAAAGAACGAAGTTTATCATCGTCGAATAACACTCTAGTTAAAGAAGGTGAATTAACTGTTCGAAAAAGTAAGAATTTCTTTCGATCGAACGCATTCGAAGATGAAAATTGTTATTTGAAGGTTCAACGGTTCTGTCACCTTTAGTCAAAAGTAAATCTTCCATTGAAATTGACCTTTTCACATAGTTTTCATATATTAGAAGGTGGATTTAAAACAGTTCGTGGAGAATTGTCTTATGCATGTCGAGACAAGGAAAAAATCGTTCATTTAAGCGTTTATCAAAAGGGGAAAAGTCAGAATATGATTCATACGTTTGTTTTAGACAATAGTAAGAAGAATTTTTTGTTTTTTGAAGTGATATAAAAAATATCTCAAACTGAATATTTAGCTTGTTCGTTCGTATATGGAAGTAAAAAAGAATTTGAATTCAAACATAGTTCAGGTATCGAATATGTAAGGGTTTTTTATTCTTAAAAGAGATTAGTTCACAAAAGAATTGTTGATCATTTAGTTTACAACTGAAACTGGCACTGCTAATTCATGGATTGATGCATTAAGCGAAACGGTTAGCGATCAGAGTACAGATTGTAACTAAACATTGTAATATTGAATCGATGCACGATGTATTACTATTTTAGTTGAAGAAATCTACGAAAATCCCGATGCTTTGGATTCAACATCGGTAATATCTTTCTTTCACAAACGGATACACATTTTGTGATTTTAGATACCTACGACTTTAGAGTATCTTACTGAAACTCCTGTTCGAGTACCGCCTCGGCCAACACAATTTTCAAGTGGCGTTCTCCCTAAGAATATTTATGTTTGTCTCTATGACTATCATCCAACAACTGGTGATTCTCATGAGCTTAGTTTCAATCGAGGTGACCTTCTGTATATTATCAATACAGATGGACCTAATTTTTATATCGGTCGTCAATTCACATTTCATTCACAAGGTCATTTTCCGAATCCTATCGGTCTTGTATTTAAAGATTATATTCGATCAGCATATGAGAAAGTTCATTCGTAAAATTCATATATTGAGGTTTTTCTTGATGTGTTAAATAAAAATAGACAAAATCAGGCACGTTCACTCAATGCTTCGCGATTTACAGCTGGTTGAATACGAAGACGTGGTTCAACTTGTTTCCAGTATGCATACTTATCAAGATTATTCGTTGATTCAGCCAAATATGTCCGAGCATCGACACGATAAGGCGATACATCAATGTTATCAGGTTCAAAGCGACGAATTTTTAAAAGATTTTCAAGAGCCTAAAAGAAAAAATAGAAAACTATAAGAAACTATAAGAAAGAATTTCCCTTACTAAACATGCTCGTTCTTCATTGACATTTCCCCAAATAAACAGTTCCATCAAAGCTGAATTAAATTTAACCGCATCAGCTAAACTACACAATCCATCTCCTTTAATGTTGTTCGAACGAATATCAAGACTAAACATGAGCAATATGTTTAAAAGTATTTGTCAGAAGCGAACCGATAAATACCTTCGAAGTTTAGAATTCGAATGGAGTAATGCAGTAGCGATATGACCAGCGCCTTCATCTTCCAATCGATTAAAAGCTAAATTGAGTCGAAGAAGGCTACATTTTTCAAGCATAGATGCTATATACACAGCTCCGTCACGTGTAATTCGATTGCTATATATAAATATAGGTATTTGGTTTATGTTTCATTAAATACCCTTATGTGTACATACCAACTGAGATCGAGGAAATATAATGTTTGATTATGTTGCATCTTTTGACATATCCACATGAATCCAGTATCACGAATTTCATATTTTTGTATGTGTAGTTCTTGTAAGACCGTGTTTTTCTATTTGAAATACTATGCTATTAGAGACTATCTTTTCAAAACTGTTAGACAAAAACCTCGAGCATTTGTGCAATATGGATTGCTATATCGTCCACCCAGTTCGTATGTTGATATTGTGGTACCGGACGACTTATATCAAGTGATTTTAAACTTGGATTGTAGCGTAGAACAGTCAGTAAGGCAACCAAACTATTCATTTCCTGAAACAAAGCTCTATTAACGAATAGAATTCATATTATGATCGAAATATACTAAATCACAATTCGCCAAGTTCAAATGTTCAAGATTAATATTGATTTGAAGTGTTTCAGCCATTGCCATTCCACCGTCTTTGCCAATGCTGTTATCGGCAAGTGATAAAGATGACAATGCCGTATTTGTCTGATTTAACACACAAATAGATTCAATTTTTTTCTCTCTAACTTTAAACTTTTACCTTAAGACTATTCGTTATACTTTGTGTACCCTTTCGATGTATATCATTTCCTTGTAAATTAAGAATTGATATATATTGATCGTCCTAGATTACATGGAGTTTTCACTTTCGTCATTCGAAAACGAAATTGAGTTTACTTTGAGGAAATTGGCAAGTAATCCAGCACCTTCATCTGAGATGCGATTGTATCTAAGAAAGGAATATATTTACGTGTGCATCATTTTCTTAATGAATGCTTACCGAAGATCGAGGTGAGTGATCATCGTTGCCGTTTTCAATGCTTCGAATATATGTGGCAAATCATTATCTTGTATTCTGAACTTGCTTAATGTTGGCTGATTGCCATTCAAAGGTAAGATGCGATCATAGTTTCTTTAGTAAGAAAATGAATTCGTATGGTTTAGAGATGAAAATTTTCAGAAATATATTTACTCATATGCAGATTCATCGATATAGCGTAGAGAACGCTCTCGCAGAGTGCTCAATGTGTCGACAATACCTTGATTGGGACGTTGCTTAGTCTTGTTTGATGCCTGTTCATAACTACTTTTCAGTTCTTTTAGCATAGTTCGTTTTTATTTGATTTTTACTAACAAAAATTGAATTGTTGAGTAGTAACCATTAACATTATGAATAGACATGACGATAAACCTCTTTCAATAGCGCTGCAACAAAGTGAAAGATGTCGGTAAATTTTGCATTCGAGTACAGAATGTAGCACAAAACAGATGACAATGGGTAGAATACCAATGCTGTGACTGGTCACTCGTTTATTGTACTCATAGAATGCGTCGTTGATTATCGATACTTCGCCTTTCATTTGACGCTAATTCGAATAAGACCTTCAGTTTTGAATACGACGATCAAAACAAATATGAACAGGTAATGTACATGTTATTCAAGAGAGTATAGCCGAGAACAAGTATTACATGGAATGACCGTATTGACTATCTAGCAGATTTTCTGTCCTTCAATGTCCATATTAGAGTCAACATAGTATCGAATGATAGATGTCGGAGAGAGAGAGATGCGTTTTCGCTTGTGAATGATTCCAACATGAAGGAAAACACTCGATCTCTCGTAGAATGATTTCAAAATAAAGGTGTCTGAAGCGTGTATTTCTATCTTTATTCTAAAGAATATTGTTTGAAGTTCAATATAAATAATCAGAGTACACGCGACATATCATTATCTTATGTATCAAACTTGCTTGATGTTGGCTGGCTTTTATTGAAACGTATTGATTAGAAATTGGTGTGGTCAAAAGAAATATATTTACTCATATGCCGTGTTTTCAAAGCATCACCAGTATCTAATCAAAATGTTGTTTTAACTTGTTCAGCTTGATTATTCTTAACGAATGGCAACCATTAACATTCAAAGCTGGTGTAGCGACAAACCTCGTCCGATAACATAACGTCGAAAGAAAGATGTCAGTATGCACGAAAATTTTTGATTTGAGTATTGAATTTACGTGATGAGCAAGCAGAATAGTCAGTTGTTTTATGACACCATACGACTTCACAATAAACAAATATATACACCATATTAAACATTCTTGCTTAACTTTATTCAACTTCAAGATTTGCCATGTCTAGTCTAGTAACCTTCGTATTTCATCGGTATTCTAGATTCTAATCTGAAAAGGAATGAGCACCACGAAAGTGTTCAGCGTCAATGGCATGACTTGCCAATCATGTGTTAAAAACATCGAACGAAATGTCGGTAAAATCGATGGTGTAAAATCCGTTAAAGTAAGTGTCATGTTATTGTTCAAAATCAGAGTAAATTTCTGTTCGATTGTGTACATTTCAGGTGTTATTGGATGAAAAAGAAGCCCATGTGGAATTCGACAGTGATAAAACAAGTGAACAAGCTGTAGTTGAGAAAATCAACGGATTAGGCTTTCAAGCACAAACGAAATAATTTTGCGAATATTCGTCTATTAATATTAGAGACTTGTTTTTCGCAGTGACATTGGACATTTCTTTCTTTTCATTTTCTTCATTTGCATGTTGTCATAAACAAATTTGCATTTTTTAAAATATAACACATTTGATAGCCGATCAAAACGATAGAGAAAAACCAGACGAATTGGGTTTCGATGATTCATTTCAAATATTTGCGAACAATTTAATCCTCTACATTATAGTGAGACTCGCGCATCTGACAAGTATATATTTCGCATCAGATTAAGGATTACTTCCTTTCAATCTTTTCAGCTTCATATCTGACCAATGAATACTCATCAGTACAATACGAAGGATTTGAATTCAACCTTACAATACAATTCTGTTGCTTCCGACTTTTTACTATCGGAGAAGAATTTTCAGTCGGAAGATATGACAAAATTTAACAATAATAACGTCTGCTCGTGTACAATTCCAAATCCCTTCAAGAACATCAATAACAAATCAACAAAATCCGTTCAATTTTCCTATGATAATATAGGTTATGGATAAATTGATTAACATCATCAGAGTTTTTTTTTGTAGTCGATGAATTACTTCTGATTATTTTGTTCTACTCTCAAATCTTTGAAATACCAAATGAAGGTATATGCATTTTTTTTTGTATTCTAAAAATACAGTTATTGTATTACATTATAAATATTATGCAGTTATTCGGAAGATTTGTTTACATTGGTTGAGTTTTAAATACAATTCAGGTACTTAAGGTAAGACCATATTCAATTGTGAAGAACCATTGTAAACAAAGATAAGTGTTTCTACGAGTGACGGCGATTTCTGTAACTTGAAGAAGTTATACCACTCAATGTAAATATAAAATGCCCAACGCCAATTCCAAGTACAATAGCAAGAAAAAGATAAACATTGAACGTCATTGCAATGAGCATTAAACTATAGCTAAGTATTATGTTAGTGGTATATAATATATTCGACAGTATGCGTTCGGAGTATGATGGACGAATTCTTGAAAAATACAAACATTTGTACAAGAGATAAAATGAATAATTCCTTCGTGTTACTTAGTTTTAGTGCGAATTGTTGTTGGAAGAGATTCAGTATTCATACGAGCCAGTTCATTTTCAATAGCATCATCTAAACGTCTATAGGAAATGTATAGGAATGCAATCAAGGAAAACCAATGGATCTCCTACTAACACTGGTTGTTTAGTAAGTCGTTCTTGTTCTGAAAATCGATGAAATTCTTTGATACCTTCATGCAAAATACTCAAGATAAATATGAATATGCATGAGATAAGAAAAACTAAAGAAATATTTAGAATAAATATAACAAATACATTTCAGAGATCATCTACTTGAAGGTGACGTAGTTATCCATGATTCGAATAAAATTGTTTCCGTAACACCTGTATGAAAAGCCATCTAAATAATCAGTAAACATTCCGATAAATGCGATTCTTTTTTATTGTATAGACCTACCTGTGACATCATATGATCGTGCATAGAATCAGAATGATTATGTTGCGATGCCATTGGTTTCACTGTTGACCTGTTCTTACAATGCAGACTATGAACGTGATGGGTATTCATATTCAATCAATAGTTCCTTCGTTTTTTGATTAAACGTGAGCGTGAAAGACGTGTATGTGTACGGCAATATTTGAAATTTGCGGTAAGGAGATAAAGAATAAAACACTTCAAAAATATGCTTTCTCACTCGCGATATTAAATCATTACAAAAGAATGGAAAGAAAAGAAAGGAGTGCGTATGTTTGCACAAGAACTAACGTCTACTTATCACAATACTGCAGTCGACTATTATATCAGTTTATGAGACTCAACCCTTTTATGACTGCGTTTGATATGACATATCCTATATCACATGACGAAAACAATGATCAGTTACTTGTTAAATGTCAAATGCAAAACGGACAGCTCGATGTATAGAATTTTATTTATTCAGAGAAACAAGACAAAACGATTATTTGCTTGTTTTTTCGTGTCTCACACTTGTAAATAATAAAATTATTCGTATAAACATTCACATAGCAGTTATTTGTAGTTCTATTTCTTCTTCTCTACATTGATTAGGTGAACGTTCATCGCTGAAAAATACAGTTGCTTTTCTTTTCTCGTCCATAACAGCACTCTTAATCGCTGATATCGATTCGACCACAATGTTTGATAATCGACTATTTTTAAAGAGTGACACAAGACTTGAGGGTTTAGAACGACGAGCTGGTAAGTCGTCAATACCACGATGAACAACAATACCAACGGATTTGTTTAATGACCACTGTCGATAACGACTGTCTCTTTCAAATTTCTCCATCGTTGGCTTTTTGAAATATCGCAATAGTAAAGACGAGATAACCACGCTTACAGATGAGACTGCCATGGCTGCTGATGCCATCCAGGGCATAATTTTAACACCGGCAGGAAGAAGAACACCTAGACGATTCTTTTAATAGGAATTTGTCGATCGAACTCACTTACCGGCAGCAATCGGAATAGTGATTAAGTTATAAACAGTGGCAAGCATGAAGTTAATCCGTATACGCCATACTGTCTTTTTCGAAAGCATAATTGCAGCAAGAACATCAAATAGTTCATCACGTATCAAGACGATCGATGCGGCTTCGACGGCTACATCGGCGCCAGTGCCAACTGCAATGCCAACATCAGCACGAGCTAGTGCTGGTGAATCATTGATTCCATCGCCAACCATAGCTATTTTTCCTCGCGATTTTTTATTATTCTTTTTTAGATTAGCAATAAAACGTTCTTTGTGCGTAGGCAAAACTTCAGCAAATACAGTTTTAATACCAACTTGACTGGCAATAGCACGTGCTGTTTTAACATTATCACCTGTTAATAGAATCGTACGTAAGCCAAGCGACTGCAATGCATAGATGGTCAATGCGGCAGTAGGTTTTACTTCATCAGCTATGGCTAACATACCAACTATTTTACCTAGAAATCATTCATTGACATAGACACGTATCATATCATATTTTAAATAAAACTTGTCATTACCATCAATCGCTACTAATACTGCTGTATGGCCATCATGCTCGTGAAGAGACATTGTTTTATCAATACCATCGTCAACTGTCAAACAATTACATTTCATCCATTCTCGATTACCAATAAGAACTGAGTATGCTCGGGAACGCTCTTCAGTAGTATTTCTTATCAAACAGTCAATGTTACTGACACGAGCTTGTAGTCCGTAGCCCCAAGTAGCTTTGAAATCACGACAGAGACCTAATTGATCGGTGCCGAAATGTTCTTTACAATGAGTACATATAGCTAAAGCTAACGGATGCTCCGATCCACTTTCCGCCGTACCTATGAGCACAAAAGAAAAAAAAACATGTGAATAGTCAGATTCACCTTCGTTACCCACCTGCAATAGCCAACATTCGGTCGAGAGTCATATATGAATTTTGGATGAAAACTCGTTTATCAACAACAGATGGTTTGCCTTTTGTTATGGTACCAGTTTTATCAAATACAATGGTATCAATTTTATGAGCAGATTCCAAAGGTTCTCCGCCCTTGATAAGAATACCATTGGATGCACCCACACCTAAAATGTATCTATATGTACACAATCAATCGACAGATGATTTATATGAAAACCTGTGCCAACCATAACAGCAGTGGGCGTTGCTAAACCTAATGCACACGGACAAGCAATCGAAAGAACAGAAATGGCATAGCGAAAAGCAAGTTCCAGAACAATCTCAGCTTTCGAAGCATCATATGTATCCGTTGAGTGTCCATTTTCATGTGAACTTTCATCCATTGAGTGATAGTACTATACAGTTGAAAATGATACTCGAACAAAATCTTATTTGAAACTTACAGATGAGTACTTTTTAAAAGTATCAAACATTGTAAAGCCCAAAATAATGTAGAGAATCAATGTGAGTAGCGAAATCGAAACAACAAATGGTACGAAATAACCGGCAACTCGGTCTGCTAATTGTTGAATTGGTGCTTTCGAAGTTTGAGCGTCTTCAACTAATCGAATAATCTGCTTCAACGCTGTTTCTTGTCCAATATGTGTTGCACGCATTATAATTAAACCGTCAAGATTTTTTGTACCGCCAACAACTTGTGCACCAATAGTTTTATCAACAGGCATCGATTCTCCCGTAATTAATGACTCATCACACGTTGTCGTACCGTCAATGATTCGACCATCTGTTGGAATGGTTTCACCAGGTTGAACTTTGAGTAAATCATCACGTTGAATCAATTGAGCAAGAACGGTTTTCTCTTCGATAATCTTTCCCGTTTCGTCTAACTTCACTAATGTACCTTGGGGTGGCTGCAATGATAACAATTTCTTCAGTGCATCGGAAGTTTTCGCCTATATCAGAAACAATGGATTGATTTTCTCCAAAATCTCGAATAATTTGTTTTTCTACTTTAGCGGTATGCTCAAGCCATCGGCCCAAAGCAACAAACATGAAAAGCACTACGAATTAACATGTAAACAATGTACAAATAGTATCATAAGTCAGAGCTTACTTGGTGATACGTCAAAAAACGCCATTGGACTGGGTATTTTCATAATCATATTGATCGCAACGACCACAACAGAATACAAATAAGCAATGGTAGTGGCTAAGACAATAAGAACTTCCATATTCGCCGTCTTATGTCGCAATGATTTGAATGCTTGAATGTAAAAATATCTTCCACTGATGATCTACAAACGAATATTGTTAATAGATCGATAAACTTGGAAAGCAGTAGAGTTACGCTTACTTGAACAGGTGTAGCTAATAAGAACATGACTAAATTTTCAACTGATAAACCAGTAGAGACGTGAGGCGCTTTTCTATGATCATCATATTTGAACATAAAAACAAGCATAATGATCATCGCGGGTACACCGAAGATAGCGGCAATAATGAATGAGTTTCTCCATCTTTGCAGATTCAAAGTGAAGTCGATTGAAATGTTTTAAATAGAAGACATTCATTACTTACTGTCGAGTTATGCGTCGATGAGAACGAGCTAAATCTTGAGACTTTGCATTTTCTGTCAATATCGTTGCTTGAAAACCAAGATCTTCCTAAAAGAAACATCCAATGATACTTCCGTCTATATAATGGCAGAGAAATTTAACTGTAATATGTTTGAGAATATCTCTCGGTCCAATAATACTTGAATCGTATTGAATTCGCCCACGATTAGTTAGTAATACAACATTAACGGATTTTATACCAGGAATTTTAGTCATATGATTTTGAATTTTATTTACACACGATGCACATGTCATGCCTTCAATCTAAAAATGACAATTGATCGATACACTCGTTTGACTCTTCTTCCAAAATATATATTTTACATTAACATCAATGGCTTCCATGCCACGCGTCGCAGTTTCAAGTACCTCAGCTTGAAATCCTAGGTTATTTATTAAAGTAGCAATTTGTGTTGGTAAGAGACATGCGGGATCATATTTAACTTCTGCACGTTGTGCCAAAAGTGCAACTAAGACTGAATGAATACCTAGTTCGTTCTCAATTGTAAATATGTGAATCCATTATACATGACAACAGTTACCTTCAACTTTACTCAAATTTCTTTGTATGCTATCCACACATGATGCACATGTCATGCCAAGTACAGTTAGAAAACATGTTTCAAGTTCGACTTCATAGTCTGGTTTTGATAATAATGCGTGTCGACTTCCTTTTCGAGTTGTTTTCGATTGTTGAAATTTAATTTCGTCATCAATTGCTAAATCCGAGAAAAGAATCGTATCAGTTATAATGCCACCTAAAATCTAACAAGACTACATACATCGAATACTTGTCCTACGAATTAAATTGTCATTCGTTGATGTAGTAAGTAGTGCATTAGATACTACAATGCCATTTAATTATCTAGGTCAAGAGCTACTTTTTAGAGAACATACTTGAAGTATCTTTGATTGTTGATGTAACTTGTTCAGTACTGGAGATAGCCACTTGAAAGCTAAGTTTTTCAATTTCATCGATAATGTCATTTAATTTAAGAATCGAAGGATCGTATACGATAGTGGCAAGTTTGTCTAAAAATGTTAACTGAATATCAAGAGCGCCCGGTAAGTCCAGGACTGCACCGCAAATATTCGAAACACAGGAATTACAATGCATCCCTTCGATTCGTAGTTGACATTGAATTGACTCTGAGTTCACTGATTGTACCGGATGTCCTAAACGTTGAATGGCTGTGAGAAGTGCATATCGATCGAGTACATTTGTATCGTAAGAAAGTTCTACTCGATTATTATCATCAACAAATCGACAAGATACAAGGCCATCGATACGTTCACAAAGTCGTTTACAGATGTATTCATGATTGGACTCATGGACTCCTCCTAGAAATATTTCAATATATGCCGGATTAGCTGTGTCTGTCGTGGTGATTGGTGTCGACATTAATTAATATCTGAAAAAAACAATTTTCAAAGATTTTTATTACTATTGGATATTGCCGCACAGACTGAAGGAAATGTTTTATTACTCAATAGGGTCTCGACTGAAATCTACACGAATACATGCGATGACTCTACACGACAAAACTCCATAAAAAAAATTCGAGTGTATAAAAAGAGTTTATTTCAAGGGCAAATAAACATGACAGTCTTACTTTCTTTCTTTCTCTCTCTCCCTTTTTCAAGCAAAAAACATCGGGCTAGGATGTAATGATACATTTATATATCTTATCTGAAAGAGGGCAACCGAATATCAACAATTTACGAGAGCGCACATGATGCTAAGCATATAAAAAGGTCACATACATTTTCAATTTTTTATTCTTTTCTCCCACTATAATCAAAGGGTGATCAGCTATTTTTACTCTCTCAAATCACAGTCGAATTACAGTGTTTAGTAAAGCTATATATATATACAGCGTTTCGATGCGCTAGTCACGATGATTCTATTAATCTAACAGAATTCGGTGCAATAAATAGAAATAACCTTCAATTTTCATTTCGATGTAAACAAAACATATTTGTTAACTAACGTGTTTATTTGCAAAGAGAAAAACACGCGAAATGCCCTAAGATGGAATCGCTGTTTGTAAATATAAACTTTGATCGAATTCGATTTCTCAACATGGGCATTTATATTCCCTAATTGCTGAATGGATCGAAAAAAAGTTTACGTTCGCTTTTTTTGCTTGTGATAGACGAACGAAAACAGAAATTGGGCATACTTGTTGCATTATTTTGTGATACAGGTAAATCGTTTTGTATACACTCTTTATGGAGCGAATGTACTCGAAGTTTGGACTCGCCACGGCAAGTTAAAATATTCGATGTCGATCTTATCGTTACACAAAAGTTCTGTCTTAAGTGTCGTGCAACTATATTGAACGCTTTGAGGTTTATTAAAGTCTATTTGCATTTTAACAAGAAAAAAACATTACAAATTGATCTTCTGGAAGTAAATATCAACGACTTGGAATGTTTTAGCAATCGATCGTAACCATTGCGGTTACATTATGACGTAATTGAATGATTTTCCATGCTTTTCTATATTCATCGAATTTTTGCTCGAGCGTTTTACCAAGACCAGAATGAAATGTTGTCGAACATACAGTTAAAACAGGATTACTAGCCATCAAACACGAACAGTTACCGAAGTGCGATTGATCATATGCCAATGGGATAGGAATACATCTAACTTTCGCTACTTTAGCCAAAAATCCCGATGCAAACACATCACCAATCCATACAACTTTATGCAGTGGATACGTATTGGCTGCATAAACAAGTTTGTTCCGAACATGGTTGGACATATACCAACCAAAACCTGAGCAGTAAGGCGGAAGAAATCGGTGTGGCCAAATAGTCTCACTAACACCGAACTTTCCGTTTCCACGACCTGTTAATTGAAAATCGATAGCCCATGCTCCACGAAAAAATGTTGTTCGATCGGATGACAACAGATTCGCAACGAGTAAAGGATCATATTTCAAGATGTACGAATCTGTCTTTTTACTGTTAGTCACAAGTATCTTCGTCATATACGATAATAATAATGTATCTACAATCAAGTCGTCATCTGTTTTAAATAAATAGGAGATATTTGGATAGAATTGATATGACCATTGCAAAGCACCAACTTCTTTGTAAACAACGTTTGCATACGTTTCAATGTGATTAATTTCGATAATATCATTGAATTGTTGTCGTTCGTCTTTAACTTTCATCTGAATTTCAGCAGCATTGCCTTCGGTGCCCGAGATTTCACCAATAACGAATACAAAGCAAGTTCCATTCTGTTTTGAACCCCATGTCGAACGAATGATTTCGCGTCGCCGGAAATTACTTCTTGTAGATAAGATATAAACAAGTAAAATATCGTCTGATTGACATATCGCTTGACTCGATGTTAAATCGATATCGACATGAAAATATTCAACCGGAGTATTATCAAAAGTTGCTGCGATGTCAAGAATTTTCGATGGTAAACTTTCCCTAAACTGACTTCCATCGAATGTGATGTATATAGCAATGATTGATAGAATAATTAATGCGATGAAATAGAAATTCACAGAGCCATATCTACGAAGTAGCCACATAGATGACAAGAGACGAGAGTTTTGATTGACAATGGTAAAGTTGTGTGGATCGTGTTTGAAACTTCAGTTACTCACGTGTTCATTTACTTGAGAAAGAGAAGGGTGCGGTTCCTTTAGCGTCAATCAAGAGGCAAGCAAACGAACAGCTTTCTTCGTTTCTTTCGTAAACAAATGTCAACGCAGAACGTTTATGTTTTTCTTTTGTGCAATTCGATTTTCATGTTTGATTATGCAAAATCTCCATCAGTTATTTTATTCAAGAAAAGCACAAACTGATTAAAACCTTTTATTCATATTAATTGCTTGACACCCTTTGAAAGATCTTTAATGTTTCTGTCACAATACTTTCTACCGATGCCATCGCTCCAATACCAGTTTGTCCGCACATTAATGTTTTTTCAATAGAAGGAATTTCTATGTATCCAAATGTTTTCGTGATTAAATCTAGCTGCTGTCGTGTTAACGGATGTTCGTACATAGCCGTATTCATAGCAGGAGCAACGATCAATGGTTTTCCGTTCTTTAAATCCCAAGCACGAACGACATTGGTTAAGAGATTGTCACAAATTCCAACTGATATCTTAGCTAATGTGTTCGCATCTAATGGTGCAATGAGAAGAACATCAGCCCAATCGCGAAGTACAATATGTAAAACAGGATCACCACGAGTTTTCCATGTAGACCATTCATCTTTATCTTCGAAATAGCAAGGACTTTTGATTTCATTCACAGATCCATGAGAACACCAAGAATCCTCGAGGCCAAGGAAGTGTTTGGCAACTTCAGTTGGAATAACAATTGTGTCGATATTATTCGAATGAAAATTCTGTACAAGTTCTTGTATTTTAATCGCTGCTACACTTCCCGTTACGCCGAGAAGAAGATGTCGTCGACGCTGATGATGATGTTCCTCATTACTCATTAACCCAACGAAATCAAATAAAAAACTCGGTTAGAAACTCGAATAAATGTCTAAAATAGAATCGATGTCAAGTACAAAGCCCATCTTAGTTTTAGGGACTGGATTATCTCGCACATTTTCTTGAAGAAATCTGTGATTTGAATGTTTTATTCAATAACAAATTCGTTATTATATATGATTTTGTTTTTATTTCATCCAAACAAAAAACAACAACGGCAATGCTAGTGATCGAAACCAAACAAAGATCGTTCACATTTGTTAATGATAAGCCGTCGAGCTGATGCCGAATGTTTATGCTAGAAAAAGTATAAAACACGCATTACAAATATGTTTGCCATTTAAGAACAAAAACATACTTTTAGAAACAGGCATATTAACTGGTTGCGGAGCTTGTTTGTTGCCGCCGCGTTGACCAGCACCTGTATTACCTTGGCCAGCAGTGCCACCAGTTGTACCTGGTTGACGAGCTTGTTGAGGACGCCTAAATATAATATTACTAATAAGAATTCATTTGCATTCTCTCGTTAACTTACAAAAGTGGTTGACGAATACGACGTGCTTCTCTTGAACGATTGCGTACAACCTTGCTGTGAATAGCGCATGAAATACAATAATGTAATTTATTATAAAGTTTTGGTAAAACATATTTTGCATAAACGCTAGCTTCACTTAAATCCTTAACAGCAGCCTGTTCGACGATGTTTCGAATAATTAATTTTTTGATAGCCTTGTCCTTTGGTACTAAACGACGACAGTTGGTACAGTTGACGTTGGTAACACGACCACGTCCGTGTTTGCTTCGACCATTATTACGGCGTTTTTTAGTCATCCTTTAGAAGTTGATTTCTCCGGTGATGGTAGAGAGAATATTAGAGAGCAAAATCTGAAAGAATTATCGAAAAGATGTATATTTCGTGTAGATTATAAATAGATAAAAATCACAGATATAGATAAATATATGGAGCACCGAGTTCGATGCATTGCACATCATTACGAAAATAATTACAAGACGAAGCGATTATTTAGGAGAAAATAAAGCAATGTCGAAGTTATTCAAAATAGGAGTATGGACCGTGTTTAGATTTGATTAACCACATGCTATCAACTACTTTTCCACCCTGAAAGAAATATCGAATCGTTCCAGGTTCACTCGATGACGGAAATAAAGTAACCGACCTTATCATCCGATACTTGTTCTAAGTAGAGATGAGATGCATTATAAATATTCATTCGTGAATACCCATAATCATTATTTCGATATGCTGTCCATGAGCGGGGAATACCAAATGGATCATGACGTTCAGGACAACCCTACACATGACTCGCTGGCACATCTCATGACGAACTAACCTTGACTTACCGCTGATCCTGTTACTATATGGACGGGCGCATCAGGATCAATATAAGCACCTTTTGTGCCATTATGAACCTATAGAAATATGTTCGACATAATTCTCAAAAATCTGGCGAAACGAAACTCAAATCTCTCTCTGAATCTCAATCGGAACATACGGTCGAATTATAAACAGGCCATAAGCGCTCATAGCTATGCTCATGAGCCCAAAATTCCAGATCAACACCATATTGTGCAAATAGTTTCTCAAGACCATATGCTTCAACAAATGGGAGACCATTACGTACCTATATATCGAATATGACACGAATGACCTAAATCATATAAATAGAGAGTTTTCTTACATAACTATAACCTTCGGTAGTTAAACAATCATTATCATCACTATTACTACAATACATTGGCTTATGTCCCATTGTGATGATCCACGGATAACGAGCACGGTTTGCGGGCTGATTCGCTTTCTAAACAGGAAAACATACAGACAATAATAATAATAACAAAGCGTTTATTGATCATACTCGTAAATCTTGTTCCAGCCATTGATATTGATTAATAATTTGATCAAAGCCATATTCAGTAAAGTAGTAGAATTCTGTTGAGAAGCCGATGATATGTGCGGAACCAACATTGAAACTAATTTATAAAAAGCAAGAACTTGTTTCTTCCTTTTTAAGTTATAACTCATCAAACTTACCTATAAAAATGGTTTGCATCCCCACCAAATGTATTCATCGATGAAGGCATACTGAATTTGGCCGTGTATTGTGAAAAATTACTAGATGATAAACAAAACACTGTACATGTCCACGTAACCAAAACTGACTTGTTCTTACTAGGCATTTTCATGATTTCCTGGACAAGTCATGTATGGTATGTAACCGGCAATTGATTCAATAGCATTCATATACTCATCACCAAAACGAGCATTGTCCGAATTCATGTCATAAGCCATATCACCTACGAACAGACAATGAAATTGTGTTGATAGACTCGTTTAAAGAAACATACCAACATGTAGGATAAGATCGAAATGGCCTAATTGCGTTTCTTCTTGAAGTCGTGGCATCGAATAAGCAATGTCTTTGCCCATGTCGCCATAAACAGCTGCCCGTACAACAAAACCAGAATCGTTGCGCATTGCTGCAAACCAGAAAAGAGGTGACCAACCATACACATCGCTACCACAGTGATAGGCTAAAGCAAAATAATCGAATGGTTTGTAGGGGAACGTTCTCTGTCCATACAGTATCGATGGCCAGGTTTAAGATTTCGTAAAACAACACGGTGAACATATTCACGTCGTTTTTCTGTTCCGCTATCTTGAAATATACTGACGTTACCAGTCGCTCGTTGATTTAGCACTCCATTTTCGCCATATTCAACAATAGAATCATTAACCGGGTTCATTGTTATCCATGTCACCACCATAAGCGATGGGTCAACTAAAGATGATAAGAAAATATAACAAAAATCCTTCGAACAACATAACAATTTCAACATACGGCCATAAGATATATGGATTTGTTCAGGTTGACCAAATACTGGATCATCGTAAGATATTGACTTAGATGCAACGGCCGTTAAAAAGAGTAATAAAAGGATACCACTCAGATGAGCCATAGTTTATTCAAACCTTTCGTTTTCCAGAGTATACAGAGGCAAAACAACAAATAGTTGGATAATGTAAAAGGTAAAAGTGTGACTCTACTAGATTTCTAATGTAATTCTAATGAGAAAATTTATTCAAATTAAGTACGCAAAAATGAACATTTCAATCATTTATTTAATTAGAAAATTATTACAATAGAAATTTTTTAAACTTTAATTTAACATCTCTAATGTCATCTAGCGCCCTCTGTTGGTTTTTGTCCGAATGATAGACTCCTACTTTCCACAACTACAAATGTTATATTTAACCGAGCACTGACACTGAATTCATCAGTGTTAGAGTAAACTCGAAAATCTAGACTACTGATTCATCGAATTACAATTTATGAGAATATGTTATTCATTTTCTTTCATGATGAATAAGTCTACATATTGACACAAACTACCATCAGGGATTCCACTTCATTACTCTCACAAGAGAGTCGGAATATTTTCGATTTATTTACAAAATGATCAAGAAATATTCCAAAACTATTGAAAATTTTGGACAAGAAGTATTTCAAATGTGCATTTCGTAGCAGTTGATAAAGCACAGAACAGATTTGAAGAATAAATCATTGCGATATAAGAAAAGTTCTTGCCATCAATAAAATCATCCCTCATATGCGAAATCTGCTTAACAAATTATCAGAAACATAAAGGTTATGTTTACATTTGCTCTTTGAATCAACACTTCAAAAGTACTTATCATCCCCAACAATTGAAATCATCATTCATTCAATTCTGATTTCAACATTTATTCTTTGTTTTATGAGTGACATACATACAAGTAATGCACATCCTAATTCGACACAGATGTCACTGAATGGCACTGGAATGAACAGTTTGTCATGTGTTATGAAATATATCAGAATTTGAATAGTAGATGATTATTTAAATATTTTCCGTTGAATTTTCGCTTTTTTCGCAATAAACTCACAGATGCATTGATATTTTGATTTACAGGTAAACATGAAATTTGACACTTGACTAGAATTTTAATAAAATTCACTATAAAATTCGTTATGTTATTTCATAGATTGAACCGATTTTTTCATTGAACTCAATGACTCACCGTTCAATTACCTCCATGGAATATCTGTTTGGATCTGTCAATATGTATCAATCATACGCCCTATGTCTCTCTGTATTACTCATTCCAGTCCTTATATCAGTTATTGTTTTTTTTCAGAGACATTCATAATCATAAATCCTTTCTCTAAGCTAGGCAACAGGCATACACCGAGTTTGAGGTCATATAACCCGATTACTAATCGGAGAACGAAGGCTAGACGTGTTCATACAAGGTTTAGTCATCTTTCTTTCCATCTATGAGCGACTCGCTATTTTAATTGGACGAAACGAGAATGATCGATTGTATACCGGTCAGCCATCATCGGCGAGACGAAAAAAAGAGAACTTCTTTTTGTTTTATTATTCAGATTTTGCTCAAAAGAACACAGAGACATGACAGATTTTGCGAAAGTATTTAATGTTTATTCTTCGGAACCAGCTGCTGAACAAAAAGAAGAGAATGGATCATTCGAAGAAGTCAAACGAGTCAATGCTAGTAAGTTTTGCTCTACGCAATTAGTTTATCTCATAATATGATGTTTCTATTTAGGTATTAATCAAGACTTTTCGAAAGATTTTGTCAGAATCACAATAAAAATTCCAACTATGAAAACCGGTATTAACTGGCGTAAATTCACACGTGAAGCAAAGAATGGAATCACAACAGAAGCTACCTATCATGGAAAGTATGTTGAATCTTCTGTTTTGTTTTCGCTTAGACAGAAACTGATTCGTGCTCTTTTTAGTAATCTGAAATTTGAATTCATTCTCAATCGTGGAAAATCGAATGAAACAAAATATCAATTCTCAACTCGAGAACCTCTCCATGGACCCATCGAATACAACAAAAGTTATTTAAAAGTAAATTTTATATTAAAATCATTCTAATCTTAACATCTTCTATTCTAGTACAAAGATGAGTATGTTCTCTGGTTTGTCCATAAATCTCAATCTTGGTAAAAGAAAATTTCTCCAGCATTTTATCACGTGTGTATGTGTGTGTATATGAAATGGTATCTTTGTCTTTTTCTTTCTTACATTATACTTATACATATGTAGAAGTTTTTAATCTTCTTTAAACTCGTTTTCTTTTGTATGTTGTATTTGTTATGTCAAATTTATAATAATAAAAAGCGAACATTTGTTTTTCTCAGAAAAATGATTGACAAACACACACGCACAGAAATCAAGATGCGAAACGCTTATATGCTATATACAAAACAGATATGGGTCTTTAACGTCTCTTTATCAATTTGCTGTTGCAACTAGTTCACGGAGAACCGTAACTGGTGCAGATGGTGCTGGGAGATCTTTCAGACTATTCTTACGTGTATCGTGTTGTAGAATCGGCCGAGGAAATGTTTCCGGAGTTGGTAATGGCTTGGCATGTAATTCAACTTTTTGTGAAACACCAAAACGGGCTTTGCATTCTCCGCGAGTTATACGATAAATTCCATTACTATCCTTGCGAAAACCTTTGTCTCGTGGGAATAAATCTTCTAAATCACCAAAATCCAAGCTGACGATTTCTTGTGAATCTTTGTATAATTTAACGCGTATTTCACCGTAGAAATAAGATTTGATTTCGAACGAACCACGATATTCATCTTCTTGCACAACTAATTCTGCAGTTGTTTCAGACATGCCAGGAATCTATTTGATCAGAAAGAAAAGTGAATCGTTTATTTATATTACTCATTCAATCACTTCAAGGCGAGAGAAAGAATGCGAAAGAAGTTCTGACGAATAATCGAGTATTTATATGTCCGAAGAGAAAATAGTCAAACTAATGATTCATTTGATAATCCTACGTAATGTCTTCAATCTTTTTATGAATTTCTTACCCGAATATTTGATTCCACCGACCAGGTTAATTCTTCTTCCACTTGTTTATCACGAGATTGTTCTAAGACGTATTCTCGACGAAAACCAGTGCTTGCTTCGATAACACATTTTGGTAACGGAACTTCAAGCTCCAACGATGCACACTGTTCGGTGGTATAACCTTCAAATATCGAAAATGAACAGGTCGATACAGTTCGTCGTTCCGCGCGCAGATTGTATTCTTGTTCTCGATTTGTATCATTCAGAAATGTTGAACGGAATAATATATGATTCTTCGGCGCACCGGGCATATCATAATCCGTATAGACCACAGAACCATGACGCACTCTATAGGGAAAAAAGAGAAATTAGCACGATAGATGACAATTTTGATCAACGAACTTTAATGATCTCCAGTCGATTTCTTTAACAAGTTCTTTCCAATTATATGTTCTTCCCCATTTGGCTTTGGTTGAATCTTTTTCATTTTCTTTGTACCATTTATGTGCCGCTGATTCGACCAAATCTTTCAAATTGACCAAACTCATTTTACCTGATGTGGTTGGCGTATTCTAGATAGGAAAGAAAAAGAACAACGAATAAATCCTTCATGAACCATGAACATGAGAAAAGCAAACAAGAAGAAAGAGATTGATATGAATGAAGCATTTAATTAGCAAGCAATAATTGAATTTTCTTTCCAGCAGATATGCATGTTAAGCGAGTCATTGCGATTCTATACCTGATGCGGAATAATCATTTCTATTGTTTTTCTCTCTGCTTGAAACTTACGAGATTGTCTGGCACCCATCGTTTTTCAGTAGAAATCTCACGAAAATAAATGACAACTGATATAGTAGTTTTAACGAAATCATTTTATATTACAACCAATCCGCAAGAGAGAATCACTCTGTAAATACCAACAGACGTTACTCATTTGTTAGAATTTATTACTTTTATACCTACTCTTCCCCTTGGGTCGCTATTATCTCCTATGCACCACTCATCGAATCAGAATTCAACTTGATCTGTTCGCGTAAAAAAAAATAGAAAATATTATCGATGAATCAGATTTTTACAAATGATTGATGATCGAATAATTCGACACTATGTATTTACATAGAACATTTCGAAAAACAAGATAAACCCAAACTTTCCTCTCACTGAACAAGGAGAAAACAGTGTGATAGAAATAAATTGATTTCTTTAGCTTGGATGAACAATATGATTGCTACTAGCCATAACACGCCTTCTTTATTTCCCTCCTAGGAACTTTCAAATGATATCGATCGAACTAATTTGACGGGCAGCTGCGCATTCATCGATCTGCACAAGGAGAGAAAGAACATCCAAGAAAAACAGACATGCACACATCGACAAGAATGCGAGACTAATTTGATCGATCGATTGGCGTCGGTGCCATCCCATTTTCTGCTCCTTCTCTCATCATCGATCTATCAAAATAGACATTTAAGCTATGCACATTTTATGCAAATCTCGATCGAAGACAAAAATACAAAGTTCAAGTTGACGTGAAAATCGAGTACTTTGCATGTGCGTTCAAACGAGTATCGACGCGCTTTGGTCTCATTTTAATCATCAATGGTAT